AGATAAGTAAACAAGTAGATCAGTGAGAGCGTGGTCGCTCTGCCACTGAATAGTTAGGCGGGGGTGCGGATTGCTCTGGAGGCCGCTTTGAGCGATCCTCGAGAGTTTGAAGTTTCATCACCCATCGCCATCGAGCAGCGCACTAGAGGGTTGGTTTTGAGGTGTGCAGAACGACGGACACGTTGACGAGAAGGAGGCATAGTTATTAAAACTCCGCGAGCGATACCGGCCTGACTTCAATCGCTGTGCATCGGCCGAAGTTTTTGAAGCCGTTTAGCCGCGAGTTGAAAGCGTTTAGCCGGTGTTTAAGCGAAGTTTCAAGAGTTTCAAAAGTTGATTTGAGTACCACTAGTATATCCTTGCTGGAGATACGTCGGTTCATAATATTGCCAACTGAAAGTAGTAACTTAAAGTACACCTCACCTCTCTGGATGTCGTCACAACGGATTAATCATCATCACCCGTCTCTTCGTCGTATCGGGTTCTCTTTTGTGTTGCAACCCTCTGCAGGATGGTGCTTTTTCCTGCATTCGCTTTAGGATTCGGAAGCGATCAAGGTACTGGCATAGGGAAAGGTACCAAAGTGTGTAACTGTGCGAGCGCCCGTATCACAGGATTTGCTGGATGGCCTCCCGTATAAACATGGCGCATGGTCTCTGCCCAACCATCTCTACTTTCATACAGGAGACTTTTGCCTAACTCGAATCAGCCTCGACCGTTCCCTGTCCTTTCCATATCTCCGGTACTCAACTCTCCCATCAACGTGGTCAACCCCGCTGAATCAAATATCGAACTAGACATCTCTATTGATTCAGCAAGTCGGAAAAGAATGTAGAGTCTACTGAAGCAGGGATCGGCAAGCTGCAAAGACACACTGAACGCGATGAAGGAAAGATCCTGCGGCAGACATTTTCTCCACCCATGTAAGGGATTGGAGACACCGAGACGAATGTGCCATCTAAATTGTTATTTTTTTCTGACAGTAGCAAACTTTCTCTTGGGGGATCCATTTTCCTTACGTTTACGTGTACAAGAGACGATTTAGGAAGACTGGCCATGAAGACATTTCTTTCGATATGGTGTTCCGCACGTCTGATACAAGGGGATCACCTGATAGACAAGGTCGACCGCCTCGCCTTGATCAAGTACTCACGGACTTAATGTCACAGGATACCACAAGCCTCACGAAAACATCATGGTCGTGGTTGAACTTTTTGGGAATACGATAATTGTTCAAGTAAGAATCCATATCTCACATCGAAAATCGTTTCTGAGTCGTAGGTCAGCGAGCAGAGCAGCCTGTCTCCGACTCTCTGCCTCCGATACAAGACTGGAACTCTTGCCCACCACTGACGAAATCATTCGAATCTGTCCTCGGTGGGGCAGGATGACCTTGACGTGTTCCCAGATTGACGTCAGAGGTTCCCCAGGTTCCGAATTCTGGTAATAGGAAAGGTACTGGGTTTTCGTTGATCTCAGGCCAGTATTGACAGTGTTTTCAACAGACTGGTGTTGGCAAGTCCTCGCTGATCGATCAAGCATTCGGGGTGCAAAACGCGGTAGGCTGCTCGCCACAGTATGACATAGAGAGTTACTCATGTTGTCCCCATAGATCGCTTCGAGTCATAAGCCAGGCGAGCCAACATCGATCACGAGTTCATCCCACCCCAGAATGTCAGGTTTTTTTTCCATGATGGCAAAGGTTTCGAACCGGGTGAGGAAGACAATGTGAACGTACTCCCAGATTTCATTGAACATCGGAGAAACATGCTTGATTTGAAGGATCAGCTGCACGCTGTTTGGTAGGGCCTCCATCTCGACGAGTCTGAATGTAAAGTTGATGAAATATGGAAGGCTTTGTTTTGAGATACCTCATGCAGGCGGTCGTTTACTGGAGACAGGCATGGAGGAATTCCTGACATTGAAGCATGGTGGAAAGCTGGGAAACAGTACATGAATAAATGACTATCTCTTTGCGTAGGTTGGAGCTCACCCTTAGTCAAAACCCCGTTCTCACCAAATACGATAGGTTCATCAACCGTGTAAATCATACTCTGGACGAATCCTCTGTCGCGGAATTGAGCCCCAGCGCCGTCAAGGAACTCGTCAAGAACAAAGCAGACACTGATCTAAAGGACATCTGCATAGGACCCCTAGAGAAATTCGCGGGGTCGGATATTCTACACTTTTGCTCATCGCACGTTCGGTGAGATCTTGGGGAGTACCCGGACTCTGGGTACAACTCTGCGATGAATTTGAAGGATTAGGTTCCAGGTTCGATGACAGGCGTAAGCTTAGATTCGTTCGTGTCGGTGCGTGCTGTAATACGAGTGTTGTTGGGATGTTGGATTTATGTGCTTTGCAAAGTTCATCACGGAATGAGTATATTCCTTCGGAAGTACGCGCTCCTCCTCTGCAATTGGCTAGGCAGCCGCCAGCGTGCTGTCATGCGTGGCCGCGTTGCTGAGGCTTGCTAGTGGAGGTCCTCCGAATCGTCATTTACTTCCCTCATTTTTTTTTTGAATCCGTGTTTATTGTCAGCTGGGGCTATGTCCTACAGTAGACAATATGTGTCATATGTACTTTCACTTCTCTCATGACCGCTCTACGCCCGCATCCGATCAGCGCTATCCTGATGAAGAACTTCCCGCTCGCAGGCTGTACCAGAGTCCATCGTTCTTGGCCTGTTTGTACATACTGGTCTCAAGAAGCTTTCCTCCAAGTTAAAAGACCCTTTGGTTAACGCAGTGTTCGTTTTTTATTGGCTGAGAGTTAGTGATTATCAATCTGCGTTCGTCTTGATCGGAGCTTACTCTTCAGTGTCCGTATTCATCAGCCAAGCGCCAATCGCATCATACCTGTGACCAAATCAGAGCCGGATTCGCCATGCATTCTCTGAAGGCTAGCAAGTGGGAAGTAATGCATATGAGTCAAGCTTACCCACCAGGTATTCCGTGGTCTTACCACGAGAGCCGTGACACAGAAATCTATCTGACTCGCATTTTACATCCTGAACCAACTAAATAAGGCACTAACCGTTTGGGCACCACGCTAGTACTATTTATGCGATGGGAAAGCACAAGTCAAGTGGGTACTCTATTATCAGAATGACTGATAGCTGATTATGTGTTCACGTCCTAGCCTTCTGTCGTTGTTGTACTATCACAAGGTGTGATTTGTTTGTTCGTTCAGTGCTTTAAAGGTCACGCCCAGTGTCATTTATATCTCGACACTCGTGCTATACTCGCCGATATACGGACATGACTTCAGAGGACCTTCATGCAATCTCCGCTGACTGGCTCAAAAGGCTAGAGAACGCGTCGTCTACCGGAGATGTTAAATCATTTGTCAGCCATTTCCTTTCGGACGGGTGGTTCAGAGGTCAGCGTTGGTCCAAGCGGCTGAGCTGCGTTAACAAGTACTGTCAGATCTTCTTTGTTTTTCTTGGAATTTCAGAACGCTATCAGGACCAGAAAAAATCCACGGATTTCTTTCGGAGGTGGTTGATGGAAAGTCGCGACTGGAATATTCTGGTCTTCGTGGCTTCAAGCTAGACGATCACACCGTCAATGCTCCTTCACCATTCAAATTACCAGGTCCGCGAGGGATTGAAGGAGTACAAGGTGCTTTCACCTTCAGCATTACAAAGCCGGCTGCACTCGGGCGCGGCTTCTTTCGTCTCACACAAGATATCGATGGAAACTGGAAGGCTTTAACTCTTTTCACAAACATGCAGGACCTCGTGGGGTTCGAGGAATCCTCCAAAGACCGACACGGCCTATATGAGGGTCGACAAATTACTTGGGAGGAGGATGTCGACGCAAAATTCCGTGCCATAGAGGCGGACCCCACTGTGTTAATCGGTGTGCTCTGTTGATCTGATTACCTGTGACGACCTGACAAGTCATAAAAAGTTGGTGGTGGACAATCCGGCCTTACGTGTGCAGCGCGGTTGGGGAGGTTGGGGATCCGTGCACTCGTAATCGAGAAACATACGCGTGTTGGAGACTGCTGGCGACAACGGTATGCACAGAAATAAAGATCGTCCTCATTATTGAATAGACGCGAAATACAGATACCCGAACCTTACGTTGCATACTCCCGCATATCAAAGCTCCAGTATGTCTTATAATCATCTTTCTGCGAGCTTTGAACTGATTTATAACTTGCACAGTGCTTTACAGTCCCTATCCGTAGGTGCATTTGGCAGTTCAAAGGTATTGATTATCTCAGTAATACTAGGACAAACTTCCCCAAGTACATTCCTAAGGGGAAACTTGCTAATTTCGTGGAGTCGTACGCTGTTAATCAGGAATTATGTATCTGGCTCTCAAGTATCGTCGCCTCAACTCCAGTGTACGACTCATCATCCGCAAGATGGACTGTTGAAGTACAGCGTGGAGACCGGAAAGTAATCTTCAAACCGAAGCATCTGATACTTGCCACAGGAGGCGGGAGGCCTCGTATTCCCACTTGGGATGGAATGTATGACTTTCGAGGAGCGTTGTATCATTCCGACTTCCATACAGATGCAGAGCAGTTCCGAGGCAAACGCGTTGTCGTTGTGGGCGCGGTCAGTCACATGCGAACATTTCCTGCTTGCGCGTACTCACGAGACCGGTAGGGCAATGCTAGTGGGGACATCTGTCAAGATTTTGTAGCACACGGTGCCGCTGAGGTGTGTGTTTGGCTGAAACAGATTATAGTCGTATTTCATATGACAAACAGGTAACAATTGTCCAAAGAAGCGCTACATGCGTTGTATCCTCTTCCGCAGCAGAGGAAACCCACTTCAAGCTGCCTTTTTCTGACAACAACCCTATCGAAGAACTAGATTTCCGCACCAATTCACTGCCTCTAGCCTTGCTTCTGCAACTGATGAAATCAGGCGGGACACAACACGTGAAGATGCTCGACAAGGAACTCCACGAAGGTTTGCGCAAGGCTGGATTCAACTTAACTTGGGAACTTTCGCCCGGCGGTGGTGAGGTTGGGCTGGAAGGATTTTTATTTAGCCGCGCTGCATCAGGAACTAGTGCGTTCGTATTTGTTGCTGAAATGGATGACATTTCGAACACCCTACAGTGCTCGACATAGGCTGTGGTAAGCTAATCGTCGAAGGCAAAGTCAAGGTCTGACCCCGTATTAATTGTCGAGAGCCATGTCTAACAACTGCGACACACTCGTAGGTAAAGCAAGGTCAAGACATCAGTCACTTTGACGAAGACGGGATCAAGTTTAAAGATGGCTCTAAGCTCTCAGCAGATGTTATCGTCCTAGCGTATGGCTGACTCGCGGCTTCTCATTTATCTTTCTCAAGTATGGTGTAGTACAGGAAACGAACCCGTCATGAAGGGCACAAGAGCTCTTCTTGGCGACAAGATTACCGAACAACTTCCGCCTAAGGTGTGGGGCCTTGACTCAGAGGGAGAGCTTAATCAGACGTATCGACCCTCTGGACATCCGGGACTTTGGTTCGCTATCGGTCCATTTGGAGTCTCGCGATTTTTCAGTAAACACTTGGTGAGCCTTCCTTCGTCGGTCCATATGTCTTTTGCTCAATGCGATAATACAGGGTCTCCAGATCTTGGCACAAGAGCTTGGCATAGCATGAGCGCTATAAATATACAAGTGATTGCCGCTGCGCGGCCCGTCTTGTCAAGGAGGACCAATTGATTCTATTCAATATTTGCTTCTCCTACTAAGTAACAATTCATGATATCATAGGCAGTCACGCATCTGATATTTTCGTTCACACTTGAGAGGGTGTCAAGCAGTCGCTGCTTCGCGAGGTAGAGAAATGTAAGACCATCCTTACCTCCAGATTGTCCCGTACCAAAGCATTCGAATCAGCCGGACGCGCATGCGGTTTGAGTCCATTCATTCCGCATCCCTGTTGCCCGAGTATTAGAGCCGTGGTCCTAAACTTCTTCAGTACATGTGCTATGCTGTTATGAGTGCCCGCGGGGAATTATCCCTACCCCCAACAAACTCTTTGATGCCATATACACTTCAACCTACACAAAGACGATGCTGATAAAGTTGTTGTAGCCGCCACACTGATCATGCCAAAGAACCCAAAATCAGAGAATATAAATAGCTCCGGATAACATCACGTGCATATATGTTGCCAAGGTCCGAATGATATGTGCAATGTATCAAGCTAGTAGCTGAAGGCTCAGACATCATCTACCACTCTTCGTCTAGTTGCAACCCCGCCACGTGTGGCCCAATCTTCGTCCTCAGGTCCTGAACTTCGTCAGCCTTGATGGAATGAACCTCGATCAGTGCAACAATCTTCTCAAGCGCTTCGTCTCTTCGACTAGGAGTTACAGGCATATGCCAAGATTGAATCTCCGAGTGGACATCACTTTTGCAAGCCACCTCATAGGCTTTGTTAGCGATTTTGGCGACGGGACGAGAGATGGACCCTGTTGGCGCTAGCAAGAACAAGATCTGCATGATACATGTCAAATCCACGATGTACGTCATGATCCGCCGCAAGACGATGTCTCTGGATCGGTTTATTAGCTATTCAGGGCACATTTCAAACAGCGAAAGCACACATTCACTTACGTTCGTTGATAAGTATCATAAGCCCACTTTGCCACGACCACCCCTGCAGCAATTGGCACGACGATCGGTAGTAACGGGGCTGCCAGCGGTGTCAAAATACCGATTATTGCCCCGACCACGGAGAGGCCGAATTTACTGCCAATGCCTCCATAAAATGATAGCATCACAGAGTATAACAACTCACAAAGTTCCTGCTGTATTCGGAAGGTTGTCCTTCTCCAGATCTTTTAGAAGCAGTTCTTTGAACTTGTCATCGGCCAAGTGCTTTGCGGAAACATGTCAGCAGCCTGAGATATGAACCGATACAAGATGTGTCTCACACAGCGAGGGTCATTGAAGTTCCACACAGCAATGATGTCCTTGTGAATCAAAGACAAACAGTCCCACATGGTGAAACCCGTGAAGTTCATGCTCGAAGCGAGGCCTCTCCAATATCCTAAAAATTCACAAGTCAAAAAGGCCTCGAAGACTGCAACAAGACCAACTTTTCTTGCCGACGCTGTGAAGAGCAAAGTGTGAAATTAGTGGTTTACAAACACGATAGTGGTTGAGCATACGCGATTGACGCCTTGACTTTAAGGTCAATATTTACCCGCTGAGCTATCATCATGGCTAATGCCGCTTCTGAGTCCACGAATTGTTCGACGTTCGTGGTTGTGAGATCGATCAGCTGTCGTACGGTGCTCTCGTACCCATTCTTCGCTATCAAGGTACTTCAGAGGTGGAGATCAGAGAAGTGAATGTTCCATACTGGAAACCGTTGCGTGCAGGACGTCGCTTCCAGCTACATCTGTGAGTGGCTTTACACACAGATTATTCAAAGCATCTCTTTTGAGCTTTTCGAGTGCGTTTTCATCATATTCTCCTGATTCCTCAGCTTCAAAGTCCACTTTGTCGACGAGAACGTCATGCTTGGTGAAGACGACAATGATCGGAACTACAGTTTGGAACATGAGTGACGAGTGACGAGACGTGAACAATACGCACTATTTCCCAATATTTCCTTCCTCGATTCTAGAAACTCCTTTACTCCGCTCTCGAGCAGCCGTCCATCGGCATGAGGTATCGAGAGGCAGAGCCTTCAAACAGTGTTAGCATGGCAGAGTGGCGGTGGCAGCTAGAACACCATACCAGACCGCATGTATCTTGTCCTTTAGTTCGGGCATTTCGCGTCGGCAGCCAATGAACTCTTTTGCATCCGCAAAACTGCTGCTGTCACCAACTTCGAATCCCTCACTGTCGTGGAGGACAAATCGCTCGTTTTCTCGCGCGACGAATTCCCTGTTGATATCTGCTTTGCCCCGCGTATGTTCAGAAACATGCTGTAAAGAACAGGCGAGCATCAGCATATGTCGTCATGCGGTGGTTCAAATCTACTTAACCACTTCATTTATTTTAAATGCCTGTTGGATCAGTGATGATTTTCCGACTCCAGTCTACAAAGCGGGCCCATGAGACATCTATGCTTGAAGATAATGAACCGACAGACCTTGCCTATTACCAGTAGTCGGAACCTTGGACAAATTTCTAGAATATCACTGCTAGTCGACTGCAGCTGTCTGATATCGTAACGGCCGATATGGACAAGGATGATCAGCTTGCTTTTGAGCCAAGAAAACTATAAATACACCGACGATATTGTAACGACGACAGTGATCTTGCGCTTAGTCGTCCGATACTCTGTCACATCGGGCTATCAACTTGATGCGACACGGCTTGAGACTAATAGGTTCACCTCGTTTACCATCTTTATCCACTGGATTGGACAGTATGTCTTTTTTGTCCAATGGAAACTCCACAGTAGTCTTCCGCTGAAGCATGCCCATGCTATGGTGTCGGAAGTGTACCGACAAGGAAGCGCGCTCAGTGGTCATCGCGCTGTGGTACAATGTTCTGACCAAGTTTCTAGCAACCAGTAGTATAGGTGGACTTACATAGCGGGATCGAACTTTGCAGTAAGGTCTCTATCTTCGTCTGAGACACGGTGGATTTCCGGTCGCTGTGAATCAAGCTTCAATTCGGCAAATTCGAGCTTCTTGTGCGAAGCATCGTCGAGGCGGATGACAATATCTGGTAGGAAGCACGATGTATACATCATGGCGAGATACTTAATAAGTAGTAGGAGATTCTTACTGGAAATGTGGATAGTAGTAGTATTTGCAGACATCGTCCCTCCAAACAACGGGAGGATGGTCGAGGATCGAATGGATGACAGGCGCAATTGCAATGCGAGTGTAATAGCTCTGGGATGCGAACATCGTATATACTATAATCGCGTGTTTGCGCATGCTGGATGCGCGCTTCAAGTTTTGAAGCATTAGCTTGATTACATACGCAACAAGTCTTGTCGAGTGCACGTGAGGACTCAGGAGCATCAACTCCAGTGGACAGAAGACGTGGATATGAAGGATAAAGACCCAGGAGGCAGATTTGGGGCGCGGGTGATGAAGGACAGCAAGCGACCTCTGAGTTTAAACCTTACTGACTGCAAACGAAGACGTTTCAATGACGGACAAACCTGACGCCAACCCAGAAACTACTCGAGACGTTAGTATGCCGCCTCAACAATTCTTCCGTCCTCGATCTCCACGCATTGAACATCCACTTCTCACGTTCCTACTGGCTCACGTCTCGGTTTCCAATCGGCTCACTTCAAGTCCCTTCTAAGCCCTTACTAGAGCGCCCCATCAACGTCACAGATGCATCGAGCTACCTCGATGCCGTCAAAGTCCAGTTCCATGGTCAGCCAGATGTCTATAACCACTCCCTCGATATGGTGAAGGATTTTAAGAGCGGTTTGTACGTTCCAACATCAGCAAAACACTTTTTTTTTGCCACCACCAAAAAATGGCTGGCCACAGCTTGGTCCCTTCTGTACAGAGCCCACAGAGGCAAAGTGATTTGTTGATGAATTTTCATTTTAAATGCACTATCTCATAATCATTCATCCATCTAGCACAGATACCCCAGGCGTCATCAAACGCGTCTCACACCTCTTCAATGGTCACCCCTTATTCAGGGCTTCAACACCTTCCTTCCCGTCGGCTATCGCATTGAGTGCTCCTCTGACCCCCAACAGTCTGCTTTTATCGCCATCACCACACCTACAGGCACAATGCTTCAGTTTACCCGTGACGACCCTTGGCCTTCTACTCCATCCGTTGCCTCTCCCACAGTCTTGGGTCCTGAGCCTGATCCAAACATGTATGGCATGAATCTCGGTCTCGACAGCTCCTCTATAGAACCAGCCTTTCAGTACGTCTAGAAAAATTCTATAACACCACTGATGCCGTTGACGAGGTGAGCCTCTTGCCTTCTTTTATGGTACAATAACACATGATATTCACAGCGTGAAGTATCAGCTGAGATCGCCCGCCTTTTCAAAGACAACCCCCATTTGCGCCCATATTTTAGGATTCTCATGCCCGAGAAGAGCCAGGATGTTTTCGACGATGTAGAAGAAAGCTATTTCTCCCTCACAGGACGCTACACCCGCTCAAACACACCTCTCAATGGCAAGCCTCTCCGCCGTCGTCCAGAACCCCAACCACCCATCGAACCCATCGTCCCTCAAAATCGCAAACGCAAAGCCAACAAGCGCGAACGACACCCTTCTCTTTAGCACCCAAAGCTCCTTCCAAGGTGCCTTTCTGCTCCTGAATCCAAATACCCCACTGACCTCTTCAAGCTCACACAGCTCCCCCTCCCTCCCTCCCACCTCCCACTAGACGATACCCACTTCTTCGACCGCGTCAAACGCGCGTTAGGGAACCGAGACACCTACAACGAGTTCTTCAAACTCATGAGCCTCTTCACGCAAGAACTGATCGATACCACTCGCGTCGTCCGCTCGGCACGGAATTTCCTTGGAGACGCGGAGTGGATGCGCCAGTTTAGGGAGATTCTTGGGTGGGATGACAGAAGGGAGAGGGAGCGCTGGGTGTTGGACGAGAGTCAGCAGCAGCAGACGTGAGCGAGGGTTCGAGGCCAAGGAGGGCTTATGATCGTTCCCATCCGCCCAGGGAGAGTCAATACGGGGCTCCAATAAGGAAGCTACCGCTGAATGCCCACCATCGTACGTCCCCCTACCCAAGCACCAAATACCAACTAACAATCCAACAGGAAGGAAGCGTTACATGCACAGGCCGCGACGAGATGTGCCGCGCAGTCCTCAACGACGAATGGGTCTCCCACCCAACCTGGTCGTCTGAAGACGCAGGCTTCGTAGCGCACAAGAAAAATATCTACGACGAAGTTCTCCTCTAGAGCGAAGAAGAACGCCATGAGTACGATTTCCACGTCGTAGCAGCCACCTGCACTATCATCATCCTTGAGTCCATATCTGCTGAAATCTTACAACTCCCCCCTGACGAACGCAGTGCCTTCAAACTAAAACCTAATCCAGGAGGATCGGGCAAGGCGGTGCATGCGAGGGTCATTAAGAAGATCTATGGGAAGGAAGCATAGTGGGAGGTGTTGCGGGCGATGCAAGAATCTCCGGCTATAGCTATCCCAGTGGTACTCCACCGCCTCAAGGAGAAAGAAGAAGAATGGAAACTTGCACAGAGGAAACGGAATAAAGTGTGGCGAGAAGTAGACGCTCGAAACCCGTCTCGCGCACTCGACCACGCAGGGATAGCATGTAAAACCTCGGAAAAAAAGCGCTCCCTGCGAAAGTCCTCATTGCGCAGATCGAAGCTGCTAGGGACGCCCAGGTGTGTCAGCGCGCTGCGCTTGTGAACCCCTTCGTTCGCGCGTGCGAGGGTCAGGCATCAATTGGCGTATGAGGTGCAGGATGCTGTGAAGATGGCGTTGTCGTTCTTGGATCGGACGCAGGGACAGAATGGGGGGTGGAGAGGGGGAGGGTTGAGGGTTTTTTGAGGAGGTTTGTGCCATTGTGTTTCGTGTTGGATCAGGAGGTGTTTCGTAGGGCGTTTGTGCTTGGGGAGGGATGGGGATGACGCTGAGACGAATAGTACCAGGAATGGAGGGGGGAGGAAGCGGAAGGGTGGGATGTCTTCTGGTGGGGATTGGAGGAAGAAACTGCTTAAGAGCGAGCAGGCGAAATCGACGGGGAAGAAAACGCGTGCGCAGGAAGCTGCTTCGCCCTCTGCTTCGAGACCTGCGTCTCCTGCTATACCCGATGTCATGCAGGTAGACGCTACCGCTCCAGAGGAGGGAGAACGAGAGCCTGCTGCTCCGTTGCGCAAGGCGTCGAGGAAAAACGTGTTCTTTGGGAATACTGTCTTTTATGTCCTTTTGCGTCTTCTCGAGGTACGCGTCTATTCTGTTCTACTTTTACATCCTTCCTTAACGTACCTTCCACAGGCACTATACTCCAGACTCTTATTCTTCAAGCACATTAGCGCGCGCATCGCTCTCCTCCCCCAAATCAACCTCCAAAACCAAAATCAATCCGGTGGCCACAGCCCTAGGCATGCCTCACGCACCTCGCTCAGCTAGACGACCGAGCTGCTCATGCGGATCATTTTTATGAGTTGATGTTGGAGTCATGTGAGAGGCTTTTTGATAACGAGATCGAGGCGCATGTGTTTGAGGAGCAGATGCGGAATATGTTTGGGGTGAAGGTGCGTTTCTTTCTCTTGATTTTGTTTGCGTGTTTTTGGTTTTTGGTTGTGGAGTGAAGTGGGTATCGATTATTGGCGATAGGATGCCTACCGGATATTTACGATTGATAAAGTCATTGAGTCATTAATCAAACAGGTGCGTCCTCGTCTCGTCCTGCTCTTCATCTAGTTGTGAGTCCCTTTTGACTCTTTAATGGGGGGTAGGTCCAGCTCGTGTTGGCTGATGCCAAGAGTCAAGAACTCTTTGAGTTTCTGAAGCGCCATCGGGCATTACAAGCTCCTACCATCCAGGACCAACTCAATAGTCGGAGGTTTGCGGAGAATGTCCTTGGGCCTGATGAGAATATTTTTAGGGTGGATTGGGTGCGTCTCTTTCCTTATTCTTCACGCACTGTCATTTCAATGCTCACATTTATATGTTGTGTGTCACCGCTACAGCTCCCAGACACGAAACCGATGACGATCCAATTACTCGGGAAAGACGATTCCAGGTTCGATGATTCTGAGATGTTGGCGGAGAGGCGGTAGGCGTATGTCGATTCGTTTGTTTCGGTGCGTGTTTGTGATGGGTGTTTTGGTGTTGGGTTGATGTTGATGCATTTGTTTATGTGGTTTGTAGAGTCCTGTGACGGAGGGGATATCGCAGGCCCGTGTTACACGTCCGTTTCTTCGAAAGTGTGTACACCTGCCCCTGCTCTTCAACCTCCCGCACACAATACTAACCAGTGCTTTACTTCGCAGGAACGTACCAGCCTCAGTTACATCCAGCACACCAGCCGTACTCGCGCGTAGCGCACTAGAAACGAAAGTATGCGTACGGACGTACCGCTTGTTTTTTGTATCGGGTACGGAGGACTTTTTGTGGCGGATTCCGTCCAAGGAGGATGTGGATACGAGTTCGAGTGCAGGTGTTGGAAGGGAAGCAGCGAGTAAGAGGCGAGAGCGGTGGTTGGAGAAGACGCAGGCGGGGGGTGGCCTTCTGGTGTGAGTGGGGAAGCTAAGGTGGTCACGGTGAGTGTGAAGGAGACAACGCCTGTACCTGTGTCTGCGAGGGTAGTTTGAGGTGCTGGTGTTGGAGGAAATGTAGGTGTTGTGTATAGTGCGAATGGTTAATCATATTTTCTGCTGCGCTTGAGTACTCGGACATTTGAACGTTACTATCGAACTGTTCTGTTTACCGTTGTATGATTCTAACTTACTAAGTATAGCCGATCTTATCTAAACTTACATCCTCACCGCAGATTTCATAATCTCAATTTCGTTGTCGTTTCGCTCTCGTATCTTCATTGCGATCCCGTTCCGTGTTACTCCCACTGCTTGCACGAGCAACGAAACCACCGCCACTTTCAAGACGCACATCCAGATCTCCCGATGGCACCCAAAGTCGACCCTCAGAACCTCAGAGAGACATTCGGGCGCTTTCGAGTTCTGATCCTGGGCCGAGCCAATGCAGGCAAAACAACCATCCTGCAGAAGGTCTGCAATACCGCAGAAAATCCAGAGATTTACAATGCCAAAGGAGACAAGGTGTGGGATATGTTTTATAACATGCGGGGGTCGAGCGCTGATCATGCTTGTGGATAGATAGATGCCACCGTCGTGGAAGGCACGAGATTGGTGCGTGCACTGTCATCTGCCTTACGAGTATGCATGCGCTGATGGGTGCTCAGCGTGGAAATCACGATATTAGGAACGAGATGGTGTTCAAGAGCAATCCCGGGTTTGTCTTTCACGACTCGTGCGGTTTCGAAGCGGGCTCTGCAGAAGAATTCGAGGATATGAAGAGATTTATCTCAGAACGCGCAAACGCGACGAAATTAGAGGAACGAATACATGCTATCTGGCAAGTGGCTCCCTCCCGTGTTTGGCGCTCGTCCATTACTATCATACCGTAGGTACTGTATTCCAATGGACGACCATTGTCGAACAATCCAACGGGCAGAAGAGAAGTTCTTCTCTGAATGCAACACTGGTAATGGTGAGCGTGCGACTCCAGTGTCTGACTGTGCTCGTACTGAATACCATTCAGTTCCCGTAATCGTGATATTCACGAAGTTCGAGGCCTTGCGTCCAGTGGCGTTCGGAGAAATCAAGAAGGACCTAGGCGGGCTTTCAAAAGAAGAGCGATCGAAGAGGATTGCCGAACGTGTTCAAGAATTGTTCAAGAATACCCGTGTCTGGGATCGATTGTGCGAATTGTGCGATACCGAAAACCATGCCCGTCCCAAGTCCTACATATGCTTGGAGAGTAAGTAGTTCAATATTGGTTTGTCTAGTGTCAAAGTCAACACGAGTCATTCAGATATGAACCGGGCGGATACAAATTGTAACACGTTACTGGAATGCACAGCATTTGCATTGGACAGTGAAGAATTGAAGTTGTGCTTCGTGTCGACGCAACAGTCCAACATGGAACTTTGTATCAAGTATGCTGTTGAGTGAGTGGCAAAGTTGCATGTGAACTAGCATCTAGTTGTTTTTTAACATCATCTAGAACAGTCATTGATCATGCACACCGAAAATCCTTCCTACATCCAACTGATCATGAAGACTACCAATTTGACATTGCTAAGTGGTTTTCATATATCAAAGTAAGATGATTGATTCAATATGACAATGCTTGGCAAGGGCACTCACAAATGGTAAATATTGCAATGCTGAAACTGTGGACATTCTAATATCTTTTCCATGACTGTAGTTGTTCTTTAATGATAGCCGGTAAGATTGTGGTTTGCAAAACCCAAACAGCATTGACAATACTGATGGCTTGTCACTGCTGGCCTGTTGACAGTCAGTAAGTGCCTGGATGGTTTATCATCCTGAACCCATGCTGATGATCCTGATCACTTGTTACTGCTGGCCTCTTGACAGTGGGTAAGTGCCTGAATGGTTTCTCATCCTGAACCCATGCTGATGATCCTCATCACTTGTTGCTGCTGGCCTCTTGACAGCGTGTAAGTACCTGGATGATTTCTCATCCTGAACCCATGCTGATGATCCTGATCACTTGTTGCTGCTGGCCTGTTGACAGTCAGTAAGTGCCTGGATGGTTTCTCACCCCGAACCCATGCTGATGATCCTGATCACTTGTTGCTGCTGGCCTGTTGACAGTGGGTAAGTGCCTGGATGGTTTCTCATCCTGAACCCATGCTGATGATCCTGATCACTTGTTGCTGCTGGCCTGTTGACAGGAGGTAAGTGCCTGGATGGTTTCTCATCCTGGACTCATGCTGATGATCCTGATCACTTGTTGCTGCTGGCCTGTTGACAGTGGGTAAGTGCCTGGATGGTTTCTCATCCTGAACCCATGCTGATGATCCTGATCACTTGTTGCTGCTGGCCTGTTGACAGGAGGTAAGTGCCTGGATGGTTTCTCATCCTGGACTCATGCTGATGATCCTGATCACTTGTTGCTGCTGGCCTGTTGACAGTGGGTAAGTGCCTGGATGGTTTCTCATCCTGAACCCATGCTGATGATCCTGATCACTTGTTGCTGCTGGCCTGTTGACAGTATGTAAGTGCCTGGATGGTTCCTCATCCTGAACCCATGCTAATGATCCTGATCACTTGCTGCTGCTGTCCTGTTGACAGTCGGTAAGTGCCTGAATGGTTTCTCATCCTGAACCCATGCTGATTATCCTGATCACTTGTTGCTGCTGGCCTGTTGACAGTCGGTAAGTGCCTGGATGGTTTCTCATCCTGAACCTATGCTGATGATCCCCATTTCTTGCTCCCCTTGGTTCTTTGACAGGTGGTAGGTCTTTTGATTTTGCCTTACATTAACATGATACCAAAATCATGACAATTAAAATCATTTGTAGCCTAATGTAAGTCTCCTCTTTTTTCTGTCGCTTGTCACTTACATCATGCATAGTTTGTTGAGTATCCATACTCTGGGCCTTCTCTTCCATGTTTACTCCTCTTACATATTCCTACACCCTCTACAGAATGTGAGCTGCTCACTATGTTCCAGTCCTTATGCATCAATTCTGATTTGCACTTTCTTTCTAGGCTGTGAGTGTCTTTCAATAGCCCAGTATTCTCGCAACTGGACCATAGTAATCCCTTTGTTGTATGTTTGCAGGATGTATGGCATCTCCTTTGATACAAATGCTCCCCTGACACAGATTTTGTTGACCTTTCACAGCTAGTAAGTCCATTGATGGTCCGCCGGGCAGATCCTTACTCTTGTCTCGTGGTTCTAATCTGAATCTAACTCCTTGATAGTTTGTAAGTCATCCGATCATCATAGCGGACATTTTCTGGTGGTTTATTATTCAAAAATATTACCTGAACAGCATGTAAGTGTATTTTCAAGAATGTCACCTGATGATTTTAACATCACTGTGTACCAGGAGGCAAGCGCTCTGTTTCAATTCGTTCTAACGGTAACACCTTTCCCTTGTCTCAACAACTAGATCGAAACTCGGAGATGGCGTATTTTGTCTGCCCTTCAGCCTTTGGTGGGTACAGTTCCTCGCATTAATCCTCGCCACTCTCAAGAATCTGCAATAGGTTGGCAAGGGAACATGGTTCCCTGCTGCGAAAAGAATCATTCAGACTGGTATTGGTCAGTTTCCGACTGCGTGGACAGCTACAATTTTACCAACAAGAGGCAGCTACCATTATCGTCCTCGAATATGCTGCTTTCCTCCAGCATGACGAGGAACTGGGGTTCATTAAGTCTGCCGTGGACTATTATGTGAAATCTCCTACGGCTGTCGCTGTGGAGAAAGTCGTGACGGAAATTGCTAGTAGAGGCTATGAGAAAGAGGAGACGAAGAAGAAGATTCTTGAGTTCATCCTTGCAAATCGCCTGTGTACGTCCCTAGCCTCGTTTCCAACCCGGAACTTGAAGTTGACCAACTGTCCGCAGCAAAGGAATTGACAGTGAAGAAGTAGATGACGTTCGAGCCAAGTTCCATGCTTTCTAATGCCCCCCCCCGTGCTATTCCGTGTTGTGTACAATACCAAGCACGCCAGCTGCTTTCAAAGTTTCGAGGCTCGTTCCCATACTGTGTACTATACCAAGCACTCCAGCTTCAACTGCTGAGCGCTGCAGACTGTACTACCGGGTTTCAACACCCTTTTTTCAGATCTCATCATCTCGTCGTCTGTTTTGTCACACCGTGTATTGAACTCACGTCAAGTGATTATTGAACTAAACGCTGGTATCCAACAACTGAAGCTACCGCCGTATTCCCGCCAGCGTACGTCTATATACCAAGTGTCCCACTCCACCAGGAGGCCAATGTCGCCTGCACGGGCCGCGACGAGATGCGCCGCGCAGTCCTCAACGTCTCACACGCAACCTGGTTCTCCGAAGATGTAGCCTTTCATAGCGCACAAGAAAAACCTTTACGAAGAAGGACCCCATCGCAGCGAAGAACACCACGAGTCGATGCAGGTAGACGCCACAGGAAGAGGGAGAACGAGATGCCTGCTGCACCGCTGCACAAAGCGTCGAGGGAAAATGTGTTCTTTTGGAATATTGTTTTCTACGTACTTTGCGACTTTTCGACGTGCATTGTTCTATTTATTTTACTGGTCTTACATTCCTAACATGCCGCTACAAGGCATTCATATTCTTCCAACACCTCAGCGCCTATATCAACCTCTCAAACCACCCCGTCGCTACAGCATACCAGTTCCTCACAGAACTCGCTCAAATCGATGACAGTGCTGCTCATGCAGACCATTTTTATGATGGGATTGACCAGCATGTGTTTGAGGAGTAGATGCAATATACGTCGTGTAGGTGCATTTCTTCTGCGTGTTGTTTTGTGGAATGGGGTGTCGACTCAGATATTGAGTGATAGGATGCATATCGGATATATATACGATTGATACGGTAATCGGGTCGTTGACTGAGCAGGTGCAGTTTTCAGTCCTCCAGTATCTCGATTTTATGGGTCGTTTTTTTGGTGTGGGGTAAGTCCAGTTTGCAGTCGGCTGATGCTAGGAGTCAAGGGCTCTTTTCTTTTGGGCGCGATCGGGCGATACAAGTACCGAACGATCCAGGACCAGCTTAATAGTCGGAGGTTTGCGGATAATCTTCTTGAGCCCGATGAGAATATTTTCCGAGTGGGTTGGGTGCGTTTGTTACCTCCCTCACTGCACTGTCGAGTGTTTAATGTTCATGTGTTGTCAGGACAGCTCACAGACACGAAGACAATACCGATACACTTACTCGAAGACATTGGCGGAGAGGTGGCCGGCATATGTGGATTCGTTCATGCCTGGTGTGTGTTTGTGGTGGGTGTTGTGGTGTTGGGTTTATTCATTTGTGGTCTTTGTAGAGTCCTGTGACGGATGGGATGTTGCAGTCTTTGTGTTAGGCATCAGTTTCCTCGCAAGTACATACCCTCCTCCGCAACCTTCCCACACACACAAACACTGATGATTGTGTTGCTTTTGCTTTGCAGGAATGTACCCCTAAGTTACAGCCAATGCACCAGCCGTACTCGCGCGTAGCGCACTGGAAATGAAAGTATGCGTGTGGACATACCGCTTGTTTTTGTATCGAGTATGAAGGATTTTTTGCGGTGGAGCCCGTCCCAGGAGGATTTGGAAGCGAGTTTTGGTGCGGGTGATGGACGAGAATTGGCGAGTGAGAGGCGGTGGTTAGAGAAGATGCGGGCGGGGGAGGGGTCTTCTAGTTTGAGTGCGCACTGCGGATGGTGTGAAGGACGACACCTGTGCAGACTCGGAAGGAGCAGTTGGTGCTGGTGCTGGTGCTGGTGTTGGTGGTTGTAGTATCGTGCATATGATTAATTATCTTGGTATTGATTTTACTACTTGGACGCGAACTGGTTTGTTTACCGTTGTATATGGCCTGGTATCCAATTATCCTCACTTACCCATAGCATGCATGTGGGAAAACTCCTTCCGGACATCCCTGTCGCACGTATACTTGTGGTCCTCATACATCCTTATGAACTTCTTCACAAACATCCGAGTTCCTCAGATGATCGAGGACGTAAAGGACTTACAGAACGGTCTATTCGTAAGCCGAGACATTTACCACTTCATGGGGACGACTCTTATACTTTTACCAGTACGTGCGAACTTGTTTTGATTATACTCCAGTGCCCTCGTTTTTTTTATTACAGATACCGAACGCATATATGGACCGGGATGACATCAACTACCTCCCCCATGGCGACTGTCATATCATGCTGCATGATCTCGATCCCCCACCGAACCCACCACCCATCTATAACATCATCGTACATAACGGTAGTCTATTCCGTGTTGCGCCCCATGATTGGCCCCCGAACTTGCCCTTCGAAGCTGTATACGCTTCAGCAATGATGAAGTCATGGGGACTTGCGGCATTCACTGAGTAGGTAGTCCCTGCTTGGAGCCCCGAACTGTATGGTGGTGTGCCCATCTCCACTCGTGATGGGCGGCTAGTCATGATGCCGCTTGAAAAACCACGTGTTGACGCCAAGCGCCAGCGGAATAACGAAGCCCGACATGCGCGGCGGAGGAATGCCTCTGTACGAGATGAAATAGATGTCCTCCTGGCGTTGTCGTATCTTGTTCGTAGGAATAAGGTTGGTTCCACAAACGTGGAGACGGAACAGGACAGTAATCGTGATGAAGCGGTGCGATTGAAGGTACAGGGATGGTTGTTCTTAGTGCGAGAACAGTGCTGCGTAGATGTCTCCGGTAAGTGATCCATATCCCCGATACCTTCATACCTCAAATGTTTTCTCTGCATCATATACTAATATGCTTCCTCTCTATCCGTTTGGTCGCACTTCCCGTAGACTCTGCCACGCTTCTCTGGGCACCCCTTGTTGTTTTTCCCATGTCCCCGCACATTTCTCTACGCAGTATCTTGTTCGTTTTTCTTCGCACAAGTCGTTCGTATCCCGCACACTCCCAGCCTTCGATCCACATCCTCGACGCAGCTCATATTTTATTCTATTTTCCAGTTTGTTTCAGTAGTCAAATCTACATCAATTCACAACACATAATCATACATTGTCAATACTTTGGAGCCCGGCCTCGCATCCGCTTCGAGTTCACCCTCTTGCCTGCGAGTTCGACCTACGTCTTCCACAATATATTGCAGAATTGTTAGTAGTAAGTAAGAGAAAACCACTTAGAATAGGTCCTCTTGTCCTCTCACACGACGAGCTGTGCAAGCAATCACTTGTAAAAACGACAAGTATATCAACTTTTTGCGTTTTAAGCTTTTAAGGTGTATGATGACAAAGCGAATATCATTGGTGAGTCTGTCCCAAGTCACAGTACTAGTGTCAGCCTAGATTGCATTCGTGGTCAGACAAGATGACGTTGTCTCAAGCATTAAAACCTGGTCTTGTGGCCCCTCCTCTCTTACCTTAGTCACACCTGCAAGATGAAGCTTCCTGCCATCTGTGCACTTTTCGTCGTCGCGGTTGTTGGATCACCCACTCCTCCATCTAGCGCTCGTTCCAACATAGGCCGCACACAACGCATTCTCCTCAACACCGCTGGTAGCAACTCAAAAGCGGTTGATGCGGAGAGACAGCTTGATTATGTATCTGAGTATGTCTTCCTCTATCCACCAAATTCATCAGGCTGACGTGAACTAGGAAGTACGCTGCCACCATGAGGGCCTACGAACGGAACACAGGATCTCCCCACCCGTTGAGTAGTCACTTCAACGTTCGGCCGGTGGCGAAGCGGGCTACGAATGGAAGTGTACCCCTCACAAATTACAATGCAGACCTTTGGTACGGCTCGATCGAAGTTGGCACGCCTCCGAAACAATTTACAGGTTCGTTTATCATCGACACTGTGACACGACACAGTCTGATTCTGAAATTCTGAAGTGGTGTTTGACACTGGCAGTGCAGACCTCTGAGTTTTCCCGGAAGTGTATTCCTTCATTTCCAAGCTGACAACGCTACTACTTGCAGTCCTTCCATCTGTGAAATGCACGGCAACCTGTGACGGACATAAAAAATACGACCCCGCTGTGTCCTCTTTGGCCAAAGATTCTGGGGAGCCGTTCATACTCGTCTACGGCTCTGGAGAGACGGTGGGCGAAGAGTACTCTGATGTCGTTTCTATTGGGGGCTACAGAGTTAGTTGCCCAACGTGTTTATTTCTGTTCTACCAATATAGCTTGTCAGGCCAATAATCAGACTCTCGGCGCCGCATCGGCATATTCGCCAGCGTTCAGGTAACTACCTGAATTACCCCCCTGATGGTCTCTGGCTTGGCATTCAGCGAAATCTCGGAGTTCCAGGGATCGCCACTTGTCGAGACATTGAGCGAGAGCGGTCAACTGCCACAAAGTGTCCTGGGGTTCAAGCTGTCCACTACCACAGGAGATAGCGAAATACTCATCGGAGGAACAAACACGAACCTCTACCGCTCCGACACACTCACGTATATTCCTGTGACAAAGAGGGGCTACTGGCAGGTGGAGCTAAGCAGCATTTCGAGGTCGGGGCAGAAGATCAATAGGTCGCACTCTGTTCCTGCGATCATCGATACCAGGACCACCCTCGTCATCATGTCTGATTCAGTCGCACAACGTTACTACGCGAACATATCTGGCGCTATACCCCACCCGGTGGGCGCATATACGTACTGGACAAGTAAGCATGTCACCTATTTCACCATCATCAATTTTGATCAATATTTGCGTCTGCGCAGTTCCGTGCAATAGCATGGATTCAGCCGTGCCTACATTCACGTTTGGCGGACGCACCTTCACAGTATCTGCGCAGACGTTCAACCTCGGGCCAGACACCAATTCAAGCGATTGCATGGCTGGGATCGCTTCGTCTTCAGCATTGAGTGCGTATAGCCTGTATCTCCATGACATTGGTGTTCATGCTCTAGATTTCACAATCAAAATTCCGTTCTCACCAAATACGATAGGTTCTTCAACCGCGTAAATCGTACTCTGGACGAATCCTCTGTCGCGGAATTGAGCCCCAACGCCGTCAAGGAACTCGTCAAGAACAAAGCAGACACCGATTTAAAGGAAATCTGCATAGGATCCTAGAGAAATTCGCAGGGTTGGATATTCTACACCTTTTCTCATCACACGTTCGACGAGATCTTGGGGAGTACCTGGACTCTGGGTAGAACTCTGCGATGAATTTGAAGGATCAGGTTCGAGGTTCGATGGCGGGCGTAAGCTTAGATTCGTTCGTGTCGGTACGTGCTGCATACGAGTATCGTTGGGATGTTGGATTTATGTGCTTTGCAAAGTGTAAGGATTCCATATTATCTACACGCCGACCAGGCCTTCAGATGGAGACGCGATCAGCACGTCCACGTAACTCAACCGACGCGAAGAGCTTTACTCTTCACATCCGAGTTACGTGGATACATTCCCCTATATCTCCTTTCATCTCTTTCTCGTTACTTTACTACTGCTCACACTTCACTATCCCTTTCTTTGACAGAGTACTTTCACTTCACCATATGCTCTTCACGCCGATTCCGGCCTAGTCAACTACTCGAAAACGTATATATACCCCCCATGTACTCTCATATCTAACAGCGAATCCTATATTCAGATCCCCGCTCCAAGCACGACCGAAAGCCTCATAGAAACTCTCCACCTTATACGTTTACCGACTCGTCTCGAATACCTTTGCACTCGTCTCTTACTCTCTTCGTTTCGTTACATTTCCCCTTCGAACTCTTTACAAGCCTTACAAAAGTCCCGTCACGGAATGAGTATATTCCTTCGGAAGTATGCGCTCCTCCTCTGTGATTGGCTATACAGCCGCCAGCATGCTGCCATGCGTGGCCGCGTTGCTGAGGCTTGCTAGTGGAGGTCCGACGTGGATCGACTCCGAATCGTTATTTACTTCCCTTATTTATTTATTTTGAATCCATGTTTATTGTCCGTTGGGGCTGCGCCCTACAGTAGACGATACGTGTCATACGTACTTCCGCTTCCCTCATGATTGCTCTACGCCTGCATCCGATCAGCGCTGTCCAGATGACAAACTTCCCGCTCTCAGGCTGTGCCAGATTCAATCGTTCTTCGCCTGTTTGTACATACCGGTCTCAAGAAGCCTTCCTCCAAATTAAAAGACCCTTTGATCAACGCACTGTTCGTTTTTTTATTGCCTGAGTCATTACATTACTAATCTCCGTTCGTCTTAATCGGAGCTTGCTCTTCAGTGTTCGTATTCATCAGCCAAGCACCAATCGCATCCTATCTGTCACCAAATCAGAACCTTCGCCATATATTCTCTGAAGGCTAGCAAGTGGGAAGTAATGCATATGAGTCGAGCTTTCCCACTAGGTATTCCGTGGTCTTACCACGAGAGCCGTGATACAAAAATCTATCTGACCCACATTTTACATTCTGAACCAACTAAATAAAGCATAAACCGTTTGGGCACCACGCGTTTGGGCACCACGCTGGTACTATTTATGCGGTGGGAAAGCACAAGTCAAGTGGGTACTCTATCATCAGAATGACTGATAGCTGATTATGTGTTCACATCCTAGCCTTCTGTCGTTGTTGTACTATCACAAGGTGTAATTCGATTGTTCGTTCAGTGCTTTAAAGGTCACACCCAGTGTCATTTATATCTCGACACCCGTGCTATACTCGCCTTCACCTTCACCTGGTGTACGGCCATGACTTCAGAAGACCTTCATGCAATCTCCGCTGACTGGCTCAAAAGGCTAGATAACGCGTCATCTACCGGAGATGTTAAATCATTTGTCAGCCATTTCCTTTCGGACGGGTGGTTCAGAGGTCAGCGTTGGTCCAAGCGGCTGAGCTGCGTTAACAAGTACTGTCAGATCTTCTTTGTTTTTCTTGGAATTTCAGAACGCTATCAGGACCGGAAAAAATCCACGGATTTCTTTCGGAGGTGGTTGATGGAAAGTCGCGGCTGGAATATTCTGGTCTTCGTGACTTCAAGCTAGACGATCACACCGTCAATGCTCCTTCACCATTCAAATTACCAGGTCCGCGAGGGATTGAAGGAGTACAAGGTGCTTTCACCTTCAGCATTACAAAGCCGGCTGCACTCGGGCGCGGCTTCTTTCGTCTCACGCAAGATATCGATGGAAACTGGAAGGCTTTAACTCTTTTCACAAACATGCAGGACCTCGTGGGGTTCGAGGAATCCTCCACAGACCGACACGGCCTATATGAGGGTCGACAAATTACCTGGGAGGAGGACGTCGATGCAAAATTCCGTGCCATAGAGGCGGACCCCACAGTGTTAATTGGTGCGCTCTGTTTATCTGATTACCTGTGACGATCTGACAAGTCATAAACAGTTGGTGGTGGACAATCCGGCCTTACGTGTGCAGCGCGGTTGGGGAGGTTGGGCATCCGTACACTCGTAATCGAGAAACATACGCGTATTGGAGATTGCTGGCGACAACGGTATGCACAGAAATAAAGATCGTCCTCATTATTGAATAGACGCGAAATACAGATACCCGAACCTTACGTTGCATACTCCCGCATATCAAAGCTCCAGTATGTCTTATAATCATCTTTCTGCGAGCTTTGAACTAATTTATGACCTGCACAGTGCTTTACAGTCCCTATCCGTAGGTACATTTGGCAGTTCAAAGGTATTGGTTATCTCAATAATACTAGGACAAACTTCCCCAAGTACATTCCTAAGGGGAAACTTGCTAATTTCGTGGAGTCGTACGCTGTTAATCAGGAATTATGCATCTGGCTCTCGAGTATCGTCGCCTCAACTCCAGTGTACGACTCGTCATCCGCAAGATGGACTGTTGAAGTACAGCGTGGAGACCGGAAAGTAATCTTCAACCCAAAGCACCTGATACTTGCCACAGGAGGCGGGAGGCCTCATATTCCCACTTGGGATGGAATGTATGACTTTCGAGGAGCGTTGTATCATTCCGACTTCCATACAGATGCAGAGCAGTTCCGAGGCAAACGCGTTGTCGTTGTGGGTGCGGTCAGTCATATGCGAGCATTTATTGCTTGCACGTACTCACGAGACCGATAGGGCAACGCTAGTGGGGACATCTGTCAAGATTTTGTAGCACACGGTGCCGCTGAGGTGTGTGTTTGGCTGAAACAGATCATGGTCGTATTTCATATGACAAACAGGTAATAATTGTCCAAAGAAGCGCTACCTGCGTTGTATCCTCTTCCGCAGCAGAGGAAACCCACTTCAAGCTGCCTTTTTCTGACAACAACCCTATCGAAGAACTAGATTTCCGCACCAATTCACTGCCTTTAGCCTTCCTTCTGCAACTGATGAAATCAGGCGGGACACAACACGTGAAGATGCTCGACAAGGAACTCCACGAAGGTTTGCGCAAGGCTGGATTCAACTTAACTTGGGAACTTTCGCCCGGCGGTGGTGAGGTTGGGCTGGAAGGGTTTTTATTTAGCCGCGCTGCATCAGGAACTAGTGCGTTCGTATTTGTTGCTGAAATGGATGACGTTTCAAACACCCTACAGTGCTCGACATAGGCTGTGGTAAGCTAATCGTCGAAGGCAAAGTCAAGGTCTGACCCTGTATTAATTGTTGAGAGCCACGTCTGACAACTGCGACACACTCGTAGGTAAAGCAAGGTCAAGACATCAGTCACTTCGACGAAGACGGGATCAAGTTTAAAGATGGATCTAAGCTCTCAGCAGATGTTATCGTCCTAGCGTATGGCTGACTCGCGGCTTCTCGTTTATCTTTCTCAAGTATGGTGCAGTACAGGAAACGAACCCGTCATGAAGGGCACCAGAGCTCTTCTTGGCGACAAGATTACCGAACAACTTCCGCCTAAGGTGTGGGGCCTTGACTCAGAGGGAGAACTTAATCAGACGTATCGACCCTCTGGACATCCGGGACTTTGGTTCGCTATCGGTCCATTTGGAGTCTCGCGATTTTTCAGTAAACACTTGGTGAGCCTTCCTTCGTCGGTCCATATGTCTTCTGCTCAATACGATGATACAGGGTCTCCAGATCTTGGCACGAGAGCTTGGCATAGCATGAACGCTATAAATATACAAGTGATTGCCGCTGCGCGGTCCGTCTTGTCAAGGAGGATCAATCGATTCTATTCAATATTTGCTTCTACTACTAAGTAACAATTCATGATATCATAAGCAGCCGCGTGTCTGATATCTTTACTCACACTTAAGAGGGTGTCAAGCAGTCGCTGCTTCGCGAGGTAGAGAAATGTAAGTCCATGCTTATCTCCAGACTGTCTCGTACCAAAGCATTCGAATCAGCCGAACGCACATGTGGTTTGAGTCCATTCATTCCGCATCCCTGTTGCCCGAGGACTAGAGCCGTGGTCCTAAACTTCTCCAATACATGTGCTATGCTGTTATGAGTGCCCGCGGGGAATTATCCCTACCCCCAACAAACTCTTTGATGCCGTATACACTTCAGCAATGTTGAAGTCATGGGCACTCCCATATTTCGCTGCGCAGGTGTTCTCTCTTTGGAGTACTGAATTTTATGGTGGCGAACTCATCTACACTCGTGATGGGGGGCTAGAAAAAACACACGTCGATAAAGCACATTCTGATGTCAAGCAGCGCCAACGGAGGTCATAGCCCGATACCTTCACACCTCTATTTTTTCTCTGCTTCTGTCACACTTCTCTTGACCTCTTGTATTTCACGTATGTCATCTCTCGCACATTTCTCTACGTAGCATTTTGTTCGTTTTTCGCATGTCATTTGTATCTTGCACGGCTCTCCGCATTCCCAGTTTGACCTCCATACGTTGTCTCTCGCACGTTTGTGGCATATCCCGCACGTCTCTCAGCCTCCCATCCACATCCCGGACGCAAATTATATCATATATGTATTCTATTCGTCTTATCAGTCAATACGTATTATTACAATTCAATGTTTTGGCCTCATGGCGCACAATATCATTTGGCTCGTTGAAATTCATGTTATTTCGTGCACACTCGACGGGTTTCTTGGGGAGTAGCCAGTAGAGCTTTGCGATGAATTTAAAGGATCACGTATTTGGATGCAGTGGTGCACGTCCTACAAAGTTATCTTGAATACAAGTACGGTATCATCACACCTGCACATGAAGCACAACCAGGGTACAAGAGATATTCTCTTCAATAAGATGCGAGTGCCTTTTACGTTTTACGGTGCTGTCACCTCACTCTCGACGCTCAGTAATCAATGTCTTCCAAGTTTCCGCCAGATATGTCTAGTCAAGCCACCATTCAGTGAGAGATCGAGGTGACCGATACATGGACGCACCTCATCGTTCGTGTCCCTCAGGCTCGGCCTTTCCAACATGGCCTGCGCATACTTCATAAATTTGGCATACTTGGGCCCTTTCAACTCTTCCCCGAGTTTGATACCCTGCCCCACCGGGAACGCTCCGATGTCAGTCTCATAGGTGACCTTCAACCTCGAAAGGAGCGGCGCAATGCATGCGTCGGCAATGGTATAACAACCTCCGACGGCGAACTCGCCACTCTCCGACAGAAGCCCCTGGATTATTTCGACCCCTTTGAGATACCCGTCATAAGACTCTGTGCGACCGTACATCCACTCGTTACCTGGCTTATCAAAGTGGCGGTCCACGGTGTCCATGAAGAAAAGTACTTTAGCGCGCTCTACAGGGTCCTTGGGAAGTAGTCCGGACTCTGGGTAGAGCTCTGCGATGAATTGGAGGATCACGTTGGACTCTGCAAGTTTGAATGATAGAGGGGATGGGTCCTTGGGGTCGACGTCTGGACCACCGTAGGTGATTGTGGGTACCTGGATCCGAGGTAGGCGATAATCAAGTTGGAAAATTGGTGCGGACCTTGCCAATGGGGTTCACTTGAGCAGCGAACCACTTGGGTTTATTGAAGAGGTCGACTTGGTAAGCCTTGTACTCGATGTTTGCTTCCGCAAGTGCCAGCTCGATCTACAAGCAATGTTAATGACGAGCACCAGATCTTGAAGTGCACACTGACTCTGTGGCTGTAGGGAGAAAGCTGTGTTACCATAATTCCATTAGAGCGATTCTAGAGAACCTATGTAGTTGTCACTTCACCTTGTGTAAGTACAGAGTCAGTTGTTCAGGCATATTGAATTCAATTATCAGTGGTACCTTATCCGATTGATGCTTCAGCTTTTAAAGCATGCCGGGTTGAAGTTTTGTCATGTTTGCTAAGGACGCGTTCGTATCAAGGTTTCGGAAGACGCGTTCTTCTGATCTTTATCAGCACAGCACGTCGCGGTGCCTTTAGCCCCTATTCATTGTTGCTATGACTGCGCGTGTATCGAGTCACTCTTGTCATCTTAGCGAAGCGCGCCCAATCACGATTCACCCCTATTGATCGCAGCTTGTTTACGCAGTTTGAGTCATGAAGTTAGATGTGACCCACAGATCATATCGGAACTCTTCCAAGGTCAGTAAGGCTCATTGTTTGAAGGGCGGTGTTCTCATAAGTTGGGAATTAGAGTGCTTGTCCTGAATAGGGAGGTCTGTAAGGCGCAAAGTCGAACGGCATTGAATAACTCGATGATAATAAATATCCTCAATAAGTCGATGAGTCGTGCGGTGCAGCGGATCTCAGAATGATAGAAATGAATGAGCATAGCCTTTTTGTATGTCGCTGTACGCGCGCTACTATGCAGTGACAATGAACGGGAACTGATTCCCGATGATAGCGAATTGGTTACAATGCGGTTCGTGTAAACAGATCTTATGTCCAACAGAGAAACTAGTGCTGTAGATTAGCAATGACTTAGTGAGAACATTCATAGAAGATACTCGACGACATGCATGCATTAATATTGTACTTTTATGGGACCTTAGAATATCATCCAGCACCGTCTGAAACAATGGTCGAGACGGAATGAGCGAAGGAGTTTATCTCATGCTGCTGCTGCAACCGCCGCCGCCAATGGCTCAGTTATAGTAAGCTTCTCAAGAGCATCCTCGAATTGGTCGGCGTCGCTGTCGTCATCTTCCTCGTCGTCTTCTTCACTTTCCTCCGACGCAGACCCCTCGTCATCCGGAGGTTCGTCTTCGAAATCAAGCTGGCGCTCCTGTTAGTACATATCGCTGAAGAGAATCAGCACAACCTACTGGATCATAGACCACTCTAATGATTAGGCTGCAGCTTGGACACGTCGCGATATCCTCGCAATTGGCAAGCTGCTTGCGAGAGATCTCGAAGCGGTCGCCGCAGGGACAAGGATAATGATAGACGCCCTTTACCTCATCCCATACCATATCTTCAATTTCGATCTCGTCGTAGTAAGCCCCCATGATGGTTGCTTGATAGCTAGTCGATTAACTTGCGGCGAGTTTGTGAAACAGAACTGAGAAGATGGCAGAAATGCCGCTCTATCATAAGCCCACGTGACATTTGTTACTATGGTCAAGTTTGTTCCCGCGTCAGAGCGGTAATGACGAGGTCAGTCGTTCAAGTGATGGGATTTTTTTTCCCTTGCGCCATACGCGCGCCGCATAAAGGACTCGACCCTACTCGACCTACGTAATCTTGACTCGGTCTTGATCAACTTATGCATCACAGTGCCACAACATCGATGACGCAAACTTGGTATCAGCAGCGCTCGGCAGTCGTCATGATCATGAATTGCATAGTGGTGTGTTTTTGCAGTGTTGGTCTTGACATAGTTGCATTTACCTTACCTATTTCTTTGCATTAGTATGATACTATAGCTCGTAGAGATGAGCATGAGCCAAGGACTTGGGAACAGTCAAGGACGCACAAGTTGGATAGAGATCAAGGGGTGCTTGCAGGTGTCGCATACAGATGTTGACTGTTGCGTGGGCGAGGTGAGTTACCAGTTTGCTGCGTTTGAATTTCCCATGGGCAGTCACACACCTACATGGGTAGGCCTGAGGTAGGCTCGTGTAACGTGTTAGATTCATGACTACATGATGGAACTCGGGAATGTTATTCATCCCCGTAATATAAATTTCGCGATGATACAAGCGCCAGATGGTGGTATGCATGCCATTGTTATGCTCCGCCGAGTTCGCCACTCGCTGACGCAAAACCCTTGAATGTGATCAGATGTGACCCTAGTCTCAAATGATCTTAGCTGGTGGCCGGTCATCGCAAACTTGTTCCATGTGGCCTGATAATGTTGGGTATGCTCAAATTTTGATAATCTCATCTCCGCGACTTTCGTAATGTCATGTCCGCGGCCAAAAGTGACATTTTCTTCTGATGTGATCAGAAGCGAGGACACTCAAGAGGACAAAAAATTGTCGGATCAGGGGCGACCACCGAGGGACGTCCAGGGGTGTGGGGCGACTACACCCCTTCGCCGTTCGGGGCACGACCGGAAAATCTATCTGCTGACAATCAAGAAAAACTGTTCATATTCTCGACGCTCGTTTGATTCTCGCCCAACCACCGCACGACAGCACATCGACGTTTCTCATTAGTACCTATTGCTAATACTGTCAGGATGACATCTGAATCCGAGCCTCGAACACTTCATAAAGAAGAGGCCACCCTCCAGGAGGACAAAGTCTCAGTTGTGTTGGAAGGTGGTCGGATTGCTTGGGCCACTGCTTTTGGATCGTGAGAAATTCGAATTTGGACAGAGCAACTGGTTCTTACTCGAAGTTCTACTTAGGTTCCTTGTACAGTTCTGCGGGTTGGGGTGAGTCTGGTGCCGGCGTTGGCAAGGAATGGCTCTGACTGAAGTTTAAAAGTTATACCACTTCATTTGGGATCTATCAAGGTAAGTTGTTGCACATGAAAGCGAGCATGGAACATTCAGGGTCTTCACCCTCCAGACTTCTATACCCAGCATTACCTCACAAATGAGACATCATCTGCTATATCGTGAGTTTTTACTTGCATTTTCATCGCGGATATCCTCAAGGTATCGTGTAGATGGATCGGGAGCTTGAATGCGTTTTTAATCGATGCCGTGGGCCTTGTATCAGGTTCACTATATGATAGAGGATATTTGTGAGTGTAACTTTGTGGGAGGTTCTCGACGACGTTCAGCAATCTTAACTAGTTACCATCTCATGATTTCCGGCTCACTTCTGCAGAGTTTCTCTCTATTCATGTTGTCTTTGTCAAAACCCGATCAGTACTACCAGGTAACGTCACTCCCCGACTTTATAATCTCATTTTCTGACTTAGTTTAGATATTCCTCTCTCAAGGCTTAGGCTTGGGTGTCGCGACGGGGCTTATGTATATCCCAAGCATGGCTATCGTCTCGCATCATTTCCAAGAGAGACGCACACTAGTTATGACGTTCGCCGCTTCGGGCTCGTCGCTGGGTGCCATCATCCATCCGATTATACTCAATAACCTCCTGAAAGACCCTGTTGGCTTCGCCAATGGCGTCCGTGCAAGTGCAGGGTTCGTCAGCGCACTCCTTTTAATCGCATGTTTGTGCATGCGAACTCGCCTTGGTTCGCTGCCGACACCGGTGAACTATATTGCGGCAGCTAGAAAATGTATTCGTGATGTACCGTTTACTTTCATGATGGCAGGGTGAGATCTGCAATATAACTTCTCGAATTCCTGCAAATAACCATCCTGCAGGAGCTTCCTTTTCCAGATCGGCTTCTTCTACCCGTTATTCTTCTTTCAACTGGACTCTATTAAGCATGGTAACAATATTACCTTTTCATCTTATTCTGTAGGTTCAAGTACTGCGCAAGCGATCTTTCTGCTGACAAGACCCCTAGCTAGTGATTCTAAATGCGTCTAGTTGTATAGGACGAGTCACATCAGGGTTTATTGCGGCGTTCACAGGGGTCCCGAACTTAGCCATCATCGCGACAATTTCGTGCAGCATGCTCATCTTGGGCATGATTGGGTTGAGTAGTATGGCCAGCGTCGTTGTTCTTTGCATACTTTATGGCTATTGTTCAGGGCTGTGTAAGTAGTCTTTTTCCATCGTGTTTCAGATGGGTTCATCAGCCATGCAGTCATTGCGATCGGGGGACCACTGATGGCTGCTTTAACGCCAGACCTTTCCGAGCTTGGGTGAGTGGTAGTTTCAATTTGGATGTACGAACAACCTGATCTGGATCGTAGTGCGCGAATGGGCATCGCTCTCTTCAGTGTTGGTGCGTATTGTCATATTATAATTACTTGTATATTGTTCAAACTCGCACGCGGTTACTGTGCAGGATTTGGAAGTTTGATTGGTAGGTACAGTTGTGTCGTTTTTGCTTCAAATTCTAAGCCTTTATCTAGGAACCCCCTTATCTGGCGCTCTGCTGACATCTAATTATACCTGGTGGAAATCATCTCTGTTCTCTGGGGTGAGTTGACCACGACTACCGTTTTCTCTATAATTCAAGTCAAGTCCAATTAACTGGATAATAGATTGTTTCACTGGCTGGTGGCATGATGTATGTCATCATGCGATTTACGTTTGTGAGAAGGCAGATCGAGGATAAACGTATTGGTCAACTTGACATATAATCATTAAAAAACCAGCCAACTCCCTCTAAGTAATATGTGCCTGTATTTGCTGTGTTGCAGTTCTCCGAATCATTCCATGATTTGAATATTAATGCAAATGTGTTATCAGAAGGTTCAGCACTTAGTGCTGAGTGCTGAATCTGCTGATAGCAGCGCTCGGCGTGACTCGTCCTATAAAACTGGATGCATTTTAAATCACTAGCTAGTGATCTTGTCAGCAGGCAAATCGCTTGCGCAGTACTGGCACCCACAGAGTAAGATGTAAAGGTAACGCTGATACCATGTTTAACAGAGTCGAGTTGAAAGAAGAATCTCGGGCAAAAGAAGCCGGTCTGGAAAAGGAAGCCCCTGCAGGATAGTCTTTTGGAGGAATTCGAGAAGGTGTGTTACATGTCTCACCCTGCCACCATGAGAGTATATGGTACATCACGAAGACAAGTCAGAAAATGAGATTATAAAGTCGGGGAGTGACGTTACCTAGTAGTACTGATCTAAAGACATCATGAATAGAGAGAAACTCTGCAGAAGTGATCCGGCAATCATGAGATGGTGGCTACTTAAGATTGCTGAACGTCGTCGAGAGCCTCCAACAAAGTTACAGTCACAAATATCTTCGATCAAATAGTGAACCTGATACAAGGCCCACAGCGCTGATTAAAAATGCATTCAAGCTCCCGATCCATCTACACGATACCTTGAGGATATCCGCCATGAAAACGCAAGCAGAAACTCACGAAATGGTAGATGTCTCATTTGTGAGGTAATGCTGGGTATAGAAGTCTGGAAGGTGAGGACGTTGAATGTTTCATGCTCACTTTCATGTGCAGCGACTTACCTTCATAGACACCAGATGAAGAGGCATAACCTTTAACCTTCAGTCACAGATCCATTCCTTGCCAACACAAGCACCAGACTCACCCAAACCCGCAGAACTGTACAAGGAACCTAAGTAGAACTTCGAGTAAGCACCAGCTTCTCAAATTTCAGGTTTCTTACGATCCAAAAGCAGTAGCCCACGCAGCCCGTCGGCGTGCTGTCATGCGGTGATTCCGCGAAAATCAAACAAGAATGTGAATATTGTTTTTCTTGATTGCCAGCAGATGGTTTTTCGGGCCAGGCCCCGTAGTCGACGTTGGAGTGGGGCACCCCCTAGTGGCAGGAGGATTGCAGGAGCGGAGGTTTGCGGAGGTTTGGAAGCATTAGTCATCACTTAGAAGACCAATAGAGACACAGCGGAGACAAAGACAACAACATAGAAGTTCATCACTCGCAGCACATTGGCTGGAGCTACTGCTCCACCGTGCCCGTGACGCGAATGTGACGCGCTTTGACGCGGCACTTTAGGACACTTTCAGCTGCGTCAAACCCGCCACTCCCACCGACGCGGCATTGATGCGGCAGGCGCGTCACGATCGCGCCATTCTCACCTGACAGGCTACGCCCCTGGACCTCCCTGACCCGGCGACTCTTTTGTCCTGTCGAGTGTCCTAGCTTCTGATCACATCAGACCGTTTGGTACGCAACTATCCATGTTGATTTACGTAAACCAGCGTTCAACAAATTGCTCACTCCTATCTGGTAAGGTCAGTTGACACTCTTTGCACTCATTGCAAGGTGTCAAACGATGGGCGGAACATATAGATTTGGTTCAAGGCATCCGTGTTGGTGAAGAGGTCGGTCTGAAATGGGGACATAGGGGGTGAATGAACGCAACCAGCAATGAGGTAAATCTGAAGGTAATCAACTTAAATGTGGAGACGCACTACACACCGCATCATCTGATGACGAAGGGACCAATCACTTGGAGGGCATCTAAGAAGATCGGCAAAGGCTCACCAGGCATCAGTTGAAATGACGTGACAATGTTCGAATCACGTAGCTTTTGAGAGAAAACAGGCGATTCTATCCTTTAACCTGCAGCACGCCGATCATTCGAGCACTGGCTCGCTTCTTGAATAAAGGAAACACATACACGGTGTGAGTAAATGTCTCGGTCTCGGATACACGGTGCGAGTAGATAAATCAATAACGAGTCGTGTAGTTAGGAAAGAATGGACGTACCCTCAGCTTCGGATAGAAAAAGGTAGCTATATACGACAAGTAAGAATGGACGAGCGTAAGGTAAATTGTGGGCTACTGATGTCCGACATTGAAGGTGACTGGAAATAAGATATCTACACACCACAACCCCATCATACGAGAAACAAAGGACCACAACTCACCAGTATCCATATTCAAACCATGGCACGATTCGGCGAACTATAATGCAGCCAAACACAGGCACATGTTAAAGCAGCTTCCATGGGTGTCAGTCTACAGGCTGGTTATCTACTCGTATGTCAAGTTGGGTAATGTGCTTGTCCTGGATCTGCTTTCTGACAAACGCAAATCGCATGATGATATACATCATGCCACCAGCCAGCGAAACGATCTGTTAACCAGTTAATCCACGTACGTATATTTGGAGAAAACGGTAGCCACGATCAACTCACCCCAGAGAACAGAGATGGTCTCCACCAGGTATAATTAGATGTTAGCAGAGCTCCGGATATGGGGGTTCCTAGATAAAGTGTTGGAATGTGAAGCAAGAAATGACACGACTGCGCATACCAATCAAACTTCCAATTCCTGCAGTGATTGCGTGCGAGTGAACATAGAAGTAATTGCAATCCGAAAACACCCACCACCAATAGAGAGAGCGATGCCCATCCGCGCGCTATGATCCAGATCAGATTGTTTGTACATCCGAACTTAAATTATGACTCACCCAAGCTCAGAGAGGTCGGGCGTTAAAGTAGTCGTAAGTGGAGCCACCATCGCAATGTCTGCATGTTTGATGAAACTTTTCATCCTAGTGGGAAGAAAACTACTCACACAGCCCAAAAAAATAGCCATAAAGAACGCCAAGAACAATGACGCTGGCGAGGCTACTCAGACCAGTCAAGCCCAAAATGACCACACCGCATGAAATTGTCGCAACTATGGTTAGGTTTGGGACTCCCGTGAATGCCGCAATGAACCCTGATGTGATTCGTGCCACAAAATTGGACGCATTTAAAATCACTAGCTAGTGATCCTGTGAGTAGGCAAATCTCATGCGCATGGCTGGAACATACAGAGTAAAATGAAAAGGTGGTGCCGAGACCGTGCTTGATAGAGTCAAGTTGAAAGAAGAATATCGGATAGAAGAAGCCAATCTGGAAAAGAAAGCTCCTGCGGATAGTTATTTAAAGGAATTCACGAGAAGTCATGTTATAGGTCTCACCCTACTGTCATGAAAATAAATGGTACATCACGGACACATTTTCTAGTTGCCGCAATATAGTTCACTGGTATCGTTGGTGGATCAAGGCGGGTTCGCATGCACAGACATGCAATTAAAAGAAGCGCGCTGACCAAACCTGCGCTTATACGAACACCGTTGGCGAAGCCAACAGGACCATTCAGGAGGTTATTGAGCATAATCGGATGGATGATAGCACCCAGCGACGAGCCTGAAGCGGAAAACGTCATCACTAGTGTCCGTCTCCGGCGGAAATGGTGGGAGATGACAGCTATGCTCGGGATATATATCAGTCCCAACGCGATGCCCAAGCTTAAGCCTTGAGAGAGGAATATCTAAACTAAGTCAGAAAATGAGATTATAAAGTCGGGGGATTACCTGGTAATACTGATCGGGTTTTGACAAAGACAACATGAATAGAGAGAAACTCTGCAGAAGCGATCCAGCAATTACGAGATGATAGCTAGATAAGCTTGCTGAGTATCCCAAGGATCTCCGACAAAGTTATGCTCACAAATATCCTCGGTCATAAAGTGAACCTGATACAAGGCCCACGGCGGTCATTAAAAATACATTCAAGCTTCCGATCCATCTACGCGATACTTTGAGGATATCCGCCATGAAAACGCAAGCAGAAACTCACGATATAGCAGATGTCGTCTCATTTGTGAGGTAATGCTGGGAATAGAAGTCTGGAGGGAAGTAAATGTTCAATGTTAAATGCTCGCTTTTATGCGTAGCAATACCTTGGTAGACACCAAATGAGGTGACATAACTTTGAACTTTCAGTTACAGTCATTCTTCGCCAATACAAGCACCAGACGCACCCGAACCCGCAAAATTGTACAAGAAACCTAAGTAGAACGAGTAAGAACCAACTTCACCGCCCTAATTTTAGTCTTCTTACGATCCAAGAGCAGTGGTCCATGCTACCAAACCACCTTCGGGAAACTCGTCCGGGTGTGGGGGAGGGTCACAACTTATGGCAATTTGAAATCCTTCCAATAATATCTCTGAGCGCTCTTTGTGCTCCTGAGGCCTGAGGGCACCCCCTGCCGTATGAAGTGTTCGAGACTCGGATTTGACAGACGCCATGAGCCAGTGAGCTGGGAGAATTGACGGATTGCGAATGTAAAGGGCAGAAGGCTTATATATTGACCTATGTCCGTCAAGTCGCGTCAGCACTGATGGGACACGTCAAGTCAATGTCACTCTTGACATAAGGCGGGCCCGGATCCGGGTCATCGCTTTTGTTGACACCCTAAATTTATTTTAAGTAGTAAGTATACTTACTCAGAGCAGTACTTGGGATGAAATCCTACATTCACCTGTGCATGCGCAATAGGCTCAGCAGTCTGAGGATCCGGAGGTTTTGACGGACAATGTGTACAGAAGCTTTCAAGGCCTAAAGGCCTAACCTTAATGTTGTTCATTTTCCGACCTGATAGGGAGTTAGGCCCGTGACCAGCCCCATCTCAAATTGACGCATAGTCAAGACTGGTTACGAGTCTGATAGGGAGTGACCAGTCCCCTGTTACTCATCCGAAATATTTTGGTTCCGTAACTTTACTTTCATCCGAGCAGCAGATATCGTAATATTAATATTACTCCTTCAAGCCCATGCAAGACCCCGAGGAGCCCATCCACGCTCAACTCAACTATTTTGCAATTTTCACTTACCTGAATCCTGATGCCTTTACCCTCGCTAGCGTTAGCTTGTAGATTCTCGATTAGATCTGACGCCCCTCCCATCAAGTCAATCCACCGTGGTCGTTGCGATACAACATCTTCGAGATCAGCCATCATACGACACCAAACCCGACTCTGTGGCATTCATGCCCTCGCTAAACTACCCAGTGTTGCCACTCTTGCAGTAGAGTACTCAACGTGCTAACTTCTCAGTTGATCTCGAGTGGGAGGAATATGCGGGGAATGTACTCGATAATCCATAACACGTGAACCCGAAGTCAATGCTGAAGTGAGAATGCTGGTTCCGGGATTACACTAGAACTGGGCGCAAGCTGCGAGTCAGACGCACGTGCAGTGGCGGTCGTGGCGCTGACTGGTGCTAGCTGATGGGTTCGGGTTGAGTCTCGACAGACGGAGAGGAGAGATGAGGTTGAAACTCGCATGCGAACATCGCGAAGCTTGCGTTGCCCTGCGAGGCGCCAATGTGTGGTACGGAGTGGTGAGATGCCGGGGTTGATGAAAGGTCTTCCGCTGTTGTCGTATGAGTATTGGCGCAGAAGCATAGAACCCATCTTTTTGTACGAGGGGAGGCGGATGGTCACCCTCGCATGGTATGTAGCTCGCTTTGACTTGCTGTCGACGACTGACTCGTATTTTGCAGCTCAATGTCAGGATGTTTCCGCATCTATCCATATGCATATGGCATTGCAGATTACTTGCAGCGCTGAGAACTTTCGTTGAATGTTGATATGCTCTCCCATATTTTGATGCATTGCGCTAACGAGCGTCGCGGGTTTAGAGGTAAGTACACTTAAGTCTTACACCCGTGAAGCCTTCGTGGTGATGGCTAAATAGTAGATAGTACATATTTCACGACAACGATCTCACGGAGATTTATCCTTTTTACTGACTCCCAGTATGTGTGTTTCTTACCTAGGTGCAGTTGTCAGCGCTGATAGCCTATTCATAGTTGCAAACCACCAGCCTGACGCAGTCCTCACATGATGATGCATTGCGCCGACTTCCTCCCAACCCACATCATTGCACCCTACTTCGACGGCTCTATCTCAGATCCCACGTCTCGTTTGACCCTATTTTCGACAACTCTGTGGTTTAGTTGATACCGTTTATCTGACTTGTTCATCGCTGTAGCATAATACGATTTGGAACATAGCTAAGTATCTAATACAAATTATCTCAAGGCGCTGCTTGGGATCAGCGAGTTATTGTGGATGACGCGTGTCCCCGTGTCTTAGTACATCTCCCGCACAGACAAGAACAGGATGGCGTCGTTGTGATGGACAGACTCGGCCCATGAAACAGGTCTGGCTGGCCTCTGAGATTGGTGTGAGTATGTACATCATATGGGACTGGGGTCATCGAGTTGTTCGAATGAATGTAGAAGGTGGATTTTGTGGCGTAGGTGCTTCGAATGCATATTCCGCACTGTGGAGCGTGAACCGTCTGATATACATGCTCTGTGTCAATAAATATTGTTCGACTCTCATGAGGTGACGGGGGTCATTGAATGGCTGTACACGCAGTTTGAATTGTACCTTGAAGTGATGCAATTTCAGGGACCCGAAAAAGTTTGGACGAGTACTTGAGAGGAGATTGTAGACTCCTGATAGGCAAAACCCTTAGCAGCCTTAGTAGTAGTATTCCACGACTCGTCGGATCACGGTTTGTTGTTTCCGCTACGGCAGTAGTGGGTTTGTTGTGTCATGCTCGAAAAAACCTCTTTCAATTTTTGGCAGAGAAATCCATTAACCCCGGCCCTAAACATGTTTGTCATGTCTGTTTGTGGTGTTTGGTTCGCACGGCTCTGAACGATCTGCACACATCGATCTGATTTGTCAGTCTTCGACTGCTTATGTCTTCTTACAAAGTTCTCGGATCTTTTTATCCCTGCTGTTATTCGTATTGATGATGCTTCGACCGTATCGTTGTCTTTTCTGCATGATTGCTAATGTTCCACGAACCGTCGCCGATCATCACGGGGTGGCTGTAGAGTCCACTCTTGGGCCGGCGCGCGTTCCTACCGTCGACGGTTGGTACAATTCCCGACAGACCTTTCGACCCGTCTATCTGAGCGGATGCGACGTCGAGCTTGGTCGTGATCGGCTCGCGTTTGTGAATGCGAAGTTCGATGTCGGTTCCAAAGACCTTCAGACACGGTTTGTTATATATCAACATCTATATAGATCATCAGACGGTCTTGCGCACTGTTACACTTTCTCCTGGTTCGATTCGTGGCCTCCACCCGGTATAGTATGGGCGTAAGCGCGCGAAAGGAATCAATGTACTACTAGGCTACTTACGGCCAACATCCACTACGTCGGTCCTGCGGAGACCCGCTGATAACACACGAATAGAGCGTATTTGCAGTGCCCAAAATCAAAATCTCTGCTCCACCCATTCAACGGACTTTGCCGGAGCTATCTCGGCAGGTTACATACATCGTGTTGCTGTTACCACATGTTCTGTAAAATACATAGCGAGAATCCAAGTCAATGTCCAGTGCTGCTGCTGATGCTGATAGAGTCTCTGAATGCTTAACAGCTCAGCTTCGAGAACAGCAGCGCCAGGAAAAGCCAAGGCCTGAACAAGGTGGCCACCATATCACCATTAAGTGGCTTCATGACACAGGGAGTGTCTAGCATTTTCGGTAACTACTATGTTCTGGTCTTAAAATACATTATATAAATGATGTCATTGTAGTTTCACCTTTTTCGAGCTTTGTGATTTAGTGCAAGCTCTGCAAATCCCAGATAGCTTTTCAACATCATATATTCTGAAGCTGGTGTTTGCACTCCAGAAGAGCATGACTTTAACTCGAGGATGTCTGCAGTACAGATCAAGGTTGAACACGGCTTTGGCAATGGCACACTTGCATGTAAACTTGCCGTTGCAAATACGCTCTAATAAAAGCTAAAAGACATCACCGAGGACCAGTACTCAGTAAGGATACTAAAATTTTACTGTTGCCAAAACACCAACTCGGTATGCAATATTTCCTCAGACCTTGGTCTCACAACACTACATTCCATTCGTATATCTCCCTCAAACAAAATCCACCAATGTAACTTGCCAAACAGTCCTTCGCAACCTCGGATCCTGCGAAGAGCGACTTTGCGCGCTTCTAATACAAAGTCTCCCCGACAGCTCGTCCCAATCCTGCACTATTCGAGTGCTCGCAAATGGGCGTGGGTCTGAGGTCTTAGTTTCCTGGAAGTCCATAAGTACACGACCTTCACAGCGGTCTTTTTCTGGGACTGCGGTCGTCTCGATAGCCATTTGCCAGGGACTTGTTTGCTCTTTCTGGCTGGGACATGGACGAAAGCCAGAATATGCGCTGCGCTGCGAACAAACACGGCCACTGCGAGCTTTGTGGACGCGGAGGCTTAAACTGGAACGAAAGGTGAGTCCACTCTCAAGAGCCGAAGCTTGTATAACAGAGCTCACAGTGTACTTCTCGATGACGTGGGCATTAGGTTCCGAGTCATCGAGGTCAGGTCGTATGAACCGGATCTGACCATCGTACAAAGACACTACAGCTCCCTCATGAAACATTTTTATGATGCGTCCGAATGTCACAGCAACGGGGCGAAGCTGCCAGAATGGTGTAAGTAATGGGGGATTTGCATCGGAGCCACTGGGTACGGTGGAGGTGATATTATACGCAGCCATCAATCGCGTGCTGACGAGCAAAATACGCGGAACCCGACCGGATAGACGCAGGTCGTACCGTATCTATACAAATCAATCAATACATTCCGATGATTTTTTTCGTCTCCGTACTTACGCGCAATTTGCCGTTGTGTCCTCTGGGACAGTCAATTTCAACAGTCATATCCTTTCGAAAACCGTCGTAATTCTCATTCAGCTGCATGATACGAAGGAGATGCCTCCTGTCAGAAGTAATCCAGCCGTAAACGATATAGTCTCCTGCTGCTGCATAGTTGCGCACAAATACTTTTGTGCGAAGAATGAGGGGTATCCTTATTGAGGGCGACTTTGTGTCCAGATGTACAATTCCGAAGGCGTTAGATCTACTAGACTTCATGAGTACCGGGAATTAGGCTTTGAAGATAAATCGCACCCGTCATTGCACTTGGTTCGTAGTAGCATGAGATCATCGCCACGGGACGACTTGTACGGACCGTCTTGGTCGAGAAAGGGGAGCCAGCACATCTCGCTTTGAAAGGTCGTAGAGGCAGTGGGAAGGTCATTCACACCAGATCCCGTGCTTGCTCTGATCAAGCACAGGTTGGAGTGTCGAGAAGGGTTGAGATTTCGACAGTGAAAGAGCAACACTAGCCATGTACCACCCGGAAGAAATTTGAGACCTTGGAATACGCCAGAAACATCCAGCGGAAACGTGTAGAGACGCTTAGGGACAATGGCTAGGCTGTGTCCATATGTGGTCCAGTTGGGCAGCGGTTTTCAGCTGGCGACGAATGTCTTCCGCAGTGCATGAACGCAGATGGGGGTAGCACTGATCAAGAAAGCGATGCTGAAAGAGGGCGTGGCGCCAAACATGCCGTAATGTAGCAAATTCGTGCAATGTTCGACATGTCTGCGAATGATGCATAAAAAGGCTCACGAAGCAGTGACCTGCCGCAGACTCACGCTTCCAAGTTTAATGATGTCCAGGACGGAAAGATAACTCATAATCACAAGCCATATGTCGACCACGAACTTGGAGGGGTTGTGGACATGATGTTGGCTGGCTCGAACAACCATGGTCAGTGGTATTGACGCGTAAAGGGTTCGGAAGGGTGGAAAATATGGTTGTGCTGGTCATTTTCACTTGTGCATTGCCTGGGTACAGTGTGTATGATCATTGATCACGACATAATGGCGCCACGGGCGCCAACTGCAGAATCTGAATCAGATGAAGCGCTTGCTTTATTATTGCATATTTGTTTACAAGCATTTTCTCATACATACTTTCAAGCACAACTTGAAGCGATAAACTCTTGAACAGCACTATAATTACAACAACTTGCTTCACTTGCCAAGCTTAAGGTTACTAACTACGTGTTCTCTCACGTCGAGGCAGACTTACTTAGTATCAGATTTGAATCGCCTACCCAGGCCCAGATACAGGAAGATATGGTTCACATCATGCAGGCTGCGACTGACAGGTACCGACGCAGGCGGTATGACCCGACGTCACCGGATGCGGCATGCTCTTTAGTGATTAACCGCACGAAGACTTTGTGAAGACTCTTTGTCCGTACCTCTCGAACTTCTGAAGTCGTGACCTCACGCCAAGGATACAAGACATCCTCAGTTACTACGAATGGTATCGAAGGTCACCCTGAGCATTATGCTAATTTATAGAATTCATCTCAAGGGCGGATGTATGATTGGGCGGGCTTCCGCATCCCTCTTGCGGTATTGGATGAATGATTTAGATCCTCGCTGAAATCACTAACACGATCTCTGCGTCAGGTAAGTTATTTATCAGCGTTAGCTCCTAGTGTGACAATGATCGTTTTATATGCGTTACTAGTTTCCTCATAACAGAGTGGATGAGCGGATTCGAGTCATTAGACCGCCTTTCTTTCGAGCCTGCTGTCAACCACACAAGCGGAGCAGTTGACTGTTTCGATTAATCAATAAGGCAGCTGTCACCGTCAGGTGTCTATCATAATTCACAAGGACATGATGGTTCCTGCGAGACTCTACAGGTTGTCCTAAATTGTGACCTGCGTATCATGTAGCCCCTTTAGTATGAGGTTGCACGGGACTCTTGTAGGGTCTAGGTTAATATTAGTCTTATAATGTGTAAGCCCAGCACCCACTACTGCACAGCGTTGCTCACCCCCCATTTACTTCGATGTCTATGAAGTCTACGATCCATGATACGTTCACGACGAACGATAAGTTGGATGATCCGGAACAGCTAGGACATACGCAGTCGTATAATTCCCCAACACCTTGTTCAGAATCTGACCCTCCGGATGGCGGGTTTCGAGCATGGGCGACTGCCTTTGGGTGGTAAGCTGTGTCTCAAATGATACCCGCAAGCTGCGTATCTCATATTCACAACGGTGCTTAGTTTCCTGATACAATTTTGTGGTTTCGGGTTGGTTCTAGCTCCGTTCGTTCGAGCTATCAGTTAAACAGCACTTTAACAGATACGTAGCGTCTTTCGGAGCTTATCAAGGTACGCAGCAGTCGCATGATTGGCTGTATGTTAATAAACGAATTTGGAAGATTTTTACACACGAATCTATCTGACCAACGAACCACCATCTGCAATATCGTAAGTTATTGTACTGATGCTCTGGAGTTTGGTGTCTTAGTCAGTGTCAGATGGATTGGTGCATTGACCACGTTCTTTGCAATCAATGTCACTTTGATCTCAGGTCCGCTGTACGACAGAGGGTGGTTGTGAGTTGCAATATGTTCATAGTCGATTGTATAGTACACTGATTGCCAATAGCTACCAACTGATGATTGTTGGGTCGTTGCTTCAATCACTGTCCTTGTTCATGTTATCCCTCGCCAAGCCTGGTCAGTTCTATTTGGTGAGCAGCCCCATCGATCTCATTGGTGTGCTACATATATCCGTGGCTAGATTTTTATGGTACAAGGTGTCCTTGCTGGGATTGGAATAGGCCTGAAGTATGGCATCAGTATCGCGGTCATCTCTCAGCACTTCTCAAAAAGACGCACATTGGTAATGTCTCTCGTCACATCCGGCTCACCACTTGGTGCCATGATTCATCCGATCATGCTCAATCACCTTTTGAATGGCACTGTTGGTTTTGCAAACGGCGTCCGTGCCAGTGCGGGTTTTGTTAGTGTCCTGTTATTGATCGCCTGCCTATCCATGCGTACAAGAGAGCTGCCAGCTCCCACTGTCAGCTACAGTGCAGTGGCACGAAAATGCTCTCGTGAGGTTCTCTTCATCCTCATGACCGTTGGGTATGTCGTCTCTGGCGTGCTCACCAAACGACTCGAAGTATTGACAACTGATCATGCCTAGGTCAACGGTATTCCAGATCGGGTTTTACTTCCCTTTATTTTACATTCAACTGGATTCTGTTAAACATGGGATTGATGTCAATTTCTCGTTCTACTCCGTGAGTCTAATACCTTCTATTCCGCCGTCGACTCACAACTCGGTTTAGCTTGTGATCATGAATGCTGCTTGTGTCATTGGACGCTGCACGGCAGGAATAATTTCAGCGCATACGGGGGTATTAAATTTTACGATCGCATCCACTGTCGCATGCAGTGCCGCCATCATATCCATGATAGCCCTGAGTAACATAGCTAGTGTGGTTGTGTTGGGACTTGTATATGGCTACTTTTCTGGAGTTTGTATGTGTCACACCGCAGCTTGCGTATTTTCTGGCACTAACTACTATCCAAGTCATCGCGCTCTTGGTCCCATTGCTAACTGTATTGACACCTGACATGTCCGAGCTAGGGTTAGCTCCTTTTACTACATGCGTGGTCTAGCAATGTTGACCCTTCTATGCAGGGCGCGAATGGGCATATGCTTTACTATAACTGGTGTGTATCACTTACCTCTGTCTCGGAACTCCTGACAGCGCAAATGCTCAGCCTTCGGTGGATTACTCAGCGAGTAGTTTCCTTCTGGGATTTATTTGCCAAATATTGAACCAATGTTTTCAGGTGGCCCAATATCAGGCGTTTTGCTTTCATCTCAATATAGGTGGTGGATACCATCGCTTTTCTGCGGGGTGAGTAATTAGCATCGTCCCTGCACTTGCCCACGCTCAAAACTTTCATCTACCATGTTAAGCTCATCTGTCTTGCCGGAAGTTCGATATATGTGGTGATGCGCTTGATCATATATCGACGAGGAATAAACGGAAGTCATACATAGCTGAGCGCGAGGTTAACCACTTGTTCCGGGTGGTTTCGTTGAGGTCGGCATATACTGAATTAGATGCAAATATGTGTATGATGTACACTTGAAGTATTGGCGGCTGATCACGCCTAGGTCAACGCTATTTCAGATTGGGTTTTACTTCCCTAGATTTACTTGCAACTGGACTCCGTCAAACATGGTATTAGCGTCAACTTCTCGTTTTATTCTGTACGTCTAATTGTTCTTCACCCCGTCGTCGACTCTTAACCTTAACTCGATTCAGCTTGGATCATGAATGCTGCCTGTTTTATCGGACGCTGCATGACAGGAATCATCGCAGCGTATACGGGGTGTTAAACTTGACGATCGCATCCACTGGTGCATGCAGTGCTCTCATCATATCTATGAAAGCTTTGAGTGATATAACCAGTGTGGTTGCGTTGGAACTTGCATATGACTACCGTTCTGGAGTTTTTATGTCACAGCAGCTCATTTATTTATGGCACTGACTTTCCAGATATCGCGGTGTTCACGCCCGACTTGTCCGGGCTAGGGTTGGCTTCTCTCACACGCGTAGTCTGGTAATGTTGACCCTCATAGCTCTGTTTTCGGAACTCCTGACAGAGAGCGACTGGTCAGCCTTCGGTGGGTAGTTGGTTTCCATTTATTTGGCATTGAGCCAATATTTTCAGACGGCCCAATATCAGGCGTTTTGCTTTCATCGCAATGTAAATGGTGGATACCGTCGCTCTTCAGTGGAGTGAGTGGTTGGCATCGTTGCACTGGTGTATGCTGAGCTTTTATCCACCATGATAAACTTATCTCTCTGGTCGGAAGTTCGATGTGATGCGCGTGATGATATACCGGCATAAACGGAAGTCATCCATAGCTGGCGAGGACACGGGGTAACACTTGTTCTGAGAAATTCTGTCGAGGGAGGTATATGGTCACGCTGGATTGGATGAGACTTTGTGCAAATATGTATTGGACAGAGCGCGTGTGCATACTCCGGGAGCACAGACCAATAGCGTAGAGGGGCACGCACTCCAGGGCGCCGGCCCGCGACTTCAAATTGAATAAACAACAGCGAGCACCTTCGCGTCTATAATTTACGGACAACTCCACGGGGATGACATCCGTTGTGCTCTGCTTTCACACCAAAACAAAGAAACAAGACAAGAAATCATTTAAATCTCCTCCTCTATGTCCACGGCCATTAGCCACTTATGACAATGGACAATATCAATATTGCGTGCACCGAGCGCCGCCTGGACTCTGCCCAGAGGCAGGCTCGTTGCCAGTCGCCGCCAGTCCAGCATCCACTCAAACTAAGTACGGCTAATCATTCTGTAGCGTGAGCAGTCGGACCGATCGTAGTCTTCGTGGCAGGGCTGAGGGCGGACATGGGGTCTTCCTTCCTTCGAGCCAGCTGTCAACCACACGCTGGCAAGTGACTTCCTTCAATCCCTAACAAGGTAGTTCAAGTTATTATGCCGTCAGGTATCAATGATCACAAGGAGATAGACCCTGAAAAACCCGACAGGTTTCTGATTTTTTATATAATACGTCCATCGAGATCTATGCCAGATAGCCCCTGTAGTACGAGGTTAGGGCGCACGAAGGAGGCGAGGACACATAGGGGAGTAGTCATCACTCTCATCGTCGGTCGCATTTAAACCCTTATAAACCCGCCATGATGGCCGCCTGTGAATAGTGCATGCCAGCGAGGAAGGGCGTGGCAGGGCGATGGGGTGTGGGGGAGGGCACAGAAGGGGTGGGGAGAGGGAAGGAGAGTGCATGCGGAAGGCGGGGAAAGTAGGGAGGCCCGGGGGCAGCAGTGGCCAAGGAGGGATCAAGAACGGTGTTGCTGGGTTCGAGAGTACTGACATTGAAGGACGAGAGACTCAGGGAAGGTAAATGCAAGGGAGGACCTGCAGGGTGCCGGAGAGATGAAGGAGTACCTAGGGTGGTGGGCTGTGGAGTGTGAGAGGAGCCGAAAGAGCAGCCGAAGATGTTGCGAAGAAGAGAACTAAAATTATTGCAAGCGCGCGCGGCCTAAATCGGGCAGGTGCCAACAAGTGCCAGCAACAGTTTCTCCAATGCATACAATGTACCGTATATGTACGGTGGGGGTCGGGCTTGAAAAAGAAGGAACAACTATCTTCTGTTTTTCAAAGTCTGGCTTGGGGAGAGTCGAGACTATAGGGGATTCTCAGTGAGTACGCAATATCAAGCACCCTAGATTTGTATTAATAAATATATAACAGTATGGCCCTATTACTCTTCAAGTCCTACCGTAAATCTGCATTTGATAGATATTTCAATACGGCCCCTGCGATCTGCTGTCCATCGATACCCCTGGGGATAATTTATGGGTTGGGGGTCCAGGATTCGTGAGTCATGATTCGGAGGGCCAGGGGCCTTAGCACACCCGAGTGACCCGACTCTCGATGACGACTTAGCCATGCAGCAAGACGAGCTTGGATTATAATACGGAAGCCCAGCGCATAACTATTTCCCCACCCACCAGTCCCTTCGATGTCTATAACTCAGTCTATAATCCCTAACATGCTCGCAGTCCACGAGAAGTCGGATGACCTGGAAGAGCTGGGACATACGCAGTCATCTAATTCTCCAGAACTTTTTTCAAAATCTTACCCTCCAGATGGCGGGTTTTGGGCATGGGCAACTGCTTTCGGGTGGTACGTTGTGCCTCAAAGCAAGCTGCATATCTCGCATTCACAATGATGCACAGTTTCCTGATACAATTTTGTGGTTTCGGGTTGGTTAGCTCCTTTCGCTCGACATATATCAGTTAACAACACTCTAACAGATATGTGTCATCTTTTGGAGTCTATCAAGGTACGCAGCAGTCGCATGATTGGTTGTATACTTGATAAACGAACTTGGGGAAGATTTTTACACACGAATTTATCTGACCAACAATTCACCGTCTGCAATATCGTAAGTGAATGCACTTATACTCTGTATTTTTTTTCCGGTCTCAGTCAGTATCAGATGGATCGGTGCATTGACCTCGTTCCTCGCAGACAATGTCACTTTAATCTCAGGTCCATTGTACGACAGAGGGTGGTTGTAAGTTGTCATATGATCATAGCTAATTATTTATCACGCTCATTGCTAATAGCTACCAATTGATGATTGTCGGGTCGTTCGCTTCAATCACTGTCCTTGTTCATGTTATCCTTCGCAAAGCCTGGTCAGTTCTACTTGGTGAGCAGCCCCATCAATCTCGTTGGTGCGCTACCTATATCTGTGACTAGATATTTATGGTTCAAGGTGTCCTTTCTGGGATTGGGATGGGCCTGACATATGGTCCATGCATGGCAGTCATCTCTCAGCACTTCTCCAAAAGACGCACATTGGTCATGTCTCTCGTCGCATCCGGTTCACCACTTGGCGCCTTGATTCATCCGATCATGCTCAATCATCTTTTGAACGGTAATGTTGGCTTTGCGAGAGGCACCCGTGCCAGTGCGGGTTTTGTCAGTGGTCTTTTATTGATAGCCTGCTTGTCCATGCGCACGAGAGCACTGTCGACGTTGACACAGACTGCCAGCTATAGTGCAGTTGCACGGAAATGCTCTCGCGACGTTCCTTTCATCCTCATAACCGCTGGGTACGTTGTCTCTGACGTGCGCACGAACCGACTTGAAGTATCGACGGCTGATCATGCCTAGGTCAACGCTATTTCAGATCGGGTATTATTTCCCTATATTTTACTTACAACTGGACTCTATCAAACATGGGATTGATGTCAATTTCTCGTTCTACTCCGTACGTGTGATGTTTACTTCTTCGTCATTACTCCCACCTCGATTTAGCTTGTGATAACGAATGCTGCCTGTGCCATCGGACGCTGCACGGCAGGAATAATTGCAGAGTATACGGGGGCGCTGAACTTGACGATCGCATCCACTGTCGCATGCAGCGCCCTCATCATATCCATGATAGCTCTGAGTGATATAACCAGTGTGGTTGTGTTGGGACTTGCATATGGTTACTTTTCTGGAGTTTGTATGTGTCACACCGCAGTTTGTGTAATTCCTGGCACTGACTTTTCCAAGACGTCGCGGTGTTGGTCCCATTGGTGACGGTGCTTACGCCCGACTTGTCCGAGCTAGGGTTAGCTTCTCTTACGTGCGTGGTCTGGCGACGTTGACCTTCTTATGCAGGGCGCGATTCGGCATATGTTTTGCTTTCACTGGTGTGTATCATTTCGTCTTATTACAGAACTCCTGATAGAGCGCGAATGGTCAGCCTTTAGTGGATTACTTGGTGGGTAGTTGCTTTCTGGGATTTGTTTGCCATTGAACCAATGATTCCAGGCGGGCCAATATCGGGAGCTTTGCTTTCATCTCAGTATAGGTGGTGGACACCGTCGCTCTTCAGTGGGGTGAGTGGTTGACGTTTTTCCTGCACTTGCACATGCTCAGATTTTTATCCACCATGATGAGCTCATCTCTCTGGTCGGAAGCTCGATGTTTGTTGTAGTGCGCTTGTTGGTATACCGCCGACGATAAACAGAAGAGATACTGTAGTCACCCCCAGCTGGCGTGGACACGAGGTGAACTGTTTGTTCTATGAGATTTTAGATCGTTGTGGGGTCGATATATATACTGATGTAGATTCAATCGGTGGTCCCAGGATATATAGTATGATAATGTATAACCACGCGCTTCCAATCAATACGTGTATGATACACGTATTTGTCGCGCGACAGCTGCTTGTATCATTACGCCGATACTCAGATTTCAGAGTCACTGTAAGCAGCGAGGCGCCACACTGGCAGGTCCTGGTTACGGCAGCAATGATGGGTGGCACGTGCAAGGCAACCTGCAGCGGGTTGCCCTCTTGTTGCCTTTGAACAGCTTTGGGCTTCCCTCAGTACCTTCCAAAAGTTTCATCCGTTTCTTAGCTGGATGCATGTGAAAAATAAAATCCTGGCACGCAGCAAGCACGATGATGAAGCGCGTTTTCACGTTCGAAAACAATGCGCTCTGCTCTTCTCGTACACCGTCTCGTGGTCGACCGCACGTAGTTTCTTACAACGACACTAAGATACTAATAATGTTCTCTCATGAGGTCACTGGTCAGCGCAGACATATGTATCTCCTCTAGATCAGTGCGGTGCAGGAATATCCCAGCTTGGTCATGGCGAATAGCATTCCTTACCACTACAGCACCTGGGCTTCCGAACACGTACTAGTCACTTCGGGTCTGTACCTTACCTGAAGAGTATGAATTGCCCGCAAGTGACTTAAGGGCAAAGATGTGCTACCGCTGACCTACTAAAGCGATGCTGGTGACCTCACGCCAAGGATGCAAGAAATTTTCAATAAGAGACGTATATTGCATGCTTGCCTATCCCCTTGCGGGATTTCCTGGCTTTACTTCCCTATCTTCCTTAGGTAAGTTGTCAGTATTCACTCATATTTCGGCCGATTATTACATATGTGTAACTAGTATAACTGATTATCTTCATGACAGGGCAATCATCGGACCTGATTTCCTTCGAGCCCGCTGTCAACCACACAAGCCGAACAACTCAACACAAAGTTATAGTGCTGTCAGGTATCCATCATCACAAGGTCGGACCCTGTTAGACCCTACGGCTTCTTCTATGCGTGCATTGAGATTACTGTCAACGACTTGTTAACGCCCTGCCGGTAGTGCAACGCATCTTACCAGGTGACCCCTTTCATACGAAGTTGCACCTCACTCTTACAGGGTCACAATTAATACTGTCCATATAATCCGGAATGCCTTCATTTGCTGTGCATAATCCTTCCACCCACTCACCATTTCCTTCGATAGCGGCTATGACACAGTTCGAAGTCCGCAATGAGCTCATAACGAACGAGAAGTTGGATGATCTGGAAGAGCTAGGACGTAAACAGTCGTCTGAATCCTCGACATCTTCAACAGAATCTGAACCTCTGGATGGCGGGCGTCGGGCGTGGGCAACTGCCTTTGGATCGTAAGCTGTTTCTCGGATGATATATGCAAGTTGCGTATCTCACATTCGCCATGATGCTCAGTTTCCTAGTGCAATTTTGTGGCTACGGGTTGGTCCTAGCTCTGTTCGATCGAGGCATGTCAGTTGACAGCGCTCAAACAGATATTTAAATTCTTTTGGAGTCTATGAAGGTACACAGTGGTCGCAAGATTTATTATTTCCAAAGTTGACGCATGAAAAGATTTTTACACGCGGATTTATCTGACCAACCAACCACCATCTGCAATATCGTAAGTGAATGTACTTATATCCTGATGTCTGTGATCTCTCAGTCATTGTCAGATGGATTGGTGCATTGAACTCGTTCCTCGTAGCCAATCTCACTTTGATATCAGGTCTACTGTACGACAGAGGATGGTTGTAAGCTGGCATATGTTCATAGTCAATTGTTTATCACACTAATTTCTGATAGCTACCAATTGATGGTTGTGGGGTCGTCGCTCCAAGCACTGTCCTTGTTCATGTTATCCTTCGCAAAGCCTGGTCAGTTCTACTTGGTGAGCAGTCCGGCCAATCTTGTTGTTAGGCTACCTATATCTGTGACTAGATTTTTATGGTTCAAGGTGTCCTTTCTGGGATTGGGATGGGCCTGATGTATGGTCCCAGCATGGCGGTCATCTCTCAGCACTTCTCCAAAAGACGTACATTGATTATGGCTCTCGTCGCGTCCGGTTCTCCACTGGGTGCCATTATTCATCCAATCATGCTTAATCACCTTTTGAATGGCACTGTTGGCTTTGCGAGAGGCGTCCGCGCCAGTGCGGGTTTGGTCAGTGCCCTGTTATTGATCGCCTGCTTATTCATGCGCACGAGAGTACTGTCAACGTCGACACCAAGTGCTAGCTATAGTGCAGTTGCACGGAAATGCTCTCGCGAGGTTCCATTCATCCTCATGACCGCTGGGTATGTTCTCTCTGGCACGCGCACAAACCGACTCGAAGCTGATCGTCCTTAGGATCCTGCTGTGTCAGATCGGCATTTTATTCCCCGTTTTCTACTTACAACTGGACTCTATCAAACATGGGATCGACGTCCATTTCTCATTCTACACGGTATGTTCTATTTTTTCTTCTTCAACGTCGACTCTCAACTCGATTTAGCTTGTGATCATGAATGCTGCCTGTGTCATCGGACGCTGCACAGCAGGAATAATTGCAGCGTATTCGGGGTTGTTAAACTTAACCATCGCATCCACTCTCGCATGCAGTGCCCTCATCATATCCATGATAGCTCTGACTAAGATATCAAGTGTTATTGTGATAGGCATTGCATACGGCTACGTTTATGGAGTTTGTATGTTTCACACTGCCAGTGTAATCCCTGACACTAACTGTCTAACTTTAGACATCGCAGCGTTGGTCCCGCTGGTGACTGTGTTGACCCCCGACCTGTCTGAGTTAGGGTAGGTTTTTTTACAGACATAGTCCAGCCAATGTTGACCCTCCTATGCAGGGCGCGAATGGGCATTTGCTTTGCTTTCACCTGTGCGTATGATTCAGCTCTGTTGCAAACCTCCTGACAGAGAGCGAATGTTCAGCCTTTGGTGGATTACTCGGTGAGTCGTTTTTCTCCGATCTTCATTTGCCTTCGAACAAATATTTTCAGGTGGTCCGATATCAGGCGCTTTACTTTCATCTCAATATAGGTGGTTGATACCGTCGCTCTTCAGTGGGGTGAGTAGTCGTCATTGTTCTCGCACTTCGCTGTGCTGAAATCGTTTCCTGCCGTGATAAGTTCATCTGTCTTACTGGCAGTTCGATATTTGTGGTGATGCGCTTAATCATATACCCCCGAAGATAATAAACTGCCACTCATAGCTTGGCGCGAAAACGAAGTGTACCGCTTGTTGTATGAAGGGTTTTGTCGGCGCCAGTATATACCCACGGTGGAGTAGACGAGATTGGAACTAGACGGGGGGCAGCACTATCTTGCGATTGAGTGCGAATATGTGCGTGATAAATGTATTGAAAGCATGTGCAGACAGAGATATTCCGGGCCCACCATGTCGAGCACAATGATATATATGTTAAATCGACTCTGAAATGAAAACAACCAGTGGGCACCAACCTTGTCTTGTCCGCGGGCCAGCTTGGGATGATAATAGTTAACATTAGCCTGGCCGAGAATAACTTAAACTTCCCTTTCGACCTCGAAAAAGCTTGAAACACCAGGGGACAGATCAGGCACGTTTGAGACCAATCGGAGCAGTTCCATGAAACAACACCTCGATCTTCGTTCGTCCCGCGATGCTTAATTCTTGCTGTGCACATCAGTATTTTTGCAAAACGCATCCATTATCGACGGGCGGCTCTGAGACGGACCTTTGAGGCTATTTATAGCTAGCTGGAGGAACTCCGAGGAGGTCTTGGTCTTCTATGATTTCATTCATCAACTTCGTACGGGAGAACTCTCTGATGCTTACCATCGAATGACGAATTCACGATACTTATTTGGTATGCCATGACGGACTTCCTGACGCCTGGAGCACAAGCGTCTATCGATCGACTACTGATAAGATTGATAGCGGCCTGTGAGAGGACCTCACCGTATCGCATTAATATTGTTTCACCATTCCACGTTGCACTCGGAACCGTGGAGGTTGAACGTTGAATATAATATCGAAATATCGAATGCTCATGGCGTCGTGATTGATAATGCGCACGGGAAAATCTACAGGGTCGATAACGCGATGAAAGATGATCCAGCAGAGCAGAACGGGGCGATAATCCGGGGTAGTCTCCACGGAGGGATCCATTCGTTACTGTGCGCCATAGAAGGAATTCGATAGTGCGATGAAAGATGAGCAGCAGATTGCAGAAGTGGGCGATAATCCGGGGTAGTCTCCATGGAGGCATTTCATTCGATGCCTGCCATGCGTCATAGAAGAGACGGCTTTCTCCCTTCTATTTGTCCACTCAACGGAGACTATTGTAATTTGTCATGAATCATGATCAGATGGATTCCGAAGCTTGGAAGCATACCTAGTAGGTAGCCTATGCTTCCAATGTTCGTCGTTCGAGCCGCTGACAATGGTGCCCTGACTCGCGGAGATCACTAGCACGCGCACGGAAACTAAATGGATGAATTGTTCTTGCCCTAATGCCCTGCTCGCAGAAAGATCGGCGCACCCGACAGTCCAAATGGTAAGAAAATCAACGTCGATGCAACTGCACTCCGGCCCTTTGTCAAAGTCCTTCAAGTTTGGCAAAATACCAGAGCGCAGTTTTGTCAGTACTATGCAATACGTTCAGCCGTCATCCCGTGCGCTAGCAGGATATCGATATCGATAAGCACCGCGACAAGAACAAAAAGACGAGCCTCGCACCGCCAAGACTTACTCGTATGTCATCAGACTCAGATTCGTGCTCGCGGAATGACGCTAGAATCGCGCCAGATGATCATAACCACCATATCAGGTGGGCGATGGGGCGTACGTCACTATGCAATGTATATGTTGCCTGGGCCTGAGATGGGTGTATATAAGGGCTTGCTTGTTGTTGAATTGATTGTTGTCTCGGAGTGCTTTTACTGCTGGCCACCGCACCATAAAGCACCGCATTTACACCGCAAAGTACGTCTCAAGCTCAAGCTCAAGCTCCGCACGTAAATCAAATGCATAAAACCCCTTTTTACATTGATAATGCCAGTAGATACGACGATAGATAGATACTTTGACACTGACACTACACTACACCTCACTGACTGATACTAGTACTGACTTTGACTTTGGTTTCGTAAGAAGCTGATGGTACATTTTTTGTTGGAGGAAGAGGAAGGGTGGGTAAATGGTGGGTGACAGCCTGGGTGGATGGAGGAAGCGCGGTATGGTGGGAACAGGATGGAAGAAATAAAAAGTAAATCGTGGATGGAGGGAATTGGAATAATTGATGGAAAGAATGAGTGGCGGGGTAGACGGAAAGCCTCGACCATGGTGTCGTGCGATTGTGCTTTGTGCGATGTGGGTAAGTTCTCCGGCTTGGGTGGATAGAAGATCCGCGAAAACCCTGCTCGTGGTGGGTGAACGTCGAAGAATATGGGAATCGGGATGGGAGTGGGAATGGGAATGGGGATAGATGGAGGCGATTGTGATGCAGTCAAGAACGACGAGGAGACAAGACCCAATAAGGAGGAATAACACAAGAAACCAAGGCGGCTATGAATGATACAGTGTGCATGACGAGGGAAGTGACGAGCCGGAAGAAAGAAAACGCGAGGAACACATGAGGAAAAAGAAAATCGTGCAGGCATGAAGGACGTGAACATGATATCTTGACACGGGATGCCAGACCGGATGGCTGTCTTGTTGCCCAAGACAGAAACAGAAACCGTTTGACAGGGAGATAAGATCAACGTCATATCTCCATATCGCGCTCCAAACTCCCATCCCCACCAGACCCATCACCCTCTCGGATTTTTGAAGCCCCAAGCACGTCCTCTTTCCTCGCCCTTGGGCGTCCCCTTCCACGTTCCTCGCCCTCACCCTCGCCCCCATCCCTATCCTCAACATCCATCTCCCACTTCCTCTCCACTTCCCACGAAGATGAGGACTGTGGCAGGGATGTTTGTGAACTTGCGAGAGAAAGTCTGCTTGAATCAGAATCAGAGTGCGAATTGGATGCGCTTCGGGAGGAGGGTATGGGTGTTCCTCGGATTGCTGCTAGTTCGCGCTCGAGGGCGCGGTTGCGCTCTTCGAGATCTCGGCCGCGGGAAGCTTGCACGTTGACGAGTTGTTGGAGGTAGCGGATGTATTCCACGGACTGGAGGTGGAATCAGTAAATAGAACGAATTTAGGATGAGTTGACATGAGAAAGGCGCATATACGCAAGTAAAGAGTGCAATGCAGTGCATATACTGAAGGAAAATGACGCATATAGGCGATAAAAGTACCGTCCAGCCGAGGAAAAAACGACACCAGCACAAAAAATACTCACCTTCCTCAAAATCATGCCCTTGTTCGCCTTTATCATCTGCGGCTCTGAGCCATTCGCAGTAGTCACCCCATTGGTAGGGATGCCACCATTCACACCACCATTGGCGTTACCCCGGGCTGTTCAGCATAAGCGTCAAAATCACATGCTTCTCACAGCACGCCAAGACGCACCATCATCTCCGTCTTCGCTCGGATCCTTTTTGACATTCCCGTTGACGGGGGTGGCAGGCACCCCATTTTCGGGAACGTCAGGGAGACCCTCGTCGGAGTTTGCTGCGTCTGGGAGTAAAGGTAGTGAGAAAAGGTCGCTGTTTTCGCCTGGTGAAGTAGCGCTGAGAAGGGTAGGGGATGTTGGGGGAATAAGTGGCGCTATGGAGACGAGTTAGATAATTGAAAAATAATAGCTCCAAGGATCGGATTGAAAATCGGGAATGAACAGTTGCCAAAGAGTATGGGAATGATAGGTCCGAGAGCCACGGAAAGGAAGAATGAAACCCACCATCACATTCGAACAGCACCCCTGGAATCAACCCTGCCAGTTCTCCGATTCTTTCATTGATGTTGTCTCTCCGCCGTCTCTCGACAGCATTGTGACTTTCTCTCCTTCTTCGCCTCTTTTCTGATAGACCATCGCCATCAGAATGCTTCCCTTTGGCTGTTGCAGGTGAAGTAGCACCGCTTGCAAGCATGCCCAAGGTAGAGACTTCGCTCGGACTGATTCCCATGTTGGGAGTACCGGTACGGCCACTAAAACTGCCATAGTTTACAGCAACGTTGTTTTGCGAAGCATAGGAAGCCGGTTGGGGAGCGTATGAAGCTGTTGCCGCATTATATCCCTGGAAGCCACCGAATGAATGGGATAGACTGTCAGGAGTGGGAAGGGAATATTCTGGCTGGCCAGGAACGAAGAAGCCGCCCATAGTTGAACCGCCGCCACGACCGGGGATAACGATAGCGTGAGGGCGGGGTGGGGGTGGGGGTGGGGAAGTGCCAGATACATGTGAACTAATACTATTGGCACGGCGATCACGGCGGGAAGTTCGGGTTGGGCCGAGTGATGGTGCGCGGGAACGGCTACGACTCCGTGAGTTAGGATTGTGCGGGGATGGTGTGTGGCGGTACGCGAAGTGTGATGGTGGATCTGGGTGAGGTTCGTAACGCATACTACTGTTTAAAGCAGGAAGTGTACTATTGAAATGAGCATGGTTGAGATCGTTGGTATGCTGCTGTTGAGGGTAGATATCTGTGGATGATGGGGGACGGTAATGAGTTGTAGGTGCGCTGATATCGAAAATGTTGTGACGGTAAGGGTCTGAATCGGCGTAAGTACTACGCTCATGTGAATCGATTAGTGTAGCCAGATCATCGTCATTGAAATCGATTGGAGCTGGGGTAGTAGTTGTAGTAGTAGCTTGATGAGCTTGAGCTGCACTTGGAAACTTTCGAAATGAGTCCGGTAAAAAAGACAAGTTTGGTGGCATGAAAAGGTTATTTGGTGAAGTCGGATCTGGTGTAGGTGTATCTGTATGTGTTGGTGAAGGAAGCTGGAAACCTTCTTGTCTTACAACTGTATAGGACATGAGAGGATGATGAGGAGGAGGAGGATATACAACCCCGTAGTATATCCGACTCACTTTATTATCACTATTTTACTTATTTCTATTACTTCCATCCGGGGTCTCGGTCCGAGTATGGGAAAGGTACAAATATGTACATTTCCTATTACGTCATTCACCTTCATTCTATCCTTAGTTTTTTCTTTCTCAGGCCGTCCAACTTCCATCCTATCCTCATCCCTATCCTACTGCCCCCGTTGCCTCGTACCCTCGGCACCGCGATATCCATCTACGTCCTCCATACCGTCCGTACATTCACTTCTCCCGCGAGCAAATTATTGATCTTCTTTTGACAACATCACCACCAGGGTTAACTTTACATCCTCCGACACGTCAATCTCCGCGATGGCGCCCGATTTCAGACAGAACATAAAGGCAAATCACTCAAGCGCATCCGACTCTTTGACAGCTCAGCGTGGTTGCAACCACATCACATCACTCCTCGGATAGTGTTGATCCTGCTAAGAAACATACAAAAGAACTACGGAACCGCCTCGACGTGAATCCCGACACGAGGTTAACTGTGTTTACTTCACCTATCCATTGAGCCTTGGTCAGCCAAGGCTTTTCTTATACTCTCTCAATCAAGGTTCACATATTGGCGTACATCTATAGCACCTATCGGTACGGAGCTAAATCAGTCTTACGTGCGAGCGCGATGCCACCTATACTACAAGTTCCTCACCCTCAATCTGATCGAAACGTCGGATAGAATTACTTCATACCAGATCAGGAAATAATGGCTATTCAGTAGCGGAAGTCTATACCTATGATAAGTAGCGGGAGTAAGATAGAGGGGGTAGGCACATCTTCGGAATTCCGATTTTCTTGTCTGACGCCACAAATTCAGGTCGCCCGGGACGCCGTTGCTTCACTCCATAAGCGCATCTCACTGGGCGATTGTAATCGCATTCATACCATGCCACAATAGTTAGTTGAGCATGCACTGTGCTCATATAGAAGGAACGACTATCTTAAGGCCCAGGGAGACTACTCTGCTCACAGACAGTCGCCACACAAGATAAAGCTTAACTGTCTTTTTTTAGGATCGAATTACTGGGCCCCGAATATCCCTGTTCTACATATACGCTGCTTCCTGACTTCTGTCGTATGTAAGTAGGGTCTATCGTACCATTTTTATCACACGCGTACTCTATCTCAGCTCTCTGTTATGTACACAGGATGTAGTGTCGAGAATACGAGTTGTCATGGTGTGCAGTAGAAATCAGGGGGTTGACATCAATTATAGATGTTTAGTAACCTTCTGATCTCTGCACATACAACTAGTCTGGCGAAGGTGGCGATTCAATCAAACTCACGATCAGGTATGTACAGGTATCATCATTACATGACTTGACGTACAGTAGCCTCACTTGTACGCACATGTGTACGCAGACAAATTTGAAGGAACGCCGACGCTCATTCTTAAGCTTAGGTTATTGACTGACCTTGCCAGATAAGCTGTGAACGGAAACTTGCAGTTACATACTCGATGGGCAACCAATCAAATATGATGCAGATTACGCGTCGCGTCATCGATGATGCTATAGCCGAGTCGGGAGCAGTGAACAAACGTTTCAAAATTAAAAAGCGTAACAGCACAGCATGCGTCGAGAAATGGGTTGGCATGATGTGGGTGGTGCACGGTGTCTATCTGTAGTGGTGTCTACCCTGCTGGTGAAGTGGCAGTCCATTTGAATAAAGTTAAGTATGTACAGGTCTCATCATTGCATAACTTGACGTTAGTAGCTTTACTTCATCGTTCACACAGCCTGAGTATGCAAACCCATTTGAACGAACGCCGACGCTCATTCTTAACCTTAGGTGACGGCTAATTGCTAGATAAGCTGTGAACGTTACAATATTATATACTCGATAGGCAAGCTGACGCCATCCAATCAAACGTGATCCAGATGACGCGTCATCGATGATGCCAAAAACTGAACCGGAAGCAGACTCGCAAACGTTTCAAAAGTAAAGAGCGTAGCAGCATGTGCATTGTGGAGCTACCGCGCGCAGAATTCCACTATCACTATCATAAGTAATCTGAAACGCCAGCGCTGAGCGGACGTCCAATGGGGTTCATGGTGATTCCTGAATCAATATCGGCGAAACAAGAATAGGGCGGAATTTCGAAAAGCGAGCCTCGACTTATGCGGGCGTTACCTCGATGAACGGTAAAAGCGGAGGAAAAGGCGGGAGTATGGAGGAAAGGGGGCCGCTTGTGGAGAACGCACTTAGTGGTGGAGATAGATGATGACAGGGCGGGCTAACGATGTTCCACTACCATTCAGTGCGGTCGCCTACGCCAGCGGGACAGCCGGACCGGATATTCGAAGGCACTCATTATTCAGGAGAAGGGGTGGCAGATGTGAGATGCGTTGCAAGAGGTGTAGACGGGACTGGGAAAATCTTGGCAAGTAGTTACTGTAACTTATCTGAATTTGATCTCGATGTTCACTGTGTGCTCGGCGCGTCGCACGTCTGCCGAGTTCAATGACAATGAATTGGGCGGTGGTCCCCGCGGGCGTAAGTTCATCCAGGCTGCCGGTGGTTAAGATTAGATGTGATGAGATTGCGGAAGCGTAGGAGGTGTTAAGATTGGACGCACTACATATGTTCAAGTTCACGATAAACCAGATCTGATGTGCGGTCCAAATCAGCATATAATGTTCTGTTCTGTCGGTGATGAACTGTTTCCTGTTTCATCCTTGACATTTCACCATCGCTGAAATGATGAGTAGAGTCTAGACGCTCGCGGACTAGTTTTCAGCCAACCGGGACGTTTTTGATGACAACTATTAAGAAGACCCTTCAACTGTCATGTCATGGAAGAACGAACGGAAGAACAGGCACCACGAAGACGAGGCAATAGGTCCTTAGGGGTCCAGATCTCTAATTCTCACCAGCGCGAAAATATAACATACCATAAACGATCTACGTATCTCAGGCGATCAGTTTCCCTAGGAAATAGTCGCACTGCCAAGATGTGGCAGTTAAAGCATTGACGTAGCCTCATTGCTCAAGGCACAATCTTCCTCGACAATGGTTACCAGTATGCTGATTGCTGTCGAAGTCTGACACGAGGGTAAGCTGGGGTAAGAAATCGGACTGTGATAACCTGTGAAACTTACTAAGAACACCGACACGCCAAAGTATACGACCCTGAAAACGTGCTGAAGGGGCATATCCGGTTTAATGAAAAAAAAGAAGTATGGCATAGGAGCAGCCAAAAATGAGTGGATGGGTGGGGGCCTCAGCGAAAACGGGAAGGTGAACCCTGGGATTACGGGAAGCAGCGCCGCGGATCGCGGAAGATAGCATCCGATTTAAGCCGACGCGAGTGACAGAATGTAAAACTTGAACCATATTTCTTCAGGGGCGCGTGCATTAGAGCACTATGGAGCCATGTAGCAGAAGCCCTGCGGGTGAGACTAGAGATGGTTTCTACAAGATTGCAGAGCGACGGCGAGACATCGGAGAAACTGTAAACCAGGTTGACTTGTGTAAGTACAGCGAGGGAATCCATCAGCTGCAGAACGCCTGCCGCGGACCACAGGAGCTTTTCACCGGTAGAAGGATGGAGCAATTGCCGCAATGCTTAGTGTCCAGGGGTTCGGCGGGAGTACAAGAAAATGGAAACAGCAAAGGTAAGTAAGGAATTTGACAGAACAGCATGGCGCACAACACTGTGGGAATCGCAACTTCTTGATGTCGACCGTACCAGGGCTCTGAAGATCCGGGGCTGAGCCAGTACGGATTCGCACGAGAAATGAGTGATCTTCGAAGCAGCGCCCTCGGCCCGTATGTCACACCGTCGTATGCATATTTGGAGACAAGCTTAGCTGTGAGCTGACTAAACGATAATTCAACTAAACATATACATTCGCAAGTGTCAATCTGAAACGACAAGACTAACCGATCCGAGGGAGGAAGTTCCGGGAATAGGAACAGCTATTCGGACCTCAGCGCCGGTCAAGGGGAATACCATGGGTACGTGGGGTACTTACTACTGATCATAACTGCGAATGGGACGGATCTCGGATAAGGGGATGAGGACACTAACCCTGGATGTGATTAGATCGAATATAACAAGTTAATTGTCCAGGCGATCAGGGGGGAGAGAAGGTGGCTGGTACGTGGCGGATTGTAATATATTTCACAGCACGCGCAATACGCCACTGGAGGACCATGTTGACCTTGTTGACTTCGAGACAGGCAAATTTCGATTTCGAGTTCTGCAGGCCGATATAGCGGTACGCGAAGGCGTCAATTTGTTGAACTAAACGTTCGTTTTGAAACGTTTGTGGCAAGGATGACGAATGTACATTGAGAGAGGAAGTTGTAACTCACCAAAGATTCTCCGAGGGGAATTACCGCCGGCTAGTAAAATTGTTGCCGTGTGCCCCAGGTTAGCAAGAGATCCCAAAGCATAAATATTGACTTTGAGGCACTGACATCGCTTGCGTATCGTACTATACCCCTCTGGACTCGGACGACGATGCGTGCCCGCAACCGACTTGGAGGATCCGCTATGGAATGGCAGACAGGCAAGAGGTTCTCCTGGTATGTGAATGCCTGGCTTCCACAGTCCGCTTTACACTGCTTATAGTACTGTCTTGACAAGTAGCGTGAACTAACAAAAGCACCTCGTCTGAAGTTTGAATTCACACACGTGAATCCAACAAGCGGACCAAGTATGGTCCGACCCAGATGTGTACTCTGCTTTCTGGAAGTGTATCGTCGAACTGATTTGCTGGACCCGATATGAATCCGAGGCACTTAGAAAGCGTCTTTCCAGTCCTATGTCGGCGGCCCGAACGTGATGGTGGCGAGTCAAGCGAAAGTCGAAGTACATAATTTCGGTTCGTGGTTGACTACGAAGGAATAAGTTGCATCAGCACCGCCAGGGTTTTATACGTACCAACGAATAACGCTATTGTCCTCCTCAGAATCGTGTTCCTTTCTTTAGCTCTCGGTGTTTTATCATATTGACGAGGTTATTATGGCCTCCTTCAGTAAGTTTATCTTGAGCCAACCAGGATTCAAGTTGAATGGCCGGACTATCGATAGGACAGATTGTCCAAAGTGGCGAAGGAGAAATGTGGCGGCTAGGTGAACTAAATCAGAAATAAACTGTGATAACGCCAAAGTCACGATTGATAGCTGTTGAGCTTGTTGTACATTACGACGAGTCTCCATTAATCATTCGTGAAATTTTCTAAATGGATTGGTTTACTTGTTCTAGCTTGAGGAGAGCGCATCAGAAGAACCGGGGCGTTCGAGAGATGACAAACTAGTTGGCCCTGAATCTGCGACAGGCCCAGGATCCGGGAGACAACTGGTCCAAAGATGCCAATCGGAGACATCACCTCAGAATTCGAAAGAGACGCTGAGAATGCTGAAGGCCCATGGAATCGTCCATCGAAAGGGAGGTCCCTCGGGCCGACCGTTATTGTTCGGCCCAGAGAGCTTGGCAGCAAATTTTCAGTGGAACATCGTAAGTGCGATCAAACACGACCCCCGAAGACTCTGGGGAATTGGAAATCAATTAAAGCCTCCAGCAAACTCACTTGGCTGGCTGACACGTTTGCCTCCTTCATCGCAGTATTGACTGCCAACCGCTGGACGAAAGGTTGCGTTTCTGGTAGAATATACCATCGCAAAATGGGATTGGTCCAGTGAACTTCAGGCTCCATGAATATAGCAGTTTTTTCGGGATCGGTAGGAGTGCAGCTCGTCACTGGCTATGACGTCGGATTTCGTTCTCGGGCGTCTGGAGGCTCGTCTGAACGAAGCTGCGACTTGGGTCTGCTGAGTATTGAGTCATCATAGACAGACTACCACAGGCAGCCCGACGTCGCAGTGGAGGTTCAGACGAAGGAAGTATGAGGGCTCCAGGAGAGATAATGCTGCTTACAGTTCAATCGACTACTTATAGGTAACGACCTGAGCCCTACTAAGGCTATCTCGACCACCTGATCATCCACCAGTGTCAGTGGCAAATCAGCTGGTTCGTTTCTAGCTTCGGTGACTACTATTCAACGTATCTGGTGACGAGGCTCTGTCATATCTTGTCATATAAGCGAGGTCAATCGACAATGATCGCTGATATGAGCCACTCTGCCGGGTAAAATGCTTCAGTCAACTTCAGGACGTGGTCATCTGTCAAGATTTATGTCCAGAAACAGGTCATCTGCTTCGCCCTACCTTGCAGAACCATGCTCATCTGACACTCTAGCGATTGTCACGTCAACCAGGAAGTTTGGAGTACGACTACAGTCTGTGCATCAGGTAATTTTACGTTCGCATTTATATCAGTCACGGGGCAGCATGTTTGATGATCATTCTAGGTGCTTTTCGACCTCATCTGATCCCTGGATCATGAACGGATCAAATGTAATGGAGACGGGCAGGCCACTGATCTACCGATACGCGGCCATTTTAATTTCCTTGATCAAGCAGTCTCTCGTCAAGACCTTGATCAACAGGGCCAGGCTCGTGGATTTCTAGACCATAAATAAACATGACATACGAGCCTCTGAGGTCACAATTAATATCATCAGGCCACATGTTCACAATGCTTCGGGATCCATACGAGCCTCAATGTGGCACGGCAGATCATACAACGCCGACTTGAAAAGATCAGCAGCCCTCAGTCACACGTGATCGATCTACAGTCACCGCTCTGTGTTTGTCTTTCCTGGGCGGACGAAATCGAAGTTGTTTGTTCGTACTAACGGCGCGTGCGGTGCAGCGATTAAGCCGCAGCCGATCAAAGTGTTAAGGTACAAACACGGATTGAAGCTGAAGGCTCAGGGGTACATCATTGCGAGAGAAGCACCTGTATATATTACTCACGAACACAGGCCTATGATATCTGTCACGAATGCGCAGATCGAGTCCAAGACTTACGTCAAAATCGCCAGGGAATGTGCGAATTTAAAGCGCGCTCGGTGCATTCTCCCTCGCACTAACACACATCAGTAGTGATGTGTGCTGTATTGGTAAGTAAAGTGGCTGGGATACTACTATATAATCCCCTAAGCCATCCGTTACTATAAATAAACTATGAGTAGGCTTGCTTATGACATGCGTTGTAAAGGTGTTAAGAGGAACCATGATACTAGTTGACTCCTGCTCCCTCCTCGTAGAGGTTGAGTATGGGCGGTATAGCACGCCATTAGATTAAACCTGAGAATGGCCCATCGCCTTCTCCGTCTCCAACGGGTTGCCACCTCGCGAACTGGGTTCACTACTATTCCCACTTTGTCCCTGCGAGATTTGGCTCCTCTCCGTCATGTCCGATCCCTCCTCCTGTCGCATGATTTTTGCCATCCTCAGGTCATACGCAAAAGTGAGCAGGTAGATAGTGAACCCGAATCCAATGATCCACTCGATGACACCTCCAACATTCGGAGCGTAATACAGCGTGATGCCAAAGGCGATAGCTAGTACAATGAGGATGCTTCCAATGATGAACTTTGCCAAGTATGCACGGCGAAGCTTGTAGATGTCTGGATGACTCTGAACTAACCAGTGATATTCGAGCACGCTAAAGATCACGGAGAGAATGACACCGAGCATGAAGACGAGTAGGAATATGCGGTGGGCAGTTACGTAGTTTTTGGTATCAAAGCCAGACAGGAGGACGAGGCCCAATACGCCGATGAATGACCCTAGGATGGCAAGGATCTCAAACACGTGCTCTCTTTTACGCATGGAGGGAGAAAGCCTGCCTCTGTGCCGCAAAAGTCGCTCAAGAACGAGAGAGAGCACAAAACCCACACCAGTGATGCAGCAGCTAACGATAAATAGTGGTTTGAGGAATGACGCGCCAACGTCTGAGATGTATGCAACTTTTCCCTCCTGAGAGACATATTGGGGACGTCCAGATATAAGCCAAGTAAGAAGCATGGCAAGCAGGGTTGCAAACCAAAAGAAGGCAGTGAACAGTGGCACGAAAACAAACAGCCGATGGCTTTGCGTTGAAAGGTGTAAACCGAACATCGTAGAGGTTGGTTTTGTATCACGATGTCACAAAGAGAGGAAAATGGAGAGTTGATGGAGAGCTTGTGGAGCAGTGTTGTTAATAACTGGGGTTAGGTTGTGCGTTGGGCGTTCAGAACGTTCAACTTTGAGCTCCCCTATTAAATAATTTATTAACTCTACTAACCCCTACCAAAACAGCAGATTCATTTACATAACCAACCTCTTAACCGGTTATAACCGGTACAAGGCAACATTCATCCATCTTCGACGAGCTGTCCCAAGACACCACGGTAGAAATGACTCCCAAGGCAGCTGCTGTTCAATCCACTGAGACCACGGACGAGCCTGAGACAAGCCTCACGGATGAGCGACTCAGAGAATACACATCACCACCTGTAGCAGTCGCAAAGAAACGTGTAACGGGTTAGTAACAACACTGTGTTGGAGAACGAACTTCGCCAGTAGTACTACTTATGTAATCACGCACAATGTGTTTTTCTCGTGCCCGCAGTTGAATATACCTTGCTTCTGACCGTCATCGTAAACTTGTTTTCTTACAGAGCTCCGCAAAGTTCAAGTTGAAGGTAAATAGGGGCTATTCAGATTCATCGTGGACTGAACTCAAACGGCGCTCGCAAACCAGTGTATTATGTATAACAGCATCCTCTAGGAATTACTTAGCCTACAAGTCTAGCTATACTTCCAATTTAGGCGATCCCAATCACCTACGGGAGATTCTTGTGCGCGTGAGGGAGGGTCGTCGTCTAAGCTGACTACGTATCATTCAGATGCCTCTGCCGTCTTTGTCATCCTTGGCTGGCGTGGAACAAGATTGAAGCTTGAGTTCAGACGCCATCCGTAGGCTGCGACAAGTGTCAGCAGCGACTGTATATACACATTGCTCACCTCTGCGTCTCGGAGGAGAAAATGTTCGCTTACAATGTTTCCTGCGGCAGAAATATAAAAGTAACTCAGTTCTAAATTGCAAATCCATCAATATAACGAGGCAAAGCACCTTCTCGCGGTTTCTCGCTTGTCGGCGCAGTACTACCGAGTACTACCGCACTCTTGTTCAACTCTCATGCCGAAGGGGTTATATGGTTTACAACTAAGCGAAGATCGGAACAACCATTCTCATGCCACCTTCCGATATGAAATCGAAGCGTCGAGAATGGGTAAACCGTTAGACCAATGGCGTACGGTGGACCGGGCACGAACTCGGATGCAAGGGAAGCCCCAGGCGAAACTTCTAAGGTAGGAGGCGGCAGCTTGGGGATGAACTACGAACACGCAGGAGGACCCACACCAGATATCCCCGGTACAGTGGTAGCAAGCAAGGCAACAAATGCGGACGAATGACGGTCGTCGGTAAGTGTATAAGGCAGACTAGCGGACTTTGAAACCTACACCACAATTCCTTGTGCATGTGCACGTGCTTTCAATCCATCTGTTGTGATTCAGAACTTGAAATGTGTGTAGGTCGCGTGACAACTCTAATATTTTTGGTACCACTAGTCACTGACTCACGAGTACTAGTGATAATGCTACAGGTAAGGTACGGCACTTGGCATACCACTGACCCGTGCATGCAAAAATAGTGCCTTCAGACTTTTCATCAACGGCTTGTTAAGCCACAGTGGGTTTGGTACTTTGAAGGCGGTTGGCCCGTGCTCTTCCTCCTAGACTAGCGTACACTCCTTCGTACGTGCTTCCAGATTCCCTTACTTACCTCGTCCCACCTGGTCAGTACTCGGCCTTTGATTCCTTGTCCACCCACCCACCTCCCATTCTCACCAACGTAGTTTGGTTTGATCTGGTCTTGTCACTCGTTGCTTCTTCTCCGCGGTCCCCTCCATCTTACAACTGGAGAATCGGCTACGGCACGCTCAAAAGGTCTGTCTTCTCTGCGTCCGGCATTTCGCGCAATTCAAACCTCGAGCTTCAAGTCAGTGAGCTTACTGTTCTGCATCCAGGTCTGCACACATATCTCCTCGTTCGAAACTTGTAAACAGGGATTCGGAATTTATGATGTGCCGCCACCAACAAACCACTACGCATCGCGTTCAGAATGAGGTCGAGTACGATGGGCGGTAGGAATTCAAACTGTGGAGCGAGCTCGATCTCGGAGGCAGACCAAGATCTTGCCATCAGGCTGCCAAAACGTTCGAAAATTTCAACTAACGATATCTTTCCCCAGGGGCCCAGCTAGAGGTAGTTCTAACAGCGTATCAAGCAAATAGGGACAAGTATTCCGGACCTCAGCACCGGTCAAGGGGAATACCATGAGTATGTGGAGTACTGATGGTAACTGCGAATAGGATAGATCCCGGATAAGAATCTACAAGAGTGTCATAAGTTAATTGTCCAGGCGATCAGAGGAGAGAAGGCGGCTGGTACGTGGCGGATTCCATAGCACGGGCAATACGCCACTGGAGGACCACGCCGACCTTGTTGACTTCGAGACAGGCAACTTCGAGTTCTAAGCTGTCAATTTCTTGAACCAAATGTTTCTAAACTAGCAACGTTTGTGCAAGGATGACCAATGTACCTGAAGAGACTCACCAAGGATCCTCCGAGGCGAATAACTGTCGGCTAGTAAAATTATTGCCGTTTGCCCCTGGGATTGGGAAGAGATCCCCCGTGTCCCAGCATGAATATCGACTTTGAGGCACTGGAATCGCTTGCGTATCGTATACCCATCTGAAGTTGGACGACGATACCGACTCAGCATCTGTCTGCTATAGAAAGGCAGAGAACAGACAAAGTGTTCGTGGTTTCTTTCCTTTGCCATCCCTTTGCAGATTTCAGTGTTCGATAGCAATGTTGATGTCAGCTTTCACCTTTGCTGTCGGGTTTTCGATTTCGATTTCGACTTGCAGCACTAGTTCAATTACGCCAAGCTAGTGGTCGCAATTTCAAAACAAAGGTACCGTGATACAATAACCTTTACATTTCGATATGCAACACACTTAACGCCGGGCCGTGTGCTGTGGGGGCCTCGGTTATGAGTGCCAGTGACTGATCCCAAAGTTAAGCGCTTTGCCAGCTCAATTTCTCACCATGACACCATGATGGATCCACGTCAAGAGGTATCATAACCTTGGAGCTCTGTGACTGTACTTTCGATTAACTGAAAGAGACCATACCACGGAGCATCGGCATCTTTTCCAGTACAGAATATCAGATACACACCCGTGTATAAAGATAGTACCAGCTTTCGATTCAATAGCATAAACACCATCAGGCCTTTGGCTCTAGCCCTCTCCTGGATTGCAACTATGAAATTCATCTTGTTCACCACTATAATCGTGTCCGTCGCAGTGGTAGCTGGCGCAGATGACGCTTGGATCATCGGCCACCCCTGCGCCCAAGCTAGTGAGCACCGAGAACTTTGCAGTCTAGCGAGTTCTGGCCATGCGGGCCTCAGACTGTATGCTTACGGCTGCTCACAGATCACGTGGAATGCGGAACGATCGCAGGTCATAACAAGGACATGCCGTTCTTGTTCGTGTGTGGACCAGACCACACGATCATTGACTTTGAAGATTGTGAATGCGACAGCTGCTGCATGGTAGAAGGTCCATATGGGTCATGCTTTTGAGGGGAAAGGGTTGATAACTTCGTGGCAATTATCACCATCGCCCAGCTCCTGCACATGTCGTGTCATATCATAACATCAAGATTCATCTGCCCAGAATTTGTACCCTATGCTTGGATCAAAAGAACGAACGTTGCATAACCAAAATCAGTTATATCCATGGGTATACGATCACGATTGCTCTGGTACTGTAGGTTAGTCTTCCAGAATTCCGATGTGATGTTGACAGACGGACCTAACCCAGTCGATTGAGTCAGTTTCTTCATAAATGCATCGGGAATTCGCGGAACAATGCGGCAGGGAAATTTCTCCGGACGGCTGAAAGGACAAGAGATCAGCAAACTACTCTCGAGGACAAATGGCATTCTGCAAACACAACGATACCAGTGGAGAACTTCGGAATGACTGAGATGTCCATGCCGTATTCGTCAAGAGCCTTTTGAGCCGAGAAAACGGCCAGGAAGTTCGAGATCGCGATCCAGAGTGACGTGTCCGCGAGACGCCGTCCCACACTGACCAGGGGCTTTCAGCGGAGAGCAAAGGGGCACGAATGTATACCCACTAGATCCGGCGACCCCAGCCAAAGCCTAAAGGCATCGTATCGCTGGTGAGGGACCCATCTTCACGGAGAAATCTTGCCTGACTTGAATTCATCAGGACTGGGGTATTTGTTTTCATCGTGCGTCATCGCCCGAAATGTTTGGTTATTTGGAGATATTGAGTCTCAAAGTGGTGGGGGCTTACCATGCGTTTGCAAATACAACAACACCTGACAAACTGGGTCAGCGGCCGTCGTTAAATGAGCATGATACTAACCTTTAGTGATGAAATAGCCTTTGTAGATGTCACTGGTTGTTGTTGCGTGGGGGTTGCCTGGGAATATTGTCAGTGTGCTTTTTCTTGATGTACGCTGAAACTTAATATATATCCCATCCGACCAAAGCGAGCCCCACACCAATTCTGAGCCCTGGATGATCATGATAAAAAAACTGGACTGCCCGGGTAATAAGGAACATGAAAGAGGACGGGATCGAAGCTTAGCAGCGGATCGCGAGCTTCCGATCGGACATATTCAGACATGGCCTTTGTAAGTGTCCGCCCGGGGATTCGCATTTTCATGAAGTTCTGCACGATGGACCGTGGACAGGCTCAGACACCAGGGACTTTCCCCCGCAGGACAGCAAGGCCAACGTTGACAGGCGGCAGATAGATGGGATCTAAGGACATGCGTGGCTACACCATATGAACCAGGACTCTAGCCACTGCGCCAGGACCTCCGCAGAACACCCGCGCCAGGTCTCCGACAAGAAATGAAGTGGCGGCACTTCCAAGTGTGGGATGGAATTATTCAGGTTTGGGGCGGATGGAAGGAACATGTGCAGGAGTCAGTGGTTCTCGATCGAAGAAGGCTGCGCGTCGAATAGTGTGTGTGAGTATTGTAGTAGACGTCCCGTCCAAGTGAGCCAGTGTATGATATAATTACAAGCTATTTGCGTGACACAGATGCTGTCAAGGTAGAAATGAAAACGGCTCGAAAATCTCTGCGTTTCAAATTGCACGAGTAAGCCCTCGCCGCGAGCGTAGCGTCTAGCGCACTTCGCTCTTACTGGAGCTTGAGAGCTGAGTGACCTGCGGTTGAGAATTGTAGACGGGGTGACACGATCGAATACTTACCGGTGAACCAAGCACATAAGCTGCCATTCGTAGCTTCATCACTCTTCTCTATGATGGATTGGTACGATTCCACAGCTGCTCCAATTCTGCCTGCCAGAAAGAGCGCATGACAGTGTTGCTGGTTTGCAGTTTGCCACAAAGACTTGAGATCCCAGCCGAACAGCTGCAAAAAACCCATAGTTGACCATGAAAGGGATATTCAATTACGTCACGCACCACAACAAATTCCTCGTACATAGAATGAATGTCCAATTTATAAAAGAAAGTACTAGCATTGACGGCAGCAGTGAAATGGTCAACGGCTTCGTTGTAGCGTGCGCCATTCAAAGCGATGTTTCCCAGTTGGACGCGTAGATATGCCTGATGTGCAAAGGGAAAAAAGAAAAAAATGAGTGCCAGCACACGAAACTGGACGTGATCGGAGTGCATGATACACACTTCCACAATACGACAGGCAAGAGGATCGGTATTGGGACACCCGGCTAGCTCTCCGATGCGCAGCATCGCCTCTTCATGTTCATTTGCATTGAACAGCGCAATGGTCTGAAAATCGCAATGAAGTATGGGATATGCAAGAGAAATATTACCTGCCTTGATGAAAAAAAGAAAATGATCGGTCTTTACATCTCCGTTCGTGAACGTGGACGCAAGGTCAAATGATGTCCTCGCGAGCTGGACCCGCTTTTTTCCACAGAGGGCGATGCCCTTGGAAATGTGGCCTGCCAACGAGGGCTGAATGCTGACGGACTATGTCACCATCGAAGTCAGCTTTCATAAGGGGCCATAATAGGTCAGTCTATCTCACTCGAATTGCATCGTGAAGCGCGTGGTCCCAGTCGTGTTTTCGCGCCATAACAATTGCGCGATGGGCATAGGGGGTATGTTCATCACAACCATCACCGATCTCTGCGTTTAGCACCTTTTCAGCTGTGGGAAAGTCCCCAGCTATGCATGCATTGCGGACTGTCGTCTTAATAGCGAGAACCTGCGTGGAGCATGTTCGTTTGGCGTTATCAGAATCAAAGAAGGGAACGTGCCTTGAAATCAAAGTAGCCTTGAGCCTTGACGTGGACACTTAGACGATGAAGAGACAGGAAATTAAGAGAACTTACCCGGTGTAACACCTGGTCCTTCATGAGACCATCCTTTGAACCATCCTCTGGCAAAGCGTCTTCGGATGCTGACCACTGCGAGATCTTCTTATCTACACCTCCGCTGAGGATGTGCCTGCCATCTGCGGAGAAGATGACGCAGTTCACCTCGCCAGAGTGCTTGAATACGGCGATGGTTCGTAGATCTGAGAACCGCAAGAGGCGGACATGGTTGTCATCAGATGCGGAGGCTAGGAGAGTGCCGTTTGAGTTCAGGGCAATGGCGCGGATACTCTTGAAATGACCACTCCACGGTCCATTATACTGCGTCCAGGTCGATGAATTCGGGTACCACTTTCGTATGGTGGGATCTTGATGATCTCCCCCTGTGAGTAGGTATCCATCGGGTGTCCACGCGAGTGAGTAGTTGTGGAGTCCTGGAACTGTATTCTTATGCTGAGCCTGGAAGGAGCTGCTGAAGTCGGCTTTTGTTTTGGGATTGTTGTATGAATTGTCGGAATAGTGGCCGTAATATCCATAGTTGTTACGGTTACGGAGGTTTGAAGTATAGGCTGCATAGTATGAATTGTAGTCCCAATCGTCGTAGCCAGCGTGGTAAATTTGGATATTGTGCTCTGTTGCAATTGCAAGTTGAAGATGTTCGCGTGAATATGAATGTGGCGCTGGAAAATACCGAACGCAGCGGACGCTTGTACCACAGTTAATTGCGTTTCCTTCCAGCTTCCACGTTGAAGTGTTCCACAGCTTCGTCGTCGAGTCTGTTGACCCACTGGCCAGCACTTTCCCATCTGAAGAAAAGTCTAGCGATAATATCCAACCGGTGTGGGCACTGATAGCTTCGGTGAGAGGCTCGCCGGTTTCTCCATCCCAGACAAAGAGCTCTCCGTTGGTGTCACCACTTGCTATAAACTGTCCATCCCGCGATACCGCCAACGCCCGCACCCGACTGTGATGCCCCTCCATCTTCTTCAACACCACACCTGTCGTCAAGTCCCACAGACGAAGCGTCGTGTCGTACGAGCATGTGACCATACGCCGTTTATCAGAGAAAACTGCGACTGCGGATACGCGTGCTTCGTGATCTTCAAACACCCGCACGGGTATGGTGCTTGGAATGAGTTGTGCCATTTTCTGGAGGTTGACGGTATTGAGCACGGTCGATGTGAACTTGGTGGGGAAATTGTGGCTCGAAGTTACGGAGGTACGTGTTACTGGGGCGTTTTCATACTGCTTTATAGCATTAACTTCTCACTAGATGCCCAAAACATGAGGCTGTTATCATAAGCACCTTGTTTGGCGATCTGCGCGACTGAGCTCACGCGTCCGAGACTTGTGTCGCCGCAGCTTTCCAGATGTGTCAAAAAGCCTGTTCGCACGACCCACTATCACTGCAGGTGTCGAAAAACACTATCGAATATAGGATGAGTGGACCCAACCCTTCGACCTTCTAGAAACTAAGTTCGAGATACCAAGATTTAGGCATGGGCAGTCTTTGATGGCCGTTATCCTAGCTCAAATCCGGCAGGCGCAACAGCAGTCTTTCAATTTCAACCATGTCCCAAGGCTGGACGACCCCGGTGTAAGTATGGCCGTACTGGTGCACACTGCTATGGTTATGGCGAGAATAACTCTTAATGTGTTATATGTAGGGGTCTGCGCAACAGATAGGAATTTGCCATCCCTCGAGTTTCAATTAGGTCGACGTCCATACACGTGGTATTCCATCTGGTCACATGTTGAATTTCTGTTCCCCAGAATGTTCTTAGCGGAGATTTGACGATTGCAGGGCTTCCTTTGGTCTACTCAGCACTTTAGGCATGTACGACCGAACTCTGCTATCATCGATCATCGAATCGGCATTCATCCGAAGTCGGTCATAGGCCAACTGCTTGATTCGAACCGGCAACTCCCAGGACTGCCCTTTGATCATCTGTTTTCTCATCTGTAGTAATGGGGACCTACGAAGCTGTCATCGCCGCTTTCAGTTTGAGGCGTAAGATTGTTTGGTATCCACTTATTCTACGTATCATCTGCTGTCGATTTCCCTCCTGCACTACCTCCGAGTCGGAAGATCTCTCATGAAAGACCGAATCTGATTTACCCCAGATCAAATTCGGCCGTCCCCGAGATTTGCCAAAGCCTGTACGAACGACAGGACACCACTCCAATGATGGGCAGTTGGAAGTCTGCGACTTTCCGTGGACTCCCGGCAGTAACATCGGTCTGCTGGTGGGGGTCGTGGCTCGCAAGGTTGATGGAACAATCGCAGTTGTGTGACCAGTAACACTTAGATGCTCATGTGTGTGACAACTCGCGTCTGCAATTGTGTGTGATGACAAGTCATTTCGTAGTGTACTCCCGCACGAACTGACCATATGTACCAGCCAGCTGAGGACGTCGAAGAGCGCGAGTTCTGGCGGCGGATGTATTGGGTGGTGAAGGGGTCACTGGGAACACCGTTCGCGTCATCTCGAAAGCGGTTTGCCCATGTGCTCTCCCCCCGAGTCCTAGATAACACACAGTTCTTTGTAAGTCTTCCAGATTTCTCTTCCACAACCTGGTACTCAGCCTTTGATCTTTAGTTCACCAGCACTCACCATTCCACCCGTATCAATTCCCATGAGCAAGCTTACAACCGGTCGTCTAATACTGGAGTTAAGCATTATGACTTTTCCTCAATCTGCGTTTCGACAATAAGTGCGTGACAATATACAACACGCCACCAGCCAATGAAATGATCTATGATCCAGTTAATCACAATCGGCTTGAATGGAAGGAGGAGTAACCACGGAACTCACCCCGGAGAACAGTGCAGGAATCCACCAGGTATAGTTTGATGTCAACAGAGCGCCGGATATAGGGGGTCCTAGATGAAGTCTTAGAGTTTAATGCAAGAAAGGTTATGAATGCACTTACCAATCAAAACGCCAAATCCTGCACAGAGCGCATGCGAGTTTGAGACGATATATAAGTGATTATAATCTGATGATAATACTCACCAGTAACGAAGAAAGCGATGCCCATCCGCGCGCTATGAATTAGATAAGTTAGTTCTTTCATCTGAATTGAAACCATCACTCACCCAAGCTCAGAGAGGTCAGGTGTTAAAAAGACCATAAGTGGACCTAACATCGCGACGTCTACGTGATCAATTAACCAATCTTGAACTTTATTACTTACTATCAGAAAAGACAAGTACTTACACAACCCTTGAAAAAAGCCATAAAGCACACCGAGCACAACGACGGTGGCCGAATTACTCAATCCAATCATGCCAAAATTGAGGGCAGCGCACATCATCGTCGCAGCTATGGTTAAGAGTGGGGTTCCTGTGAACGTCGCGATGAACCCCGCCGTGACTCGTCCTACAGAACTGGACACATTTAAAATCACAAGCTGGCGAGCCTGTCAGCAGCTAAATCGATCGTTTGCATAGCGATGGAACCCACAGAGTAAAATGACAAGGTAACGCCGATACCGTGTTTGATAGAGTCGAGTTGAAGGTAGAACACCGGGTAGTAAACGCCAATCTGGAAAATACAGGTCCTGCAGGATGGTCATTTAGGAGAATCTAAGAGAATGTGTGTTGCAGGCCTTACGCTGCTGTCATGACGATAAACGGTACATCGCGAATACATTTTCTAGCTACCACAATGTAGTCCACTGGTGTCTTCGGCGGATCAAGGCGAGTTCGCATGCACAGACATGCAATTAAAAGGAGAGCGCTGATGAACCCTGCACTTGCACGAACACCATTGGAGAAGCCAGTAGGACCATTCAGGAGTTTATTGAGCATAATCGGATGGACGGTAGCACCCAACGAAGAACCTGCAGCGACAGCCGACATAACCACCGTGCGTTTTCGTCGGAAATGATGCGCTAAGACTGTCGCGCTCGGGACAAACATCAGCCCCGACGCGATACCCGAGCCTACACCTTGAGCAAGGAATATCTACACAAAGTCAGAAATAAGACCAGAAAGCTGTGAGATTTTACCTGGTAGTACTGATCGGGCTTCGCCAAGGACAACATGAAGAGAGAGAAACTCTGCAGAAGTGATCCGGCAATGATGAGATGGTAGCTATGTAAGCATGGTGAATATCGTCGAGAACATATTATAGAGCCAACTCACAAATAACCTCGGTCAAACAGTGAGCCTGATACAACGCCCACAGTGGTGAGGAAAAAAAAATTCAAGCTCCCGATCCATCTACGAGAGGAATTAAGGATATCCAGCATGGAAACGCAAGTAGAAACCTACGATATTGCAGATGATGTCTCTTTTGTCAGGTAATGCTGGGAATAGAAATCTAGAAGATAAGGCGTTTTATAGTCACTGTCATGGATGGCAATACCTTCATAGACACCGAATGAATTAGCATAACTTCACTAACCGTTATCCACCGTGCTATTCTTTGAACTAGCACTAGACTCACCCGTAGCCGCAGAACTGTACAAGAAACCTAAGCAAATCGAATGAGACAGCTTTACCATCCAACAAATCCAAGCGTTCTTACGATCCAAAAGCAGTGGCCCAACCTGTCCAACCACCTTCGGGAAATTCCTGTGCGCTTGAGGGAGGGTCGTAGTCTAGGCTGACTACAGGTGCCTCTGTATCGTCTTTGGCATCTTCGGGGGCAGCACCTGGCGTAGAAAGATATTGAAGTTTGAGTTCGGACGCCATCCGTGGACTTGAACAAGTCCTGGTATCGAGTTGCGGTTACATATATATATTACTCGCCTCTGCTTCTCGGAGGAGAAAATGGGGTGTTTGCTTATACCAACCAATAAGGATCAAGGCTAGCTCTCAAATTCAAATTATTGTTATCTGGAATGATGGTAAGCAGGCACTACTTCGATCCACAGGGAGCCAATCCAGATTCCAGATCTGGCATAACCAGTGAGCTTCGAAACAGAATCGCTGATGCGACCGTGCGGCATAGGTGTGCGCCGGGTTAGGTCGGAGTGAAGCCGCTGCTTCTGACGGTAAATACATGGCACCTTTCACATACCTCAAGAACTGCCGACTGTTGCTTGCAGACTCTTTTATTTCGTTGTCATTCATCCTTATTCATGATTTCGTTTTTCGCTTTCCGACGGCACCTTCCGCATTATTAATGCACAACCACTTAAGCGGGGTCTCAACTTGAAAATCACTCACGCGTCACGAGCCAAGTGAAAGGCATATCAGGCCTTCAGGTCTGAAGGTTGAACAAAGACTCGTCACCGCAATAGTAGTATCGTGCCGTTCACGTATCGCTGTAACGACCAATTTTAGATGTAATCAACGAAAAAAAAAATTGAGAACCAGCACTGACTAGTGTTCCGTGAAAGTCCCAAGAGTTCTTGACATGTGTTTAACTCGGCGCCTCCTCGAGGGGGGTTTTGACACGTGTTTTTAAACTAGTTTTTGATAGGTTTCGAAAATGACTTTACCTGGCTGCTGGGAACTGGATTTGCTCCGAAATTCCAGCAGCGTGTCGGAAAGTAAGTCAACGAGCCGATAATGTGGACCGTGCATACTGACTTTGTTACTCTGCCTAATGGAGAATCGAGACTAGTCAAAAGGTCGCGGTAATGCTGAGACTTACTATTACAGGTTACAGGTACACAAGTACTTATGATGCGACATCCGAATGTCAGGTAAGTATAATAACCTGCCATACACGTTGGGCTTTTGAGTATTTAATCAAAACATGTCAAACCGAGTGAGTTAGAAAACATTTCACGGAACACTAGCACTGACCACCGTCGCAATTCACCGATCAGTGTTGATCCATCTTGATGTTTCCTGATGTTTCCTGGGCCAGAAACGTGTAAAAGCAATTCAATTCCGAATTGCACATCCATCAATTAAACAAGGCGACATTTAACTTCTCACCTTATCGCAGCTTTTCGATATGCAATACTACCACACTCTTGTTCAACTCTCATGCAGGGTGCGGTTATAGGGTGTATATCCAAGCGAAGATCGGAGCAAAGGTGACCAAACCATTCTCATGCCCCCTTCCAATATGAAATCGAAGCATTGAGAAGGGGTAAACCATTTCTAAGGCAGAAGGCGGTGGTTCTATCCATCGAGGCATGGACCACGAAGATCCGCAGCAGATCTCCATGGTACAGCAGTCGAAGCCTACAGGTGGCAAGCAAGGCAGCTGAGGACGGGATCGAACTTGAAGGGTACGATTGTTCAATGACCTATTATAGTAGGATAGTAGATCATTAGGTCTGAGCGGACTTTGTAACCTATGTTGCCCTCATTAGCCCAACGCAGGTCGCACTAGGCTCGTGACCAGCCTGGCGTATACTACCACGGATGCTTGAGTGGCGTAGCCAGGCTGGTCGATCTCGGAAAGATTTGGCAGGGGAAGCACGGAGTTTGAAAATTTGCAGTTGCCGATTGTGCCGGTGGTACTCAATCTCGAATCACTATACCGTAGTCTTTGTGCGTTCACGCATATGCTATGATCGTGGCCTTGCAACCATGGATTGCGAGGCCGTTCCTGTTTCCCCAATGTCCCTTGCTGCGCTAGATGCACTTGAGAACCTTCCGACAGAGTTTATTGAACCTTTGCATATATCCCAGCGCCAGAACATTGTAGACTCTTTCGCCCGACTCGATTTTCTTACAGAAGGAACGAAGCAACCAAAGCTGTTTCAACTCGAGTGCCTCATGTCATTGCTTGCATCAAGACATGTTGTTGTCCGGGCTGCAACAGGTGCTGGCAAGACACTGGCAATGATCCTTCCCTTGCTGCTCTCTCCCGACAAGATTGCAATCACTATCACACCATTGAAGCTTTTGCAAAAAGATCACGTACGCTTGACTCGGAAAATTCATTCTAAGGTTGTGTTACGCAGTGGGTATATGATTGTCGTGGTGCCTGACTGGACTTTCGGGGGGGCTAAAGCACGCTGTTCAACATCCATGCTCGATGTCGAAAGAGAGCAAGTACTCCGGAGTGATGTCCTTTGTAGACATATGAAAAATCGGCTTAGCGTCCTCCATCTCCACATCGATCTCACGGGTGACGAGTTCTATAGCGCGAGGTCGCAGTACATTCTGAAGTTGAATGGCTCCTTGCTCATCGGACTCCAGCACGTTAAGAAATCGTGCGAGTGCAGAGCTTCGGAAGAAGCCCTTCCTCCAATTGATCATGGCAGGTTTTTGCGAGACAGAGCACAGAAGTAAGTCTATTACAGTCATCCGCAAGCCACGAAGTATTTCCAGGATAGCTAGAACTTTGATGTCTTCACTGAGGCCACGGTGGTCAACTGTCCATGCCAGAAGTTCGGATGGTTGATGATAGTGCAACATCTGAGGTAAAAGCACAGGAAATGGTATCATTATACTGCGAACAAATGATGCAGCGTCGTTGACGCTGGATGATAACGACGATAACATCAAGCGGCACAATCGGCAACTGCAAATTTTCGAACTCCGTGCTTCCCCTGCCAAATCTTTCCGAGATCGACCAGTCTGCCTACGGCAAAATTCACACACATCTCAAAAACGCACGTAGGCAGAATGGTTACGAGTCTAAGGTCGCACTACAACTCATACTTTTGGTATCAGTCACTAGCAGAGTTAGTACTACACATGGTGTGGCACAGATTACTGTACCACCGACTCGTTCAAGTTAGCGTTCCAGAAAATGGTCCCCAACCCTCCATCGACATTTTTTTTCGTGATATACACATAGCAAGTGAGCGCTTGAGCCTTGAGCCCACCTGCGTTGATTCTGGGTTTTGTAAACTACCGCGGGTTGCACTCGACGGTGGTTGGCCCTGTGTGTTCTCCCTCAGAGTCTTCGATCAGCGGATAGTTCGTAAGTGCTCTGTGCTACATATCCATCCACTTCCCATTCTGATGAACGTGTTCCGTTTTGTCTCGTTTCTTCTTCTCCGCAGGCCCCAACTCGAGACTCAGCTACAACACACACCCAGTTCTCCCAGCGTCCGGTTTTTGCGCAATTAGAACCTCGAGTCAATCGCGCCTCGGTAATAAATCCAGACTGGCGACCGCTTCAATTTTAAACTAAACTGGAATGATGAAATGGTCATCAGTCTGGGTTATTGACAGCGAGTAGGGCAATCTGTAGGTAGGGCATTGGGCAAGAATCAAACAACTTGCCTACAACTCTACAAGAGATATTGGCAGGGACGAGTTGCTGAGAAAAAATGATGAGTGGGGCCCATTTCCATTGGTGCCTTCCACGTCGGGTCCTCCTCCGGGGCTTTCGGCGGCCCCTCCTCCTGTATCTGTATCCGCTGTTCAATTATTGGCTTCAATTCCTTCGTTTGCCTCATCAATTCAGATAGGTCGCTGCCGGTGAGTGCATCGTATATATCCAAAATATACTGCACTCGTTCATTCCTCTCCTCCTGAACTTGATTGTAGGAAATTTTGTATATGTCTGCCTGATCACAATATCTGCCAGGGACCCTGTTCCCAGTGAGCGCCTGGTCAGAGGAGGTGGACGACAACTTCTTGTACGTGTCCTCCTAGTCAAACATCTGGTACGTGCAGCAGCCTTCTCGATGAGAGCTCGTATTGATCTGGGAGATTTTGCCAAGACGCAAGCTGCGGACTCTACCGTCCACGTTGGCAACTTGATCCAAGCACTTATTGATGTAATTCGAGAGGGTCAGCATCTCCGGCAGGAGTTCAGAGTTGTCGAGGTTGACTGTGTTAAGGAGTTCGACTGAACAGAGGTTCTGAGTGACGGAGTGCATGTGCAAGAGAAGCATATGACCCTAGCCGATGAGCCGGGCAAAGAAGTTGTAGTCATCGACGTGGAGTATTCTTGAAGATCCAGTCCAACTGTTGCAGTGACTCCCACACCGCTGACTCGTCCGATATGATGTCGTGATATGTCCTGGCTAGGAAGCCCGGCCCGATGACGTCAGCCTGCTTTGATTGAAGACTGCGGGAATGGTCGGTAGATATACGTTATAGAAACGGTCACGAGCAGTTTGAATGCTGGCGAAGTCGGTCCCGGCGAATAACCTCACGTCGGTAGAATTGATCAGGCGGGTAGCGTCTGAGCGTGATGGTGCTTTGAGCATCTGCGGCCTCAAAGAGGGAGCAGATTGCGTCTGAAACCTCGAGAAGGGTGATGATCGCACTGATGGTCGATCCGGCCATGATCATGGACTGGAAAACGAGTTGGTGACCTCTTCCGACAGTCTAGGGGACGCACCTGTGTGTAGATATAGCTGCAGATCGCACTTGGATGAGGTTCTCATCAGGAACTTGGTTCTGTGATGAGCTGCGTGTGCAGAGAATAGCGTGGAAGCCGAGATGTGATGTAAATGTGATGCAAAGGTGAAAACGTTGGAGGTATTTACCGTGCAGACTAGTAGGGCCTTACAGACTCCAGAGGCTCATATGAGTACGATCGCGTAGCCCCTCCATGTCCCTGTAGTTGTCGTCAGCTTGCTCTTGTCATCGACTATCATATATCATTATGTCAGATGACAGATCCAACCTATCTCCAACCCTCATTCCACAAATGCATGTTAGATACGTCAAGGAGTGTGTTAATCACTGCCTGTGCAAGACCCTTCCTTCGGTGCTTAGATGGGTTCTATATTCCCGTTTGCTTAAGCACTGACATATTCCTTCCTACCTCTCATCTCGTCTCTCAACTTATCGATGGTAGGATCTCTTACTTATTCGCGAGATCGTCACGTACGGTACGTAATATGCATGCCAATGGAAGCCGGGGTCCCACGAAATTGAATACCCATATCTCGCTGTCGAACAACTAAGAGATATCGGCACTTAGTATTTGTCCCCCTTGATGAGAAACGCCAAGTACGGGACATTGCTACCTTTCGTTATATCTCTTTCCCGCGACACCATACGCGTGATCTCGGTGTTCCAGAATTCCCTCGTCGCTGCCAGAGAATGTGCATAAAATAGATATTTGTAGAGCATTGTCCTCTATTCAAAGGTCAAAGACGAGAATGTGGAATGAGGCCTAAAGACTGGAAGGTAGAATTACGAGCTCATTCCACATTCCCGTCTTTAGATGTTCGACCTCCATGAATGAGCCAAGACGGCATAGATCATATGTCAGATGCGCAAGGGTCGGAGCGGACTTCTTGAGCCTCCGTATGCAGTGGTTTGATATGAAACCGGCGAGAGTGGTCAGTTCGTGCAGGCCTGCAAAACGACTTGTCACACTCACGTGCATCTAACCGTCACTGGTCACACAATTTGACTCGAACTGGGACTTAAGTATGTCCGATCGAGCCACTGGTTCAAGTACAGCAAAACCCGCTGTCCCAGGTCCGACAATCAACATTGGTGGCGCGAGGACCGACACTCGTGAGTCCCAGAGACCCAGGTTGAACGATGATTTCCTCAGAGTCAGACACTATTCGAGAGCCTGCGAGACACGACCTCAACAGCAGACCGATGTTGCTGCCGGGAGTCTAAGGAAAGTCGCAGATTTACAACTGCCCATCGAGTGGTGTCCTGTCAGCCGTACTGGCTTTTGACAGAACTTGGGGACGGCCAAATTCCATCCAGGGTAAATCAACTTCGGTCTTTCATGAAACATCTTCCGAGATGGTGCAGGATAGTAATCGAAAGCAGATGGTACGTAGAATATGTGGATCCCCAACAATCTTGTGCGTCACCCTGAGAGCGGCGATGACAGCCCCACAGGTCACTATTACTACATAATGAGAGAACAAATGAACAAAGGGCAGACCTATATGCAAAGAGGAGTTACCGGTTCGAATTCAGCTGATGGCCCATGACCGACTTCGTATGAATGTTCATTCGACGATGGCCTCAGAGTTCGAAACGACTAATTATCTTCAATGTTAATGGCAAATACACCAGGTTGTACACGCCTAAAGTGTTGAATAGATCAAATCTCACTCGGCTTCCTAATATAACATGTCAAGAGTTATTCTTGCTATAACCATAGCAGTGCGTACCAGTACGGCCACACACCGGGACCGTGCAGCCCCGGGACATGGTTGAAATTGAAAGGCTGCTGTTGCGCCGGCCAGATTTGAGCTGGGATAACGGCCATCAAATATTGTGCCTGCCTACGCCTATAACTTGGTATCGAGTTGGTTTCTGAATGGTTCGAGGGTTGGGTTCACTCATCCTATATCCGATAGTCTGTTTCAGCACCTGCAGTGATAGTAGGTCATGCGATCAGGCTTTCTGACACATCTGGAAAGCTGCAACGACATGAGTCTCAGACGCATGGGCTCAGTCGCGCAGATCGCCAAACAAGGTGCTTATGATAACAGCCTCATGTCTTGGGCGTCTACTGAGAAGTTGATGCCATGCAGCAGCATAACAACACGCACCTCTGCTACTTCGAGCTAGACACCCACAATCTCCCCACCAAGTCCACCTCGACCGTGCCCAATACCGTCAACCTCTAGAAAATGGCGCAGCTCATTCCAAGCACCATACCTGTTCGAGTATTTGAAGATCACGAAGCTCGTGTATCCGCAGTCGCAGTTTTCTCTGATAAACGGCGTATGGTTACATGCTCGTACGACGCCACGCTTCGTCTGTGGGACCTGACGACAGGTGTAGTGTTGAAGAAGATGGAGGGGCATCACAGTCGGATTCGGGCATTGGCGGTATCGCGGGATGGACAGTTTATAGCAAGCGGTGACACCAACGGAGAACTCTTTGCCTGGGATGGAGAAACCGGCGAACCTATCACCCAAGCTATCAGTGCCCACACCGGTTGCATATCATCGCTAGACTTTTCTTCAGATGGCGAAGTGCTGGCTAGTGGGTCATTAGACTCAACGACGACGCTGTGGAACACCTCAACGTGGAAGCTAGAAGGAAATGCAATCAGTTGCAGTACAAGCGTCCGCTGCGTTCGGTATTCCCCATGTGCACAGTCACACACACATCTTGCAATTGCAACAGAGCACAATATCTACATTTACCACGCTGGCTACGACGATTGGGACTACAATTCATACTATGCTTCATACCTCTATCACCGTCAATATAGATATCACGGCCACTATTCCCACAATCCATACCAGAATCTCAAAACCAAAGCCGACTTCAGCAGCTCCTTCCAGGCTCAGTATAAGTCAACGATCACCGGCACAGGACTTCACAACTACTCACTCACGTGGACGCCCAATGGACGCCTACTCACAGGGGGAGATCATCAAGATCCCACCATTCGAGAGTGGCGCCCGAACTCATCGACCTGGACGCAGTGTCGTGGACCGTGGACTGGTCATTTCAAGAGTATCCGCGCCATTTCCCTGAACTCTAACGGCACTCTCCTAGCCTCCGCATCTGATGACAACCATGTCCGCCTCTGGCGGCTCTCAGATCGACGAACCATCGCCGTATTCAAGCACTCTGGCGAGGTGAACTGCGTCACCTTCTCTGCAGATGGCAGGCACATCCTCAGCGGAGGTGTAGATAAGAAAATCTCACAGTGGCCAGCATCCGAGGATGCTTTGCCAGAGGATGGTTCGAAGGATGGTGGTCTCATGAAGGAATATGTGACACGCCAGGTAAGTTCGTTTTTATTTCCCGCCTCTTCGTCATCTAAGCGTCCTTCTACGCCAAGGCTCAAGTGTACTTTGATTTCAAGGCATGTCCCCTTCTTTCACTCTGATAACACAGTGCGAACATGCTCCACGCAGGTTCTCGCTATCAAGACGACAGTTCGCAATGCTTGTATAGCTGGGGACTTTCCTACCGCTGAAAAGGTGCTAAACGCAGAGATCGGCGATGGTCTCGACGAACACACCTCCTACGCCCATCGCTCATTTGTTATGGCGCGAAAATGCAATTGGGACCGCGCCCTTCATGATGCAATTCAGGCGAGATAGACTGACCCATTATGGCCCCTTGTGAAAGCTAACTTTGACGGTGACATAGTCCGTCAGCATTCAGCCCTCGTTGGCAGGCCACATTTCCAAGGGCATCGCCCTCTGCGGAAAAAAGCGGGTCCCGCTCGCAAGGACATCATTTGATTTCGCATCCATGTTCACCAACGGAGATTTAAAGACCGATCATTTTCTTTTTTTCATCAAGGCAGGTAATATTTCTCTTATATGTCTCGTACTTCATTGCGAATTTCAGACCATCGCGCTGTTCAATGCGAATGAACACGACGAGGCAATGCTGCGCATCGGAGAGCTAGCTACGTGTCCCAATGCCGATCCTATTGCTTGTCGTGTGGTGGAAGTGAGTATTATGCACTCGCCCAGTTTCACATGCTGGCACTCATTTTTTTCGTCCTTTGCACATCAGGCATATCTACGCGTCCAACTGGGGAACATTGCCTTGGATGGCGCACGCCACAACGAAGCTATTGACCACTTCACTGCTGCCGTCGATGCTAGTACTTTCTTCTATAAGTTGGAAATTCATTCTATGTACGAGGAATTTGTCGTGGTGCGTGATGTAACTTATCATCATTTTCATTACTCAATTGTGGGTATTTGCAGCTGTTCGGCTGGGACCTCAAGTCCTTGTGGCAAACCGCGAACCAGCAACACTGTTGTGCACTATTTCAGGCAGGCAGAATTGGAGCAGCCACCGAATCGTACCAATCCATGATGGAGAAGAGTGATGAAGCTACGCATATCAGCTTATGTGCTTGGTTCACTGGTAAGTATTCAGTCGTGTCACTCCGTCTACAATCCTCAACCGCATGTCACTCAGCTCTCAAGCTCCAGTAAGAACGAAGCGCGCTAGATGGTACGCTCACGGCGAGCGCTTACTCATGCAGTTGAAACAGAGATCCTGGAGCCGTTTTCATTTCGACTTTGGCGGTGTCCGTATCACGCAAATAGCTTGTAATCACATCATATACTGGCTCACTTGGACGGGACGTCTATTACAATGGCTCACACACTGTTCGACGTGTTGCCTTCACCATCGGTTCGACATTTTGACCACCTTCGATCGAGAACCACTGACATGTTCCTTCCATCTGCATATGCTTGACGAATGAGATCGTTAGAGAAAACTACTCGCGTTAATGTTATGTTCGGCGAATGGGGTCGATGACACAACAGAAGTAAATTCCTTTCGAGAATCCAAGAAGCCGCGTTAGCAAATGTTGTGCTAGGGATCTTCGATAAGAGACTTTGCTTGCACCAATCGAGAAGGATCATAGAGGGCTCCCTAAATTCGGAATTGCTATTACCTGGAACGACAGTGGCAAGCCTTCGATCTACAGCCTGGAGTCAGTCCAGATCAGGCTTGACATCACCAGCAAGCTTCGCCTAATACTGAAAATGAATCGCTGACGCCACTGTGTGCGCGCGCCGCCCACTGAAGCGAACCTTAGATTTGGGCTGGAGGTCAAATCGCTGCTTCCAAGGCAATTATCTAGTGCCTTTCACAAAATTACAACCACCAAACGCAGTCTCAAACCACTCACGCTCATGAGCCAAGTCCCGTAGCATATCATATCCGAAGGTTGCACAAAGACTTGTCGATGTAATCAACGAGCAAAAATGAGAACAATGTTGCATTGACCATATTTTGATGAATCGTCGTAATAAGTACGCGAATATTATTGTGTCCTGGGTAACAGACAAACCCCTTCTGCCATGAAGAGTTGAACAAGAGTGTGGTAGTATCACGCTGTCCCCAGCCGGCATAGCCTTGCCGCGCTGTGGAGTGAAAAGCTTAAATTTCGCCTTATTCCACGAAGATCGGAGCAACCGTGACTACTCCCATGGCCCTTTCCAAGATGAAATAGAAACGTTATAAACCATTGAACTGGCAGCGCGCCGATGCGTCGACGAATGACGTAGTTGTAGGCCTCTGACAATTCGGACTTTGAAACCTACTAGGCCTGGCGCCTAACCTCAGACCGTCTTGTCCACCGCCACTTCGTCTACTGTTCGACTTGTCTGAGCTCTCCCGCGTGATTGCGTATCTTTTCATTTGTTTCTTGTGAAATATCGTGTGCAGGACCCACTTACAACTCTAGAAATACTTTCGGTACCAGTCACGAGCAGAGTCAGTGATATGGGTATCCAGGTGGTACTACTTGCTATACTGTACCACTGACTCTGAGTCGTGCAACAGCGTTCCAGAAAACGGTGAGCTCGCGAGCGTTGATCCCCAGTAGAAGTCCACTGTTCCCAGAATGGCTGAGGTTGTGCGAGATTGTGCGAAATTTTGAGACGAAGCTGAGATTGTTTGAGATTGGCTGGCGGTGTTAGTGCACTAGTCTGAGATTGTGCGAGGTTGTATGTCTCTAACGTCGTCACTGCACATTGCATGTTGCACACAACAAATTGCATACATTTTACACAACGTCAATGGCGAAGCTTATCACAGCATAAACGCGCGGATTATAGATGCGGTAGAATGTGGGAGAAGTGTGAAAATACACCGGAATATTGCAACATTCTCTGTCACATACTCGCTGCCGGAATTGTGCTGGAAGTTACAGACTTCTCTGTAGTTATCACGAGGTTCTCCTGTAGATTATCCTCAGAATTCGCAGAAGATTTACCATAGAAGGACTAATATGATACCCAGCAAATATCCCGGCGCTGCTGCTTCGACGATGCTCGCAGTAGCGTCTACTATTAATCATCACGCTCAGTCGTTGCCCATAGCGAAGAAAGAATGTGATTACGGGTGTCATGCGGATAAGAAACAAGCTTGTTGTCAGCTGGTAAGGCCTGTCCAGTATCCCCCACCATCCCCGTCAATGACATTGGACTACAACTTCAACTTTCCACCTCTGTCCTCGATGTTTGGCCCTGGAGCAAGCGCGGGGTATAGTCCGGGGATGCCTCATGGAATGGGCATAGGTTCTATGCCACGCTATGCGGCGTCTTCTCCCCCTCCTGACTTTGGTGGTCGAACCTCTGCATCTCCTGTTCTGCCCCAATTTGATCCGCGGCTGGCGTCGGCAACACCAGGTGCATCTGCTGATGGAAGCAGCTCACACCAGCCCAGCGGGGATGCTCCTTCGAAGTCCTTGAAGATATCAGCTGTTCTGAATGATTTAGCGATAATCAACCGTCGTTTGACTCACGCTGAAACGCTCGAAGTCCAACATGCACAACAAGTTCGTGTGCTTGAGGCGAAATTTGCGGAACAGCTCGAGGCCATGCAACGCCAGTGGGACTCACAGCTCAGAGAGGCGCAGCAGGTGTGGAATACAGAGTTTGAGAGTTTGAAATGTATGATTCGAGTGTCAACGAAGTGTGCGAGTTTCTAACGCCGGTAGTGGGACTGACGAGGAAGGGATGGACGAAGGAACTCGAGAAGGATGTTGAGAGGATGGAAAAAAGTGCGGCTGCATATGGAGATAACGGTCTGAAGGTTCGTCAGTCGTGTTTAAAAATAGTGTGCACGCACTCAATCAAATGCAGGCTGTTGTGCGCATGGTGTTCCAGACACTCATGGGAGTTGGAAAACTGACGGCAGATACTCTACCTGCCTACCCAAAGGACGGAGCTACATGGCCTGTGGATGAGGCAACTAAGGAGCGCCTTCTTCGATTTCGGTGGGCAGAGACTCACCAGCACGTTGACAATCACGCGAGCATCACTCGGATCTTCCAATATATCCGCAAAAATGGTGTCTCCATCTGCCCTGCATCTGGCCCCGCTTTACGCAACATCAGTGACGAAGATTTACATGACTGTGTTGTGAAAAAATACCAGGATCTCCAACGGAACATCCGCCGCGCTGGAACAGTGCTTCCTGGAGCAGAGACTGACGGTACCGAACCAGCAATAGCACCTTCTGCACCCATCAAATTCCCTTCGCGAGCAAAGACGCAGAGTCGTGCACGTGGGGTAGGTCTCCAAAGTTCATTCTACTGTGTCGTAAAACTTCCTATGGTCCCAGAAAGTCGAAGTCCGCATCCGAAAATTCAACAACTTGCCTGCAACATCTGAGTACAAAGATGAGAAGTATAGAGCAGCACTTACCGAATCACTGATGTCTCCCGATGAAGACGAGGTAGACGATGCTAATAAAAAGACAGGACGCTTCATCTCTCACGCCGCTACATATCGGAGCACATTGGTAAGTGTTGCTGTGACATTTATTAATGAAACATTACATACTTTTGTTCTCAGATGTCACAGTTTTTAGAGGCTGTTGACGACGCTGAAGATCCATCACCACCTGCAACTGGAAAGTACACTGTGGGCGTGAAAGGCAAAGCGAGGGACTTACCATTGGTGGCTGCAAAAAAGATTGAAAATTGTGCCCGTCGGTGGATGGTTTCAAGTGCATGGCTTGCACTTCCGGACAATAAAAAGTTCGATGCTCCCAGCTACATTCTTGACAATGGCCGGGTGTGGGGCGATGCAAAGGACCCGGAGGAGATTCTTGCTGGGCAGAAGTGAGTGAAGGAGGAAAAGAGATTGATTTCGTCAAGAAAGCGGGTCAAGATAGAGGCAATGGAGGAGAAGGGGAAGATGTCAGCGAAAAGCAAGGGAAAGGCTAAGGCTAACTTGAAGAGGCAGGAGCAGCCTGTTGCAAGTACAATTGTGGTATCTGCCGTAGCCAGTTCAAGCACCCTGCGCCTGCCTCCTGCTGCAGTGTGGGGAATTCCCCCACTGTAGGTGTAAAACCCCGTCCTTTCCGCATCGTCTCACATCAGTTCCATGTATTCCACACATTCCGCATTTCCCGCGCATCGTCCGATGGGTTCCGCATTCCCGTGCATCCTTTGGAACCCTGCCCGCACTATCCTGACATTCCTGCACATCGTCGGACAACCTTCGCATGTCCTGTCCCCATCCTTCCAGGTCCATTGGTATGCTGTATCCCTCTTCCCGCTGTTCCTAACGTTATCCGGATCAAACTGACACATGCCCTTATGGCACGGACCCCTATTCCGGAGTATTGCACCCATGTGCACTGCCTGCCTTCACTTCTGCTTCCTGAGAGACTTACTACCTGTACCTCAGTGTTCCTTAAAAATAATCTTCCCTTTAAGTAGTGGTACTCAGGGCTTGGGGTTATTTTTATCGAATCCCATCTTTTACCTTCCCACTTTTCCTTCACCTTACTAGAGGATCACTTTGACTTATGCCCACTATCAATCTAACCTTGTGATATACTTCCTTCAACTTCGCCTGTGAGTTCTGACGAATCAGTACGTTCTGCGCTTTATCCGTTTGAGTTCCGTTTCATTCCTTTCCATTCCGCTTGAGTTCTGCTCGGGTTCCACTTGTTCCATGCGAGTTCCGCTTGTTCCGCATTTTTGCGGATCCTCATCCTACCTGCGGGAGGGTTGATTAGGGTCGTTTAGACAGAGACTAGTACTCCCCAGTAGCAATCCCCTTTAGGGTCGAACATGCTTGCTCTCAAGTGAGGCAGTAGGCAGCAAAGACCCAACTGTGTAGTAGATTGATTTCTCTCTGCTGCACTTGTTTTACCCACAGCGGAAAGCAATGACAACTTTAGTGAGTAGAGTGCGTAACTTCCCTTTGATTACTTTACCTTTCATTGAAAGTCGTCGTCGTCAAGGAGATCCTCTGGTTCATTTCCAGACTATTAAATGTCTTGAGGCGCACTGCATAGAAATATTGAACAACTGTATGCTTATATGATCAAATGATACCGCAATCCAAAGATCCTTCTTGATGATAGCCGAGTGTACAGGGATAAGTGCCAATGGGCACTCGATGTTAGAGACAGGGGATTATTTCGTAAGGGCCAAACTCGTTGGCATATGAGACGTGAATTCCGAGGGTACTTCCACTGAGATTATACCAATGTTTAGTACATGTCAAGATAGAGCAAATGATAGCGAGATTAGCTCACTATCATGTCCAAGGCATGTCTGGAATGCAATCATCACATTGAAGTTGCCTCACCACAGCGCAGATGTGGGGAACAACATCGAGGATACCAACAACAAACAAAGCAATGATTTGAACGGGGACACATGTGGAGTTCCGTGAGATAAATCCCAATGAATCACTCTGCGTGCGATGGTTCATAGTGCAGCCATAGCGTATCCCATCCTTGCAAATATAGGACAACATACGAGCCACCTTGCTAGCGAGGAAAGGAGTGCCATCATCATGAGACAAGTCATTAATGAGTCGAAGTTGAGGCCATAGTCTGCGACAATATTCTAGAAGAAGAGTGTAAAAAACACCAGGTGGACCATGCTGACCGTAAATCGATGAATTTTGCTGCTTGCAGAGGTAAACGGACATTATCTGATGGTAATACACAATTAGAATGATCACGAGAGATCGGTCAAGTGCTCACCTTCGGCAGCCTTGCTGTGATAGACAGCGATCTGTGACATCATACTTCCTCGGGTCTGTGCTTGAACTTTAATGATTCGATTAATTTGCTCTTGCTCAAAGGGACAGGTGTCTGGGGGAAGAGCAAGGAGGTACTCATATATGAGGTGCATCTGCACCCAGTTTCACATGAGTGTAAGCTCCATACAGCCTCCGTCATGACCGTTATGATGGACACGTTCGAGCATGCTGTTGAATCATTCGAAAGCAAACAGCCACCAAGCATAGACCGGGCCAACCTTTTGGATCATTTCGGATATGTGCATTGATGTGTGGTGATTGATTGTCAGGGGAATGCTGAAGCTGAAGGGATTCTAGACAATAGTGCGAGATGAAACTCTGTCCGACCCGAGCCTGTGACATGGAGATAGTGCAGGGAAGAAAGAATACGAACATCTGTGCAGAGAAGAAGGATGGTCTGATAAAGTGAGCGACAGTTGCGTGAAAAGTCAGGTTGAACTGTGTTTGGTGGAAGGGGAGGTTCCTTGTCTGGAATCTCAGTCATTCTCGTCTCTCCAAGACCACCACAGTACAACTGGGGTAACGGTAAGAAGACAGCGCCATTCATCAGCTTTCTTGAGACTTTGGTTCTCGCCCAACTGTCAGATTTGAGGTCAGAATCAATTAATGAACAAGTGTGTGACCATGACAACAGTACATTCTTCGGGAGCCTGAGTAATATGACTGGGCCATCTTACTGCGTTGATAATCTCCTCAAACCTTCGTCTCGGAGAGTTGATGCCTCCAATACTAGAGAGCATGTATCCCCCAAATAAGACACACATGAATAAGTGTGAGATGATACCTACAGAAAACAAAAGTTGGTAAGTTAGTGCGGAACATATAAAAGCTTACCCAAGAAGATGGCATGCATGAAGTTGAGTACCGACTTTTTAGATGGTAGCCAGCCCAATATGAGATTGAGAATGGACCATCGAACTCCAAAATCCTTCAGGATTGCATCTTGACGTGCCTGGGTAGCGTCCTTTGAATAGAAACTTTGTCGGAGCATTTGATAATCATCTTTGGGAGTACAGGCTGCATAGCCGAGCTAAAGATTAGCAAGAAAGCAGCGAGAGGATGATACCTACAGTTATCGTAGCCCTCTGGAGTATTGACTTTCACGATGTCAACATCGCAGAATGCGCAAGGGTGAAAATCGTGGCTGTGTCCCACGGTTCCATTACACTTGTGCGACGCTGGCATGTCACAGTCAAGAATTGTGTTGTCTGCAAAGATATTTGCAGGCTCATCTTCGCCATGGATATCCATTTTGACGCCTAGAAACAGATATTTATTAGCATATATGCACATAGTATAGCAGCAGAAAATACCATTTTTCAGTTCCATTACTTCGTGAGACGAAGGCTCTAAGCAGTGGTTGATCTGCTGTACATTTGGCTCCTTGGGCCCAGGCATGATCACGGCACATATTACATTGACTTGAAGGTACCGCTGATCTCGCGGAAGGTCATTAATTGCGTAATAGATGGGCCCAGTTGAATGTGGCTGGTTATTGAGGATGCCCATCCTAGATAAGGTGCCGAAAATATGAGACAATGAGTCTAGCTATAATGAAACTCACCAATCAATGTTCAATGTTAAATGGAGGCCGTAACGATGTTCCTGTTATCTTCGTAGCCATTGGTCTGTTATCTTGAGGGCAATCATGGATGGTTCCCAACTCTCCTATTTCGCGGATGGTATTTGTTTCAAGTTCATGCCAGAGTGTGCCGTCATGCATGTCAGTCATGACAAAGTCCTCATCAGTCGTTACGTCGTGGTTGATCATGTCGGCTGTCCCTGAATCAATTTGCACAAATCCTGGTCGCATAAACATTCGTCGAAGACTTCCGATGAGAGACATGTGCGGACATTATTTTCTTTGCGGTCCGAACGATCTTTCCTTTCGCATCCACACGCTCGTCGTACAGTAACCCAGAGCAGTCTAGAATAGTGCAGGATGGAGACAGAAGCTCTCTTAGCTGGACCAGGGGTATAGTGCTTCCAGCACTCGGGGCATATTGCATATTGCAGTGATCCATTGATCGGGATCAATCCCAAGCCGACGTTTGGCACTCAGGAGATGGCGAACAGGTCGTGGATGCTCAGGTAAGACGCCCTCAACGAGCATACAGTTAAGTTGGTTGTTGAGGGACTCCAGTTGCAGCCTGAACAGTGTGGTTTCCAAAGACATTGCCAACCACAGCATTAAGATATGCGAGACGAACACCAGGCTGCTCCTGGAATGCACAAGGTACAAGCGGTGATCGGTCTTCTTGATCCTGGTCGGAACCGGGAATGCGCACATCCAGCAATACAACGGGACGGAAATTGAAGTCTCGGATCGGAGGCTGTGCCTGCAATGTGTGCTGGTGCTGGGCCATGCTCTTCATCTGCATCGTGAACATCATCTGGAGGGTCAAAATCAAAGTAGTCATGCTGGTCTTCGTTAGTAGGTAAGTCTTGGTCCCTTGCATGTGGTGCTGCCTGCCCAGGTGCAGTTGAAATGGAGTGTGTGGCTTCATCCACGTTGGACGTCAAAGTCTGCGGTACATGGGGCCATTTTTTCATATGTTTTGAAATGACTTGTCGTGTCTGATATGTGGATCCATCTGGATGTTGTGAACATCGTGCGCAGAAGCATTTGAAACACAGGTCCGACATAGCTCTCAGCGTCGGGACCGTCGACATTGCAGGACAGTGTCGACGATGGGGACTTTCAGGACTTAGTCGTTTTCGCAAATCATTGCAATTGGGCGCAACGTTGATCGTGACGTCGCGACTTGGTCATGTACTGCAATTGTACGTGATGAATATCATATTGCCTGTTGGAAAATAACGCAGTAACTTGACAAAGTCGTACAATACATGGAGAGATAATTTAGATCCAGGACAATGTGAGAATATCTGGAGGAAATCTGAAATTGTACGAAATTACCCGAAAGTAATAGTTCGCAAGTTTATGCTGTGTATCCGAGTCCCGGGTCCGCGAATTTAGGATGACTTGGAGTATTTGAGAATCCTAAGTCCCCAACCACAGCTTTTCCCTCAACTGTCTTTCCTCTTTCTCCCCAACCATCATCTTCACTCCAACCATCTCCCAAGTTCACTCCAGTCAATCGTCAGTCCACCTACTTCTAATAACTTTATTTTCCCTCTGGTGATTTTAGAGGCCCTCTCACTCAGAATGACTTATACTGGATGCACTCAGAATCTGATTCTGAGGACTGGAGGGAATGTTTAAGTGAATATATGCGCATATATTCATCCTTTGGTGAGTTGTTGATCCGCGCTTTCACCTGTCTTACCCACTGGTGGCTCACATTTACGACAATTATTTGTGTTCTGTGCTCGTGACTCATAGAGATGCATTTTCTCCCATCTGTGATTAAAGCGAGGGCTTGAGGGTATGTTTGAGTGACTGTATGCGCATATATTCATCCTTTGGTGAGTTGTTTATTGGCGCTTTCATGCATTATCTTTCCCCCTGGCTCACATTTATGAATTGTCCTGCACTCATGACTCGTAGAGATGGCTACCATACTGACCCCAGAATACTCCCTAGATCCCTCTGATGCATCCGATGGGGCTGTCCCACCAGTCACCATTGCCACCCGATCCGATACAAATTACTAGTAAGTATTACCACATAACTGCATAACTAACTCAATCTCCTCCAGCACGTGAATGGCTCACTCACAACAAGACTGGATCAGCAGCCGAGTTCAAGACCTACTACTGATGGACTGTCGGAAGGCCAGAAAAAAGTGCGTCTTTTGTATTGTTTGTCCTCGGGTTGGACTAACATCTTTAATCAGTCATACGACGAGCTCGCTGCCAAGAAGGTATGTAGTGACTATGACTAGAACATGTTGCACCTACTGACAAGTACTCTTTCTACTAGGTTGCAGCTGGCGAATGGCTCCGTTAGCGACACCACTCTCCTTCCGACTTCTTACGACCTAGAATGAGCACAACCTAGAACGAGCACAACCTAGAACGAGCATGGGGTAGAACGGACAGTGGCAGGAACGAGCGCAGGCTAGAACGGACAGTGGTGGGATGCATTGAGTTTTATTATATCCGGCGTCTACCTGTAATAATGTATATACTACACAATACCAGCAGATCTGGCACAATATAGGGTGACATGCAAATATTGCATCTAAACAATTTGCGACAATCACGCACAATCACACACATTTGCACATGTGCTATTAGTCTCATTTTTCTCTTGAGATTGTGTCGCTTAGTTCAGACAATTTCACGCAACCTCAGCCATTCTGGGAACAGTCGACTTCTACTGGGGTTGATCCGCCACAGCGGGTTTGGCACTTCGAAAGCGGTTGGCCCGTGTGTTCTCCCTCGGGCCGAATCTTGGCTAGTTAGTGTGTGGTTGGTTTGAAACCCCGCTTTCAGCGGGGTCGGTTGAACCTCCCCGAATCTTAGATCAGCGAACAGTTCTTCGTAAGTGCTTCCCATCGTGGTTTCTTTGCATCGTATCACCATCAGGTACTCAGCCTCACCATCTTTTTTCCACCCGCACACCTCCCATTCTCCCCAACGAGTTTTGGTTTGGTCTGGTCTGGTTGCTTCTTCTCCGCGGTCCTCTCCAGCTCACGATTTGATACTCGATCAGCTGTCTCTGCGTCTGGCTTTCGCACAATTCGAACCTCGAGCTTCAAGCCCGGTCAGCGGTGTTTTTATTCGGAGTTTGGGATCTTCCCCGTGAATTTCCTCTATCGAAACCCTCCCTCAGGCTCTTTAATAATTCAATTCAAATCGCTATTGTGCGGCAACGTCTTTCAACCTAAAGGTAAGGGAACCTGAGCGAGAAATGCCCACTGCCTACACCTTTAGGTTGAAAGACCGCACGTGATTGTATGCTGCTCGTTGATCGAACACGCCGCTGTTATGACGCTGTTTGTTCGTTGAGCGTGATTCGCATATATATTCCGCTGTCGCGGTTCTACTTACCTTTACCTTTTTACCTTCACCTCAATCCCAACGCTCCTCCTTATACGTCCCGTCTCTAGTCCAGAGTCTCTTGAATATTTCTACTGTGCCCTCCTAGGTGATTTTGACTATAATCGCACATATCTTTGTATTTATTTCTCAACAACGACGAGAGATTCTATCCCGGTTCTCCTTACGATTGCCCTGCTTGCGTCCATAGACCAGACTTGTTGATGCCATGAGTGCGATAAAGAAAATTGCACTTGTAACATCGAGGAGTCTGGGCTTGTGACGGAACGACGACATCCAACCCGTCCAAACTGCTGGCATCATAACCCAGACTTCTCGACTATGCAAGAGTGGTGCAACCTTGTGATGTCAACGAGTTAGGGTGATGATGGAATCACGATGTCCTCATGATTAACCCTTCCAAAATGTCACGGTCAAAGCTCGGTTTGAAATCGTGGATAAGTCTGGGTTATGACGGAGTAACGAGGTCCTCGAGCTGGCCATCAGCTCCTGAAAGCATCCAACTTTGACTCACGAGCTCGGTTCTCCTTATGATTTCCCAGCTGATGTCAATAATCCAGTGATCACTATTCACTTTTGGTTTTGCAAAGATGGTATTGCGATCATTCTGCGGTATCAGGATGTCCTCGAGCTCACGATCATTGACAACTTTCCAAAACCCTAAACTCAAAGCGAGATATCATTTTATCGTTAGTTATGAACTAGGCTACAATTGTACTATGCTATAGTGAGACAGAGAGTAGAGAGAAAGACAAAGGAAAGACAGAATGAATGAATGAGTGAATGATGCAAGTGAGAGGCTACAGTATGTGAGGTGAGTGAGTGATAATAGATACAATAAGTACGTCGTGATTCGTTTCAACGAATGAATGAATGAATGGAGAGCGGAGTAAAAGGGAAAGCAACACTAGTAATAGAGAACATGAAACAGAAACAAAACGAAGATTATTATGAAACAAGAATGCGAAATGTCATATAATAATATACCACAACCAACCAACGCATTATCCTCAAGCGCGCAAGAACATCTCAACAGGAATCGGCTTGCGCCTCAACCCACTCGAGCTATTCCCCGAATCGCAGCTATCACATTCAGACCAGCCAGCCGAGCTCGTCGACGAACGTGAGTTCTGGCGGCGGATATGTCGTGAAGGCGTGCTAGGTGGAGAGGGCGTTGCTGGGAACACCATGCGCGTCAAGGGCATTTTGTACGGGGTTTGAGTGGGAGTTGTTGCCTGGGTACGAGGAGACGTAGAGATGATTGGAGGAGGACGCTTTGATTTCGAACCAAAGACACCGCGCAGAGGACTTAGGATCGTGCGTGGGGGCTCGGCAACGAGAGAGGACATCGTGGATGAGCTCCATCGACTGCGCAGTTGGTGAGTTTTCTCCTGAACTCTTGGAGTAGGAGGGAAAGAGAAGGGGGAGATTGGGCAGCTTTCTGAGGAGGATGAGGATGAGTGGGCGGAAGAGGAGGAGAAAGACTCGAGTGAGCTGCGGGGTGTATCTGAATCAATGCTTGCGCGAGGGAGGTACATTTCGTCGACGGGAGTTTCGGGGACAGCGGGTGAGATGGGGTGGATGTTTTCCTGGGCTGGAGCGAAGGAAGGCTGTGAATAGATAGACTCTTCTTCGTCGTCGTCGAACCAGACTTGTTCGATGACGGTCGAACGAACAGGTTCGTCTTCGAACGAGATATCGAGCTCCTCGATATCGGATGGAACAGCCATCTGAGGAGGAGGGCGGCTTGGTGGTGGGGGAGGTGGGTATTTAGGCATGGGTGGGATCACACGTTTCCTGCGGATCGCCGACGCCGAAAGCTGTGGAATGGGTGGTAAAGGGAACATAGAGGGAGGCGGCGTAGGGAGAGGAAGGAGCGGCAGAGCTTTTGAGAATCGACTGCGTCCACGAGGCTTTGGTGCCTCCACGGGCAACTTGGGTGCATCCTCGGATGAGAGAATGACAGAGTCTGGGCGGGCGGGTGCTGCTGCAGAGATGGGCACACAAGAGGGTTGAGGTGCATATAGAGAAATGAAGTCCTGGAATTGGCGCGTGTAGAAGTCATACTCGTCTTCTTCTTCCTGGGTTTCCTCTACCTCTGGGATGTCAACGAGCTTCATGTCCTTCTCTATTATCTCTGCGACGTCCTCGTCATCTGCACAGACGATGGAACGAGTCTTGGTGATGCAGAGCGGGCGAATGCTGATGCGCTTGGGCCTCAGGCGAGGACTCGGGAGACGCAGCTCACAGAAGTCTTCATCGTCTGATGCACCTGGGGTAGTAGGGCAGCTCCCAACTGGAATTGCTGTCATCGGTGGAAGATGATGCAGAGAGAGCGGGTGAGAGAGGCTCGTCATTGAGCATAAGCAATGCGTCATCGATGGAGAATGCAAAGGCAGAGAGGGTCACGCGTGGTGAAGGTCTAGAAGGTTCGTCCGAGTAAGGGATGGAGAGCTTCAGAGGCCCTGAGTCGATTTCAAAGTCATTTTCTGATAGTTCTGGAATGATTTGGAGAGGAAGTGGTCGAGTGTGGTTATGGGTGACGATAGAAGACGAGCGGGATGGAGGACAGCCAGCGTCTGATGATATTGAGATTGAGTTCTTTCGGGTACGAGTACGAGAGCTGCGCTTCAATGATGCGCGAGCGAAGACTGTGTCGAGATATATCAGGTTGGCTCTCCTAGTAAGATAGAAAGTGGTACTCACGTGCGTTCATGGTTGTTCGTGATGAATCTAGAGTCTAGTAGTTAATGCTTGGAGGAGGCAGTCATGCAAAGACGAGAGAAGCAATGATAGTGGTGGTGGTGTATATATCACTGAAAAAGTACCATTCAAGGTTGAATAATAAGCTTCGTCGCTGACGAGCAACAATAGGATAGCAGTACTGAGCTAGGCGGGAGATCATTGTCGCTCGGGTACTCACCAGCCTTTTGTCGTTTTCTTCATTGTCCCTTGTCTCCCTTTTCGTCACAAAAACACTCAAACAAGGTTTGCCTTATTTGGTTCAATCAAATGCCGCTGAGTTTCAATTATTGTTTATTCTTGTTTGCAACCATTGTTTGCATGTCTTGCAAAATGATATCCCTGACTACCATGACATCGTATACCGCTGAGCCGCGGGATCATTTTGATCACCACTTGCAACAAACTATACAGTTCACCCTCTCATATACACGGAACTGCACGAGATGCGCCATACCGAGCAGGCGATTCTGTAATATGGGTATGCTTCGGTTCAAACTGATCTGTGTCAGGTCCTGGAACGAGTTCCTTATGATATACGCTTGGTTGCGGTAGAAGATGCGAGTTAGGAAGTTGGACGACATCCCTGCCCACCTTGACGCCGCGAGCGTTCTGTTGTACGCTGAACCGCGGCATCATTTTTAGGGTAAACTGGTTTTAAATGTCTCCACCGCCGTATAATATTCTCCAGACTATGATATCGAATCTTTCCTACTACTCTATCTCACTCTATCACCCTCAGTATCATACACTTACATTTTCATCGGCCGAAAAATTATGGTTGCAAACATCCCTTCTCACCTACAATGTACTTCCTTATCCATCAGCGGCGTCAGTTGTCCTCTGATGGTATGGACTTGTATCACCGTGAAGCCCTGGAAGCTCCGCTCTATGACCGGCGACCAAATGGGTCCTGTCCAACCTTCAAGCAAGCGGAAAGTAATCAAGCCTCGAGGTACGTATCCTGCATCAATATATATTCTGAGTACTCACCATATGATAGCGCAAGACGTACGCATCTGGATCAACCTCGAGTTCCTGGACAGCATGATAGACGCTGCCTTATTATGCTGCGCAGTTTCGCGCCCTCCACGCGAGTGACGTGAGGCGGACGCGTATATAATGACTGAAACCCACTTCCACCACACAGATCTAGGCGATGAACGTATTATCCAAGGTCGAAGGCAAGAAGGTACATATCTAAGAATCTCCCAGTGTAACTCTAACATAGAATGGTCCCGAGCCTAAAGGGTGTACCTAAATGGACAATGTCCCTCAATTAGCCCGCGCCATACTGGGCTTGCATGCGGACAGTCCTACCAGTCGCCTTACCCACCCGCACCAGTACTCTTCACCACCGTCGTGTAGAGTGTAGGCCTGAGCTGTAACAAACATTGATGGACAAATATAGAGTATTACTTTTGTGTCATGAGGTTGACCCTGAGGTGGTGTGGGGCCGCACCGAAGCCTACTGCCATCACCCACATGTTTCCATTTCACACCATGAGTCTTTCTAGAGGGAACGACTACCTTCCTTCTATTTGGTCTTAGGGCTGACAAGTAGACATTGCTTTGGCGCAGCTGACGTGCGGCCTGCACTCGACCTCCAGATAAATCGACCACGACGCTGCCGCGCGAAGCAGAGTTTTCCCTAATTCGAGTCGGCATGGCCACTTTCGGTGAAGACATCGACGAAATCTTTTGTATTTGTCCTCGGTGAGTCGGGATCACCATGGAGTACCATTCTTCAGGTTGACACCAGACATTCCCAAGGTTCCGAATTCTGGTGATAGGAAAGGTATCAGTTTTTCACTAGTCTCTAGCCAGTATTGACACGGTGCTTCCAATAGACTGGCGTTGGCAAGTCTGCGTCGATCAATCGAGCATTCGGAATGGAAAAAGCGGTGGGCTGCTCGCTACAGTATGACATGCATGGAGTTACTGATGCTATCGACATAGCTCGCTTCGCATCATAAGCCGGGCGAGGCTAACATCGACACGGAGTTCATCTCACGACAGAACGAGAGATTTGTTCTCCATGATAGCCAAGGTTTTGAACCAGGATACGAAGACGACGTCGCAATAGTACCGAGAATTCATTGAACGTCGAAGAAACATGCCTGCTTCGAAAGATCAGCTGCATGCTGTTTGGTAGAGCCTCCATCCTGACTGAGTTTGTAGTGGCAAGCTGACGAAATATACGGGAAGGACTCTCTTTGAATTACCCCGTGCAGGCGGGCGTTTACTGGAGACCGGCATGGAGGAAATTCCTCACACTGAAGCGTGAGGGAAAGCTGGGAAACAGTACGTTGCTTGATGGCTGTCGCTCCGCGCTGCTGGCAGCTAAACTTTTGATCAAAGTTCCCGTGGTCGCCGTTTTCACCAAATACGATATGCTCATTGATCGCATGGATCGTACTCTGGATAAATCATCTCTAGAAGGATTGAGCAAAGGCGCAATCAAGGAACTCGTCGAGAAGAAATCAGCGGACCACCTACAGGACGTCTGCATCCGACCCCTACAAAAATTCGCCGGGCCAGATATACCCCATGCTGTGACCTCTGGTAGGGTACTGATACTCTGACTATTTCATCCTTGCCTCTGAAATATACGAGCACAGCCAAACGAAACTATAAGGAAACACTCCTCCGTCTGATCCAAATAACTCAAGACTGCGTCAGTCAGCATATTGCACTCGAGGTGTCGGTGATGGTCTCCATCGCTCAGCGAGTAGATACTCGATTCAAAATTAAGGAATCGATCAAGTAAGTCTCGCTCGTTTCATTCTTATATCGTGATTTACGCAGCGTCAGTGCTGGCAAGAGAAGTCTGTCTCGATTTGGTGGTTTTACAGGATATTGGAAGGCGCTCGTTCCAAGCACAGCATTCAAGAACCGTAGGACGTGGGACTGTCTACATGTGCTTCATACCAACATAGTTGCTGTATGGGATTTCCACGACCCCCACCATGTAATGACTATCCAAGTTCTTTGTTGTTGTCACATCCGCCCCTGACGTAGTTTGTGCACAGTACTTGCGCAGCATAGAATTCAAGATATTGATGGTGAACTTGGTTGATCGACTAGAGGTTCGAAATACAGCTGATCCCAACTGGGAGACCAAGTAGGCCGGTCTTTTACGTGACAGATGAATTTTCATCTCATCTGATTTTCACAGTCTTATTGGGCTGAGTACCAATGCGAGTATCATGTCTACTCTGGCAGGACGTGTGGCTCCCATCATGCTGCCGAGCCAGCTGTCGTACGTACCGCTATTTATTCTTCATCGAGACAATAATAAATGATCCGCCTCAGCCGCGTGGTGCTTCAGCGCTTTATACCATACATCTTCAACTTAACACTTGTGTTGCAGACACTGTTGCTTGTGTCTGAAAGCCAGGAACTCTCCCGTAGGGCCATCAAGCTCGCGGTCAAGTCCCACTATGATTCACCAATGAGCAGAGAAATCCATGCTACGCTCTTGGAACGCGCGGATTGCGATACATTGGATGAAATCATCGAGCCGATCCATTTGTGTAGTTTCGATGCCGAGACAATCTCCCGCCTCAGGGCAGATATTCCGCCTATGGGTTCATGCCCGGATGAACTATGGGAAGACGGACCACAGGCTCAGTCTCTCCCGAATGTATGGAGGAGCGCTTCATTGAAGTACACAACTGACTCACCTGGCTGCCCAGACTTCCACGTCAGATCCGCTGAAAAATCTTACGAACGAACTCCAGGAAAGGCCGCAATATCCGATTGCTTCCGGAGGTTATGGGGACATCTGGAAGTGTGTTTTAGTGAAGCCCGGTGAGACCGTCCAGGTATGCTCTTCTTGTGGCACTTCCTGCCGTGTTGTCCTGACCATGACGTAGGTAGCAGTGAAGACCATTCGTGCCTCCGAGGCGGATAACCGTGACGAGGACTTGATGCGGAAGAACACGAAGGTAACCTTCTCTTCCCTGACATGTCAGTTAATCGAATGATGACTCGGCGTAGAGAGTCCGTCGTGAGCTGAAAGTTTGGGGTCCGTCTCAAACATGATTGCATTCTTCCACTCTGGGGAGTGGCAAACAACTTCGGACCCTATCCCGCAATGATTTGCCCATGGGCTGAAAATGGAGCTCTCACGGGCTTTCTTGAGCGCCAACAGAACATGTTGTCGCCTCAAGATAAGTTCTCTCTTGTAAGGCTCTTTTCGCAACTATTTCCAGACGCTTCTTGACTTGTCAAACGCTAGCTGAATGATGTTGTCCTCGGGTTGCAATATCGTAAGTCGTCTTTCACTGCACCCAAGTTTCCAAATGCTCATTCTAGTTCAGTGCACGGCAAATCAAGTTGTCCATGGTGACCTGACGGGGGTATGTACGGCCACACAGAAGGGGTTTTCCTCATACACTCACGTCCCGACTCTTCAGTCAAATGTCTTGGTATATGGCAATGGTCGGGCGTGCCTTGCTGATTTTGGTCTCTCCACTATCATCCTGGAGTTCAAGGGTACCTCCTATTTTACGACCAACGTCTGGGGCAATATCCGATGGGCAGCTGCGGAACTATATGAAGCACCAGATGACAATAGTCTCACTCAGCACCGAGTGCGATATATACTCTTTTGGCAGTATCACCTTGCAGGTTAGTAACTTGAATCTCCACGGAAAAATCTTGTTCACTTAGCGCATGCTCTAGGTATTGACTTGCAAGGTACCCTACTACAATGTGAAGAACGATGTGTTAGTGATGGCACAGGTCGTCAAGGGTAAGAAACCAGAACCTCCAGAGGAGTCGCAAATCGCTCCCGGGTACTGGGATTTCATACAGCGATGCTGGTTGCCTCCTGCAAGTCGTCCATTAGTTGAAGAGATCGTGGCATTTATAGGATGTGAACGACAAGCTCTATCATCCTAGTTCTCGTACCAACAGAGATTCCCCGACTCCCACGAAGTGGAGGAGGGTTTTGTAGGATTCAAACATACTTATATTTCTGTCAAAATATTGTGGGGAAATTTCTTGTCCTCGTAAAAGTAGGGAGATTCGTTCATTATTTACAGTGTCTTGCGAATTTATCTAGCTGAAGATCAATAAGTACTGTCATGCTGAAGTTTTCGTATGGGGTGACATGGCATTATGTAACTGCATCCTGCACAGTTAACGTTCTTTCACATGTGTACTTCACAAGATGCGCCTTCTCACCAACCACAACTATGTTACTACCCCACCCACTCATTCACTCACTCCAACCCCAACAACAGGAATCATTTCTGTATCGGAACCCTTAGCGATCGATCTCCCAGTGGCTTTCTAACGACTCGAATCTTGAGTATTACTCGCTTAGGCATAATTGCGTTCTTCATCCTTCGGTTACCGTTCGTCTCTACCTTTTCTATCTGTGCGTTTCCTCACCTTTTTACAGCAACAGTGCGGTAAAATTTGTTCACCATATCACCCTCAGTATCATCTACTTACATTTTATCGGCCGAAAATTTAGGTCCCTGGTTGCAAATGTACGTTACTGCTCACCACGATGTACTTTCTCAAATGTGGACCTCATCCATTGGTGGTGCCAATTGTCTTCGATGGTATGGGCTTGTGTGCAGGCCCACGAAAGCTCCCCCATATGTCTCTCCCAACACAAATCCCGGATTTCCATCGAAAGGTGTCCTTGGAACTGTCGCGAACATCTTTCTATTGCCCAGGTAGCCCTTTCCTGAATCGATTCCTAGGTCTGTACATTCAGTTATCAAGAACTGGTCTGAACGATAGTCGACACGTGCGGGACTATCAGGAGAGTCAACCATGACGCCGTATACTGGAGAGCGTTTTGCTGTGTGCTGAACTGCGGGAACATTTTTGGGGGTGAACGGTATAGTTGTCCGTGCGAACTCCGTCACAGTTCATACCACCAACTATACAGTTCGCCCACACATATGTGCGGCGCTGTACGAGATGTGCCTTACCGAGCAGGCGATTCTACAATGCGGTATGCTTCAGTTGAATCAGGATCAGTTCAAACTGAGATGTTTCAGGTCCTGAAATTCCCTTATGATGTACGCTTGGTTGCAGTAGAAGATGCGAGCTATACACTGCACAACGGGCTGTGGAGTGCTGAATGGTAGCGATGTCGGAACAAATCGAGGATGTATTATCCAAAGCAGTCGAAGGCAAGAAGGCACATATCCAGTGTATCTGACTCTAACATAAGATGGATCTACCGTAGACAATTCTGCGGGAAGCTTTGGGGAAGCTTTATCACAGCTTAACGTGGGAGCAGAACTATGTGCACCTCTATTTTGCGCTCAGTACGTGTTTTGATAAAGTGTTTTGTCGCTGACATACCCGAACCCCTCGTTTGCGTTACAATTTGCAACAGAACTGACTCCCCGGGGAACCGTCGACTGCGGTGCAACTTCTGGAGCCCATAATAGGCGCTCCTGGGCACGGGATCCCCCCACACCCCTCCCAAACGCATGAGGCAGTGGCCTCGAAGCCAGGCATGGCCCATGCACCAAGAGGGTTGACAGTTGTCAATGCCAGAAGAATGACCGTCAAGAAGTTCATCTAGACCATCAATGTTATAGATCAGATCTACAGGTTGGTAACTTGACTCTTACCGTCAAAAGTGCAAAGCTATAGCTAGGAAGTTCAAGCAAAGCGCGGGTTGGTTTTTTCGTTCGTTGTTCGTCAGTTGTATTCTCACGCGCTTTATAGCTGTTGCTCGTTAAAATATCAATATTAATCTGTAAGTTCGAAAATAGCAATCACGCGAGCATCGTCAGAAGCGGGATCTCTTAATCGTGACACTCACAAGGGTGGAGGAAAAACCAAGAGCCATCCAAGTGTAGAGCACGACAATTCACGTACTAACCCACCGCGGCAGACAAAACTGGCAAAACCCACTGCCTAAAAGTACTGTTGTGGGCGACAAAGAGTTGGTATTCCAAACAGTCTGATTCAGACGAATTAGACTCTTTTTTCCCGTTTATTGTCACTTTGGGCTAGCCTAATGTCGACAGAATCGGACCCTTCGTCAACCGAAGGACCTGGTATCAACAAGCTCCGAGTCATTCGTCTTTCACCTCGAATTCACTCATGTTATGGTGCCAAATAAGAGTAAGGTGGCCTGCGGCAGAACTGTGCGGACTCCCGGGGGCACAATCTAGCGTTCGCTGGAAGAACTCGAACAAAGTGAGTGTCGGGGACCGAGCGCCGTTACGATCTAGAGGCAGTAATCGACCAGTGGCTGAGCTGGTGTCGTGGTATCATCTGCCCGCACAGTGGAACATCAAGTATCCGGGAAGCAAAGCAAACTAATTTTTCTCTCTAGCGTCACTTTTTCTTCTCCTGGTGATTGGATGTACTCATTGTTAGGGCCTGTCCGTGTGGATAATATTTCGCGCGCGGGGTATTCGCATTGCGGCGTGTTCCCGCAGTTTCACTCACTTTAATTCGAAAGGTTCTATATGCACTTAGCGTAGTCTGCTGCGCACGGTGTCGTGGAACACATGCTCAACTGAACGATTATTGTTGTTGCGACCTAAACATCGACAAACAAGAAATCTGAATTACTAGACCGCGTCGCTGTCAAACGTTTAACTTTCAGTCATGTTGGCGTCTTATAAATTTCTCACTTTCAAGACCGAATGTGAGTACCTTTCGTTCTTGAAAGTGAGAAAGGCCTCGAAACTACAGTCCGAGTGCTTTGTAGCCTGCCAGTGAGAGTGCTAGCAGTGAAATGTGAAGACATGCGCCACTACTACGGGCCTCAGGTGGGTAGTAGCGGCGGGGGTCTTCTCATCTCATACTGTCATACTAGAATCTTGGGCTGGTCAGGACTCACCGCGACATTGTTCTCGTTACTTGTTGACTGCATCAACAATCATAGGTGGCTGAACATTATTGTGGTGCTAAGTTTTGGCGAGCTCTCCGACGTAACGTTTGGGACCACATGGTAATGGTATGGAATTTCGTCATTCGTTGAACGCTGACTCTAGCCATGCGTTAAGAATTATGCGAAATGTGCCGTGGTCGTCGCAATGAGAGGCTCCGACTTGCTCGCGTCTAGATCCGACCGAGTCCCTCCCCGTGCTTCCTGTTGTTCCAGGTAATCTGGCAAACCTTCGGCAAATTTTGATAGACAGCATCGTGATTTTAGTCAGGAATATCCGAAGTGGCAGATCCGTAAGTATCTCCTCTACATGGATCTGTCTTTTGCTGATGTGACTCTAGGACGATGTTGTATGATGTCATATGCATTTAGCCAACAGTAGCCAAGGTCGGCCTTGACTCAAGTGCATTCGAGGTGTACCGTTTATTTTGATGACAGGAGGGTGAGATTTCAACCCACCTTCTCTCCAAGTCCTTCAATTAACTGTCCTGCAGGGGCTTTTCTTTCCATATCGGCTTCTACTACCCGATGTTCTTCTTTCAATTGGACGCTATTAAGGATATTATTAGCGTCGCCTTTTCATTTTACTCCGATGTGGGTTCTAGCGTTATGCAAGTGATTTTGCCTGCTGACAGGCTCACTAGCTCGTTATTTTAAATGCGTCCAAGACTGTGGGACGAGTCACGTCAGGGTTCATCGCGCCGTTCATCGGAGTCCCGCTATTAACAATACCAGCAACAATTTCATGCGGAATGCTCAATTTGGGCATGATTGGGTTGAGTACTCCGGCTACCGTCGTTGTGCTTTATGGCTATTTTGGAGGGCCATGAAAGGAGTTTTCCTTTCGATTTTGGTAAAAAGTTCAAGACGGGATTGATTGATCACGTAGACATCGCGATGTCGATGTTGGATATTGTGTACATAGCTGTAAGCCAGTTGCTTACGACGTCAAGAATCACGTGAACGTTCCCCATATATATCACTACGCTTCGCCTTGTTGATCTCAGACTCGGGTCTCTTACCTACCATCATATTGCTCATTTGTATCACGCTATCAAATTCACGGTTTTGTCTTGTTATTCTTTGTCCGATTCGTCTTAGTGTTTCCCGCCGCCACCACGGCGGGCTCACAATAGCCAGCAACTTCGTCACATCGTCGTTCTTTAACATTCATTTCTAACTAACTAATAGTATATAGTATTCCGGACATTCCCGATACGCTCCCTTAGTACGCGTACACTCATTGTCGCCTTCCCTTAGTCATCTATCCGAGGTTGAGGAACTACTCATGCTTGTATTTAGGTTTTCCTATAGTCGATTCTGCTTATGACTTTTTTGATGCCTGACCTCTCTGAGCTTGGGTGAGTGATAGTTGAAATTTGGATGTACGAACCACCTTATTGGGGTCATAGCGCGAGAATGGGAATATATTTCTTCGTTAGTGGTGAGTATTATCAGGTCGTAGTTCGTTGTATTTTGTGTAAACTCGCACGCGCTCAATTTGCAGGATTTGGAACTTTGATTGGTAGGTGCTTTTATGACATTCTTTGCTTCGGATTCCGAGTACTCAAGTCTTTACCTAACAACCCCCATACGCGGCGCTCTGCTACATCGAATTATAACTGGTGGATACCCGCTGTGTTCTCTGGGGCGACTTACACTATGATGCCGCTTTTTGCATTCAAATCCACTCTGATTCACTGCATCACAGCTCGTTGCCCTGGCTAGTAGGATATTGTATATTGACATGCAGTTAACGTTGTTAGAAAGCAGATCGAGGAAGCATGCAATGCTCAAGTAGCATGTGCATGTATTTGATAATGTGATTGCATTGGTTTTCTCCGAACCCTTGATTGATGAATGGAATTCCTTCATGCCTCACATTGTCGTGGCCCCCAGTTGCCGTTAAGAAGTGACCTTTCGCAGTGTGCAGAAGACAGTGGGTTGAGCACACGCTACTATTTAGGCTATCAAGGCAGAGCAAGCGATCGATTCGGCTCCCTCTAGGGCGCCTAGTATTCGGAAAAATGGGCAGTGTCCTTCAGACTGTGCTTTGTGATCGTCCATGTGATTGTGGTCAGTCAGACGCGAGTTGTCACACCCGCGTGCATCTAAGCGTTACTGTGACAGAAGACAACTCGAACCTGTCCAATCGATCCACTGTCACTCAAGTATCCACCCTCGCTTCCTTGAGAGTAAAACCGCTGTTCCAGGGTTCCACAATCTTCATACTAACAACGCGGTGGTGCGAGGGTGATGCTCGTGGGTCGTCCCAGAGACATAGAGTTGAACGATGAACAATGATTTCTTCAGAGTCATACGCTACTCGAGAGCCTACGAACCACGACCCCAACAGCAGAGCGATGTTGCTGCAGGGAGTCCCAGGAAAATCGCAGATGTCCAACTGTCCGTGGAGTAGTGTCCTATCGCCCGTAGAAGCTTTAACAGAACTTGGGGACGGCCGAATTCAATCCAGGGTAAAATAGCTTCGATATTTCATAAGAGATCTTCCGAGATGGTGCAGAAGGGTAATCGACGGCAGATAGTACGTAGAATAAGTGTATCCAATCTTGCGCCCCGAACTGACAGCGGCGATGACAGCCTCACAAGTCCCCATTACTACAAATGAGACCATTCGACGATCGACGATAGCAGAGTTCGAAGCAACTGATTATCTTCAATGGAAATCGCAAACACGTTGTACATGCCTAAAGTGCCGTGTAGATCAAAGGAAGCCCCGCAACCGTCAGACGTCCGTTAAGAACATTCCAGCTAGGGAAGAGAAGCTCGATATGTCATGGCAGATAGGATACCACGTGTATGGGCGTCGACTTAATTCAATGAAACTAGCTCCAACCCGTGGCGCTGCCACCGCAAACACTGCCTTCGGCACAGAGCGGAGCGCTTTGAGGCGCCTGCTGCACCTCACTTTGGCAGCAAGTGAGGCCACGCAAGATTTGTGGCTGTGCCATGGTCCCCTTCTGCGTAGGATCCGAGGGATGGCAAATTCCTATCTGTTGCGCGGGCCCCTGCAATGGTCATAACTCCATCTAATAACACGTCAAGAGTTGTTCTGGCCATAATTATAGCAGCACGCACCAGAATGGGTATACACCAGGACCGTCCAGCCTTGGGACATGGTCGAAATTGAAAGGCTGCTGTTGCGCCGGCCGGATTTGACCTGGGATAACGGCCATCAAAGACTGTGCCTGCCCATGCCTAAATGTTGGTATCGAGCTGGTTTCTGGAAGGTCGAAGGGTTGGGTCTACTCATCCCATATTCGGTAGTGTTTTGCAACACTTGCGGTGATAGTGAGTCATGCGATCAGGCTTGTTAACTCATCTGGAAAGCTGCGGCGACACGAGTCTCGGAGACTCGGACGCGTGAGCTCAGTCGCGCAGATCGTCAAACAAGGTGCTTATGATAACAGCCTCATGTCGTGGGCGTCTACTGAAAAGTTAATGGTATGAAGCAGCATAAAAACGCCCCAGTACACGCGCCTCTACAACTTCGAGCTAGACACCCACGATCTCCCCACCACGTCGTGTTCAACAACGCCAACCTCTAGAAAATGGCGCAGCTCATTGCAAACACCATACCCGTTCGGGTGTTTGAAGATCATGAAGCACGTGTATCCGCAGTCGCAGTTTTCCCTGATAAACGGCGTATGGTCACATGCTCGTACGACGCGACGCTTCGTCTGTGGGACCTGACGACAGGTGTAGTGTTGAAGAAGATGGAGGGGCATCGCAATCGCGTGCAGGCATTAGCGGTATCACTGGATGGGCGATTGATAGCAAGTGGTGACGCCAACGGAGGACTCGTTGCTTGGGATGGAGAAACCGGCGAACCTCTCACCCAAGCTATTAGTGCCCACACCGGTTGGATATTATCGCTGGATTTTTCTTTAGACGGGAAATTTCTGGCCAGTGGGTCAAGAGACTCGACGATAACGCTATGGAACACTTCAACGTGGAAGCTAGAAGGAAATGCAATTAACTGTTATTCAAGTGTTCGCTGCGTTCGGTATTCGCCACAGTCATGCCCACTTCTTGCAGTCGCAACACAGCACAATATCGAAATTTTCAATGCTGGCTACGACAAATGGGACTACCATTCATACATCCGTGACCGTGAAAATTATTGTGATCCACACAGCTATGACGCCGACTATTATAATTCAACAACTCCAAAAACAGAAGCCGAATTCAGCAGCTACTTCCTGGCTCAGCATACGGCAACGCTCAGCGGTTCAGGACCCCACACCTACTCACTCGCATGGACGCCCGATGGCAGGTGCCTTTTTGAAGCAACTGGAGGGGCTGATCCCACCATACGACAGTGGGATTCAGAGAGCTGGGAGTACCACTGGGTCGGCAATCCCATGAAGGGCCATTTCAAGAGTATCCGCGCCATTTCCCTGAACTCTAACGGCACTCTCCTAGCCTCTGCATCTGATGACAACCATGTCCGCATCTGGCGGGTTTCAGATCGACGAACCATCGCCGTATTCAAGCACTCTGGCGGTGTGAACTGTGTCACCTTCTCCGCAGATGGCAGGCACATCCTCAGTGGAGGTGTAGATAAGAATATTTCCGAGTGGCCGGCATTTGAGGATGGTCCAAAGGAGGGTCTCATGAAGCAACAGGTGGCACACCAGGTAAGTTCATTTTCATTTCCCGCTCCTTCGTCATCTAAACGTCTTTCTACGCCAAGGCTCAAGCCTACTTTGATTTCAAGGCACGTTCCGGTCTTTGACTCTGATAACGCAATGTGAACATGCTCCATGCAGGTCCTCGCTATTAACACGACAGTCCGCGATGCATGCATAGCTGGGAAATTTTCTACCGCTGAAAAGGTACTAAACGCTGAGATCAACGAAGGTCTCGACGAACACACCTCCTATGCCCATCGCGTATTTGTTATGGCGCGACAATGCAACTGGGACCGCGCGCTTCATGATGCGATTCAGGTGGGATAGACAGACCCATTATGACCCCTTATGAAAGCTAACTTGTATGGTGACATAGTCCGTCAGCATCCAGCCCTCGTTGGCAGGTCACATTTCCAAGGGCATTGCCCTCTGCGGAAAAAAGCGAATCCGGCTCGCAAGGACATCATTTGATTTGGCATCCATGTTCACCAACGGAGATTTGAAGACCGACCATTTTCTTTTTTTCATCAAGGCAGGTGATATTTCTCTTCCATATCCCATACTTCATCACGATTTTCAGACCATCGCGCTGTTCAATGCGAATGAACATGAAGAGGCAATGCTCCGCGTTGGAGAACTAGCTGCGTGTCCCAATGCCGATCCTATCGCTTGTCATGTAGTGGAAGTGAGTATCATGCACTCGATCATGCCCAGTTTCTATTTCTGACCCTTTGCACATCAGGCGTATTTACGCGTCCAACTGGGAAACATTGCTTTGGCTGACATGCGCCACAACGAAGCTGTTGACCACTTCACTGCTGCCGTCAATGCCAGTACTTTCTTTTATAAATTAGAAATTCATTCTATGTACGAGGAATTTATCGTGGTACGTGATGATGTAACTGAATATCCTTTTCATGCTCAACCGCGGATTTTGTGCAGCTGTTCGGATGGGATCTCAAGTCCTTGTGGCAAACCGCGAACCAGCAACACTGTCGTGCACTCTTTCTGGCGGGCAGAATTGGAGCAGTGATCGAATCTTACCAATCTATCATGGAGAAGAGTGATGAAGCTACGCATGCCAAATTACGTGCTTGGTTCACTAGTAAGTATTCAGTTTTGTCACAGCATCTAAATTCCTCAACTGCCGTCACTCAGCTCTCAAGCTCCAGTAAGAGCGAGGCGCGCTGGTGCTACGCTCGCGGCGAGCGCTTATTCATGCGGTTTGAAACGCAGAGATCCTCGAACCGTTTTCATTTCTACCTTGGCGGTATCTGTATCACACAAATAGCTTGTAACCGTATCGTATACTGACCTACTTGGACGGAATGTCTACTACAACGCTTACACACACTCAGGCTGTTCGACGCGTATCCTTCACCATCAGTTCGTTGAAGTTCAGATTCTAACCACCTTCGATCGAGAACCACTGACCCCTCCCTGCATGTTTTACTTCCATCCGCATGCAAACTGGTCTGCCACTGTAAACTGAATAGTTCCCTCTCAGACTTGGACGTACCGCCACTTCATTGGTTGTCTACCATGCGTAATTCTTAATCTCTGTAATCAAACACAAGGCCGCCGGAAGTAGGAAGTCAACATTAGAAACTATGGGTTGTGCGCGCGGTGTGCGACGTGGTGGTAAGCTCTAGGTCCTTCAATTTGTCACGAATGAGATCGTTAGCGGGTCAATGACCACGGAAGACTATTGATGCCTTCCGGCGAGAAACCAAGAAGGTGTGTGAGCAATTCCCTTGAAGACAACATAAATCCCACTGCAGTTGTCTTGACCATGTACCAAAATGTAAGAAGAAACAAAATTGTGCTACATAGTGGCGATAGTCCTTGACATACGCTGTGGGAATCGAGTCCTTTATACCTTGGGAGGAAGGGCATGTTATTGACTTTTTGAGTAGGCCCTACAGGTTTCTGAGCTCCCAGACCGCATCATAAAGCACATATCTGACATGTTTTAGTTCACTGCAAGAAGTTACAATGATCTCTAGAGGGTGTGGACATATATTTAAATAAATCTATCAGGGACTAAGTCATGACGTTCACATGAAAGACGAAGGATCATACGGCCGTTGTGGTATGCCCAAGAATTCATCGCACTTCCATACTTTGTTCCTCAGTAGGACCGGAAGCAACAATTTTATCGCTGTCCAATTGTTGTTGTTCAGACTCAAGAATCTTGCGAGAGACCTTACTATGAGAGAGGGTCTTTGAACCGAAGAAGAAAAGGACCTGCATGAATACAAATATACCCGCCCATGGATCAGTGAACATCTGCGACGTGAAGAGCGGGAATATCAATGACATTGAATTTCCTTTTGTTCGCTAGTTCAACAGGATCAATAAGGAGAAAGTGCGGACTCACGAGCCAAGCTCTGCCCCGCTTGTACAGAGGAGGTATACTGACCGTAGCTAGGTTTATCCCTGAAACATTTACAGGATGCAGTTAACGTTGTTAGAGAGCAGATCAAGAAAGCACGTGCACGAGTTGAGTAACGAACGGCCCAGCCAAAACTTATGGCAGGTGGTGGAGCGTGGCCGACGGTGGTCAGACGTGAAGATAATCTGCGAAACCTGGCCAGACGTGACGACTCGTGGTAGGACGTAGAATCTGCTCATTGACAAAGATCAGAAGTACTTTGTCAAGTGTCGTGTTGTTTATTTATGTTTCCTTTGTCTCATTTTCTACAGTGAGGATCATGACTCGTGGTGATCACCGTTGCTCACGTTAACCATAGATTATATGTCGGATACCCAGAGGACGAAGCAGACTTCTTGATCCTCTTCGTGTAGTTGTTTCATATCAGATCGGCGAGAACCAATGGTATTGCACATGTGGTGCACTCAGCAAGACACGAAATGTCACACTCACGTGCATCTATGTCACAAGCGATCACGACAAATCGTTGACTCGAAGTCCGAATCCGATCGACCCACCCTTGCTTCGTTAAGAGCAAGACCCGCTGTTCCAGGGCTCGACAATCCAAATGCTAAACATCAGTGGCACTCTTGGTGAGTCGTCCCAGAGACCCAGAATTGAACAATGATTTCCTCAGAGATTTCCTCAGAGTCAGAAATGAGAAAACAAATGATCAAAGGGCAGAGTGTAGACCTTCGAATCCATGAAGTTGCAGTTAGCCCATGACTGACTTCGGATAAATGCCCATTCGACGAACGACGTTAGCAGGGTTTGAATCGAATGATTATCTTCAATCGAAATTGCAAATACACCGGGTTGTGCATGCCGAACGTGCCGAATAGATCAAAGGAGCCCTGCAACCATCAGATCTCCTCTGAGAACATTCTAGGGAACAGAAGCTCAACATGTTACCAGAAGGAATAGCACGTATACTGGCGTCGACTTAATTCAATGAAACTCGAGGGATGGCAAATTCCTATCTGATGCGCGGACCCCTGCAATGGTCACGACGGCCATACACCAGGACCGTCCAAGCTTGTTGAAGTTGAACGGTTGTGCCGGCCGCATTTCAAGTTAGTTGGGATAACCATCAAGGACTGCCTAAATCTTGGTATCTAGTTGGTTTCTGGAAGGTCGAAGGGTTGGGTCCACTCATCCCATATTCGATAGTGTTTTGCAACACCTGCAGTGATACTGGGTCATGCGAACAGGTTTTTTGACACATCTGGAAAGCTGCGGCAACACGAGTCTCGGAGACTCGGACGCGTGAGCTCAGTCGCGCAGATCTCCAAACAAGGTGCTTATGATAACAGCCTCATGTTTCGGGCGTCTACTGAGAAGTTAATGGGATAAAGCAGCATAAAAACGCCCCAGTACACGCACCTCTGCAACTTCGAGCTAGACACCGACAATTTCCCCACCAAGTCCACCTCGACCGTGCTCAATACCGTCAACATGGCGCAGCTCATTCCAAGCACCATACCCGTCCGAGTATTTGAAGATCATGAAGCACGCGTATCCGCAGTCGCAGTTTTCCCTGATAAACGGCGTATGGTTACATGCTCGTACGACGCGACGCTTCGTCTGTGGGACCTGACGACAGGTGTAGTGTTGAAGAAGATGGAAGGGCATCGCAATCGGGTGCAAGCATTGGTGGTATCACGGGATGGACGGTTTATAGCAAGCGGTGACACCGATGGAGAACTCATTGCCTGGGATGGAGAAACCGGCGAATCTCTCATCCAAGCTATCAGTGCCCACACTGGTTGGATATTATCGCTGGACTTTTCTTCAGACAGCAAAGTGCTGGCAAGTGGGTCATCAGATCCGCGTTTATATCGCGAAAAGTATTCCCACTACAACCCCCTTAAAACATGCGACGACTTCAACAGCTCCTTCAAGGCTCAGTATAAGGCAGCGATCAACGATACAGGACTCCACAACTGCTCACTCGCGTGGACATCCAATGGATGCCTACTCACCGGGGGAGATTATCAAGATCCCAACATACGAGTGTGGACTTACTATTCATCGCGTCAGAGGTACCAGGTCGACGGCAATCCCATGAAGGGCCATTTCGAGAGTATCCGCGCCATTTCTCTGAACTACAACGACACTCTCCTAACCTCCGCATCTGATGACAAACATGTCCGCGTTTGGCGGCTCTCAGATCGACGGATCGTCTCCGTATTCAAGCACTCTGGTGAGGTGAACTGCGTCACCTTCTCCGCAGATGGCAGGCACATCCTCAGCGGAGGTGCAGATAAGAAGATATTAGAGTGGCCGGCTTCCGGGGATCGTCAAATGGATGGTCTGATGAAGGAGCAAGTGACACCCCCGGTACATTCCTTTACATTTCTCGTCCCTTCGTCATCTAAGCGTCTTTCTATGCCAAGGGTCAAGCCTACTTTGATTTCAAGGCATGTTCCCTTCTCAGACTATGAGAACACAATGTGAACATGCTCCATGCAGGTCCTCGCTATTAACACGACAGTCCGCAATGCATGGATAGCCGGTGACTTTCCTACCGCTGAAAAGGTACTAAATGCAGAGATCGGCGATGGTCGCGGCGGACACACCTCCTATGCCCATCGTGCACTTATCATGGCGCGAAAACTCAACTGGGACCATGCGCTTCATGATGCAATTCGGGTGAGATAGACTGACCCATTATGGCCCGTTATGAAAACTAACTTTGATGGTGACACAGTCTGTCAACATTCAGCCCTCGTTGGCAGGCCACATTGCCAAGGGCATTGCCCTCTGCGGAAAAAAGTGGGCTCGGGTTGCGAGGACATCATTTGACCTCGCGTCCATATTCACGGACGGTGATTTAAAGACCGACCATTTTCTTTTTTTCGTCAAGGCAGGTAATATTTCTCTTACATTCCCATACTTCATCGCAATTTTCAGACCATCGCGCTGTTCAATGCAAATGAACATGAAGAAGCAATGTTGCGCGTCGGAGAACTAGCTGCGTGTCCCAATGCCGATCCTATCGCTTGTCATGTAGTGGAAGTGAGTATCATGCACTCGATCATGCCCAGTTTCTATTTCTGACCCTTTGCACATCAGGCGTATTTACGCGTCCAACTGGGAAACATTGCTTTGGCTGGCATGCGCCACAACGAAGCTGTTGACCACTTCACTGCTGCCGTCAATGCCAGTACTTTCTTTTATCAATTGGAAATTCATTCTATGTACGAGGAATTTGTCGTGGTACGTGATGATGTAACTGAATATCCTTTTCATGCTCAATCGCGGAGTTTGTGCAGCTGTTCGGCTGGGATCTCAAGTCCTTGTAGCAAACCGCGAACCAGCAACACTGTCGTGCACTCTTTCTGGCAGGCAGAATTGTAGCAGCGATCGAATCATACAAATCCATCATGGAGAAGAGTGATGAAGCTACGCATGTCAACTTATGTGCTTGGTTCACTGGTAAGTATTCAGTTGTGTCACAGCGCCTACAAACCTCAACCACCTGTCGTTCAGCTCTCAAGCTCCAGTAAGAGCGAGGTGCGCTGGTGCTACGCTCGCGGCGAGTGCTTATTCATGCGGTTTGAAACGCAGAGATCCTCGAGCCATTTTCATTTCTACCTTGATAGTATCTGTATCACGCGAATCCTCTATAGTCATATCATATACAGGCTCAGTTGGATGGGACGTCTATTACAACACTCTCACGGTTCGACGCGTGTCCTTCACCATCGGTCCGTTGAAGTTCACATTCTGATCACCTTCGATCGCCGAGAGCCACTGACCCCTGTAAATGTTCCTTCCAACCGTATGGGCTGGAGAAAATTAATACCTCACAGAAATGCTATCTTCGGCGGATTGGGTCGATGACACAACAGAAGTAAATGCCTTCCGAGAAAGTAACAAGGTGAATAAGCAAATGTTGCGCCGGGGATCTTCGATAACAGACTTTGCAGAGGTTTTGTGTACTTGAGCATGAATTAGCGACGAGACAATGAAATAGCGACATAAGGAGAACAGGAACATGATCAGCAAGGTGTGTACTGCAGTCTAGGCCATTGAGAGCGGAAGAAACCAGGGGAAAATGTTGGCAGGATGTCTGACATTCTCAGAATAGGCTCAGCATCATTACGATCGCTAATTCACATATGATAAACATTGTCAGCAGCGATGGAACACCCCGGGTCTGTCCCCAACTGTCCATTAATGTCGTGTACATCAGGAAATTGAAGAAAGGAAATGATTAATTAGTCTTAATGTAAATGTCCGTGTACACAGTACAACGGTGTACCCAGATGTAAGAAAGAGGTGTTTCATGCTACATAAGTAGTGGCGATAGTCCTTGACACGCTTTGCATGTTTCATGTAAGTATCGAGTAGCTGTATGCCTTGGGAGGAGGTGCTTGCCGTCGACTTTTTGATCAGGCCGTACAGGTTTCTAATGCGCTGATTCCCAGACCGCATCGTGAAGCAGATATATCTCACAGGTTTTAGTAAGTCACAAACATCTCTGGAGGGTGTGTACACATATCTACATACTTATATCTATCGGGGGTCAAGTCGTGACGTTCACATGAAGGATCGTACAGCCGTCGTGATATGCCAAGCAAGAATTCGTTACACTTCTATACTGTGTTCCTCAGTAGGACTGGAAGCAACGGTTTTGTCGCCGTCCAATTGTTGCTCTTCGGCCTCAAGAATCTTGCGAGAGACCTTACTATGAGAGCGGATCGTTGAACCGAAGAAGAAAAGGACCTGCATATGAAAACGTTGGAAAATTCTTGCACGGATACAAATACACCCACCCATGGTGTTGGTGCCAAAACTACGGCCAACAGAGCTAAGAGTGTCAGTCCCCACTTATACGTCATACTAGCGAACATTTGTTGTGTGAAGAGCGGGAATATCAACGCCATTGTATTTCCTTTGTTCGCTAGTTCAGCAGGATAAATAAGCAGAAGGCACAGACTCACGAGCCAAGCTCTGCCCCGCTTGGGCCGATGAGGTATACGGACCGTAGCTAGGTATATCCATTAAACATTTGCAGGACAGATGTGTAGAGATTCATACCAGTCTGCGAGATACAAAAATGCAACATGGTATATTATGAAGGTGCCAGACATAAAAGCCTGTGAATCGGAGGAATCAGGAATTTCAACATGTTTGAGAAATAACCTTTGTCTGCGACGTACAGTAAGTCCGATCAAAGGGACTGCCCAGGGAATATTAGGTGATGCCGTCCACGCGTAGATGAACATTGAGACGGGTAGGACAATAGCAGCGACACATGCCATGTATAGTCGTGCTTCTTGACCCTTTCTCGCAAAGTGTTTTCTGGGTCCCATAAGCCACGGCGAATGTCTTCTGTTGACTTTCTTACCGGTACAAGGTTTCTTGATACATATTCGCCATAAAGCCTATGATAGCTCCGACACTGTTAAGATCAAAGATCAGATGCGAAGCACATATGTAATCTAACGACTTTCCTTTGACATAGCAATACAAATCCTGTCTCGCTAACGCTGAAGTTGTAAACGGACTGAAACTCCGTAGTGACGGATCTTTCGTTGAATTCACTTTAGAAGTAACTTCTATCCAGAAACCAATGACACTTACTCAAACAAGCAGTACACAATCCCCCAAATCAAGCCACTCCAAAGCTGCCATCAAATGACGTCAACGGCGATTGAGGGTGCAAAAGGGTAGTCACTGACACTAAAACTCTGCACAATAGGTTCAGTTAAGAGTAAATCTGGAGTTGTATGGTCAGGAAAAACTCTGCAAAAAATTGTTTTGCGTACACATTGGTCGTGTACACGACGTTTTAATCAGAGATAACATGCTCGGTTTGTCGATTTCAGCGCTGGACCGATACCTGGGGTCGCCGGTCGTCTTTCTGGTGTCCTTCGCGATGCGAGTAAGAACGATGGATGAACGGGTTTCGCTCATCACCAAGATGACATCAAGCACAAATGCCCCAGCGAACCTGAGAAGAATATTAAAAGCGATGCTTAACGTCATGTAGTTGAGCGGACACACATGACGTGCACCCATTGCACCCACCGCCAACCGAGGTGTGGACTAGCAGCAATGAGGCCCCCAAACGCTGACCCGAGGCCGAAAGAGAATAACGATGTGAATGCAAATAGCGACATCGGCAATCCGCGTCTGCAACATTGTCAATATGTAAGGGAACTACCAGAAGTATCTTGCCTTACTCATGTGGCTGCCATATATCAGCGATGCTACCTCCGATCAAGGACGCACCAGTCGAGCCAAACATTCCTTGGAGTGCACGCGACACGACCACGGTTTGTATGTTTGGCGCCCTGCCAGTGATGAGCGCCCGTTGCTGCAACAATTACACGACAACTTACAACGCATTCACAACTTCAGCGAGCAAAAACAAAACGGACGAGACGATGTAAACGGGCCGTCTGCCACAATCCTAAAATGTGGATGTAGTTACTGGACAACGACATCAAACTGATAAGGTCTTACCTCACTGAATGACGAAGAAATCAGAGGGACAATCCCGAAACCCATCGCGTACAAGCTCAGTCCCAGGGTCACCTGAAGTCGAGTACAATTTAGGTCCTGCATCATCGACTCATAGCTGATTGAATAAGATGACGATGCAGCCGCTGGTGCAAACACATTAGAAAGAAGGACGCCAACACTAAACCCCGAGGTCACCTGTGATTCCAGCGAACGCACAACAAGTCAGCGTGATAGCCCATTTGTGCGCATAAGAGAAGTTTTTGGGGTCGCGTCGGTCCCCTTCGTCAAATTTAACCTGCCTGATGTCAACATTCGTTGATGTGGAAAAGGAATATGACGATAACTTACAAGTATCAACTCTTGGTGCGGCTGTGGAACATGGGTAGTACACGAGGGTGAGCTGATGCGTTTACCGGTGTCGTCCATTATCATAACTTGGTCTGTTAGTACCAGAAGCTGTATTGGCCTTTAAATGTCGATGAGGATTGATCGATAAGATTGAAAAAACGACAAGATAACAGGGTCTTTCCCTGTAGTGTACTGAGATATCTTACTTATTACACCATAAAGCCCATGCATGAGTAATATCATTTCTCCCCTATGACGAGAACGTCACAGGTCGCCTCGGGGAGGCGATGAAGGATAAACTTTCGGCCGATACTGTTCATTGGAGTAGATGGGTGTGGCCGAGATCGACACGTATACAGGAGTCCCTTGGGAAAGCATGAGCACTAGAAACCACAGATCGATGACATCGTGAATCCCTACATGATTGCTATACAATTATTCCCTCTGCACTTGTCACAAGTAAGAGGGATCCTAGTGCAGTGATGGAATGACCGGATGGGGTGAGGGGAATTAGGGAAATTGGCAGAGGGTGACATGTCAGGTGCATTGATACGTATGAATAGCGGCACCTGGAATTGTATATTCTTGTTGATTGTACAAAGGAACGCGGATGAATGGGGCAAACATGATGAACCCTGACACAGGACAGCAAGACAGTTGGTACTAGGTAATGAAAAGGAGTCTCGGGGTCGTTGCAAGGGACGTGTCTGATAAGAAAAGGTATGATTTCCGCTTGAAAAGGCCTCATTGTGCGACTAGACAAACGTATGTCCAGAAAAGCCTGCTTCGCGCTCAGGGGCTTTCGGGCCGCCTGCGTACGTGTAAGCTGTCACTATACACGTAATGGCCCGATAACCAAAGGATTAGTATTGAGTTCTATTATGTGGAGTCGCGACAGCCACTGTACAAATGCAGTAGGCCCATTGGTGGAGAGATTTACGGCGGACGAAAAGATACGACCTGAAAGAGTTCAATTAGATGTGTAATTTCACTGACGGGAATTATTATAGCTGCAATGCCAAGAGCAGAGTCTAAGCGGAAATAAAGATGGTTACTAGTAGTTCTGGATTCTGAGCCCAGGGTTGATGGCATTCATTCAGATGGCTTGCGGCTCCGGAGATTCAGATAGCGACGAAACCGGGAGAGTTTTTTGCTCTCACCATCTTGAATAATAGTACCCAGGGTGCACCAGACGCGACGAAGACATCACCAATGTGCGCCTTTTGGAGAAACACTGAGAAATGACCACCATGGTGGAACCATATGTCAGGCCCAACCCAACCCAATCCCAGAAAGGGCAGCCTGAATATACGTCTGTTATTGATATTGTGGAAATCAGAACCTTCAACACCCTTCGTAGGATTTCTTGTATCCTTGGTGGGAGGTCACTAGCATGATGATGCATCACCTCAGTAGGGCAGCGGTAGCAATACTTGAGGCATTTGCGGGTAGTTCGGATACTCTTCAGGGAAGGCAGCGACCTGAAAGCAAGTGTAAAAACAACGCTGCAACTACGTGTTCGGAAAGCCGATGTTGTCCCGTTTGCCGTGGCCAAGGTAGACAGGCAGGATAAATGTGCATTTCTGCACCACATTAGCGATACAACAAGTAGATTTGCGCCGACTTCATGAGAGAAAAGTACTGTAGCTAGTCAATTTCAAAGTGTCTACCACGAGACGGTAGACGAAACGAAACGACTCTGCATCGTTTTTGAACGCGCAAACGCACTTCATCATCACACTCGCGGTTGGGGTGCGTGACGGTTCTTCCGCACCTAATGATCAGTTGAATTCAAGTTGCAAAGGGGAAATACCGTGATTAATTTGTTACTCTCTTAGAGAACTCCGAGTCGCCCACTGGAGTCTGAACAGATAAGTATGTGGGACCACAGTTAGATCGATACAGACTTGACCTGCATGTCCGAGGGCGACGGGTGTGATGACTGGACCTACTAGGCGTCTGTGAACTTGGTTGATGAGGTTTGCGTGGCATGCTATTGACAATGACATACTAACGCCAATTCCTGGACCCGACAAGGGTACAGGTTTGGGAATAAAAATCTCCGTCAGCTGAGCTATGCGAAAGGTGCTGGTTCCTGAGTGCTCGGAAGGAACCGGCACCACACGTCCAGCTGAGCCTGAGCGGCAAGCCTTTCTTTTTCGTCCCAGCTTCCTTTCTTCACTACACCTTACAGTCCACTCGCTCGTTTCACGTTATCCTCGCTCGCTCGCATATTTTCACCCACCCTCCACGCCCAGAAATTAAATTTTAATAACGTATGCATCGCAGTATTCGTACTGTCTATAGACATAAATACCCGTACATGAATACCCACTCCTAGCTTCGTATCTCAGTATGCATATAATGGTCATTCACTCAGCACGCATGTCGAGTTTTCCCGCCCACCCAGCGGCAATCTCGCCAGCGTCCGAACCGAGCTAACGCTCGGTCCCAGCCCAACCACTGTGTGTATGACCTCCATGTTTATTCTGCGATAGACGAAGCTGGATGACAGGAAAGGTTACTTTAATAACCGGAATTTGGCGTGATTTTGTTGTTCCTTGGGTTTGGGACGCCCCTCTTGATTGATGGTTCTCGCTTTCATTTGGGCTTCAGCTCATCGTGCATCATGGCTTCTGGATCATCATCTGTCAATTAGATCACGCCTTCCATGGCTCCCCCTGCTGCTCTTGTCATTTCTGATCAAGAACTGCCTTCCGAGTCTAAAGGGGCCTAAGATTGCTAAATTCATGAAATACCTTGAGCGAATGCTGGAGCGTCCGAGCTTGAAGCAAACCTTTGACGAAGCGTGTATACATTCATACAAACGACTAATGATACTCATATTTCTACACTGCGTTTAGGAGTCCGCGATTACATTCTTCAAGACGATTTTCGCTGAGCGCCCGCAGTGAACATTTACCTGATGACAGATAGTTAGAATGCTGCATACTTTGGGAGGAGGGGCATTACATTGACTTCTTGTTTAGGCATCACGGGTTTCTACTACGCTGCTCCCAGACCGTTGTGTTAACACGGATAATGTTGTCTACTTTACTGCATTGACAAGATGTTACAATCATCTCTGGAGGGTGCATATATATCGGGTCTAGCCAAGTCGTGACATTCACATGAAGCATCCTTACAGCTGTTTTGGTATGACAAGCAAGAATTCGTCTCACTTTCATACTACTTTTTCCTCAATAGGACTAGAAGCAACAGTGCTGTCGCCGTCCAATTGTTGTGATTCGGCCTCGAGAATCTTGCGTGACACCTTACTATGAGAGCGGATCTTTGAACCAAAGAAGAAAAGGACCTGCATGGACGTTCAAAATGTTCAAAAAATTCCCTATACGGACGCAAAATCACCCACCCATGGAGTTGGCGCTAATACTACGGATAACAGGGCCCAGAGAGTCAGTCCCCATTTATATGTCATACCAGCGAACATCTGTTGTGTGAAGAGCGGGAATACCAACGCCATTGTATTTCCTTGTAGTTACTAGTTCAGCAGAATAAATGAGCAGAAAGCACAGACTCACGAGCCAAGCTCTGCCCCGCTTGGGCCGATGAGGTATATGGACCGTAGCTAGGTTTAGCCCTTGAATATTTGCAGGACAGATGTGGTAAGATGCATACCAATCTGCGAGATACAAAAATGAAACTTGGAATATCACGAAGACGCCAGACATAAAACCCTTTAAACTCAACGAATCAGGGAGACCACGTTGAGAGATTACTTGTTTGCGACGTACGGTCAGTCCAATCAGGGGGACTATCCAATGAATGCTAGGTGATGCCGTCCACGCGTAGATGAACATTGAGACGGGCAGGACGATAGCAGCGACGCATGCCATGTATAGTCGTGCTTCTTGGCCCTTTGTCGCAAAGTATTTTCTGGGTCCCATAAGCCACGACGAATGTCTTCTGCTGACTTTCTTACCGGTACAAGGTTTCTTGATACACATTCGCCATAAAACCTAAGATAGCTCCGATACTGTTAAAATGAAAGATCAGATGCGGCGCACATATGCAATAGAATGACTTCCCTTTGAGACAGAAATACCAATCCTGTCTCGCCGACACTGAAGTGGTAGACAGACTGAAACTCCGTGGTGATGGATCTTTCGTTTTAACTCACTTTAGCGACTACCTTCTATCCAGGAGCCAATGGCACTTACTCGAGCAAGCAGTACACGATCCCCCAAGTCAAGCCACACCAAAGCTGATCAAATGACGTCAACCACCATCGAGGGTGCAAAATGTTAGTCACTGACACTGAAACTCTGCACAATAGGTTCAGTTAAGAGTAAATCTGGAGTTGTATGGTTAGGAAAACTCCACAAAAGATAACTTTGCGTACACAATGGCCGTGTACACGACGTCTTGATTAGAGATGCCATGCTCGGTTTGTCAATTTCAGCGCTGGACCGATACCTGGGGTCGCCGGTCATCTTTCTGGTGTCCTTCGCGATGCGAGCTAGAACAATTGATGAACGGGTTTCGCTCATCATCAGGATGACATCAAGCACATATGCTCCAGTGAACCTGATAATCATATTAAAAGAGATCCTCAAAGGGATGTATAAAATTTTTTGAACAAACATGATGTGCACCCATTGCACCCACCGCCAACCGAGGTGCGGATTCGCAGCAATGAGTCCCCCAAATGTTGACCCGAGGCCGAAAGAGAATATTGATGAGAACGCAAATAGCGACATCGGCAATCCGCGTCTGGAACATTGTCAATACGTAAGGGAGCTACCGCAGGTATCTTGCCTTACTCATGTGGCTGCCATATATCAGCGATGCTACCTCCGACCAAGGACGCACCAGTCGAGCCAAAAATTCCTTGGAGTGTACGCGACACGATCACGGTTTGTATGTTTGGCGCCCTGCCAGTGATGAGCGCCCGTTGCTGCAACAATTACACGACGACTCACAACGCATTCATAACTTCAGCGAGCAAAAACAAAACAGACGAGACGATATAAACGGGTCTTCTGCCGCACTCCTAATACACAGATGCACTTGACGCTCAACGGTGTCAAAAATGGTCAGTTCTTACCTCGCTGAATGACGAAGAAATCAAAGGGACAATCCCGAAACCCATCGCGTACAAGCTCAATCCCAGGGTCGCCTGAAGTTGAGTACAATTTAGGTCTGACATCATTGACTCATAACTGATTGAATAAGATGACGCTACAGCGGCTGTCGCAACTATCAGATGGAATGGCATCAACACTGAAACCCGAGGTCACCTGTGATTCCAGCGAATGCACAACCCGTCAGCGTGATAACCCATCTCCGCGCATAAGAGAAATTTTTTGGGTCGCGTGGGTCTCCTTCGTCAAATTTAATCTGGCCAGTGTAAACGGTCTTGAATGTGAAATGGTAATATGACAATGACTTACGAGTATCAACTCTTGCTCCTGTGGAACATGGGTAGTACACGAGGATGAGCCGATGCGTTTACCGGTGTCGTTCACTATCATTGCAACTTGGTCTTTCGTTACTAAAAGCAAGTTGGGTTTTAAATGAGGGAGGATTAATGAAATTGTCAGTGTTTCAGGGTGTTCCCGTAGCGGACCAGATGCCTCACCCATTAAACCACAAGGCCTATGCATGAGTAATATCAATAATCTTTCGCACTATAACGAGAACGTCACGAGAGTGTTTTTGTCTTTGTCTCGGGGAAGAGAGGGTAAGAATAGACTCTCAGCCGACACTGTCAACATGAGTAGATGCCGAGGACGACATGAGTGCACGAGTCCATTCGGAAGCGTGAGCACCAGAAACCACAGATCCATGGCATTGTGAATCCCTACATGATTGCTCTACGGTTGTTACCTCTGGACACGTCACCAGTAGGAGGGATCCTGGCTCGGTGATGATGACCGGGTGGGTGGAGGGAATGGGCACATGATGAAGTCGTCTGGTGCATTCATAAGTATAAATGAGTGGGCACCTGCGATTACATGCTTGTCGTATTCTTGACAATTCTGCAGAGAAGGGCGATGAATGGAGCTAATATGATGGATCATGGTACAAGACAACAAGCTTTTATTCGTGGAACCTGTCAACTCGAACGATTTTGTCATCATCAGATTGTCAAAGCTATCTGTAGCATGACGGTTGCCACTAGTCAATGAAAGGGAGTCATGGGGTCATTGCAAGGAAGTTTCAGATAAGAAAAAAAAGCCTCATCGTGTGACCAGACGGAATTGATCCGCAGAAAAGCTTGCTTCGGGCTTAGGGATTTTCGGGCCGCTGGGTATGTTTAAGCTTCATGACCATGTCACTACACGGAAAACGAACGACGGCCCGATAACCAACGCATGAGCGGCTCAGTGATCCTGCTGGAGGCCCCAGAGATTTACGAGGCAGGCGGGAAGACGCGAACTGGAAAAGTTTATTTGGCAGACGTTAGAATTGACGGGAACTACAGCTGTGATATCAGGGACAGAGTTTAGGAAGAAACAAAGACGCACGATAACCAGCAGGACTAGATTCTGAGACTAGTAGGGCTCATGGAAATCATTCAGCTGGAAGATTGACGAACTCGGATGCACATCAGTCGCGCCTGCAGCTCTCTATCCTAAGGTTGGCTCCCTCCTCAATATTGCAATTATGACCAAACAAGGTTGAGGTAGAGAACAAAAGCCGCTTCGATTCAATTTCAAATATACGCGTCGCGTCCACTCTCAGTGTTTCTCACGTTCCAGGCTCTATCTTCACCGCGACATCTGACATCACCTTGTCTAGTTGTTGCCTCTTGATCTAGACACGCAGGACGATTCAAGTGCCACTGGCAGTGCCCCACATAGCAGTACAACGACATATGGTTCGCAAAAAGTCGAGCTACATTTCAGATCATGTCGGATCAGATGATGTGGGTAGTAGGCCCATCCAATTTCAAATGATTTTCATTGACACCTAACTCGCAGATGGAGGGCATTCTTGAGATGACGCTCATGGACCAATGTCACGGAGTACCCGCTAACATTGCAGGACCATCCATATCGGCGGAGAAACCGTCGTATCTTCAGAAACATGATGTCAAGACCCGATTGTCTTCTCTAGAGGTTGAAATACAAGGCATAGACGAGCAGATCAAAAAGTTGACCGCTTTACGGGGGACCTTGATGGCGGAAAAGAAGGAGCTTACTCGAGAACACAACCGTATCAACCTTGTACAACCGCCCGGGGGGCTCAATGACGCTGTCCGAACTAAGGGCAAGAGCAAAGCTGCTACAGTCGACTATACAGTTAGCTTCGACTGGTCAACGCAGTTACAGTTAACAATGAAGAAGGTTTTCAATATCGGTGACTTTCGACTGTGTCAGAAAGGGTAAGTGCGGTGCTCCACTTGCTTCCTGGATCTAAAAGGACCGGTAATAGTGTCTGCAACGCTAATATGGATGGTCGAGATATCGTGTGTGTCATGCCAACGGGTAAGGCGATAGACTACGCTTTCTTTCCCGTCGCTAATGCGCTGTTGCAGGAGGTGGAAAGTCGTTGACCTATCAACTGCCTGCCCTCCTGACGCCAGGTTGTACATTGGTCATATCTCCCCTGATTTCCCTGATGACGGATCAGATTCTACATCTGAGAGAGTCGGGAGGTGTGTTCACTTCTATCTGAAATTCTCTTCTTAATGCCGATGTCCTTTAAGTCGAAGCTGTCATGTTGACAGGAGGAACTCCGCGTCCCCTACTAAATGAAATTCAGCAAAGACTGACATCCATGGCATCGTCTCGGGGACAGCACGGTCGGGATATTAAATTGTGCTATGTCACGGTAATTCAGCAGCTTCAAAGATGATATCGTGCTGATTTATGTCGCAGCCAGAGAAAATAGCTAAAAGCAAGACGTTTATGTCTCTTCTGCAGAAGCTCGTGGAGGGTGGAAAGCTTGGTAGGTTCTGAGCCTCTAACCATGAAATCCTATGATTAGTTCGCACAAGCTCGGATCATCATTGATGAAGCTCACTGCGCATCTCAAATGGGCCACGATTTTCGGTACTATCTTTATCCCCTCCAGGTATACAAGAAACTCACCAATCACTAATCGCGTATTAGCCCGGACTACAAGAAACTGAGCGTTCTTCGCCAGTTCTTTCCTCACGTGCCCATTCTCGCATTGTCAGCAACCTGCCCCCCGAGAGTCCTCCAAGATATTCTCAAAATTCTCAAAATGAAACCGGTGGTAGATGGCAAAGGTATTCGTCCTTTTTGAATGTGCTGACAGCTAAAACAACATGCTGTTACGCACAGCTGCCCCACAAGATGGGACGGTGTATTTTTCAGCACCTCTGTACCGCAAAAATCTGCATTACACTGTCTTACCAAAACCATCGTCAGCAAAAGAAGTCATCGCAACAATGTCGAATTACATCCTGCAGAATCACAGAGATGACAGTGGCATTATATATTGCCTTGCGAAGAAGGTATTTTAATCCACGGGACCGCGGGTATTGAATTCATATCGTTGAAGGATGCAGAGTCGGTTGCTGAAAGCATCCAAGCGGTGAGCAACGGCCGCATTAAAACGGGCGTCTACCATGCGAATATCGAGGATGGGCAGAAAGAAAGGCTGCACACGCAGTGGAGGGAAGGGAAAGTTCAGGTGGTCTGTGCTACAATAGGTCCGCCTCATGTGTGATATCACATGAACCTGCGGCCCTGATCAACTTCGGGGTAGCTTTCGGCCTAGGGATTGACAAGGGCAACGTTCGATTCGTGCTCCACCATACTGTACGTGGTCCACTTCGGAAGTTTTCACGTTGCTAAAATGACATCCAAGATATCGGTTCGTGGAGCTTCAGAGGAGTGCTCTGTGTATCCATTGAGTGATTACCATTTCACAGAAGTCTCTTGACGGGTACTATCAGGAGTCGGGACGTGCTGGACGAGATGGCCGAGACGCGGACTGCGTATTGTACTATCGTCCACAAGATGCTACTCGCCAGGCTTCCATTACATACAGCGATCAGGACGGTTCAACAAAATGTGAGCCATCTCCGCACGTTTGAATTGAACCATCACGCAATTCCCCGCCTCCCTCATAGTGCATGACATGTTACGTTTCGCCCAAGATATGCAAGAATGCCGCAAGATCTTATTTGCAAAGTAAGCCTAACTCGTACTAATATCTATTTTCCTCACAAATATGTTTGTGATCATTCAAGGTACTTTTCGGCATCATCCGATCTCTCTATGGCCTCATGGACCACGAACGAAGCAGATGCAATGGACCGATGTGGTCATTGTGATAACTGCACGAGGCCACTTGACAACGTGGAACACAAGGATGCTACAGTTGAAGCGTGGCAGATTCTAAAGATAGTCGAAGCTGTAGAGAGCAGTGGCGGGCGGCTGACCATTGCTGGCCTCAGTGACCTGGCACGCGGTCTGGCTGGCGGTTTATTCGAAACTAGTGGCGGCGGAAAGCGTCGGAATGCTAAAGAGAAGATACAGATTGACTATGATTCTGTGGCTGGCGGCAAAGTGGGGCTGTCAAAGGACGTGAGTTCCCGTTTTCCATGGCGAGTTTGATTGGATCTGAGATATTGTGAAAGGACATGGAGTCGTTGATTGTGCAGATGCTTCTTTCCCAGTACCTCAAGGAGACGTTTTTGTCGACAGCATACACCGTGAATGTTTACGTCGCACCCGGTAATCAAGCACTTCGGCTCACCCGCTTCACTCGTGAAGATGTCGTGAACGGGGGCGGGCCTAGAATCCAATGCTCCTTCAGGAAACATGGGCGTAAAGCAAAGAGCAAAAAGGCCGCTCTTGACAGGCAATCTCCTGATATTTTGGAGCTTCAAGAAGACACCCCTGGTGGCCCGTCACAGACTCGGAAACCAGTCCCACCAAGAAAGAAAAGGCTTTATGAAGACGTATCGGACCCTGACGAGGCGGATGACATCGATGGAGAGGATTTTACGAGCCAGATGAGACTCGTTGACGCTGAGGAGTCCGATGCTGACGATACTGATGCTGACTGGGCTTACTCACTTAGACCCGCTCAGCCGACCAAGAAACGGCGAACGGGTGGAGACAAGGTGAAGGAAATTCCTGCCAAGTCAAGTAGAGGGACGATTGGGGAGGAACATGAGGTTATATCTCTCTCGTCAGACTAGTGTACAAACATGCAAGCATGTAACTTATCATCATCATAATGCTACAGATACCAGCTCCGATAAAACGGTGGCGAGCACATGAACGTGTAAAAGGAGCGAGTCATCGAAGGCAATAAGTGCGCTTTGAAGAGTGTCCGTGTTAAATAGCGAATGGGGCAGCGGACACATGATACATTCGATTTTCACTCGTCGTCAGAGGTCGGTGAGGAGGGGACTGCGGTGAGGTAACCAGCGATAATACCATCCTGACTCTTATAATTCGTTGGCTTCAATACAGAGCGCAGGGGAGGTTTTGGTATCAAACGGTGACCGATGTCAATGCGAGTTCCCTCCTCATTCTGCCACCCCTCTCCGGGCTCGGGATAGCCGTCAAGATCAGGAGGGTAGGCCTCTCCTGGCGGTGGTAGCCTGTAAGCACCGTCATTTCGCCAGAGTTGGTCTCTGAAGTACTTGAGGTTAGCATTCATACACGTCAATAAAGTGCGACAAACCCTCTGCGATTGAAGAATCCCTTTCTTCTCTGACCCGGGAAAATAGGGGATGGACATATCAAGTCATCACACCACCGCACAGATCGTGCAAGTGGAATAGGACATAGCGACCGCGGCGGCTGTGTCTGGTTGCCATCAAAATTCCGGCGATGTGGCACGCCTGGTGGACGATAAATCGGTTCATTATCCAGTACGGGTCCCTGCAAAGGAGGGTACTCGTAATGTCCACCGGGGACTAAGTCTAAACCCGGAGGCGGTGGGATAGCAATAGAGAGGTTCCCTTTGAGGGACGTTGAGCGCGACAGCTGCGTGCCTGTGCTACCTCTCCCTTGCTCATCCACTGGCGGAGCTGGGAATGGCACGCGTTCACCATGCTTGAGCAATGTCGAGTGCTGGCGGGTATCACTTGGCATAGACCGTTCACTCGCCAGGAGGATGCTATCCTTACGTACTCTGGCGCCAACTGGAGGCGTAGGGAGTGGACGTGAAGGATAAGGGATATAGTCCCCCTTATTAGATGATGCTCTGGACGGGGGACTCGCTTCATTACATTGAGGGCACGCATGCCCTTGTGGGAAAGTTGTCATACTTCTGTGGTGGTACGAAGGGGGCGAACGCGAACGACAGTGCTCAGAGCTTGGCGATGCAGCTCTGATCTGAAGCATTCGTGTATTTGGTGGGCTATCAGTGACACTGCTACTCGATGAGCCGGAGGAGATCTGTGTGTTGACCGAGAATATAGAGTCGCATTCGCTCGTTACATCAGAAGGTGAGTACGGGTACTCAGACTTGGACGACATCGAACGCTCATAGATGTATGTGTCGGGCACAGGTCCAGGGTGAATGGCGTATCTCCCGGAACTAGGCTTGTGCTCGTACGATCGCTTCGCGAAGCTAGGCTCCTCGGCTGGAGGAGCCTTTAATAGCTTCCTCGTGGGTTCCTGCTGGCGTGAAACGTGTCCGGACTGTTGTCTGGACTGGGAGTCCGCCCGTGCCATAGGGCGGTAGTCTAAGTCCACTTTCGCCGCGTATGGACGTGCAGACATCGCCGGGGCCTTGAAGACCTGGACAGAGAAACCGGACGGGACCGGGAGGAAATAATTCTGTGCAGCACAGCATAATTAGCATGATGCATGGTCAATAAACACGTTTCGCACCTTGGCTGCTCCACTACGGGAGGGAGGTCGGGCAGCGGGATTGAAAGAGGGGGGAAACATTGTGAGCGGGTGAGGCTCTTACACGGGTGATTTGTGAATGCAGCTTTTAACCTGGTGGAACACATAAGAGGTCCATTGGCGAGGGTATCCATGAGGCTCTGTACACGAGACAAACAGGTTGTATAACACGCGGTCTGATGCGTACGCGAGAAATGAGATCCAGTTTACCTACGGACGATGGGCACAATACATAGTGTGAGTGTAAACATGGTTAGTAAATACAGGCTGGCCAGTGATTGAGCGGCAGTTTGGCCCAAAGTAAAACAGGTTCAACCATTTTTACCGCTCGTACGAAATCAACGTGGCAGTACACCTAGATGTGTGGCGTGCTTGGAGCCATATCTTCTCGTGATCTTGCTTTGTTCCGGAGCCTGAGAGTACACAAACCTTATTATTATGATTCCGGTGTGCCAGGGTTGAAACCGGGGAGTTGATCGTAGTAGAGCGTACCTTTGAAGTAAGACGTCAGACTAACGAGTCTGACTGGAGAAATGACTATATTAAGCAAACGAAGCGAAGGAGGATACAAACTTGTCACTTGAACTTGCGGGGGGACTTCGGAACTGGAAGCGCCGATCAAGCGAATGCTCCCGAGCTTCTCCATGATTCTCGCCGTCTTCACTATTCGCCAATGAAACAGGGCAGAACCACCCCAGGGTCAAAGGGCGACGTTGCCGACGAATCAGAGCGACAATACCAGCATCTCACTCAATCTCCTCGCGATCGAATGAGCCACATCGCAGAGTGCCGATCAAGATGGCTCAGAATGCAAGCTAGCGCGATAGAAGACGAGACCCCCACTGCTAGCAATTGCCAACACCTCATATCGAGGCAAGACGTATGGAAGCGCTGCGGATGAAGGCGTTCAGCCTTGAGCACGTTTGATGTACAACGAAGTGGTTATCCGTTAGCTACGGAGTGCAAGGGAGAGGTGAGGCAGTATGAATTCCGTGGGTGATAACACAGTGATCTTCAGGAGACCCCAACTACATCGATAGGTGTATACATATTGACGAGGTAAGTTCCCGAGGAGAACATGTTGTGCCAAGTCTAAGTGTCACAAGTACGGCATCATCCTGCACGAGTTGGAAGTTTTTTTCCTGGAAGTGCGCGAACCAGCAAGCAGCATCCGAGCACATGAATATCATTTTGCCGAGTGACGGGTGGTCAGGTCGTATATAGAGCGCAAGTCTGTGCAAGTACCAGCAGAAAAACAGTCAAGTGGAAATGCATACGAGCGACGAATTCAGTATATATTTCGAATTAAAGGACCAAATGTGGAATATTTCGTACGAAACCTGCGGACAAGTTTTGGTGGATATTGACACGTCTTGAACGGCTTGACCCAAACATCCGCCATGAAGCTTAAAGAAATCTACAGGACGTCCACTTTTGCGTGGTCACCGACTGCGGCGCTCCCACTTATCGCGACTGGTTCTGTTGCTGGCGCGCTCGATGAGTCTTTCTCAAATGAATCTCAGCTCGAGATATGGCAACCAGATTTCATGGACAAGAACGAATATGATCTCGGACGAGATGGATTGCCTGCCCCAAAGGGCGCGGTCACCGACAGCTCGAGGTGAGCGTGCTAGTCGCGTGCAACAATAGAAGTCCGTGAAAATGATTGTCATAGGTTCAACCGTCTTGCATGGGGTCAAGTCCATAGAGACCGCTCACGCGGTGTCATCGCAGCTGGCATGGAAAACGGCGAACTTGCCCTGTGGGATCCAGCAAAAATCATTGCTAATGCCGAGTACGCACATCTTCATACGGGGTTTCATCAGCTAATTATTCTGCGCAGTGTTTCTGAATCTCTGATGCTTCGCAACACCAGCCATACTGGTCCCGTTCGTGGCCTTGATTTCAACCCCATACAGACGAATCTTCTGTCTTCTGGTGCCATCAATGGCGAGGTATGCAAATCTACTTCAGCAAATCATTCTCCCCCTAACACGTTCGTCGCAACAAATAGGTTTATATCTGGGATCTCAATGACCCGTCGAAGCCGTATTCTCCTACGCCAGGCACACGAAGCACAAAGCTTGACGAGATCACCTCTGTTGCTTGGAACCAACAGGTGCAATACGTACTTGCGGGTGCTAGCAGCACTGGATATACTGTCGTATGGGATCTGCGAGGGAAACGTGAGGTGGTTGCCCTCGCATACGGTGGTGGTGCGGGCACGCTTTCAGGCCAAACTGGAGTTGGTAGTGGAATGGCCGTTGGTGGCAGACGCGGCATGAGTGCCATTGCGTGGCACCCTGACAATGTAGGCGCTCGTAATTTTGATTGTGACACCTCGGAGCTAATTGGATTTCAATGCAGGCAACGCGCCTTGTGACCGCATCCGAGGATGACCTGTCTCCCGTGATCATGGTTTGGGATCTTCGAAATGCACGCGCACCGGAAAAAGTACGCTCTTAATAACTCCATTCATTCATTGCTAATGCACCCCACTAGATCCTCACGGGGCACGAGAAGGGCGTTCTGTCGCTCTCGTGGTGCAAGCATGATGCAGACCTCTTACTTTCGTGCGGAAAGGACAACCGCGCCCTCTGTTGGAACCCGCAGACATCTGAGATCATCGGCGAGGTATGGCCTGATTTATTGGAGTCTGCTGTTCTAACTTCATCCTTCAATAGCTCCCTTCTGCGGGTAATTGGGCTTTCCAAGTGGAATGGTGCCCACGAAATCCAGATCTTCTGGCGACTGCTTTCTTCGATGGCACGGTTGGGATCCACTCCATTCAGTCTATGAATGACGCTACAGTCCCTCCTGCGACCCCAAAACCTGATGGAACAGATGTATTTGACGACCCAGGCTACTCCCGTACCACGGCTCCAACGCTCAGTCTTAAACAACCACCTAAGTGGCTTCGTCGCCCATCTTCCTGCTCGTTTGGGTTCGGTGGACAGCTCGTAAGCGTTAGCAACCTACCTGCTGCCTCAGGGAAGAACCAGAGCAGCGTCGTGCACATCCGAAAGGTTATCGCAGAGACGGATATTGTCGACCGGGCACGAAAGCTGCAACAAGCCGTGGACAATGATACCTTGAGCGCGTTCGCAGAAGAGCGGGTTAGCTCGGAGAAGGCTGGTGAAGATGGCTGGAAGGCCCTTCTCAGTTTATTCCGTGCGAATTCGAGGGATGAACTTGTCACTCTGCTAGGCTACTCTAAAGAGGAGGTCAAGGCGCGCGTCGAGGAAGCAGTTGCGAAGCTGAAGGAGAGTGTATCATTCAACACGTCCAGTTACAGCGTGGATGAAGTCGGCGCAGATGCTGCGAAACCTCACGAGCCAGTGGTGTCTTTTGCGGAACCAGAAGCACGATACGATGGCAGCGAAGAAGATTTGTCGACAATGGGTGCTGAAAAGACGCCCTCGGAGGTGAGCGCCAGCGTTGCATCCGACGCCGTCCAAGTCACAGACGGTGAATCTACGACAACTGCTCCAAGTCTCTTCGGTGATGAAGGTGCCCTTGGTACACCCCAAATGGATGCGGGTGCTGACTTCTTTAGTTCAATTGGCGCTGCATCCGAACTCGAGGTGCCTCATCTTAACTACGGTCTCGACTCGAGTGTCGCTGCCACCATTGGGTCTGGTCCTTCAAGTATAGCAAGCGAGAACCTGAAGAACAACACGTTCAGGATCTACCCCTCTGACGAGAGTGAGACGGATGGGTTGGTGACGAAAGCACTGGTGCTTGGCGACTTTGAGTCCGCTGTTTCGTTGTGTCTCTCTGCTGAACGCTATGCGGACGCTATCTTGCTCGCGATCAAGGGTGGTGAAGATCTTCTTCAGCGCACCCAGAAGGCTTACTTTGAACGGCGGACGACATCTCATCCCTATCTTCGTCTGTTCCAGAGCATTGTCACCAATGATCTCTTGGACATCGTCCAGAACGCCGATCTTCAAGAATGGCAAGAGATATTTGTGGTGCTGTGTACCTTCGCGAGCCAGGAGGAATTCTCGAACCTTGCGGAGCAACTTGGAAGCAGGCTGGAATTCCAGAGCAGTCTGATGCGTGAGGGCGATGCAGAGATCGATAACAATGCCCTCGAGTTGAGGAAGACGGCGACTTTGACATACCTCGCCGCAGGAAGGCTGGAGAGACTGTTGAACATCTGGATCGAGGAGCTCGCCGAGGAGGAGGAGGAGTTATTGGATGATCAAGATCGGCTCAGCAGTTCGCGGTATACAGCCCATGCCCACGCTCTGCACACTTTCATAGAGAAAGTGACCGTCTTCCGAGATGCCACCAAGTACGTGGATGGCGATCTGGCACAGGTACCAGGTGAAGATGCCGATGCCAAGACGTACAAGCTCGGCGCATTGTATGATCGCTACTTTGAGTATGCGGACGTGCTCAGTTCTCAGGGTTTGGTGAAGGAGGCTGTTGCGTTTTTGAAGTTAACGCCGGCTGATTACACGGGGTCTGCATTGGACTGCGCAGGAGTCAGGGAGCGTCTATTGATGGCTTCTGGAGGGCGCACAGCTGCTCCAGTTGCAGGCACCGGCCGTGCTGCTCTTCCACCCGTCCCTGCACCTGCTGCTCCCACTGTGCCATTGGGCTACGTCAACTACACGCCATCTGCTCCAGCTGTCCCTACTCAGCCACGCTCATATGCGCCTGTTCAACCCGTCTCTCAGCCGTCTGTCTATGATCCATATCCTCTACCCGCTGCTGCCAGGCCAATCCACCCCACTTCAGTTCCGTCCCATGGTCCTGTCCCTCCCTCTGGCCCGCCAAAACGCATGCAAATCAGGGGCTGGAACGATCCTCCAGTGATGACCAATGATCGTTGTGCCCCGTCTTCGCTGAACCTCCAGAAGCCTCAGGCAATCATGTCACCCTTCCCCAATGCTCCTTCTCCAAGAATCGCGTCACCTCCTGCTCCTGGCCCTCCATTCACAGGCCCTGGGCATGGTCATGGCCAGAACGCTCCACTTCCCCCTCCACCACGGCCAGCGAGCGTGCAGAGTCGGGCCCCTCTACCTCCTGCACAGCGGATGATGCACCCACCGCCTCCCCCTCATGCTCGACCTCCCTCTGGACCCCCTGCTCATCCACAGGGCATGCAACCTCCCCAACACCGATTAATGTCTTCTCCCCAACAGCATGCTCCTCTTCCGTCTGGTCCTGGTCCGTACTCGCCGTCCATGCAACCTGCCCAGCTCCAACCTCCTGGTCCGTATGCACGTGCCACTCCACCGCCTGGTCCTCCACGTGGCCCCGGGCAGCCTCTTGGCCCACCTAGACCATACGCAACGCCTCCGCCTGGACAGGGTCCTCCCGCACCGCCGTCAGGTCCCTATGCACCTCCTCCCGGCCAAGCTCAGCAACCACCACCAGGTCCATACATGCTTCCTCCTGGTCAAGTCCAGCAGCAACAGCCTCATGATCTTCCACAAGGTCCACCGCGAGTGGCTCCTGCGCCGCATCCGCTTGCTGGCCTGCCTTCTCAGCAGGGACCTCCTGGAGCTGCATCAGCCGGAGGTGCCGGCGCCGCGCAGCCTCCACGTTCTCGCCAAGGTCCACCGCCACCAAAATATCGTACGTTATCTCGATGAACGCAGGAGGCACGTGGCTGACTATTGGTTCTAGCCCCAGGGGACCGAGCTCATATCCCCGAGTCTGCATTGCCCGTCTTCAATATCATTAGCGAGCAAGTCATACGGATGAAGCAGACGACTCCAGTTCGTGGTTGTTTTTTGTGATTTAGAGGACCTTGTCTGATTATTTTCCGTAGCCGCAACAACGGCGAATGGCGGATGACCTTGAGCGCCGAACCAACTCTCTATTCGATGCTTTGAATTGTGAAACATTATCCAAGCCTGTGGTTGACCAGTTGCTTGTCTTGGCAAGAGGTACGTGTTCTGCGTCAATGGCTTGGGCGATTCTCATCCAAGCGTTGTTCAACAGCCATGGAGGCGCACGACAGAGATGCTGCGTTGTCTATCCATGTCGATCTTCTCACTCGTGGCTCGCAGACGGATGACATTGGCCTGTGGATGTCAGCGATCAAACAGCTCATTATTCGCATGTAGACATTTGTCCCGAGTCGGCTTGGAATGTGTTGTTGTTCACTTTTTACTACCCACAGGACTATTTAGATTTGATTTTGGTGTTTAGTATCGGAAAAAAAGTTGATTCACTAATGTTGAGTTTTCTGAGCGACGGTGACATGGCCACTCTGTCAGGCGATCTCATAATGGTGATAACTAGCGGTATAGGTATCTTGCGAGCTGGCAGAACTTGATGCTGAAACTGAAACAGTTGAGCAATGAGAACATTGACCCTTGGAACCAAGTTCCTCATTGATTATCATAGGCACGAGTGTTGAAGGCCTCAGCAGGTCATGTGGCAGATGCCGAGTGTCCAGACTCCACCCACTACTTCTTCGGTCTTGCCATCGGATATCCATACCTTATTGGCTGCAGCGTCCCCTTCGACTTGTGTGCTAACAAGCATTGCAGTCCATTACTGTCACAGATACTTGTAATTCAATAATCGCATAGATATCTGATTCCGACTCGCGATTGGAAGCACTTGAGCACTGCGCTCAGTACGGATATCGGATTCTGCAGATGGCTTTCGTTCCTCCTGAACTTATATTATGTATCTTAGAACATGGGTACTACACCTCATTAGGCACCCCAAACTACACGCTCCTCAAAGCTGGTGCACTGGTGTGCAAAACCTGGTCAGGACCCGCTCAATCCCTGCTCTTCCGCCGTGTACAAAACCTTGAAGCACGCAATACCATCACGTTTCATGCAGCACTACTCTCTTCAGCGATCCGGGGGAAATCCTTAGGTGACTGCGTACGGGCCCTCGAAGTATCGATTGGGTGGGATGGGGGATGCAGTCTAGATGACTTTGTGAGGCTTCTGCAAGCTTGCCCTCACTTGTATGAGCTCGGGCTGAGCATCTACGGAATACACGAGTTCGAGGAAGAGATACTGAAGAAGCTGGGAGATGCAGGGCGGAGACTGAAAGCGCTCCAATTAGCACGTTGTGGGCTCCAATCACCCATCCTTTTCCAGCTCCTCAAGACATGGAACAATATCCAGTTCCTCAACATTGGCAACGAGATTGCTGCGTGGCCATGGCGCACTGCTACAACACCGGTGCTACGGAGGAACACCGATGCTGGAGAGTTGGCGCAACGACCTAGTGCAGAAGTCTGCTTGTATGATCTTGCGTTGTCGAGGTTTCCAACACCAGAAGTTCTAACCTGGTTACTTGCATCGTCCACCGACTCGCTCCGCATCCTAGAACTGCGAGATATACCAGGTCCTACACAACGAAACATCCTTTCTCTTCATGCCCCGCGACTTCGCTCCCTCCGTCTCGCGCACTACAACATACATTCTGCTGCTCTGCTTCGTATGTGCACTGCGCTGGAAGAGCTGGTGCTTTACCATGTTCCCACACATTTTCCACTAGTGCCTGATCTCCCGCCCACCATCGAGCACCTTTCTTTCAGAAATCCAAATCACACTTACCGCAACACGCTTCAGCCCATTATTACAGCAGTGGATGCGCTTCCCAAGCTTAGAGTCCTGACATGTGACAGGAATGCGGAGCAGCTGGTGGTGGACTATGAGATATTGAAGGCGAAGTGCAGAATGAAGGGTGCTAAGGTTATCGTAGCGGATATGCCGTTCTGGGTGGTGCGTGTCAAACTTGAAAACGATGGTCCTCTTCTGAGCTCATATCGAAAACAGTACGAGGACCCTGTCATAGTACACCGTTTTCCTCGGACTCGTTCTGTGTCGAACTTTGACGCGATGTTTTAAACACGGAAGGAAATTTTTGGCGATGCCTTTTTATGGTATTCGTCACGAGCTGAAAATCATTACACTAAGGACAACATGCAGTTGGAACCCTGAGTGAATCTGATGCACTATGTCTGTATGATTGTGTTTTCCGAACAGGTCAAAGTTCCGGCTCCATTGGTCGGGAAATCTTGTAGGTGTCTTCCGTTCACAAAAGCGCTTTAGTGAACACACTAGGTCTCCGTCATGGTGACAACTTGGATGTGCGTGCTTACCCCTCGGTCTGGGTCTGAGTTAAATCATTACCCCCATAAGATCCCGAGCCTTCGCCTCACAGCTCTCACACGGTGACCATGGCGAGATAACAGGAGGCACTACCTCTTCGATGATCTACATCTGTTTCTTCTTCGACGCAGCCGTAGCACAGGCTCACGCGATGGCACTGTTTGCGTCGGTCAATATACGGGCGATCGTCGCAGAACGGCCAGTGGCAGCGCGGACAGCAGATGAAGACTCCGTGCTCTGCACAGAGGCCGCATGTCCACACTGATTAACACAGACATGTCACGCAACCGCTTGCGCACTCAAGATAGAGCACTTCGGATCAACATAGCGAGTTTCGGCACCTCTGCCAGCCAGGCAGCTCGCATTTCATGCACCAATCGTGCTTGGGAGGGTGATCACGTGCGGATCGGATGTAGGCCATGAAGAGATCCACGCGATGGTGTTCCCGTAAGTAAGCATAGGACAAAATGTCGACGGGACGATCGATACAAGACATCCCTCGCGCAGCACCAATAATTGCACCTATGACAGTTTTCTAGTCATTTAGACCCCTGATGCTCGAGGCATGGAAACCATAACGCCTCATTTGGATGCTTGGTGCACTGCGCGAGCGGGAGTTCAGAAGATTCACGGCAGTCATGAGACTCGCACGATGCAGCTTGGCAACTGTTGTAGTGGATAAGATCGGAGGCGTAGATTGTGCATTTCCAAAAGCCTGGTGGTGAACTGGTATCTGTGCCACCAACAACCTGCTGTTGTGAAACGCGTTGATAGTATTTCTACAGCGCTCGATTGACGTCATGATAGCGGACGAATACAAATCAATATTCACCTCCACTTGCAGCTGCTTTCATATACTACGTGCAAAATAGCTCTCCGTCGTTGTGTACTACTGACGAGAGCGTATATCGAACCTCGCGAGAGCAAACTCATAGATGTCCATCATGACCGGTGCAAGCACGCTGGGGACGGAGATGCACACGCCGTTACGCCAACGGTCTTTGATCTGCATGTCGCGGAACATGACAGAAAAAGAAAAGAGAGAATTGAAATGGATGACAAGGCTTGATAAGTCTGGGGGCCCTGGGTTTTCTTCTGAGAATGCGTATCCGAGAGTCACGACGTGTCTTGTTTCAAATTCGTCGACTGTGGAGGGCGCCTCTGCCTCTGGGTACAACATGCGGTAGACAGTTTTCATGACACGGAATACGTTCATTCGTATTGGGAGAGGTGATTATCCAGGTGGGCATGTAGAGCGGGATCATAAAGGAGGGGCGAGTGGACAGGGGCATGGATTTAAGTAGTCGCGAGTGACAATGACGTGTCACTAATGTCACACTCACTAGCGTGATTTCCTTCAATCGTCTATCAAATCGCGTACACGCGTTTCAGAGGCTGTTCCACCCCATTGATATTGTAGGGGGGTGAAAAAACGGAAGAATAAATCACCACATTGATCATACAGGCGACTTAGTACATTAAACGAGCCTGGGCTGCCTGGTCGAGTGCTCAACAGCACATTAATATTGGCGCAGCCTGAGGTGAGCGCAAACACGGTTATGTAAATGGCATGCCTCCTGCGTACTCACCCGGCCCTCCAGTGACTTCCTTCGGTCCGAGGGCAATCTTGTGACGCTTACTATCGGGGTCGATTCACTAATCCCTCATGGGATCACTCTACGCCCCCATCCGATCAGCGCCGTCCTGATGTCGGACTTTCCCGCTCTCAGGCTGTACCGGAGTCACGATCGTTCTTGGCCTGCAGGTTTGTACATACGGCGTCTCAAGAAACAGCTTTCTTCCAAATTAAAAGACCCTTTAGTGAACGCAGTATTCGTTTTTTATTGGCTTCGACTCGATGCTGGGCCTGATTGCCAGTGGTTTGACTGACCACTCATTAAACTAGCATGAGTGCAGTAATCTCCGTTGAACGTTCATCTTGATCGGAGCTTACTCTTCATATCCAAGCGCCAAACACATCCAACCTGTGACCAAATTAGAGCCTTCGCCATGCATACGAGACATATTCCGCGATCTTGCCGCGAACGCCGTGACACAGAAATCCATTCGACCCAAAGCCACACTCTGGGTGGCACCTGAACTAACTAAATAAAGCGGTGTGAAAGCATAAGTCAAATGGTTACTCTATTATCAGAATGACTGATAGCTGATGATGTGTTCACGTCCTAGCCTGTCGTCAATGTACTATCACGGGGTGTAATCTGAGAATTCTCTTACTCGTTCAGTGCTTTGAGGACCCATCCAGTTTCATTTGTATCTGGGAACCCGCGCTATGCTCATCCACCTTCTCCTGGTATACGGACATGGCTTCAGAGGACCGTCATGCAATCTCCACCGACTGATTCAAAAGCCTAGATAACGCGTCGTCCACCGGAGATGTCAAGTTATTTGTGAGCCATTTCCTTTCGGACGGTTGGTTCAGAGGTCAGTATTTGTGCAAGCAACTGAGGCACGCTAATAAGCACTCTTAGATCTTCTATGTTTTTCTTGGAATTTCAGGACACTCAGGTTTGCAAAAAATCCACGGATTTACGTCGGAGGGGATTGGCGGAAAGTTGCGGCTTGAGTATTCTGGTCTTCGTGATTTCAAGCTAGATAATCATACCGTCAATGCCCCTTTGCCATTCAAATTACCAGGTCCGCAAGGGATTGAAGGAGTACAAGGTGGTTTCACCTTCAGCATTACAAACCCGGCTGCACTCGGGCGCGGTTTCTTCCGTCTCACACAAGATATCGACGGAGACTAGAAGGCTTTAGCTCTTTTCACAAACATGCAGGATCTCGTCAGGTACGAGGAGTCTTCGACAAACCGATATGGCCTATATGAGAGTCGAAAAATGACTTGGGAGGAGGACGTCAATGAAAATTTTCGTGCTATAGAGGCAGACCCCATTGTTGATTGGTGCGGTGGTCCTATTCAAGTTGTGACCTGTGACGACCTGACGAGTCACAAAGTTGGTGGTGGACAATCCGGCCTTACGTGTGCGGCGCGGTTTGGGAAGTTGGGCATCCGTGCGCTGATGATCAAGAAAAATACGCGTATGGGGGACTCCTGGCGACAACGGTATGCACAGAAACAAGGGAGTGCATTTTTTTCTCATTATTAAATGGACGCGAAACGCAGGTACCCGAACCTTGCGCTACATACTCCCACATATCAAAGCTCGAGTATGCCTGATTATATTGCTGCAAACTTTGGTGCCGCTGAGTTGCGTTTATGGCTGCAATAGATCGAAGTCATATTTCATATGACAAACAGGTAATGATTGTCCAAAGAAGCGCTACATGCGTTGTATCCTCTGCTGCAGCAGAGAAAACCTACCTCAAGCTGCCTTTTTCTGACAAGAACCCTATCGAAGAACTAGATTTCCGCACCAATTCACCGCCTTTAGCCTTCCTCCTGCGACTGGCGACTTCCCTGGGAGCTGCTCCTCCTCAACAACCGACATCAATTCCCCTCCCAAAAGCAATTGCACCACTCTCTTCGACTAATTATATATATCCTATCCTGACGACAAGGACGTTTGACCTAAGTAACCAAGGTTCGGAGTTAGAAATACAGGGTAGACATAGTAGCAAAGTTCATCTTAATGCGGGTTACATTTTGGGGGTATAAAGTTTCGGCGTGTTCGTGTTCTCAATTGAACCGCATTGAATGCGGTTACCGGTGCCTGCCTCTTTTGCTTCCACTAGTCACTCTAACTTATTACCGGACAGTCTGAAACATTTGCTTTATATTATCGTACTCAATCTATTCCTCTAGAATCTTGAGTTTTTGCGTTTGTTGTTTTTCCTTGCCCCGGATCGGGGGTATGGCTGAGAAGTTGTATGGCCAAATATGGTATTCATTCATTCGTCCCTCCTGTCATGCCATTTGGTGAAGTGGTGTGTGGTGCGCCAGGAAGTGGTAAATCGACCTACTGCTATGGCAAGCACCAGCTATTTACTGCTTTAAACCGCCCAATTTCCATCGTGAACCTCGATCCAGCTAATGACAACATCCCTTATCCATGTGCGATTGACATTGCTTCTTTAATTACCCTTCAGGATGTGATGGACGAGCACGGGCTTGGCCCCAATGGAGGAATGCTTTACTGCATGGAGTATCTAGACGCCAACTTCGATTGGCTCGAGGCACGGCTGAAAGAGCTTGGACCCGACGCATATGTTTTGTTCGACGTACCTGGTCAGGTCGAGCTTAGCACAAACCACGACGCATTAAAACACATAGTGCAGCGGTTAACAAAGATTGGGTTTAGGGTACGTTATATCACAGTGTCTCTGTTGCTGGGACTCGCTGAACAACGCTAGTTAGCTGCCATCCACCTCTGTGATGCGCACTATGTGACCGATCCCGCCAAATATGTTTCCGTACTTCTCCTATCCCTTCGGACCATGCTACAGCTGGAACTGCCGCACATCAATGTTTTGTCAAAGGTTGATCTGATAGCTCAATATGGAGACCTGGGTGCGTCTTAATGTCGTTGTAACACATTTGTGTCTCTGACTTTGTCTCGAAGACTTCAATCTCGATTTTTACACGGAAGTTCAAGATCTCTCCTACTTGGAGAACGCACTGAATGCCGCGTCGCCACGATACACTGCTCTCAACATGGCATTCTGCTCCGTAATCGAGGACTACAGTCTTGTGGGCTTTGAGACGCTAGCGGTTGAGGTTTGTAAAGAAGGATTTCTTATGTGGTCTGAATACTGAATTACTCGTTTGCACAGGATAAGCCCTCGATGCTCCATCTAATGCACACTATCGATCGAGCGACAGGATACGTTTTTGTACCACCACACGACGCCCCAGCACCAGAAGGGACACTTGAAGCTTCGTCTACTCCTAAGTCGGCGAGGCCCAACACCTTTTCACTGTTCTCGTCTGCTGCAGGTCCTATGGCAGGTAGCGTGCGGGATGTGCAGGAACGTTGGGTCGACGCTCGCGAACAATGGGATGCATTTGAACGCAAAGAGTGGAGACAGGAAGGACAGATGATCAGGGAAGCGAGGGAAAGGGAGAAAGCGGAGAAATATGAAGGTAGGGGGAAGAGCGGGATTCGGGAACGAAAATAGGCCAAGTGTGTGCAGTCATTTTCGCAAGATCCATGAATTTAACACTGGTCGGCGCTTTTGACCAGACCGCCATGTTAGGACTCAGGACAAGACTTACCATCTTTCATTTTCAGGTTAACCAGATTGCTTATCTACATTTTGGCAGATGTTAATATGCAAAATTGCCCGCAACTTGTAGTCCTTGCTTCTGAACTAAGAGTAACCATCCATTGAAAATGCATAGAGATCTTACATAAGCAAAGGTAGACGTTGTTTGGCAATAGCCTTAAAAACAAATAAAGACGCGTGGAAATCTCAAACCAAGTGACCGAGAATTTCAGTGACCGAGACTGGAGTGCACTTGTCGCTGAGGGAGAAAATGCATGCTTTGAGACACGACATACTTCCTCCTAGTGGTGTTGAGTTTGCAACGACACTCAAACTCACCCCTTCAACTGTTACTGGATCTTCCAGTCAAGAAACGTTACCTCGCGTTCTTACCAACGTCGTTGTCTCAAGATCCAACCTTTTGCGGATTTTCGAAGTTTGGGAGCAACCTCCGCAAATCTCAACCTATATTGAAGATGAGCGGGAACGAAGGGCTAATGTGCGCAAAGGCACTGAGGCTGTGGAGGGAGAAGTAGAAATGGACGAGGGTGGAGAAGGGTGGGTTAATATGGGGTCTGTAAAGGTGAATTTCGAGCCTGAGTTGGGAGAGGGTAGCTTAGTTTCATTACAGGCTACTGCAAAGAAAGACCCTTCAATGGTGACACGCTTTCACTTTGTGCGAGAGCATACTCTGCATGGCACTGTCACTGGCATGGAGAGTGTGCGCATCATGTCAACCTATGAAGATCAACTGGATCGTCTATTAGTATCCTTCAAGGATGCGAAGGTATGATGTCATATACTCTGTGTCTCGTGGTCGTCCTTGACCGTCCTCATAGATCGCTCTCCTTGAGTGGTCAGACGCTGCACATGATCTTGTCACCGTTTCGATACATACGTATGAGCGAGCGCCTCAGATGGTCGGTGCTTATTTTCATCACTGCGCGTAAATGTAAAAACTTTGCAGGTTTCATTGGACAGCCCACTTTTCAGAACAGAACTACGTGCAGATCCCTTGTCACGATGTGCAGCACTGTCTCTTCCAAAGGATGCATTCGCCATTCTTCCCTTCTTTCAGACCCAAGCGGAACTCGACGTTATGGAGCAGGAACAAAACCATGCAAGGTGTGCATGCTTCTGAATCCCCTGCTTCCGACTTTATTCGAACATCCAACAGGGACGTACCGTACTCGCCAAGTTTCGTGCTAGACCTCGTCAACGATGTCGATGAGCGCATTCGGAATGTCATAGACTTTGTTTTCCTGCCTGGATACAACAACCCGACAGTCGCAGTGCTCTGCCAATCTGAGCAAACGTGGGCTGGGTACGTGGCGCGACTCTCTTTTACTTTTTTCACTTAATCAGACGTTTCTCACAGTCGTCTCAAGGAGTACCGTGACACAGCTCGCATCTATATTTTTACCTTGGATCTCATGAGCCGCAATTACCCAATTATCACAGCTGTCGACGGTCTCCCTTACGACAGCGTATCTCTCCTCCCCTGTGCAACTTCACTTGGGGGTGTCATTGTCCTCACAAGTAATTCCATCATTTATGTCGATCAAGCGGCCCGCCGCGTGGCCCTTCCTGTGAATGGCTGGGCTACGCGCGTCAGCGATATGCCTATGCCTCCAGTAGACAAAGACCTTGGCCTGCGTCTCGAAGGTAGTCGGCTCGTATTTGTCGACGAGAAGACTTTATTTGTCATTCGAAAAGATGGCATGATACATCCCATCGAGATTGTCCTTGACGGGAGGACTGTATCCAAACTATTGGTATTACCCGTTATTGCTCAGACAACTATACCAGCTGTCGCCAGACTATTGAATGAAGACCTGCTTTTTGTGGGCAGCATGGTTGGTCCGTCGGTATTGATGAAGACAGCTAGAGAAGAGGTACCTCTCGAGCTTCCTGCTCAGCAAACTAGTGCTGCCACCATGATCAATCTTTCTGATAGTATGGATTTAGACGATGACGACGACGGTCTGTTGCCTTGCCACGCTACTTCGAAATCCGCTAATGGGTTACAGATCTATATGGCGATTCCAAGACAGCTGCACAGGCGACTATTGGAGCAATATCAGGAACAAGTGCTACCGCAAGAACTCGTTCCGTCATTCACCTTTCGCTGTGCGACTCGTTACCTGCATATGGCCCAATCGCTGATATGACGTTTTCTCTTGCTAAAAACGGAGTAAGTATACGACTTATAATACACTAGAATCTGCTCAATTCTTCTAGGAACGTTTTGTCCCTGAACTGGTTGCTGCTACAGGAGCAGGTCATCTAGGCGGATTTACCCTTTTTCAGGTGCGTCGACCGCATTCTTGTTAAACAGTCAGTCCATCTCACAATCGAGCACAGCGCGACCTCCCGACACGCACGAAGCGGAAATTGCATGTCCTTGGAGGTGCACGAGGAATTTGGTCTCTTCCGGTTCGCCAGTCCCAGCGTGTAAACGGTCTCTCTTATGAAAAGGCTACGGGCCCGTTTTCGGCTGAAATCGACACGATCATAATTAGTACGGACGCTAATCCTAACCCAGGTGTTTCGCGGGTATATAGTCTTTTATTTCATGTGTTTGGCTTGCTTAGCCCTCGCAGATAGCAACCCGAACCGCAAAGATGGATGTCGCTATCCCGACTCGCATACCTGGGACAACTGTAGGCGCGGCTCCGTTCTTCCAGCGAACCACCATTTTGCATGTCATGACGAATGCCATCCGCGTGCTGGAGCCTGGTACGATGATTCTCCTTTTCACCCGAGCAGCTAATGACATGGAATCAAGACGGCAATGAAAGGCAAATTATCAAAGACATGGACGGTAGCTTGCCTCGGGCAAAAATAAAGTCGTGCAGTATCTGCGATCCCTTTGTGCTTATCCTGCGAGAAGACGAGTCAATCGGTCTTTTCATCGGTGAGACAGAGCGAGGAAAGATTCGACGCAAAGATATGTCTCCAATGGGTGATAAGGTACTTTTGAATTTCGTTTACACTATTTCACACTAATTATTGCTTTGATGTAGACATCTCGATATATTGCGGGCTGTTTCTTTACGGATACTATCGGTCTGTTTGACGTAAAGGCGACCGAAACTACCTCTGCAGCAGGACACGCAGATAAGCATACGTCTACGCTGCAGGCAGCTGTAACAGCTGGCAACAGAAGTCAATGGCTTGTGCTCGTGCGACCGCAGGGCGTCATGGAGGTTGGCCTTGCATTAACCGTTGGGGACTGGTTAACCATAAGTTCTGTAGATCTGGTCACTACCGAAGTTGACTCTTGTGTTCTCAACTACTGCTATTTCTACGCTGGAGAATATCTTGGTGGACACCTGCGATCCTCCTGCTTCGTCTTTACCACAAGATCCCCCCAGAAAGCCCCAGGATATTGACATTGATCAAATTCTTATTGCACCCTTAGGCGAAACGTCTTTAGTTCCTCATCTGTTTGTAAGTGATTTGACAGCCCTGCAGTTTATCGACTAAGATTTGCGACAGGTTTTTTCGCGTTCGGGAAACATGGCTATATATGAAGCCTTGCCGGGGTCCCCCACTGAACAAGCAGATCCTCCTCTTCCTAACCCACGGACTGCATTTTTGAAGGTCAAGTTCCACAAAGTCGTGTCCAAAACCTTTGAGATACAGAGAGTTGAAGAAACGGAGAAGACTGTGCTTGCAGAACATAAGAAAATCTCACGGACATTTGTTCCATTCGTGACTTCTCCAAACATGGAGTGTACCCTTGCCGGTGTTTTCTTCACAGGAGATAGGCCATGCTGGATTATAGCTACTGATAAGGGTGGATTAAGGGTGGTACCATCGGGACATACCGTCGTTCACGCATTCACTGCGTGTTCTCTTTGGGAGTCTAAGGGAGATTTCCTTCTGTATTCTGACGAGGTTTGTGTGCCGTAAGCTGAAAGGTCGAGACACTTACCCGTTCATATACACAGGGTCCCACTCTCCTTGAATGGGCTCCAGAAGTCCAACTTGACAGTTGTCTACCGTACCGCAGCCTTCCTCGATCCCGCGCATACTCCAACGTCGTTTTTGAACAATCGGCTTCCCTGATAGTGGCAGCTTCTTCATTACAAGCCCGTTTTGCTTCCTATGATGAGGACGGCAACATTCTTTGGGAGCCTGATGGTTTGTATCCTAGTCTCATGCACAAGGTGTCTTTATCTGATGATCATTCCAGGGAATGGTGTTTCCTTCCCTTATGCCGACTGCTCGACGCTCGAACTCATTTCGCCAGAACATTGGGTTACGATGGATGGGTGCGTTTGCTCTTGATCACATCGTCGGGAGCGGTATTGACATATCCGTCAGCTACGAATTTGCGCCCAATGAATGTGTCAACACTCTCACTTGTGTTTCTCTCGAAACAACAAGCACGGAAAGTGGGAGCAAGGATTTCATTGCTGTGGGAACAACAATCAACCGCGGAGAAGATTTAGCTGTAAAAGGAGCGGTATGTTATTGTTGTCAATCATTTCGTCCAGTTTACTCATGATGCCAGACATACATCTTCGAGGTCGTTGAAGTCGTTTCCGATCCGAACTGGACACCAAAAAGGTGGTACAAATTGAAGTTGCGAGTGAAGGACGACGCGAAAGGCCCTGTAACAGCTGTATGCGGCATAAATGGGTATCTTGTGTCATCTATGGGCCAGAAGGTAAACCTTTATCTCTACTGTAAAGTATGCAACGTTGATAGTCCCTATAGATTTTCGTTCGCGCTCTTGATCTGGATGAGCGCCTGGTTGGCGTCGCCTTCTTGGATGTCGGCGTTTACGTTACATCACTGCGCTCGATGAAGAATCTACTATTGATCGGAGATGCCGTGAAGAGCGTCTGGCTGGTGGCTTTCCAAGTGCGAAATTTGCATCTTCTCTTACCATTTCTTATTAATAAGCATTTTGTAGGAGGATCCATATAAACTTGTCACACTCGCCAAGGACGTGCGCAAGAGACATGCCACAACTGTGGACTTCTTCTTTGCTGGCGGAGACCTGGCCATTGCTAGCGAAGACGAAGAGGGGGTCCTGAGGCTATTTGCATATGACCCTTCCGGTGAGTTACCCTGACCGTGGGCACGATGAAACTAATTCGAGAATTCTGGTTTTGATTGAAAGATCCCGAGTCTCGAGGAGGTCAGCACTTGTTGTGCCACACAGAGTTCCACGGACATAAAGAGTGCCGCTCGTCCATCATGGTTGCTCGGCGCACGAAAGACGAACAACTCGTTCCTCAAGCAAAACTGGTGTCTGGTGAGGCTTTTATTCTGTCTGCGTCAATGGTGTATCTTATTCGATCGGCAGGATTTGCTGATGGATCCCTATCGACTCTCACACCAGTGGATGAAGCGGTTTTCAAACGTCTACAGCTTTTGCAAGGGCAGTTGACACGTAATGTGCAGCACACTGCTGGTTTGAATCCAAAAGCGCACCGGTGAGTCGTTTGGTGTTTGTGTAGGACTCCTTCACTAAAAAAAACTCTACTAGAATTGTGCGAAATGACGCTGTGTCCAAGCCTTTATCAAAATGTGTCCTTGACGGCCAACTCCTGAGCGAATTCCAAATCTTGGGTATCAGTCGCCAGAATGAAATCACGCGACAGATTGGCACAGAGAGAGCTCTTGTTCTGCATGACTGGTCTTCTCTCATTGTTCCATGGTAGTAGTTAGGATGTCGATATTAATGATCCTAACCTGCAATATATCATGTATATATATAGCGCTTGATTATGCTATACCAAGCTCTCGTGCCAAGATTTGGAGAGCCTGTATCATCGCAATGATCAGAAGACATGTTTATTGAAGAATCGTGAGATTCCAAATGAACCGATAGCGAACCAAAGTCCCGGATGTCCAGATGGTCGATACATCTGATTAACTTCTCCCTTTGAGTCAAGGCCCCACGCATCAGGTGGAAGTTGGTCGGTAATCTTGTCGCCAAGAAGCGCTCTGGTGGCCTTCATGACGGGTTCATTTCCTGTACTACACAATACTGGAGAAATATAGACGAGAAAACACGAGTCAGCCATACGCTAGGACGACAACAATAAGGCCCTCGACGATGAATACAGAGTCAGACCTTGACTTTGCCTTTGACAATCAGCTTACCACAGCCCATATCAAGCACTGTAGGGTGTTTGAAACGTCATCCGTCTCAGCAACAAATCTAGTTCCTGATGCAGAGCGGCTAAATAAAAATCCTGCAAACCCAACCTCGCCACTTCCGGGCGAAGGCTCCCAAGTTAAGTTCAATCCAGCCTTGCGCAAACCTTCGTGGAGCTCCTTGTCGAGCATTGTCATGCGTGGTGTCCCGCCTGATTTCGCCAGTCGCAGGAGGAAGGCTAAAGGCGGTGGATTGGTGCGGAAATCTAGCTCTTCGATAGGGTTCTTGTTGGAAAAAGGCAGCTTGAAGTAGGGTTTTCTGCTGCAGCAGAGGATACAACGCATGTAGCACTTCTTTGGACAATTGTTACCTGTTTGTCATATGAAATATGACTTCGATCTATTGCAGCCATAAACGCATCTCAGCGGCACCATGCGCTACAAAATATTGACGGATATCGCCACTAGCGCTGCCCTACCGGTCTCGTGAGTACGCGCAAGTATGAAATGTGCGTATATACGGCTTACCGCGCCCACAATGACAACGCGTTTGCCTCGGAACTGCTCTGCATCTGCGTGGAAGTCGGAATGATACAACGCTCCTCGAAAGTCATACATTCCATCCCGAGTAGGAATACGAGGCCTCCCAATTCCCGTGGCGAGTACCAGGCGCTTTGGGTTGAGTATCATACTTTCCGGTCTCCACGTTGTGCTTCAACAGTCCATCTTGCAGTCAATGAGTCGTACACTGGAGTTGGGGCGACAATACTGGAGAGCCAGATACATGTTTCCTGATGAACAGCATATGACTCCAGGAAATTAGCAAGTGTCCCCTTAGGAATGTACTTGGGGAAGGTTGTCCTATGATTACGGAGGTATGCGATACCTTTTATTTACCAAATGCACCTACGGATAGGGACTGTAAAGCACTGTGCACAAATTATAAATTATTAGTAGTTTAAAGCTTGTAGAAAAATGACAATAAAACATACTGAAGTTTTGAGATGCGGGAGTATTCAGCGTAAGGTTCGGGTACCTGCATCTCGTGTCTATCTAATGAGGACTATCCTTGTTTCTGTGCGTACCGTTGTCGCCAGGAGTCTTCAGCACGCGTATTATTTTGCGTCAACGTCCTCCTCCCATGTGATTTGTCGACCTTCATATAGGCCGTGTCGGTCTGTCGAAGATTCCTCGTACCCGACGAGGTTCTGCATGTTTGTAAAAGGATCGATGGACAAAGTGATCGTTACACGAAGAAAAGGTCTCATGCGGCGAAATGATTGTCCAGGTAGGCATGCAGAGCAGATATTGGTGGACGAGAGCACAAGAACGGACTTGAAGTGGACATGCAACGTAAACGCGTTGAGTCAGGGTGATTTCCATACTCCCAATATTTGGTACTGAGTTTGTGGGGCATGAATGCATGATTCTCTAGACGCCTATCAAGGATTCTATGTAAATCGGTTCATTGATCACTGATCACCATGCTTTCGAGCTGGCATCTTACATAAGAACTATGGCTGATGAACATCGTCGCCGACTGTCTTTCTCGCTGGAGAAATGATGAGGCAGTTCGAGTCTCACCTGGACTAATTATTTCACCTTTTCAACCCCCTCGGAATGCACTGGGGGCAGCCAAAAAATGATTCACATGTCAACCAATGCCAGGCAACCCATCCAAGAAGCCTGGTCTCTAGAACGTCTCATCCTTGAGCGTTCGATATCTCTTGGTTTTACTCTTGATCCCGCGACCTCACATGCTTACTCATATCATCTCAACTCTTACCTATCCTTCTGCGCAGCTCATCATTTCGAAGTTGAACCAACTCCCGACACACTCTTTCTATGTGGTTTACATGTGCCAACACATTCAGCCGCGTTCTGTGGAGTGCCACCTTCCAGGGATTGTTAGCCAATTGGAACCTTGCTTTCCATCCATTCGTACAGTACGACAATCTCAATTGGTGAAGCGTTGCTTGCAAGGTTCGGCACGTCGTTTCGGCCACCTAATTATCCGCAAGCAGGCTTTATTGCGTGTGGATCTCGTCCGAGTTATTTCCTCCATGCCTCGGCCCTTATCATATGACGACCATCTCTGGCTTACTCAACTCTTATGCGGTTTCTTCGGGTTGATGCGTCTCGGAGAATTAGTATGGCCAGACCAACTGGTCCTTCGCGATTATGCAAAGTTGTCTCTGCGGCACTCAGTTCCCCTGAGTGTTGATTGTTTTTTTTTTTCATTCCTGACAAGGCTGACTCACGTTTTGAAGGGAATCAAGCTCAAGTGCTGATTCAACGTTCTGACAGTCTTGATGACCTTTTACAAGCTATCTCAATATGCGGGACCTCAAATTCCCTCTTCAACCCTTCCTTTGGTTGCGTAGCAACGGTAAACCACCCTCTCGGTATTGGTTGATTGCGTGGCTTTTTCTCCTCCAGTATCGCCGGTTATTCAATGCGAGCTGGTGGTGCAACCTCTCTCGCTACCGCTGGTGTTCCACCTGCGGGTATACAGCGAATCGGGCGCTGGCGTTCTGACACGTAGGAGTGCTACGTTCGTAAAAACCCAGTATTGCTACAGGCTTTACGGTTTCACGGAGGTTCTATCCATGACTAACGTCATCTATAATTGATCCGTCTCTTCCATCGCTTTGCTCATTTTAACTTATTTACCTTTCCAAACCTTTTATTCCCCTACCCATCCCTCCCTCAATTGATACCGTATAGCGGTCGAGTCGAGTCTTTCGAGCTTTGTTTTGATGGGTTTGATTTCTGCTCGTCATGTATTACTACTCTTTTGCGCTCTTTTGTTTTCCCGGGTGCTTTTGTCAGGCTCACTTGTCATGTATTACTAGTCCAAATCTTCATAGGACTCCCCGTCGTCTGCGGGGAGTCGCGTTTGCACCGGTTTATCTCCGCGCTTCTGCTGCTATCCGCACGGGCCAATTAGCCACGATGATTCAGATCTGTCAGCGCAGCTCCCAGGGCCCAGGCTCGATTGCGTCAGATCTTATCACCCCGCGCGCATATTCCGAAGTAGTAGGTTCATCAATCATCATTTAGTCATGCGCAGCTCGACCCAAGTATAAGTATCTCAGCTTGAGACTACATTAAGCTTATCGAATCTCCCACCTCTAACACGCTGACGACTAGTACTTACCAGCGTCCAGCATTCCCCACATGGCCCCAGAACAGATCACCCTTTACACTGCGAAGGTGCTACACTTGCAACATACTATGAGCCAGTCCACTGACATTGACCCATACACATAGATATGTCCCTACGCTCAAAGGGTATGCCCTTATCAGTCTTGAACATGCCCTTGGGTGACTTATCCCATGCAGACTGAAATTGCCCTTGCCGAGGCCGGCGTTCCGTTCAAAAGATACGAGATAGATCTGGCGAATAAGCCAGAATGGTACGCTCCCAAAGTGAACCGTGCCAGCAAGGTATGCACCGCAGTCTTGTTTGCGAAGTGGTCACATCTTGAAGAGGATTGTTATAGGTACCGGCTATTGCTTATGGTGGTCCCGATGTACCCCCAGAGAGTCCTTCTCCCAAGTCCATCAAATTGGCAGAGTCTCTTATCCTCGTCGAGTTCATCGGTGATTTGTACCCCTCCTCCAATATCGTACCTGCGGACCCTGTTCTTCGCGCCCAGGCCCGTTTCTTCATCGAGATCGTATCTACTAAATTCAGTCCCAATTTCATGAAGTTTGCAACCGGCAATCCGGAAACCACCCATGTCACTGTCCTCACCGGTGTGGATGCCATTCAGGACATTTTACCTGACGGAGCAAAATACGCTGTTGGCGACCAATACACTATTGCAGATATCGCATTCACGCCGTTCTGGGCAAGACTGAATTTGATATTGCAGAAAGGAATCGGAGCCTACAAAGATGAGGAAAGAAAGAGCTTTTTGAAGGCTCTGGAGGACCCCAAGTACACGAAATTTAACGGATACGTGCAAAGGTTGCTGGAAAGGCAGAGTTTCAAATCTACATTCCACGAGGTGCGTCCGCTATTTTACCGATCGTCGCTGTTGTCTAACAATTAGTCGATAGGATATCGTGGGAGAGGTCTTCACGAAGAGGTTCGGCTTGGCCAAATAAGCGGGACTGTACATCAGAGGACATCGTTGGATCGTGTACCAATAAACATTATCAATTATCGTTGAGACTTTTTTCTACTGAACGGTCGAAGGACCCTTTGATTAGCAAGGGCACAAATCCCGGTCATCGTTCTACGATGGGACACATGCCGAGTGAGACGATTGGCAAAACAGCACATGTCGTTGGCAGTGTGACTGTTTGAATCTGATTCTGTTCGGTACGATCAGGACGAATGAATTATGATGCCTTAGATCTAAGGCTCAAGCGCGACGGGTAGCCTACGCTATCAGGATTGATGTCCTAGCACTGCGCAAAGCGGAACATTCCACGAAGTTGAGATGTGGCTGAGATGAATAGATCATGTTGATTCTGGATACGTAGTATGGGCCATCCAGATTTACTCAGAGGTAACAGTGTTAGGTTGGCACAGCCACTTGCCAACGTAATCAACTGCTTACACAACACCAAGCTGGAAATTTAGGTGCTGCTCGTCTTCAACGTCAACAGCGACGAAGGTCGATTGTTGTGTCTTTTCCCCATCTCTGATCAAATCCCTATAATGTCCGGGAGACCAGGAGGCAAACCAGATCTTTCTGGCTACAACTATGGTGCAATTTCATCCCTTGTCTTGACCGCTGACAGGTCTGCTCTGCCCAGAAGAGACAGAGAACCCGATGGCGCCCCCACTTCGCTTGCAGGGCGGATAGACCCTCGTGAGATGGGCTCACGCGTTCAGCGTCAAGCCCCAAAAGACGTCGAGAAAAAGAAGAAAAAAGCAGGAGACGCGGGCAAGCAGGAAGCTCCAGAAAAGGTCGTGAAGCGACGTGCAGAAGCTGGTTTCGGGTACACAGATATCATCGAAGCGACGCAAGATGTTGAAGGACTTGCATACCGCCCCCGCACTGCCGAAACCCGTGAGGTTTACGAAGTCATGCTTTCCACAGTGCACCAGGTACTGGGCGACCAAGCACAGGACATTGTTCGCAGCGCAACCGATACCGTCCTTGAAACGCTCAAAAACGAGTCCATGAAGGACTTTGACAAGAAAAAAGAAATTCAGGATGTGTTGGGTCTCATTTCCAACGACGTGTTCTCTCAGTTAGTCGCCCGCGCGCAAAAAATTACCGACTATGGCGCCGAGGATGAGACGATGGCAGACCCAGACATGGAGCGCAAGGATGCCGAAATTGACGATGAAGTCGGAGTTGCAGTCGTATTCGACGACGAGGAGCAAGAGGATGAGGATGAAGAAGGCTACGAAATCCGGGAAGGTTCAGACGACGAAGGTGACGAAGAGGAGGTAGAAGTAGATGAAACCGCACCCGAGGCCGAGGAAGCAGGTGACGAAGAGCTTGTCATTGGCGGCTCGTCAGCCCGTGGTGCTGGCAAAGCCAAAGCAGACAAAGACATTGTTTCGCCGCACGCGATTGACGGCTTCTGGGTGCAGCGTCAGATATCGGAAGTTTACCCGGATCCAGTCACTGCGGCAGACAAAGCAGCGTCTGTACTCTCTATCCTCGGCTCAGAATCAGGCTTGCGCGATTGTGAGAACCAGTTAATGGAGCTGTTCGAGTACCAGAGCTTCCACGTGATCACCAAGTTCCTCAAAAACCGGGACGTTGTGGTATGGTGCACGAAACTCATGCGGAGCGACGCAGATGAGCGGGTCAATGTTGAGGTGGCCATGCGAGAGAAGGGTGTTGGCTGGATCTTGCGAGAGCTCGCTGGAGATCGCCAGGCCAAGAAGGCGCAGGATGATTCCATGGATGTGGACGAGAAAAGGTCAACAGTACCAAAGACAGCAACCCTTGCACCAGGCTCTACGGTGCAGCCCAAACGGACGGTCGACTTAGAGAGCATGGCGTTCAGTCAGGGTGGGCATCTGATGTCCAACAAGAAGTGCAAGCTTCCTGAAGGCTCATTCAAGCGGGCACGCAAGGGGTACGAGGAGATTCACGTCCCTGCCCCTCAGAAGAAGCAAGGCGGTGAGGACGAATTTGTACCTGTCACTACACTTCCAGAGTGGGCAAGAAAGGCATTCACCGTACCCAAGCTCAATCGAGTTCAGAGTAGGCTCTACCCAATTGCTTTCGGGACCGATGAACCCATATTACTCTGCGCGCCTACCGGTGCTGGTAAGGTACGCGCTTTTAAGTACATTTTTCACCTTTCAGATACTAAGTTGCCTTGCAGACCAACGTCGCCATGCTTACCATCCTTAACGAGTTGTCCAAATACCGCGACGAGGCCACAGGTGAATTTGCCCTTGACGATTTTAAAATTGTCTATATCGCGCCCATGAAGGCTCTTGTCCAAGAAATGGTTGGCAACTTCAACGCACGGCTGAACGTTTTCGGCATCAAGGTTGGCGAGCTGACGGGCGACTCTCAAATGACGAAGCAGCAGATCTCGGAGACCCAAATCATTGTCACTACTCCCGAGAAGTGGGATGTCATCACGCGCAAGAGTACCGACACCAGCTACACGAACCTCGTTCGGCTCATGATCATTGACGAAATTCACCTGCTGCACGACGAGCGTGGACCTGTGCTTGAGAGTTTGGTGGCACGTACGATACGGAGGATGGAGCAGACAGGGGAGTATGTTCGCCTGGTTGGTCTTTCAGCTACGCTTCCGAACTACCAAGACGTTGCGACATTCCTCCGCGTGGACGAATCAAGAGGTCTCTTCTACTTCGATGCATCGTATCGTCCATGTGCGCTTCAGCAGCAGTTCATTGGTGTCACCGAGAAGAAGGCTATCAAGCGTTTCCAAGTCATGAATGAAGTTTGCTATGAGAAGGTACTTGACCAAGCGGGCAAGAACCAGACGCTTGTCTTCGTGCACTCTCGCAAGGAAACTGCCAAGACCGCCAAGTTCATCCGCGACCTGGCCATAGAGAAGGAGACGATCACGCAGTTCGTTCGTCCTGACTCGGCGACGCGTGAGATCCTCACGGAGGAAGCAGGCAACGTCAAAGACGGTAACCTGCGCGACCTCCTGCCGTTTGGATTCGCTATCCACCACGCTGGTATGACGAGAGAGGACAGGAATCTTGTTGAGGAGCTTTTCGCAGATGGTGCTGTCCAGGTGCTGGTCTGCACTGCAACGCTCGCGTGGGGTGTCAACCTCCCGGCGCACACTGTCATCATCAAGGGCACGCAGATCTATAACCCCGAGAAGGGCCGCTGGGTTGAACTCTCTTCCCAGGATGTGCTACAGATGCTTGGTCGTGCTGGTCGTCCGCAGTATGATACATATGGTGAGGGCATCATCATCACGAACCACGCCGAGCTGCAGTACTATCTCAGCTTGCTGAATCAGCAGCTGCCGATCGAGTCCCAGTTCGTATCAAAACTTGCGGACAACTTGAACGCGGAGATTGTTCTTGGAACTGTTCGCAACCGTGACGAGGCCGTCCAGTGGTTGGGGTACACATATCTGTAAGCTCAATTTATTCACGTAGCAGTAAAGATACTGACGTTTTCCGCAGATATGTTCGTATGCTGAAGTCCCCAGGACTGTATAGTGTTGGCGTCGATTACCAGGAGGACGACAATGGTCTTATCCAGAAACGCGCCGACATTGCCCATTCTGCCGCTGTTCTGCTGGAAAAGTGTCATCTCATCAAGTACGAGCGTGCATCTGGTCGTTTCCAGAGCACCGAGCTTGGCCGCATTGCGTCTCACTACTATGTCACATATAACTCGATGGCTACATACAACCAGCATCTGAGACCAACCATGTCGACGTTGGAGCTGTTCAGGGTCTTTGCACTCTCGAATGAATTCAAACTTTTGCCGGTATGTCTCCCGCATTTTCGGTCTGTAATGCGAGTCTCAGTGCCCACTTGTGCAGGTCCGTCAAGAGGAGAAGCTTGAGCTTGGTAAATTGTTAGAACGTGTGCCCATTCCAGTGAAGGAAAGTGTCGATGAACCCGCAGCAAAGATCAACGTCCTTCTACAAGCATATATATCGCAGCTTAAACTTGATGGTAGGTAATGACTCAGTCATTTATCATACTGTGCTGATTGCATGGTTAGGCTTTGCACTCGTGGCTGACATGGTCTTTGTTCAGCAATCTGCCGGCCGGTATGTTCTCTTCTTATGTTATTTTACTCAAGCTCACTCTTGACAGTATTCTCCGCGCTATGTTTGAGATTTGCCTGAAGCGAGGGTGGGCGGTGCCAGCGCGCGCATGCCTTGACCTATGTAAGATGGTCGAGCGACGAATGTTTGTGGTTTTTGATTATATCGTTGATTACCAACTGATTGTTTGGCCTTCAGGTGGGGCTCCATGACACCTCTTCGCCAATTCAAGGGTGTTCCGCAGGAAGTCGTCAGAAAAGCGGAGGGCAAACAATTCGTAGGTTGTTATTGGTTCAGGTGAGGCGCGCGCTAAAATATTTCTCACTAGCCATGGTATCGCTACTTTGACCTTGACCCTCCTGAAATCGGCGAGCTTATCGGCATTCCAAACGCTGGAAGGCTCGTGCATCGCCTGGTGCATAGCTTCCCCAAGTTACAGCTGCAAGCGCAAGTGCAACCCATTACCCGCTCGCTTCTTCGTATCGACCTGTCCATTGTCCCTGACTTCCGATGGGACGAGAAGACCCACGGAACGGCTGAGACGTTCCTCATAATGGTTGAAGATGTCGATGGAGAGATTGTTCTTTTCCACGACTCGTTCGTCTTGCGTCAGCGTTACGCAGAAGATGAACATAACGTCACCATCACCGTTCCGATGTTTGAGCCCGTCCCCCCGAACTACTACATATCCGTTGTCTCCGACCGATGGTTGCACGCTGAAACCCGACTTCCCATATCCTTCAAACACTTGATTCTCCCAGAAAAGTTCCCACCTCCTACTCCTCTTCTCGAGCTCCAGCCACTCCCGTTGTCTGCCCTCCACAACAAAGAATTCGAGAGTCTCTACTCTTCCACCATTCAGACGTTCAACAAGATCCAGACGCAGGTCTTCCAGGCTCTTTACACCTCTGATGAGAACGTCTTCATTGGCGCGCCTACTGGAAGCGGCAAAACTATCTGCGCCGAATTCGCCCTACTTCGCCTTTGGAGCAAACGCGAACAGCCCAGGGCGGTTTGCATCGAGCCCTATCAGGAGATGGTTGACCAGCGTGTTGCGGAGTGGCGTCGGAAGTTCAGCAATCTGCAGGGCGGCAAAGAGATTGTAAGCCTCACAGGAGATACTAGCGCTGACCTTCGACTTCTTGAGAAGGGAGATGTTATTGTCTGCACTCCATCTCAGGTTAGTCAATTTCCTTAAATATGTTGCAAACCTTTCGCTAAATCGATTCTCCTAGTGGGACATCCTGTCTCGAAGATGGCGGCAGCGCAAGAATGTGCAGAACATTGGGCTGTTGATTGCTGACGAAATCCAGCTTGTAGGTGGAGAAGTCGGTCCAACATACGAAGTGGTCATCTCTAGGACCCGCTATGTCTCTGCGCAAACGGAGGTCAAGACTCGCATCGTCGCTTGCGGTGTTTCCCTCGCCAATGCCAGAGATCTTGGTGAATGGATGGGCGCACCATCGCATGCAATATTCAACTTCTCGCCTAGGTACATCTTGCCGTTCACAATTCACATTCAGCCTATTGATTGATACTTTATAGCTCGAGACCGCTGGACATGGATATTCATCTCCAAAGCTTCACCATCCCTCATTTCCCGTCATTGATGATATCTATGTCTAAGCCTGCCTATCTCGCTATCGTTGAGCATTCGCCGACTAAACCTGTTATCATATTCGTTCCATCAAGACGCCAGTGCCGGCTTACGGTTGACGACTTGTTGGTCCACTGCGGGGCAGACAGCAACCCAGATCGCTTCTTGAATATTGAAGAAGCTGACTTGCAGCCTCACCTCGACCACATCAACGACAAGGGTCTTGTCGAATGCCTGAAGCATGGCATTGGATATTACCATGAGGCGCTTGATAAGCAAGACAAGCGCATTGTCGAACGCTTATTCCAGTCTGGAGCCATCCAGGTTCTGGTGGCATCTAAGGTGTGTATTTTATAACCCTTCTATCGACCAGCAACTGATCGTCTGCAAGGACACTGCATGGTGTCTACCCGTCGCAAGCTACATGGTGATTATAATGGGCGTGCAGTACTATGAGGGCAAGGAGCATCGATACGTCGACTACCCAGTCATGGACGTCCTACAGATGATGGGTCGTGCCTGCAGACCAATGGAAGATGATCGCAGTCGATGTGTCCTCATGTGCCAGCAGACGCGCAAGGAGTTCTACAAGAAGTTCCTCGCAGAGGGCCTGCCCATCGAGTCCCACCTGCCTACCCATCTGTTGCACGACTATTTCCTCGCCGAGATCGCCGTCAAGACCATTGAAAATAAGCAAGATGCAATGGACATCCTGACATGGACATACTTCTACCGCCGAATGACCCAAAACCCCAACTACTACAATCTTCACAATGTCAGCCATCAGCACCTGTCAGATCACTTGTCGGAACTTGTGGAGACCACCTTGCAAGAACTGGTCAACTCGAAGTGCATTTCGATAGAAGATGAAATGGACGTTTCGGCGCTGAACCTCGGGATGATCGCGGCGTACTATAACATCTCCTACGTCACTGTTGAGGTGTACACCCTGTCGCTGAAGGAGCGGACGAAACTCAAAGGTCTCCTTGAAGTCGTTGCTTCGTCTGCAGAGTTCGAGTCAATTCCTATCAGGCGTCACGAAGACAGCATTCTCCGCCGCATCTACGACCGCGTTCCTGTCAAGCTCGATCGTGCAGACTTCGAAGCTCCTCATTTCAAGACATTCCTACTGCTTCAGGCTCATTTCTCTCGTATCCAGCTGCCACCCGATTTGGCAGCGGATCAAGTTTTAGTCCTGGAGAAGGTTTTGAACCTGCTATCAGCATGTGTGGATGTCATGTCCTCAAACGCATGGCTGAATGCACTGGGAGCAATGGATTTGTCACAGATGTGTGTACAAGCGATGTGGGAGACCGATTCACCCCTGAAGCAAATCCCCCACTTTGAGCCAGAGGTATGTCTATTCTTCGCGACACTGTTCACTACTGACCGAATTTCAACACAGGTTGTCAAACGCTGCAAGGATGCTGGCATTGAGTCCGTCTACGACGTCATGGAGATGGAAGACGACAAACGCAACGAACTTTTGCAGATGGATGGTCGCCAAATGTGAGTTCTATTGTGCGTATCTATTTCAAAAGTTATTGACAGCATGGCTAGGCGCGATGTGGCGACGTTCGTCAACTCATACCCAACCCTTGACGTGTCCTTTAAGCTTGACAAGGGAGAATATACTGCTGGTGCTCCCATCACCATGCAGGTTACTCTTGCACGTGATGCAGACGAGGAGGATCCCGACGACCAAACTGTTGTCGCACCTTTCTACCCAACGAAAAAGATAGCAAACTGGTGGCTCGTAGTTGGGGAGCCGAGCACGAAACAGCTGCTATCAATCAAGCGCGTCACCGTTAACAAGAGTCTCTCGGTGAAACTGGAGTTCACGCTACCAAAAGGGAACCACGCTCTGAAACTCTACGTCATCTGCGATTCATACGTTGGCGCAGATCACGATCTAAGTTTGGAACCTATTGATGTTGCTGAGGGTGAGGACAGTGATAGCGATGATGAGAGTGGAGATGAGATGGAGGAATAGTTGGTGTGCTCTTATAATATTTCGATGTATTCGTTCACTGTCGCGCAGCATTTCTTGTCAATTGTATTATGTTGTCTATTATTCGCCTGGGTATACCACAAATCTATGACAGCTAGGAAGCTCTGTCTAGTATGAAGTTAACCATCTATTATCAAGGTAAATGTTCACTGCATGCGCTTAGTGAAAATCCTCTTGAAGAATGTGATCACAGACTCCTAAACGCAGTGTAAAAGTAAGTCACCAGTCTTTTGCATAGATATGTACACACCTCATCATAGGTTTGCTTGAAGCTCGGACGCTCCAGCATTCTCTCAACGTATTTCATGAATTTGGAGAACTTGGGTCGCTTTAACTCATCGTCTAGCTTATATCCCACACCGACAGGGAAATTCCCTGTTCCCGTTAATCAGGCTCAACCTCTCGGGGAAAGGCACGAGTGCGAGTACTCTACCTAGGTCGGTTTTGGTGACGATCCTGAGTCTTGCGAGGTGCGGGGTGATGCACGCATCTGCAATGGTGTAATGGTCTCCAACCGCGAAATATCCACCCTCTTTGAGAAGTCCTTGAATAAATTCAATCCCCTTCAGGACATTTTCGTATGACTCGAGTCCTTGGAGGAAGGCGTAAAACGGAACCTCGATGTGTTTAGTAGTTGCGTCGATGAAGAAACGGACATTGGCGCGCAGAACAGGATCCTTTGGCAGGAGGCCAGAGTCTGGATAGAGGTCCACTACGAACTCAAGGATAACATTCGATTCTGCGATTTTAGCAGACAGCGGCGAAGGATCATCGGGGTCGACATCGGGTCCCCCGTATGTCACAACGGGTACCTATGCAATATCGCATTCGTCTGCATCTGCAACAGACACAGGACGTCATTATACACATACCTTGCCGGCGGGGTTCACTTTGCTAGCGAACCACTCTGGTTTGTTAAAGAGATCAACTTGGTAGCCCTTGTAGGGCGCATTGGCTTCGAGAAGAGCCAGCTCGATCTGTCAATTTGCGTCAAACTCATGAGATCGTGTCGGCAGTGATGTCACCTTCTGGCTATAAGGCGAGACCTGTGGCCATGGGTCAGACAAATCTTCCTCTTCACTCCCCGTCGTTCCTCACCTTGTTAAGGTACAGAGTCAGCTGTTCGGGCATGATGATTTAATTGCACTGCGGGTGACTTAGACGAAAGGATGGCACATACTCAACCCATGTTTATGTACGATGCAAGACATCATTTCATGCATGGTGCTGGCGCCACGTAGTATGTACTCTATAGGGTTGTGTATAATGAGAAATGGCTCAGAAGGTAGGCTGTAGGTGGGAATTCTTACTGCATCATTTGTCTTCAAACTTCAGGAATTCTCGTCAACAGTCTGGCGTATGACTCAGAGTGACTTGGGAATCCGAAGTATAAGATCGGTGGCATTCCGGACTGCAGAATCCAAACTTCAGTAACCAACTTGGCAACAAGACATATCCGAAGTGCTTTTCAAGTCATTTGCTATCGTCGGCGCAGGCCCTCACATAGGGATTTGTCGTCCAGAATAATTTTTCCACTTGTACGATTCTTGGTATGATTTGCATTATTCGCCTGGACATACCATACCGCAAATCCCCGACAGCTAGGAGGCTTTGTCGTATGGAGCTAACTATCTGATATCAGGTAAATGTTCACTGTACGCGCCCAGCGAACAACCTCTTGAATACTGTGATCACAGATTCCTAAACGCAGTGTAGAAGTAAGTCATCAGTCATTTGCATAGATATAGGTATGCCCACCTCATCATGAGTTTGTTTGAAGCTCGGACGCTCCAGCATTCGCTCAACGTATTTCATAAATTTGGCAAACTTAGGTCCCTTTAACTCCTCGCCTAGCTTATACCCCATACCGACAGGGAATTTCCCTATTTCCATCAATCAGGCTCGACCTCTCGGCACGAGTGTGAGTACTTACCTATGTCAGTTTCGGTGACGATCTTGAGCTTTGCGATATGCGGAATGATGCATGCATCTGCAATGGTGTAATGATCTCCAATCGCGAACTCTCTGCCCTCATCGAGAAGTCCTTGAATAAATTCAATCCCCTTCAGGACATTTTCATATGACTCGAGCCCTTGGAGGAAGGCGTAAACCGGCTCCTGGACGTGTTTAGTAATCGCATCGATGAAGAAACGGACATTGGCGCGCAGAACAGGATCCTTTGGCAGGAGGCCAGAGTCTGGATAGAGGTCTGCTACGAACTCGAGGATGACATTCGATTCTATGATTTTAGCTGACAGGGGTGAAGGATCCTCGGGGTCGACATCAGGTCCCCCGTATGCCACAGCAGGCACCTTTGTCATATCGCATTCAAGTCTACAATAAACACAGGACATCATCACACATACCTTGCCGACGGGGTTCACTTTGCTTGTGAACCACTCTGGTTTGTTAAAGAGATCGACTTGGTAGCCCTTGTAGGGTGCGTTGGCTTCGAGAAGAGCCATTTCGACCTGTCAGTTTGCGTCAGAGAGTCGTGAGATGAGGGCCGGTGTCAGCAGCCATTTCACCTTCTGGCTATGTGTCGAGACCTGCAGAGTCATGGTCAGATAAGCCCTCTTCACTTTACATTATTCCTCACCTTGTGAAGGTATAGAGTCAGCTGTTCGGGCATGGTGATTTAATCGCACTGCGGGTGACTTGGAAAATGCCCATGTTCAACCTGTATTTATGTACGAGACAAGCAGAGCTTTTCATCTAAGTATTATCGCATCGCTTCACTACGTACAGACCGCACGACAAAGACATTTGACATAAGCGCATTTCGGAGTTTGAAATAGAGTCGTAGATCGGATCACGGACGCTGGCTCGGCCACTCGGGTCAAATATTCGTCATATCTCAATTCTACTATGGCTCCTGTACATTCTCGCGTCGATCTCATCAACAAGCAGCCGAAAAGTTTGCAACACTTTTGCGTCAGGCTCGAACAACAGCATTCAAAAAACATGAGTATAATTCTAATGAAACCAGCGAGAAGATAGAGAGAGTATTCAAAACGAGTAACGCGGGCACGAAGCCCTATGCTTAGCAGCTTGACGTGGCGGGGGCACTCGTGCTTGGCCTCTGCTTGTTCAGTCAATGTCAGATATTCGCCATGTTGCTCATTACGACAAACATGTACTTGTCATCTCACCTCGGACGTCCGTGTATAACGGATCAATTACGTCTGCACTGGCAACAGCGTGGCTTATGTATCTGGGCCCTCCGTTCTGTGACACATGCAGACCAATTCCTGTGTGCAGTAGACAGGACGGTCCCGTCTGACTCTGTGCGACTGACATCGCTTAAGGAGCCTATTTCCCGTTACGGGAATATTGGTTTGATGGTGTGGGCCTCAGTACTGCAACTCTAGCGCTAGATAGCAAAGCCGCGGCTCAAGGATTGACATCCCTCAAGCCGGGCCTTGAGCCCTCGAGCCCTTGGGCCCTTATAGGCTAAAACCTGGAGGACTCAGTCAGCGTCAGTCTGGGATCACAGTCGACCTGATTTGAAAAGAGTGGCCTGGAGAGGTATAAGATCGATGGGGCTCCTGACTGCAGAATCCAAAGTTGAGTGACCAGCACGACATGTCTGAAGCCCTTTTCAAGTTCTTTGCTATCGTCTGCGCAGGCCCTCACATCGGGATTCCTATCGTGAAGGTGAGCATTTGATATAATATTCTGGTCCCGGAGTGTCGTCCTTAGCCATCTCTCAGGTATTCCTCGCCATTGACAATTCAATTCTCGTCATCGCCAGACCGACCTCCACAGACACCTCTGCACTGTTCCCAGACGATGATTCTAGCCTGAAGGGTTCGCGCAGACTATATATCTGCATTTGAGGTCTCAGAAATCCTTCCGAGAACAAAGTAGGCGTCCTTATTTCTATCGTCACACTTGTCTTCGGAGGCGTACTTGTCATGATCAGGGACGCAGAGTGGATGTATACGACGTTTGTGGCATGTGGAAATGAAGACAACATTTAATCAGACTCCCTATCGATCACATCGATTATATCACTCACTGTCGATGCAATTGTTTTTTCCACCTTGGTCAATGATTGAATTTTGCCAGGTTCCAAATTAAATCAATCCATTCCTACTACATTGTCAGAATGACAATTGTTAGAACATCCAGTGAGGGAAAATGTCGATGAACCCGCAGCGAAGACCGACGTCCTTCGACAAGCATGTGTAGCGCAGCTTACACTTAGATGACGATTCAGCTGTTCATTATACTGCGCTGGTTGCATGATTAGACTTTGCACTCGTGGCCGACATCGGTGACTCTTTGTCCAGCAGTCTGCCGACCGGTATGTATACTAATAAAGTTATTTTACTCAAGCTCACAATCTTGACAGCATTCTCCGAGAGATATTTGAGATTCCACCAAGAGTCTCTCGGTATTCGCGCTACCGAAAGGAGACCACGCTTCGAAAATTTACGCATCTGCGAGGCGTAAGTTGGCGCATATCGTGATCTAAGTTTGGAACCTATTGATGTTGTTGAGCATGAGGAGAGTGATAACGATGATGAAAGCGGAGATGGAGCAGTGTACGTAGTTAGTGTGCTCATGTAAGATTTCGATTTATCCCTCCAAGTACTGTCGCACCGAGCATAATTGCCACTTTTACATATGATTCTTGGTATGATTTGTCTATTATTCGCCTGAACATACCCCGACAGCTAGAAAGATTTGTTGTATGAAGCTAACCATCTGACATCAGGTAAATGTTTACTGTACGCGCCCAGCGAACACCCTCTTGAATGCTGTGATCACAAATCCCTAAATGCAGTGTAGAAGTAAGTCATCAGTCGTTTGCACAGATATAGGTATGCCCACCTCATCATGAGTTTGTTTGAAGCTCGGACGCTCCAGCATTCGCTCAACGTATTTCATAAATTTGGCAAACTTAGGTCCCTTTAACTCCTCGCCTAGCTTATACCCCATACCAACAGGGAATTTCCCTATTTCCATTAATCAGGCTCAACCTCTCATGAAAAGGCACGAATGCGAATACTTACCTATGTCATTTTCGGTGACGATCTTGAGCCTTGCGATATGCGGAATGATGCATGTATCTGCAATGGTGTAATGATCTCCAACCGCGAATTCGCGGCTCTCATCGAGAAGTCCTTGAATAAATTCAATTCCCTTCAGGACATTTTCATACGACTCGAGTCCTCGGAGGAAGGCGAAAAACGGCTCCTGAACGTGTTTAGTAGTTGCATCGATGAAGAAACGGACATTGGCGCGCAGAACAGGATCCTTTGGCAGGAGGCCAGAGTCGGGATAGAGGTCCGCTACGAACTCGAGGATGACATTAGATTCTGCAATTTTAGCGGATAAGGGCGAAGGGTCCTCGGGGTCGACATCGGGTCCCCCATATGTCACAACAGGCACCTATGTAATCACATTCGTCTTCAATAGGCACAGGGCGTCATTATACACATACCTTGCCGATGGGGTTCACTTTGCCTGCGAACCACTCTGGTTTGTTAAAGAGATCGACTTGGTAGCCCTTGTAGGGCGCATTGGCTTCGAGAAGAGCCATTTCGGCCTGTCAATTTGCGTCAGACTCGTGAGATCGTGTCAGCACTAATATCACCTTCTGGCTGTAAGGCGAGGCCTATGGCCATGCGTCAGACAAGTCATCCTCTTCACTTGACATTATTCCTCACCTTGTAGAGGTATAGAGTCAGCTGTTCGGGCATGATGATTTAATCGTACTGTAGGTGAGTTGGATGAAAGAATACCAATGTTCAACCCGTATTTATATATGAGACAACCAGGGCTTTTCGTCTATTATCGCATCGCTTCATGGTGAGTTGACGCCAGGTATTACTAGGCATGTTTGTAATCAGGGAGCAAGACATGGCTAAGATGAAAGTGGGCATTCTTACTGCTCAGCATTTGTAACAGTCAAACCGACTTCTCGTCAATCAGTAATACTATCCCGGCAGCTCAACTGGGGGATGAGTCAGTTGCTGACTGAAATCACTAGCTCGTTCATGTCATGCTTATCAATATCGTGAACTTTGTCAACAACCAAAACACTTGCGAAGGAGGAGAGGTTATATAAGGTGCGTTCGGCATCTGCCGTCCATTCTTATTACTAAGATTCAGAATGGGCCTTCTCTCTCAAGCCTTCATCGGCATTGATGTAACATACCGTCTAATAAACACGCCCGTCGCCCTCAGACATGCAAGATGAGTCATTGACAGATGTTCGAGAGACTCGACTACCATCTTGCACATACCTTCAATCCTAGGTTCATAAATAAAGGATGACTACGTAGCGCTCCAAGAAATATTTTCCGGCCAGCTCATATTGTTCCCGCGGGTGCGTTTGCAGAAGATGGGTTATTTGGTTGCTCCAGAACCCTCTTCCACTAAAGTGGAGTCGGGGAATCTGATTAAGGCTGGGAAACGAGTGGCCTGGGGGGTATAAAATTGATGGCATTCCGGGTTGCAGAAAGTCAGTGACCAACACAACATGTCTGAAGCGCCTTTCAAATCCTTTGCTATCGTCGGCGCAGGCCCTCACATCGGGATTCCTATCGTGAAGGTGAGCATCCGATATAATGTTCTGGTCTTGGAGTGTCGTCCTTAGCCATCTCTATCAGGCTTTCCTCGCCATTGGCGCACCAATTCTCGTCATTGCCCGCCCAACCTCCACGAACACTTCAGCACTCCCTGATGATGATTCTAACTTGAAGGTTGTGCGCGCAGACTATACATCTGCATCTGAGGTCTCGGCAATCCTTCGTGAGAACAAAGTGGACGTCCTCATTTCTACTGTCACACTTGTTTTCGGAGGCGTACTTGCCCAGAACGTTCTGGCGGACGCTGCAAAGGAGGCAGGTGTAAAGCTCTTCGTACCCAGCGAGTTCGGTACAGCACCGCCAGCATCCGGCCTGTCTCATGAAAAGCATGACTTTGCAGGTGAGTGGTTTTAACAATGATAGCACCTTATACTGGACTCATCCTTCGTTCGCTGTTTATGCCAAGTCGATTGGATTGCCCACTCTCCGCGTCTACGTAAGTTTATGATATTTGTTGATTTTACTCTAAGCATGAACCACTGAAAACGATATGTCCATTAGAATGGATTATTCAATGAAGTCGTGCCCTGGCTCACCGCACTGACTGAGACTGGCAAGTTGCATCTCGTGGGCAAAGGAGAAATGGCAGGATCCTTCACTGCAACACCCGATGTTGCGGGATACGTGGCTCATATTCTTACTACTCAACCGCCATCTCGTCTACTTGATGCTGAAGTTCGCATCGAAGGCCAGCGCGCAACGCTCTCTGAGATTATTGCCCTTTATAAAGGCAGTGTACCTGTGGTACATTGCGATGCCCTTCCTACGGAAGGTGTGGTCGCCGCAGAATTCCGTACGCTCCTCCAGCGGCGCTTTGAAGTCGGAGGAGCAAGTAGCGGCTGGAAACCTGAGACTGGGTCAGATGATGCGGAATTGGCGAGCAAGGATAATTCGCTGTGGGAAGGGCACCGGTGGTTGACTGTTGGGGAAGTTCTTGGATTGTAATGATATGTACGTGCATGAGACCTCTGTAACTCGGCACCCTTCAGTCTACTAGGGGGCTTCAGAAGCATACCCTACAGTACTGTGTCGTCAAAGTAGCAACAAATGAAGATCGTACCTTCATGTGGGGCAGAATTTCAGCGACGCGACTTACGGGCCGAGATTCAAATCTGATTGTCTTATTACACCACAGCTGAACTGCGGCCAGCGAAACACATAGATAATTATCCAATAATTAGTATAATGTACTTTCTGTCTACATAAGGGAATGGCCCTGAGTAGAACACAGGACTAAGATCAGCTTTCCACCTGCTCCTAATACTAGCCTAACAATGATGAGAGGAAATCGCGGACTGTACATTTATCCCGGTCGTAAAGACAGCGAGATCATGGTCGTCGTTCCAGGCGGAGGTGGAGCAAATACCAGCATCAACGGATTTGTGCAGGTTAAGCATCAGCCGAGAGATGAGAGTAACAGATATGCTGGGGGCATAGTCAAGAATCAATGCTTGCTTATCCCACCAACCACTCACCAGCTAGTAAATGTGGCCATCCTGCCTCTGGTGATATCCTTGCCAATCGTCAGCAAATAGTCGACCCTAAATCTAAGATGCAAGTTTGTGCACTCACTGGTCCAACCTGATTCAAGCTATGAGCGCTTCGTGACTTCATCAGTGTTTCATTCCTTGACTCACATAGTACGTCAGAATGTTCGGGATATTAGACAGTGTCATCGCTCTGAAGGAATGCGGATCAGATTCGCTTGAATCACGATTGCACTAGCAACCTCACCCAAAATACATCGCGCCTATATTGTTTGATTCAGTTTTTGCAATACTGATGTGCGCAACGAGAAATTTACCATCGCTAAATATGATATCAAGAATATCTCTCCTGCTGACCAGAGATAACCGCGGCAAACCTCTAATTTTGCAAATCCTGTACACTGTGAGGACAAAGATGAGTATTTCAAAAACTAATACGGTCAACCATGCCAGCCCGAAACCTGCAATCGGAGAAAGTCATGACATGAATGCAGATGTGACTTAGGATTCACTGACGGGCGGCTCTGCAACGACTTTGAGCAGTCGCGCAGAACGGCGAAGAGGATAGCCTACGTCTGTGCTGTATATGTTTCGTAGCAGCCAACTCCTAGCAAGATGTTTCCATTGCTTGAATAATTTGCAAAAGTTCCCGCCTAGAAAGTAAATTCCATATGACGGTATCCATAATTCTATGCGAACACGTACAGAAACTCCCCCCGCAAGAGCAAGGGCGATGATTATCATCCACTTAAGTAGCCGCTTGCTATAGTTGTAGAGAGCATAGGTGCGAATTGCCAATACGACTGGAAATTTCAGTACGTGCATTTCTCGCAATAAACTTCTAACTCACCGCAAACGATGAACTGTTGAAGAAAAATGAACACTGGTCTGAATAGCGTGTATTTCGAACAGCTAAACCTTCGTTGAGCAAAACAACAAAATTTCAAGAATCATAGTTGAAACCTCTGCGGAAATAAGTTGTGAGCCTGCCGTTACGTGCGGCATGACAAAAACATCGAACCTCATCTGACATGGGCAGGAAATCAATAACTAACGCACATATATTGCCGAGCAGAGCGACATAGCGATTTACGAGAAATAACATCGCAGATAGTGCTTTCGGACGACACCAAATAAAAGCAATTTCTTCTGTGAGGGTCGCCATATGGTCGTATATCAAGATACCTATAATTTGATGTCATCGTCTCGAGGAAAAAGATAAAAAGCCCAAGTACTGTTTGCAATGAGAACGGCATATAAGTGCATCAACCTGGTAAATTGTAATGTTAAATCGCGACCAGGATACATAGTAAATCTATGCGTGTATGACTCACAGCTGCTGTGTTTCGGTAACATCCATCACAATGAGACAACGGAGGAAAGGTCTGGCGCAGCATCATATCAGTATTATATACTAGCTTTATCGCTCCTTCGCGGAGTCGTAATAGGTGCTGTGTATACAAGGTTAACTTTGCGTGAGTCGAAATGCATCATAATGCTGTGCAGTGTGTTGGCACTAGTGCACAGGTGGATGATCCATGGACCAGACTCCTACTAAGGCTGTGACGCTATGTCTTGCTGAAACACAAGGATTACCGCCATGAGTATGACGATCAAGGGATCAGGAGCGCCACTTGATGGAATAGCCTGTGAGAACAGAACGCCAATCGTGGACGTATCGTCACTTGGACTTACATCTCCGCGATTTGACGTTGCAACTGCGATTAGATTGTATATCGACACTCCGCACCGAGATTCCGCCTAGTGAGTATGAAAAAAACCTGCCCCAAATCCTTTCCGCAGGTCGGCTTTGTCCGGAAGGGGTACCCGCCAATCGCCGGCATCAGCACGACATTGGAATCCCCCCCTTTTCAGGCAGCTGTTGTAGTTGCACCGATAAAACGTCTGGGTTCGAAACGAGATCGTCACAGGATTGATTGCAGAGATGCTAAATATGGCATGTCGAAACTGGTTCCCTGCTGCGGTCATGAAGAAGCGAACTCCAGAACGCAGTAAGTAGTACTTACTGGGTTGTTCGAGACCAGGCCTGAGGTTAAAAAACCGTCGGCACGGAACTCACCTCACTGGAACTAGTGTTATCTTTCCAGTGGATCTTCTGATCGCTGGTGCGTGTCTTCGGTGATGCCTGTAATTGATACACGTGTCATGACAATGTCGCGATCGTGCTGACGCCCATAGCGAACGCATTTGGACTCAAAGTCACAAATCGTGCGCGAGGGTTCAATCGTGGGGCACCGGGGCGTCCATACCATAAGACTTTGCATCAAAGAATCCTGTGATCGAAGCGGGGTGAACATCGTGACACTGGTAAAGTAATGTATTTCAAGGAAATTATCGTGCAGGTAGATTTGGGTCCATGGGTTCCCGTAAAATGAGGCTAAATATATGCAATCTGTCGTGGCAGGTGCTGGTGCTGCCTCTGGAAATAATGAAGGTGCACACGATGATCATCGGATGGCTCGATCGAGAGATATCTTCCATACATATATTATGGATCATGCGACATGGTGATACATTTCATTTCCGAAGTATTCAATTCCGATCGCGGCTGGTCAACCAAGCTCTTCAACTGAGTAAAGAGCTTGACTTTATCGGAGAGCTTTGTATGCGTGAATAATCAAGCAAAGTTGTGAAAGTGACGATGCAATCCTCACCTTATATTGCACGACACGGCCTGACGTGCTAGAAACCACGAATAACAATGTTTCGCTTATGTTAGCCGACGTACTGGGACCTGCAATAGCTGGATAGCATAGCTTGAACGGCTGCAACCCAGTATTATTGGCCGACGCCCGCGATGCTTTTGACGTGCCTGATGATCGAGAGGCTTTGGATGGTCCAGTCGACATCTGCACGAGTGCCTTTTGGACCACCTCCCAGTTAGATTTACCGACGAGACAGAGAAACCTTGGGCGATGAAGGGCAAGCTTGTTGAGCAGGATAGGTACAGACGAGACACGCTCAGAAGAAGAAAGTTCCGATGCCTGGAATTGATTCGTTAGCATGTAGTTATAATGTAAGCTTGTAACAACCTCCGTGGATGGTCTGTCAACTAGATCCGTCTACCAATTAAAATGCGTGAATTAGTGTAGTGAACACAAGAAATATTGAAAACTGACCAGACCAATGTTGAATTTTTCGGGCAAAGAATGGTCCTCTGACGGTGGCAGTAACCTAGATGTAAACCCTACGTAGAAGTCTAGGGTCAAGAGCTTCGCTATGACCAGCGGAGGCGACATACCAGAATGATAGAGACATTTCCAGAAGTGGTTTGTCGGGTGTGCGAAGTGATGTCCTCTCTGGGCGGACATGTAACCTGGACTATAATGTTACAGGGGCTCTGTCAGAAGCTTGAATTATATGAATTTTACCCGACCCACTTAATTCCACAGAAAACGACTAATAGAAATAGTGTAGCCTTAGACACAATTTGAACGATGAGGCCATTACACACCATCAAGTCCATAGGCTAGACAATCTGTGAGGGGTGATAGATGGGAATATGCTTCTGGTGGGGCGTATCCTCTCTTCAACTTTTTTACGGCGTCCTTGGACAGACTTGCGTCAGGTGCCTTGCGTTTACCCTTTCTAGATAATGGCAAACTTAAGGCATGCGAGTCGCGCCTGACTACCGACCTTCCGGATGTCACAGACGCAGCAACTCGTGAGGAACGTCGCAGGGTTAGTAGCTGCTTCGAACTGTCGGCCGTAGTAACTGCTGGATCGACCTGTGGCTGACATGGAGTGGTGAATGTGAACTTGTTAATAGACTCCCTGAAATTTTCAGTAGCAGACGATTCTGCGTCGTTGTGGTCTTCCTCGAAAGACATCTGATCAATCTCCGGGGGAGAAGCCTCTGGTGAACTGCACACGTGGGAAATTTATTCGGGAAGACAGAATCCCTCCCACATTTCGCTTCTCGCAGAATGTATCATGTACGTAAAACAGAACTAACGGCGGACCAGCCGTTCTTCTCTTGTTCAACGTCAGCCAGTACGACTATGAAGGAAGAATCCCTATGCATGGATCCACGAACGCCCAGCGTCCAGCGTCGTGGTTCTTCCGCATGACGTCTGACTCAGATCAGATGGTACCACATATTACTGGACCTCCAGCTGCTCGTAGCGTTCAGCCTGTAACCTCCTGTAACGCATAACTTGGCAAGGAGTCTCAAAGATGCTTCACCTGTCCCCACGTACGGCCCGACTGCTCCATGTCAAGCTATACACGTTTTTGACAGTAAATTCTGATCGATCCCTTTGATGATGGATCCATTGATAGGTCTAGGCAACGAGTCTAGGCTAACCCTGCCAATGCCATGACGGTAAGATGACGGCAACATGAATTTAAAGTGTGGAGAGTTGACGGAATCTCTTCGGAAGCAGACTGCTAGTGTGCCCCATGACTGACAAAAGTGCTGCGCCCGTGCTTTAAGCGGCCCGAGGTCCTTATACAGACCGTCAACAATAATTGAAACCAGTAGGCAACTTGACATTGAAGATTGCTACGAAGAGAAGATCGTCGGTTCCAGGAAGAAAAGTTACATATAAAGAGAGGGTTCAATTCAAATCAAGTAGTTTCGTGGTCTATAAGTCGGCGATAACATAGAAGTTGTTATGAAAGTCGCATCGAGGCAGTGTATTCGCCCCATCGATGCCGATACCTAACACATCAAACGGAGCCTTTACATCGAACCATCAAGCCAAAAGTTGAACAAACAAAGGTTTCACAAACAAAGGCTTTTCCTCCTGTTTGCTGATCGTCATCATTTCGTTTCCTATCATTCTACTTCATGCCACCTCGCGCAGCTCCAGGACAGACTCGTGGAGGCGGTGGCGGCGGCGGCGGCGCTAGAGGTGGTCGTGGCGGTGGTCGCGGCGGCCCTCGTGGTGGACCACCTCCTCGCGGCGGCCCAGGTGGGGGAGCAGCATCTCCTCGCATTGGCCCCGCCGCTCTGCCTGGAACCCATGTTCAGGCCGTGGGCGTAAAACGACCTGGATATGGAACGGCAGGCAGAGCAGTGTCTGTTTTCTCCAACTTCTTCAAGATTAGTTTGCCTGAGAGTATCATTTATCACTACGACGGTTGGTATTGTCTCTTTTCGACTCTCGTCCCATCGTCTGATCTCAACGATTTTTTCTTTGTGCGATCTAGTGGGTAAGTACTGAAGCTGGTGATCATTCGTGTGACTTGCCGTTGATCGCCGTGTCAATCTGTGCGATCAGTGATCTCCCCCGATGAGAAGGTCCTGCCGGCGCGCCTCAATATGGAGTTAATCCACCACCTCCAGACTATCGATGCTGTCGATGTATTTACCCCTCGTGCTGTTTACGACGGGCGAAAAAACCTCTTCGCTCCCAGAGAACTGCCTTTTGGCCCGCAGAACAGCCAATCGGTATGTTTTTCTGATATGCTCAATGCTCGTGGTTTACATCTATGTAGTTTGACGTGTGCCTCTCCGACGATCCCAATCGCGGAAGCCCAGGGGAAAACACGGGAGGCCGAGGTCCTAAGGTGTATAAAATCAAGCTAACCAAAGTCGCCCAAATCAACCCAGAGTAGGTTATTTTACTTCTCTGGACGTTGCTGAGCTGTAAATTTTCTTTGTTAGAGTGCTGCAACGTTTTATTCAAGGTCAACAATCTCATGATAACAATGTTTTAACCGCCTTGACAGTAGGTAATTTCGTAAGGGGCGCTTCAATTGGTGATTGACGTCACGTTTCCATAGGCATTGAATGTCGTTGTCCGTATGGAACCTACAATGAAGTACCCCTTCAATGTTCGATCTTTCTTCACCGATCGGGAGACGAAGGACATCGGTTCAGGTCTTGTCCTGTGGCGTGGCTATTTTCAGTCTGTGAGGCCCGCAATTGGACAACTCCTCATCAACGTCGATATCTCGACTGGAACAATGTACAAGGCCGGACCGTTGATGGATCTCTGTCTTGAGTTCTTCGGTAGACCTGGACAACACGCGCTGCTTAGCCCGCGAAACGGCCTGCCAGATCGTGAGCGAATTCGTTTACAACGCTTTGTTTCAGGCATCCGGGTCAAATCGACATATGCTGGTGAAAACAAGACCCCTCGCGTCGTCAAAAAGTTGAGCAGCGCAGGGGCTGCGGATCTAAGTTTCACCTTGCGGGATGGAACCAGCAGGACCGTCGCTCAGTATTTCCAGACGATCCTCAACCGTCCTTTGAGGTTCCCAAACAATCTTTGCATTGAGGTAGGTCATTCGTAGAAGATCTCAACGCATCTAATCAGGTTTTGTAGGTTGGCAGCGGCGCCTTGATCCCTCTGGAACTATGCACGGTTCCACCAGGTCAAATCATGCGGAAGCAGGTACCGCCAGAGAAAACGAAGGACGTCCTGGATTTTGCTACAAAGCGACCTAGTGACCGCCTCGCAAGCATCACGAACGGTCTTTCGGTATGATCTTTGTCCTCTAAAGCGCGCTATGCTCAGCGAGATCTTCGCTAGGTCCTTCAATATGGCCAGTCGGAATACGTGCGCCAGTTCGGCATGCACGTCGAAGATACCGCAGGACCGCTCACAGTAACAGCCCGCGTTTTGCAACCGCCCAAATTGAAGTATGGTGTGGGTAGCGCGCAGCCAACCATCGTCAGTGTCATGTTGTGTTTGCCTTTCTACGTACTGATCTTTTAATGTTCCTTAGACACCGAGTAACGGCGCGTGGAACATGTGGGTGTTGTTATACGATATCTCTACGTTGCTCATGGGATTCTAGGATCGATAAACGCTTCTTCCGACCTGCGTCCATTGACAGATGGATTGTGGTCGTCTATGAGAGGCAACAGCGTTTCAACCCACAGGCTGCCCAAGACATGATCGACGGCATGCTGAGGAGCTTCAAGGACGTCGGTCAGTGGCTCATGCGATAACATCTTGGGTCAGATTTGATACATTCCAACAGGTATCCGTGTCACCGACGACAAGCCGATGGTTAGCTGGCAAAACGGTCAAGGCCGAATTGCGGACGTAAGTGCTATTCTGCAAAGTATCTGAATATGACTCGAACGCCTGCTTCAGCAATTGCGTGCCGCTGGCACTGAGTGTTTCACAAAGACGAAACAGCGCCCGCAGCTCATTGTCGTGGTTCTGCCGGAGAATGGCAATGATATTTACACTGCAGTTAAACAGTAAATTCCTCGCCATTCGTCTTGCATCAGTGACTCATGGCATTTTGCGTAGTTTTGGAGATGTTACAGTAAGCCTGCTTGATGAGCCCGCCGTATGACCTTTGAAATTATGATTTTAGGTCGGTGTCGCCACTCAGTGCCTTAAGAGCCAGAAATGTTTCCGCGCCAAACCTCAGTATTACGCAAATGTTTGTTTGAAGTACGTGACTATCCATCAAACATCCTAAAATTTTATCTGATGCGTATTTGTCACAGGGTCAATGTTAAGCTGGGTGGGATCAACACTATCCCCGATCCCTCGTCGGTAACTGTGCTTACTGACCCTCGTCAACCTACCATTGTAATGGGTAAGCCCGTTGTTACATTACTGTATCGTGGAGTCAAACAGTCCGCCAGGCGCCGACGTGATCCACCCTGCACCCGGCTCTGACGGCCGTCCCTCATTTACCGCACTTGTCGGTAATGTTGATTCCGACACCGCCAAATACATTGCCACCAGTCGCGTCCAAGCATCTCGCGTTGAGATTATCGAGGACCTTCAAGACATGGCGAAGGTGAGCGTTCCTTGTGCTTATGGATTGCCGGCACTAATCACGAACTCTTAGCACGTCCTCACAATGTATATGAAGTACCGCCAGTTTGCGGAGAAGAAGACGGGCAATCTTGCCCCTACACGTCTGATCTTTTACAGAGGTTCGTTGCTGAAGTCATTAATACCTTGTCCATTTACTAAGCATGTAACGTAGATGGTGTTTCTGAGGGACAGTTCAAGCAAGTTCTCGATTCCGAACTTCAATCCATCAAAGGCACGTTTGTGTTCCTTGAGAAACACAGTCAAAATATAACAACCTACCCAGATGCTTGCGCCGAGTTGAAGATTAATCCCAAGATCACTATCATCATCGTCGCGAAGCGGCATCATGTTCGCTTCTTCCCCAGTGGCTCTGGGCCCAGCGAACAAGATAAGAGTGGAAACTGCCTTGCGGGCACTGTGGTGGATCAAGTTGTTGCTCACCCTACCGAATTCGACTGGTACCTTCAGAGCCATGGTGGTCTTCTCGGCACGAGTCGTCCCGCCCATTACAATGTCCTCTATGACGAGAATAACTTCACGTAAACTTACCTCCACGCTCCTATGTGATGGATTGTATGCTGACAATGGTTACATTTCCAGCGCCGATGGCCTCCAATCCCTCTCATTTGCTTTGTGCCATGTATATGCACGGTCAACACGATCTGTATCGATCCCGGCTCCTGTTTACTGTGAGTCTATGGCCGACACGATCGCTGCTGAATAGGGGACTAATTTGTGTATCAGATGCGGACATTGTTTGCTCCCGCGCGAAGAACCACTACGACCCCCAGGGGAACGTCGATTTCTCTGATTCTGCGACGCAGCTCGATACTACTCAAGCCGAGGGTACCCTCGAAGCTTACAAGCGTGGGTTCAAGCCTTTGCATGCCAACATGGCGAGCTTGATGTATTTCTCTTGAACGTTGTCACTTTACCCGCCTGAATACCCCAATTACAAAGCTGTAATATTACACTTTTTCGCTCGTACAACTGCTCGTCTGTTTCGATATTTGAAGTCCCTCTTGCCAATTGTATGACCGAGCCTCACTGGTCACTAGTCTCATTACATCCCACCTCTGTATAAACTATACCTTGCACGAATACCATTTGGGACCGCGTGACTTGACATATACTGTTTGGAGTGACGACCATGACGTGTTCAGGCTTAGTCTCGCTGCAACGTGCATCGCCGTCGATACAGGATCCAGATGTGTCTGGCAGTGGCTGAAGTTTGGACGCAGGTAGCAGAAGGGGCCCCTGTTAACGTTGATATCCAATCATGATACGATAAGTGACTGGGGCAGTGCAGTGAGATCCTGCACATTGCACAAGTCAGCAGTCACGTTTTTCGCAGGTGTTTTTGTGATAGAAAGTGATTACATGATTGTAACGAGTGTCACATTTTCCTACTGAGTACTTAGGGCAAGCGCAAGTCGATAGAATGATATAGAATATTCTACGGATCATATGATTCTGGGGCGTCAAGGAATACCTCATCTTCGTCGGAGGAGTCTTCGGTAAGTTCCGAGATGTGGGCGGTTGGTATTAAGTCACGTGACAATGGCGCTAGTTTGGGCGCTAATGGAGTTGATGACAATAGCCAAACTGTTGACAGAGTCCTTCGCAGCTTGCTCTTCGTACGTATGGTCACAAGGTTAGCTGTCGTAACCTTGCGCCAACCAGCATATGGGCTACGGGGATCAGGATGGAGCAACACGCAGAGATGTTCCTGCTCCGGCTGAAGAATGCCTTCTCCACTCACATCGTAACACCAGTAGTCCACGACCCCTGCAGTATAGCTAGAGTACGCGTCAGTCCGGACGTCCGTAGTGCCAATCTTCTCGTAAACGGTGACCTCCTGTTGTGACAAGTCAACAAGGAGCACTTGAATTTGCAACCCGCGCTTCGTCATGACAATATTCTGATCGCCGCGCCACACTGTAGATGGCAGAAGAACGTCGTTGCTATCAACTGGATTGAGGGGACGGTAACATCTCGGCGAGTCTGGGAATGCAGCACTGTCGGGTGAACTTGGCCCCGCCCATGCGAAGATCTGCCATTCATCGCACTTCTGGATGATTGCCTCCATCAGCCTGTGAAACGCTCGTTTTCCTTCTCCATATGCTACCATCATGCTCACGTCGAAGATTCCAATGAGAGAGTAAGCGACATCTTCGATACGTGTGGTTGTCCGAGTGGAAGCCCACATCATTTTCTCGTGGACGTTGGTTGTGCCTGGCTGGAAATGACGGAGGTCATCGAGAGGTATCCTCGTGGCACGCGAAAGCGCAGCCATGAGCTCCAAGTTTTCCTTGTCGTCGACATCGCTGGTAAGCGGCTGCCAGTTCTTGCCATAAAACTTCATCCTCCATGGTGCAAGCAACTCTTGCAGTGTCCATCCGCGAGTGAACCATACATCTTGATGGAGATCGTCGATCGAGGTGGTATCAGAGAGGTATGCAATGCACACATGAGCATCACGGTACCACTTGAACATCGACCGGATGGCTTCTTCGAGCTCGGTGCTGCTGTCCTTGTTGATGCAGCACGTGTCGGACCATGCCAACCGGCACCCGAACTCGCTGGCTTTCTCGCAGAACTTCACAAGTTTCTCATAACCATATGGTTCGAACGATTTCAAGATGTCGTAAAAGGTGGGTTCGCCGCTATCGAGCCAGCGGTGCGAGAGGACAGCGTACTTCACAATGTCCTTGACAAGATCTTTGATCGCGTCCTCCCTCTCCGCCGTGGGGCACGATTCCCTCAGCTCGACCAGGCGACTGTGGATAGCCTCCTCCGTAATCAAGGTGACCTCTTTGCGGAACATCCGCTTCACCTCATTGCGACCGACAAGCCTTTTGTCTGGCACGTAAATGAGGTACGTGGGTAGTTCATTTTGCACATATGCATTGAATATGCTTATAACCTCGGGTATCCCAGGCGCAGAAGGGCCCTGCCGTTGAACATGAGCCGGATATCACATAGAAGAAAGTAATACTGACAGGGATATCTGGACCATTCAAGCCATTGGGATCTTTTGGTGGAAGCTTGACTTTGATGCCTCGGATGCCCAGTGTCGGCGGCTAGTGGACGGTCAGATAGATACTATCAGCTAATGCGACCTCATACGGTTATCTGTCCGTGGGGGAAAATAACCCGGACATCGTCAATGACCTCTTGCTTTAACTTGTGGAATTTCGCCTTTCAAGCCATAAGACGGTGCAATTACCACTTTGGCAACGTCCCTCACCTTGAGTGCTCTCTGATCATCCTCCTCCATGGTGAGCTCCATCGCTTGGTGCACGAGGTCTTCCAGGAACCGACCCATTTCTGTTGAATCGAGGCGAACAGGGATGAAAAAGGGGATGAGCTTGCCACGTCGACGAAGGAGGAGTACTCTTCGTTACATTGGTACCAGAGGTCTCCGCGTCTGTATATGTAGCCCAATACCCTGAACCCACGATACTGCAATGCTGCAGCATCGATTTAAGTTTCGAAGTCTTACTCATTCCGCAGGGCTTCGAATGGACCTCCGCTTGAAACCTTATCTAGAAGCTTTGAGCTGTATATTCCAAGGACAGCAGATCGCGCAGATAAACTTGGATAGCACGTATTAGTTTGGTATCAAGCTGTGTCCTTCAATCATCACCGCGTTGACGCACCTTAGAAGTCACTGCCCCATCGCCCTACGTCCCAGGTCACCTACAGCTTTGGTCCGCGTGATGGCATGAACCCCAAAACGTGTCAAAACTGAGCTAGTCGTTTCCAGATCTGCATTGGGCACTGTATTGATCAAATTGTGAAACGGAGGTCAAGACAGTGGTTGATCAAGTTAAGTTCCGACCCTTCACGTATGTGTTCTAAGCAGTGCGCCAGTCAGATTCTTGCGCGATCTCCGCCAGCTCAAACGACACGCACCCAGTCGCTCTGTCACGAAGATAGGGTGAATAGAAGCAATATTCCTGCAACTTCTTTAGCGAGTGGTCAAGCCGACATGTCCTCTCGGACCAAGATGCAAGCTTAAGGGTCTAAAAATCGTTGATATTAGAACAATATGCACCCCGTCCACGGAACAACATAAGTCATAAGTATCCAAATATGATAGATATCGATATAGATGTGCATACCAAAAGACGAAGGACACTAGAATACATTCCCACTCACGGCTGAGCAGCCTCCCGACTCGCGAGGAACGCGCCCATGTCTTTCGTTTTCCCTCTTGCTCCCGAAAGCCCAACGCTCGGAAACCCCCGTGCATTCTCTCCCTCGATGACGCGCTCCATGCGCTCTTGGGGTATAGGTAATGTAGTGACAGCTGGAGACGCAGATACAGACTGAGTGGGAGTATATGGTGCCGTGGATTGTGATGCTGTCGAAGACGAGAGAGGCGAGAAGCGTTTTGACGCGTGGTGCTTTGACTTTTTTGCTGGTTTTGGCAGGTGCATCTGGGTGTGTGGATAGGAAGATGGGACAGCTTGTGCGTGTTGGTGATGGTTGTAATATAGAGTTGGATCTCCGTTGGAGATCGAAGCAGAAGTCCGAGAGCGAGAATCTGAACCCGAACCACTCCAAACAGCAGATTGGCGTTTCTTGCGGGTGTACAACTCCCCGCCGAGGTCTGCATCATCAGCGTCCTCTGAGCCTTCTCCCTTCCCGCTTATGGCTGACAGTTCTTCTTGCGCCCGTACAAACAACCCAAAATCAGGGGCTGGCAGCGAGGATACTGGGGCTTCTCCACTGCCTTGGAACCCCTCAAAATCATCGCCTTCAGCAAGAGAGCCACCGTTTAGCGAGAGCAGAGCAGACATGCGCTCGCGTTCCCTCCGCTCCCTGCGCCGTGCCTTCCTCTCTGCTTTCTGCCGTGCTTCCTCCTCCCGCCTCTGTTGCTCAGCTTCTGCACGGTCTGGAGATGACAGGCGAGCAATAACTGACGAGTCTAGTGGTGCCGCGTCCGAGTCCAGCGTAGACGAAGATGGGGTGCCGAGTGCTCTCCCCCTCCACCCCCGTTCGTCTTCATCGTCCGAAAGGTAAATCGGCGGGCGGCCGAATAATGTGTATCCAAAGAGAGTGAGCGAGAATGCAGGGCGTTTTCGTGGTTTTCTCCGCCCCGCTCCAATGTTTGAGTGTAGGGAGAGCGTTTCTGCTTCTGTGTCTGTGTCGCGCAAGAGCCCCTCGAGCTCGTTTGACGGCGACCTGTGGGATCTGACGTCGCTGCGGGTGTTATCATTGGAGTCGACAGGCACTGTGCTGCTGAAACATGGTATGCACGAGGCAAGAGCAGCTCGTATGCTGTCCCTGTAGGAGAAGTTGTCTACAGCCATTAGTGTAATCCAAAAAGGTGCACTGTGTGAGGGTGTGAGGGTATAGTTTTCCGGTACAAAGCTAGCGAAAAGTATGTAGGTCAAGAAATAAGTTGAAGTCGTGATCGCAGTCGTAACGAACTCCGGCCTGCAGAGCAGCGCAGCGCAAACACGTGTCGAACGTTTACTAGAATTTGTGTCACTTGACCTGAATTGTTTCCGACCGGCAAAAAGCACCCGCGTTGGCAACGAAACTCAAAACAAGTCAATGTAAGAAAAAATACGACTGATCTTGTATAGTACCCGGTGAACTAGACTGTGAGTACATTATACAAGGTGAGTGCGAACTTCAAACTATCCGTGCGAAGAAGAGAACAAAAGAGAACCGCTACTCCATACCGGCCGAATCAGGGTCAAGTAAGCTGTTGCTAGGTGGTTAACTATGAAAGTGAAATGTACAAGAAAAGCTCACCTATACTGCTTCATCAGGGAACACTCACCACCGTTCTCCAGATCGATGTTGTACGAGTAGAAGTAGCCCTCGGACGAAATGACCATCACCTGGGGTAGAGTACTGAACCGAACATAAGAAAACTATGGCAGAAGTAAAAAGACATTGAATCGTACCCGCTGAGCGCAACAATACATCTTGCTCCACTTGTTGGTAGTCGCAAGAACGCAAAGTCGCGAGATGGTTCCCACATCTCGGTTAATGTGTTAGGAAGATATCCCCCAACTGAATGCGACAGACTCTTGGTCATCTGCAGCGACTTCCGACGAAGACTCATCCTAGACAACATCAGAAAGAAACTCTAGACTGTACGAGAATAGAATCAACGTACGAAACACCACTCTTCTTACGTTCGTCAGCGAATGCTTCATAGCCTCCATCCATTCCTGCAGACCCCTCCCTGCCGTCAATGGACTCAGGGGGGCTAGACAGGCCCTCATTCTTCTTACTGGACGAAGATGGTGGACCTTTCTGAGGACCGAGCTTGAAGATGTGCACTGTGTCATGTGCAGAGCTGACAGCAAGCAAGGACGACACCACATTGAAGTTGATCGAATGTATCCGTGCCTCGCGGGTTCCCCGACGGAATTGGTACAGTTTCTCTGATCCAGGGATGCTCCAAACCCGGATGACGGTACCCTTGTCGGATGCAGTGGCAAGGATAGTACCTGTCGAATTGATGGAAAGGAAAGAGATCGGCGATTTGTGCGCCTGGATTACATTGGCGACCGTCAAGGTGCGTGTAGAGAACAAGAGAACGTCGCCGGATTGATTACTAGAGGATGGTGCCTGTGAGGTGGAGGCCTGACTAGGCGATTGAGTGGTAGGAGAAGGGACAGGGGACGGATATGCAAGGTAGGAATTGTCAGCGGATGGTGAGAGGGCACATGTTGCTGGTACAGCTCAGCTGTAGATCTTTGGCGAGAGCGATGGGTGACGCGCTCACCTTCAGGGTTGGGTGTGGTCTCTATGATGTGCAGAAGACGCATATTGGATATATCATAGATATATATTTCGATTTCCAATACAATGACAAGAGTTTTCCTGTTCAGTTTGACAGCAAGAATGGAGGACGGGAACAGCAGTTCGCAGATCATGGATTGTCGCTGCGAGGGTAAAGTGTGACAATCTGAATTACATAAACATTTGAAAGGATACACACCTTTGTATTGACAATCTGCAGTTTCCGTGGACTGGACTGGGGTTGATCAGCGGCACCGACTAGCGCAATGAGCGAAGTGCAGAACAGCATTTCAACGATGCCACGCGCGCCGTCATCTAAGTATAAGATGTTCCTGTCAATTCAGTGTCCACAACACCCATACAAGACAGGATAAGGACCCACTCATCGTGTAGACTCTCCCGAATGGATCGCAATTGGTTATGCTGTAACCTTTTCGTGTTCCAACGGATATGCACCTAAAAGTACGGTTTGAGCAAGCTATAGAAAGTCTTTGTAAGTCTTAAGACTCACGAGAAATCCTGGTTGAAGTTAGCAAAGAGCATATTGGCGTTCAACTTCTCTGCCATGGTAGCGGAATGAGATGTAATGCGCTCTGGTCACCTGGTATTGCTACTTTACTGTGCCTTTCAAACAACTACAAACATCATGGACTCGACCAAGTCCAGAACGTGTTCCTAACAAAACCTTTGTTCTCTTTCGATATGGACTCGGACTCAGAGCCGATACTGTACATCGATAGAACGGAAGGGGGCGACCTATTCAACTCCAAGCCTCGGTCATCCGAATCTATCAAGCTGCGGGAGCTGGGCTTGCAAATCTACAAAGAAGTCTGGAAAGAATTTTATAAATGGGAACCTAGGGAGTGCCAACGGGTTATCGACTCTTTCGCTGGCCGACGAGTCCCTGGAGCGCAACAGAAATACAATAAAATGATAGATCAACTATTCGACCCAGCCCTTCAGGATTCAGAGATGCAAGAGAACCCAAACCGATCTTCCCTGATAGTGACGCAGTACGATGCTGACGGTCGAGGTATATCATACCCCTTGGAGGTGGTGGAGATCTCTGTCGATCCTACTTTTGAATCCCACCCTCCCTACGAATCTTGTCCACCAATCAATCAAAGCATTAAACCTGGCCGCCAACTAAGCGACAAAGTTCTCTTCATCCCGTATGCTGACGACGAGGACTTCCCGGTCGACGAATATCTAGAACCCTTTCCGTGCTTCGCATGGGAAGAAGACTTTGATCCAGACTGTAAGCCATGATTGGTTCAACATGCTAAAACCGCCACTGGAGATTGTATTTCCAGTGGAAATGATCCAAATCGAAACTGTCCGCCGACTAGACAGCATTCACAATATCTCGCCGAAGGACATTGATAGGATGGACATCTTCAAACCACTGCGTGAATTGTACAATGGGGGCCTTTTATGGGAGAGACACCAGCGGTTCGCCCGCTTGTTTCACGTCCTCGCAAGACGTTCTCATTGCTTTATGCAGAGATTTCCTTCACTGGCCTGGAAGACCGTTTGATACTGAGCGTGACTTGGAGTCTAGCTTTGAACCTGCAGTTGACAATCTTTGTCAAAGGTTGTCGTCACTTCTTGCGACCTTTTGTCCAAACCTTAATTGTCTGCGCACTCTGTGCACGACGCATTGTAAGTTCAGTGTAATTTGATTTCCCCCCCATTCATGTGTTCTGCTAGCGCATCCTCGGTCTGCGTTGTTCGGAGGTGTTAGGCCCAAGGTAACCAGCCAAAGCATGCGACTCAGTGAAGGAGAGCCTTGTGGAGAAGAATGTTTCCGTCTAACAGACGAGTCTTACATGGTTGTCATTATTGTTGAGCACCCACACGTTCATCCCTGATCTGCGCGGTTCATAGGACAAAGTCTACTGGGAGAACGAATCCGATAAAGAGACACTGAAAACAATCTTATCAATCTCCCCCGACCTATTCCCTTGTCAGCTTGCAGTTCTCTGCTTCAAGCCGTGTCGAGAAGTAATCACATTCACATACACCCTGAGCTGCCAGTCTTACCTCTCTCAAGGTCTTTGTTCAACGATCTCACATATTTCCAGAGCATAGCATATATGATGATGACCCCACAGGCGATGAGGAAAGCCATACACAGAATCGCAGAACAGAGAAAAAGGCTCGAAAGCCTCGTCTCGATTTTGGTACTCCAAATTTTCTGTTGGGTGACTATGGGTCCTGGCTCACGGTCGATTGCAGAAGACGCGAGCTCTCATGAAAAATTCGCTCCGTAAGCTTCTCTGTATGATCAAGCTAATAGCCAGATGGAAATTATGGAATTCTTTGTGATGTAGCATCGAGCCTTGCAATCATAAGGGTCCCTGTGAAGATGCGCAGTGCCGTTGCTACTCTCAGAAACGACACTGCCAACTGGCTTGTCGGTGTGGTATAAAATGTTCGTATGGTCATGTTTCACATCGTGGCACGGGTCAAATTTCAAACAAATGACTTTAGGTGTTCGTCAATTTCGCGGTTGCAAATGCAAACGCTGCCATTCAAAAACTTGCCCGTGTGTTAAACACACTCGAGAATGTTTGCCTGGGATATGTACGAACTGCGATGCAAAGTAGGGCACACCATTCAAACATTGTTAGGGTGAACTAAATTCCAGTTTAGAGGTCAGACTTCGTTATTAACAAGTTCAAGTGTGTGACTTAGTGCAAATGACCATTGATCAGGTGCAACTGAAAAGCCATGCGAGAACACGAGGCTTCAGCGAAATGACGCCAAGGTAAGGACGCGCTTTGTCCCTGACTCACGCTTACCACTGGCCAGGCTGTCGAGATCAAGCGGGCTAAATTCGGCCTAGGAGCTTTCGCAGCGGAAAACATGAAGCGGGGCGATTACATCGGAGGTGATGCCATTCCTCGCGACATTGGAACGCAACCCCTCATGTTTTGGCTCAGACTACGTCGGCATCTTCATGAAGCACGAAGACGCTGACTATCTACAGTACGCCTTCACGTTGATGGCATCGACTGCAACGTCCTCACTTCATACAGTGATATCACCAATTACAGCCATCGTAATTATCTGTTTGAGTTCTCACCCAACAACTTTGACGAGATGTTTGATGCTGCCCCGGTCGGAAATGCCACTCGTTTCTTGAACCACTCACCCGCCGCAAAGGCGAATTGTACGACAGAAGGTAAGTCACAGCATGGAGCTAGTTGTGCCTATCAGCTGAATGATATGCACCCGAGCTCTCCTTGTTAATGGGGAGCATCACATCGGGTTTTACACCAGTAAGGTTTCCAGACGGCGGTATCGAATCGCTCTACTAACGGTATTATCCAAAGCTAAGGCAGTGGCTCGTGGACAGGAGCTTGTCTTTCATTACGGCTCCAAATACTGGTCACAAGAGCAGGGTTCGGAACCGTTAAACGATTGAGGTAGCGGGTTTGAGTATTGGTTCTACGGTACATAGAAGATTTCCAACCGTCAGAATGCGTCCGATGTAATATTGGAGACAGGCATGTACAACCAAGGTTTGCGGAGCGGATACGACTTGAATGAACACATACGAGTTCCTTCCTGAGGCCCGAGAGCTTCTCACGAGCTCGGCGATTTTCACAGTGCCGACTCCGACACTAGTCATCACAACGACAATTCGGTACTATCACCTGATTCGGAATGCACAATCGATGGGTAATGCACAATGCACTCCAGGGCTCACCACTATATATTTCATTCGGAACAGATGGAGGACAAGTATTAGCATATGTTCGATAAGACTACCAAATCAAATATTTAAAATCGGCGCTGTGAAGCCTTCCTGAGATGAAACATTGTGCGAGTGTACCCAAAATGAGTGATTTTTGGACACTAAATCCAAGATCCACCCAGATCCCATTAACCTATCAACATAAGAACTTCAACATATGTGAAATACACCATTCTGAATCTACTCCAGGTGTTTCTATGTCAATAGAACACCACCACACATTGTGCTATTCACGATTCATGAGCAAAGCGTGACAGTCAGGCTAGATTGGGAAATCACACTCTCGGCTTGGTTGAGTCTCCGCTTTGTTTGCATTCGCCAACACTGGACTTTCATTCGCTTTGCGCGCTGTCGGACTTTGGATATCATTGTGTATTGGCCGAGGTGCCGCGCGTGACATGGTATGACGAAATTGTGCATTTCTATTGTGTTTTCGACATCTCAACTTCCAGTGCTGCCGCTGCAACAAGCTCGCAATAAAATAAAATAATTCTTGTTGGGCCTAATGCGCAGAGACCTAAGGTACACACTACAGTAGATCCGATACGAATATATGTTGTTGTTGTGTTGCTATTCAGCAATAAGTGAAAATTGTGCATTTCGGGCCGTCGAATGATAGTATGGTTGCTCAAGAATTTCACACCCATGTATTCGTAGTAACCACGGCCCTGAAGCAATGAACGAACCGCATTGATAAGAATCTAGAAAATATGAGCAGAAGTTACATTTCACGATTGGATTAAGTACGATGATGCAGCCCAGCGAGGTATAGTTTTTCATTATTATAATTCCCTGCAAATTATTGACTACGAGGTCACGTAAGGAGATCCACCTTTCATCTTCTGGTTTGGTTTGACCTTAGATGTGTAACGAGGTGGGACAACCACTGGTCAGCAATGCTTAACATCTTGCTGAACGAGCCCAAGAGCTTTGTCAGAACGAGGCTTAATCGAGCACTTGAAGGGCTTGGGGTGGCTAGGAGTGTGTATGTCCAGAGCACCGCGGGCACGAGATGAGGAGCGACGTACCTGATAAAACCAGATGAATGGTCAACTTCAGGGGTGATCTCTACGCCGTTCTCGACAACCTTGGAAATATCAAACACGGCAAGTGACATCGCGGTGGATATCCAGATGGAAGCATCCGCGAGGTGCTGACCTATACAATCGAAAGAAAGCGACGTCAGAAAACTGCTGGTCGGTCAGCGCCCTCTGTGAGTTGCGCATACCTGGGCAGATACTACAGAGCAGGAACTTAGCATTTCGCTCACAATAGAACAGCAACCTGTCCTTACCGTCTACCAAAACCGAAGCACATCGTGCGAGGGTCAGTCTCAGGCTCCTTTCCATCCTTGGCGAAAAAGCGCTCAGGGTTGAATTCTGAGGGGTTGGCATATGTCTGCGGATCATTGAGCATGAACCTGTCGCAATTCCAAGCATTCAACTCTGTTAATAAATCGGATACAGAACAATGAAAGTACCAACCATATGTTAGGGATTATCAAGGAGCCTTTGGGAATGTAGTACCCGTTATGGATGTCGTCCTCGGTGGTGCTGTGGTCAGCTATCATTGAGATACGTCTTGTCAACTAGAGATTGTGATAGGCGAGATTCGCGTACCGCTAGCAACGACAACATTCCAGCGAAGGACTTCCTTGGCAAGCGCCTCGGTGTAGGGGAGAGAGGCCCGGTCGGCGAAGGAGGGAAGACGATCAGGACCAACAACAGCATCAATTTCAGCCTGGGCCTTCTTCTGCACATCGGGGAAAAGTGTCATAGCCAGAAAAAACGAATAGATTGCAGAAACAGACTGAGCAAACAGGTGTTAGTGAAAAAAAATCGAAATGCAGGGAGGGGCCAACCGTGTCGGCACCGCCGCCGTATAGGGATACAGCAGACCACTTCACAATGTGATCCTCTTCTGCAGACAAAGTACGGCCATCCAATAGATCCAAGGTGAAAGACTTGAGGGCAATGCCAGCAGCCTGGAAAATAAAACTATAGCGCGTGGTCGCCAAACTAGAAATGTTAGTCACCATCTGATCCTTGGCGAACTTGTAGGGTGCAGCAGCCATCTCTTCGAGTGTTTCACGACATTCACGAGCAATGCGCTTGAAGCCAGCACCAGGGAACCATTCAGGGACCTTGGCCACTAAAACATAGTCAGGCCATTGGGAGAAAACGTTGAAATACTATGGCCTTACAGCATGGCAAGAAGTCAACCATGAAATCGCCAGTAATACTGAACCGCGAGAATTGGTCCAACGCGCGTTCTGCAAGGAAAACGAAGGGATCATTTTCCTCCTTTACTTCATAACCATAGGAGATGCGCAGGATGATAGCGCCAGCGGTGCTATAAAATTCAAAGATCAAGCCAATATTGCGAAGATAAAAACATACTGTCGAATATGTCCTTGCAGTTGGTCAGGTTTCGCGAGTACGCACTTCAGGAATCGGTGGGTCTCGATCTCCTCGATCGGGTTGTAGACAGCCAAGGCAGCGCGGCTGCCAATGATGCGATGGAAATTCTTGCGGTACAGACGTAAACGTTCACCATAACGGAGATAACCCAAAGTGTGCTTATAGCCCATAAGTTCGCCACTCATAGGAACAACAGGACGGTCGGAGTACACAGTGCTCTTCTTGTCCAGCATTTCCATCGTAGTCTTGAGAGAGTTTAGCACAAAGATGTGCTGACCCAAAACATTGACATGCGAAATAGGACCTGCGCACAAGACATCGAAATCGTGTTTTTTTTGAACAACAGGAGGCTTTTACCATACTTCTTACCCCACTCGGCGAAGGTGAGCCAGGGCTTGACATGAGGTATGTCTTGGACGTTTCCAACGAGAGGCAGCCCCAGGGGTCCAGGGGGATATGGTGCAGGATTGTTCTCAGTAAATACCTGCTTCACCAGATACACTCCGATACCAGCAAGACATAGGTACAACCAAGTAACGTTGGTAATCGTCAACATGGTCGACTAGCAGACGACGAGCAAGTGAAGAACGGGGTGGTGATCAGGACCAGGAAGGAGATAGGTCTGGAATGAAAAAGTAGAGCGAATGCCGAAAAGCCTAGAGTCCTCTCCTCGATTATATCTCTTTCTGGGACGCTAATTTATGTCAGAAACTCGGACGTCTGTACCATGGGTCTCCGACTGCGCTTTAGACTATGGCGTGAGCGATTTTTTATGCGCTATTAACGCAATAGGGTGCAGGCAAGATGATCATGCTGGCATGATGTAGTACTTTGAAAACGAAAGCCTCCGGTGATGTTCGGCAACGCACCTTATACGTTTTTGAGTGCCGCTACACATCATGAGCGATTAACGCAATAGGGTGCCCTAGGCGAGACTCCTACTAGGGCCAGTACTTGCTGACGTTGAACAACATATTGTATTACTTGGAGCATCAATGCATCATGATTAAATTGAATTATTCATTGAGCGTGAGATCATGATATGCTCCAAGCTGACGCGGAACAACCGCAGACACCCGAGGTTGATCGATTGATAAACCCCGCACGACAGCGCACCATACTGAGTCCTGACCACTTTTGCATCGTGGATTCGTCTGTATTTCTTGTCGAGATCGTGCGAGGGCGGTTTCAGTTGGCTGGGCACGATGCGGCACTCCCCAGACGTCTCTCGCACTGTCCAATTCTCACTGGGGTTAACGTCAGTGATCTGGTGCGCAACTCACCGTTTCGTTTTTTTGCATCCTTGTCCTTCAGCTTGTCTGACTTGATGCTTTATAGAAGGAAGGACTTTCTTCCTTCTATTGGTCTACCTACGGGAAGCCAAACTTGATGCTGACAACACAAACACATATTTATGTGTCGCCTAGTGTAAGAAGATTCAGGACTCCAGGAGGACATGTGTAATAAGGTTTATTTTTTTTCCGTGTTCTTGCCAGTCATGTGCATTGTGTACTATAAAACCTTAAATTACCAACTCGGCAACCAAGGTTACTCTACGCCTGCACTTTGTAAGTACATATTTGTGATATAGCTCTCGATAGTATCACGTCAATTTTTGTCTCTGGTCCGTTCAGTGTAAACAGCTAGACCAGTCGAGTCGAGCCATTCATTGGGGCCGCACCTTGCTTGCCGTTTGTGTTGATATGATCCACCCTCGGTTTCTCCGTGGTCGATGGTGGTGGGCAGCGAAAACACCCGGTACCGTATATCAATATATGCGGTGAACGTGAATTCGAAGCGGAAACTTCGTCGACGAACAGGCATTGTGGACAGCCCCCAGCCCTGCGTCGATGAAAGGTAACAATGTGATTCGAGCCGACGATTTCTAAAACAACAGTGCATAAATGATATCGTGTATCATATTCATCGATAGGGCATATGACTGATGATGCCAACAACAAAAACACCGTATAAGTACCACTACTATAGTAAGTGGATCCTGCAGAGTCCAGACGTGTCAAACCTCAACAAGCCCTCTCACTACTGGGCACGATGTTCAAGACCTACCGCAAGATGTGGTGGGTGTACGATCGCATCAGTACTCGTCTAAGATACAACAGATCTCCAAGATCTACAGCCATATCGTCTCAAGCTGCCCCTCGAGTTCCCGCTTCGTCTCGATAATCAACACATCTCTCGTGAGTACTCTTTTCCAGCTCAGGCGCCTGATATTCACGGATGAATCGAGCTGAAGCAGTAAACAGACATAATGCCGGTGTGCCTGCATCCTCCCCTGGTGAGTGTATACGCGTCCGTCGAGGGCCTGGTAATTCAATACGCCAATTGCCCATTGCGGACCTATTGCCCATTGGGGTGTGTACTTCCGCTTCCATATATCACCTGCCTTATTTTCGAAGCAGGTCGCAATGGTATCGTAAAAAGAGTCGTCCGTTGGGGAGATGGTCAAAGTATCGGAATCCTCCGGTGGTGTCTTCAACGGAATGATAAGCGTCTCCACTTGCAACCCCCTCTTCGTCATCTCAAAAGACTGGTCACCACGCCAGTGTGATTCTCCGACATCAGTCTCTAGCTCTGGGGCCATCGTTGGATCATATGCAGTGTAGCACTGAGGGACATCCGGGATGGCCTCGTTGTGTGGACATGACGGTCCCGCCCAAGCTAGGATATCCCATCCGTGACATCTATGGAAGATCGTCTCCATCAACCTGTAGAATGCCCACTTTCCTTCGCCATATGCCACGCTCATGCTAAGGTCGAACAGACCGATGAGGGAATAAGCGGTGTCCTCGATCCTCGTCGTCTTTCGAGTCGATGCCCACGCCATCTTTTCGTGCACGCGGGTAAATCCGGGCGTGAACCTCTGCAGATCATCGGAGGGGATCTTCGTAATCTGGGAGATGTGGTCGACGAGTTTAACATCGTCCTTGTCGTTGCACGAATTACTGATGGGTTCCCAATTTTTCTGATAGAACTTCAGCGTGTGTGGAGCGAGAAGCTCCTGGAGGGTCCATCCCCTCTTGAACCACTCGTCCATGCCGAAGTCGAACGGCGTCGACGACTGATGGAGGTAGGCAATACAGATATGCGCGTTACGGTACCATTTGAACATTGCGCGGATAGCTTCCTCCAGTTCTGAACTATCCCTCTTATTGATGCAACACGTGTCCGACCATGCAAGCCGACAACCATGTGCAAACGCCTTCTCGCAGAATTTCTCAAGCTTCATGAATCCTTCCCCCGACCTTTGACCCCGCGGTAACCTCATGATATCCCTGAATGTCGGTTCGCCTGTGCGGAACCAGCGATGGGAAAAGATAGCGTATTTCATTGAATCTTTGACAAGGCTGCGGACCGCCGTTTCCCTTGTCACCGTTCCTTTTTCGCTGCACTGTAAGTCAAGCTGGTCTAGGCGATGTTTGATCTCAGCCTCAGAAAACTGCTGGAAATAGTCTGCTTGCAGCTCGTTTCGGCTCATTAGTCGGAGTGGCCGCCCGTAATCATCCAGCTGTAATATGTGGGTAGGCATCTCGTTGAAGACGTATTCTTCGAATATGTCTTTTATGCTTTTGCCCTGGTTGGCACAAATGTCAGATGCTAACGCCTAGTACTTGGCTAGAAATTCGTCACCTGTTCAGAGACGCTCAGCTCTTGGCCGTCTAGTCGTGGACAGTGAGAGGTTGACAGCCGCCTCGTCAAATTATCGAGAAATCGCAGACGAGCAGGTCTGGCTGAATTTTCAGTACTGCACGCGGTGTTTCGACTACGAATGAAGTCACCTAACAGGAGCCTTGTGAGGCAGACATAAGCCTGAGTTCATGATGATCGATGGCATGATCGAGCGTTTTTCCCGATTGCCAGATCCAGCCAAGGATGATCGTCCACACGACGCGACACCAGCGCAAACATCATGATTCTGAATATCTCTGCAACATCGCCGTCTGTAAAAACACTTGAGATGGTCGTTAATCAAGGTTAGACGCACGTGCTGGTGGTGGAGAGGTAAGCTACCCGCGGACGATGGTGTGCTAAATCTACGACGCCATGCGGTGCAAACGAACGGTTTGGTATTCCAAGTATGCGCAGTCCCTTCATAATACCAAGGTGCGAGGAGGTGCTTGAGCATAAAACTGACGCCGGGCTCGAAGCCACTTGTCTCCTCAGACCTAAGCATGCGCGGGAGAAGGAAGTCATTGATCGGCTACCCTTAGTAGAACAAGCGTGAGCAGGTCTAGACAGACCGTAGACAAAGGAAGACAATCTGAGTCGTTCCTTCTTTGCTGAGTGGTAATTCTGGAAGTTGGAACACTGCCTAGTAGTACTTGCGGCACGGTAGCCGATCCCTGAACTAGGGCGTACGCCACTAAAGCTTGAAGTTTGAAGTTTATGTAAAGGGCACTGCCTGTACGTTATCCTAAACCCTGTCCTGTTTATGCAACTTGCCAGGGCAAGAGAAGAATGTAAGTCCATTTGTCGTATCCATGGAACCGTATCTCGACGACTCTCATCCCTGAGTCATCGCTCCCAAGGAACTTTTGATAAATAGAAAGATGGTAGTACACCAGATGATGAATGTGCGTATATAGCAGTGGTACAAATGGCCAAGCATATCAGGAAGCATTTGTGAGGTTTGTACATGATAAAGCAGTGTCAATGCAATCCCGAAACGATTGTAAGTAGTCGCTGACCAGAGCGAGCTTAGCGATCAGAACAGGACTACGAACTTCAATGGCAGGTATCAGATACTGATACTGTAGCAGCGCGCCGACGCTCAAGAGGATCGCTCAGGCTCAGACATCATATCCCAATCACTTCCACTAGCATCTGGACCAGAGTCAGTCGCATCAGACCAGGACTCGGACTCAGAACTCCCGCTGTCATTGCTCCCAGCCCTACTGATCAAAGGGCGCCGAGTCCACGATAGCTGACTGCTCGAGGAACTTGCACCTGAGATGGGGATTCTGTTTAGCCCTCGCATGGAAGGCGCTACATCACCCTCGTCCTCAGATTCAAATTCAGAGTCGCTTGAAATGACTGAAGGTGAACGGGACGGGACAGGGATTGGTGTCGAGGGAATCGAAAAATTGTACGGGGAAGGGGATGACTGCCGAGATGCGGCGTCTATGTCTTCTAATGGGCTCCATCTCGGGCTTTCCCTGAAACTAAGATATTGAAGCATATCTTGGGAGATATCAGCAGCGCCAGGGAGTTGGCGCGCGTGATGGCGGCATTGAACCATAGGAAGAGCTTTGGCAGGAGGATGACGACTCTGCGTCTGAAGAGAAGGCGCTGAACATATAGTCGAGCTGGTTTGGAGTTTCCCCACGGCGTAGGGTTTGTGTGCTCGACACCTTCCTAATCCTGCTATGCTTCTCATCCCATTTCACCATCTCCTCCCTCTCCCGCGCATGTCGCGCGAGTAATTCATCCCACAAAGTCGGTGCTGGGCCCGTAATCCTCAACGTGTCTCTAAGCGCCCACTCTGTATCAAGCATCGCCAGGTATGTCACATCTTTCCAGACACCAACCACACCCCCACCCTCCGGCTTGAAGACTGAACGCCGCCGAGTGCCTTCGTGTGTGAAACCTTGCCCCACAAAAAGCCTCATTGCGCGATCTTTCTGGGCGCCATCCATAAACGCTGCTTGAACGCGATGGAACTTGAGCTCTTCAAATGCCCACCGCAACACAAGCTCTACGGCTTCACGACCAAAGCCCTTGCGTCGATGGTAATCAGTGATGATAATCCCAGCACTCGCTTCTTGTGCTGCAGACTGCGCAGGGGCAGCGGTGACGTAAACGAGACCAATTGGATCCTCTTCATAGGAAACTTCTTGCTCCAAAGCGGTGAGGTCGAGAAGTGCTTGTTCGTCGTACATCTTCATCATCACAACGGCGCAAAGCAAGCATTCCTCTGAGAAATTGGGCAGGTATGGGACGGGCGCTAGCATTGGTTCCACTGCGTTCTCCGTGAGTTCGTTCCATAAAGCTTCGACCTTTGGATTTTGATAGTGGTTGAAGTTTAGAGGCGAGAGAGCTAGATTTTGGGACTGTGTGATCATGGCAGGCGATGGACTGCGATGGAACTGGGCGTGGAGCTGGTGCGGCTGTTACCTGTGTTAAAGATATATATGATATTGGTTTCAAAGGCGCTAACTCTGTAAACGCCCACAGCAATCAGCGAGAACGTAACACAGACCAGCACAGACTTACACTGCTATATTTGGTGGGCGATGAGGGTGATAACTCTACTTTGGTATTCGGACTTGGGGGTAGTGAAGCTTGTGAAGTATTGAGGGACGTTTCGACGAAGTCTATAGAAGCTGACAGGGGTTTGTTCTCACGACGACCAAGGACATGAGGACATGATGCATATAGACTTGAAACAGTTTCTGGACGGAACATTCATTGCACGTGATACGGCGGTGCAGTGTGAAATTCACCTTCAAGCTCCAATTAAGCTCTAGTATCAAGTGCGGCGTGCACACAAGTGCGATAAGTAAGACGCGCGTTATCTAATAATACAGAGCGTATCAGGTTGCCAGGGCCCCGAAAGGTAGATCTATATCCCTCCGAAGGGCACGACAGGTGCTGCCAACTCCATGAAATCGAGCGTGAGCGGGATGTCCATGATCCACCTCGTGATCATATCCTGCGTGGTGTGAGTGAAATGTCCACAGAATTTGGCTCTTACTACTCACCAAGGCAGCTTCAGGTTGGTCGTAAGGAACCATGTGCCTGACAAGGTAAGAGGTAAATTATCGAGACGCCAAGTGAAAAATATGTATGGGTTTACTGACCCAGCGTCATGGACAGTAACGAAGGTAACGTTTCCAGCGCCAGAACCGCGAGCACCGGCAGACCTGACAGTGCCGGCTACTTTTCCAGAACGCATCGTTACCCACTGTTCTGTCTCAGCCGTAGAGAACTCATCCAGGAAGATGGAATCAAGTTGCTCGACCCAACGTTCGTTGCCCTGATATATGCGTTAGATGACAACCACAAACCTGAGTCATGACCTACAATGTAGTTGCACATCATATCTAAGAATACCATCAGGAATGCGTTGTCACATTAAAAATATTGACTCACCGGCGTTACCAGCGTAGACAAGCAGCCTGACGCCATCATTGATCATCTCCGTCATTAACAGGGGCGTATTGTGCATTGAATCACCCTGAAGCATGAACGCCTGGTTGACAGCCATGTTACAGGATTCAAAATTGCGCTGCGGGTTCACACCAAGAGCAGCTTTAACCTCAGGATCATTCAGATAAGTCTCGATCCAACCCATCTGACGGTAGCATAGCGGGCCGTCTTCTTGAGGATCGCATTTGACACGTGCGTCGTAAGGGTTGAGACCGGATTCTGAAGGGCGAGTTCAGGTGTGATTAAATCTCGTAATGGTGGCACATACGTTGAATAGGACCGTAAAGCTGAGAGTTGCAATACAACGCAGCAGGTACGCAGGTTAAGCGAGAGTTGAAATCGTGACAAGCTTTGATCAGCCTCTGGCAGGTCGGCACCTTGCTCTTCAAGGCAGCGCATTGTGCACCATTGGGATCATCATAGATCGGGTATGGTCCTTCGCAAAGGTAGTCAGGTATCGACGCCATCTGTATGTAATTATCGGTCATTCCATTGCCCAATATAACAGAAGCAAGGTTGATCTTGACAAGTCCGGGAACGGGCAAAGGAGGTAACTGCTTATTCTCGGTATAGATGACGTTCGCAATGTTCGGAGCATACGTGCCGCCGTAGCTTTCTGCAGCGATGTGGAAAGGTTGAGTAGAGTATTCGGGGAAGCGGCTGAGGAAGAGTTCCATGAAGGCGTAAACATCTTTGCCAGCAACAGGGCTTGTGTTGACGGTGCTACCATCTTCAGAGTATGAATATCCAACGTTGATGGGTTGGTCAAGGAAGATCATGTTGGCGTGGGCATTCCAGCTATAGGGGTTGTGCGTCGTGTTGGCACCTTCGCCGGAGATGCTGCAAGGACCAAGCTCGAACAAAAGACCAGTAGACGAGCTGCATCCCGGACCACCGTTGAGCCACATGACGAGGGGTGCATCCTCGGGAGAGGTGCGTGACTCAAAGAACCTAACTCACGGATGAGCCTGAAACGACGGGAAGAAGTAGACGGCATCCCGTACCAGAAGAACAAATGTTTGTCGTCGGTGATATCAAGGTAACCGGAGTACTGTTTCACAGAGGGGTCACACAACTTGGGCTCTGTGATCCTGAGCTTGTAGTCACTGAAATGAGGGTGTTGAACCAGCTCATCTACGACATATGTTTCAGTCAGAGCAAACCGGATCAAGCATACCAACTTACAGGTTAAGCCATGCTGCTCGATGAACTGCTTCCTATCTTCAAACCATTGATGTACTTTCTCCTTGCCCTTGTCGATGATACCTTCCACAGCATCCTGCACGGGGAATACCCCACTCTGGAAATGGACATTCCCACCAAGAACGACTTGTGCCTCGTCAGCTGGCGCTGCAAGAACGGCTGGTAAAAGGGCCAAAGACAAGAGACTGAAGACCTTCTTCATGATGAAGGAACTCAAGTTGTGGGACTGCAGTTACGAACGAAGCCGCGTGCTACACGTACGTTACTGCGGACAGGCTTATTTGGCGATTGACAAACAACCGTGGTATCAGACCAACCTCCGCCGCAACTTTTTCTGCTCCCATGAGCTGCCACTGTCTGCCAATGCGTGCGATCTTAGTAACTAGAGGCTAGGCCTTTGAGATGTCCGCCGGATAAATAGTTGTAAACTTGTGGTCCGCTGTAGCTGGGGATTCCGACGGTAGTTTATCCGTACCGTAATGAGGCTATAAGCTTGTCCTGGCAGTGCAGAACAAAAGCTTGGCCCATCAGAAAGGTCCAGATTCTACCCTGTCTTTCTATGACATGCTGTGAAAGTTCAATCAACTACTGCGAATCGGAGGGGGACGCGTCTTTAATTCAGCAGAAGATCGGATCACCGTGGGCTGCTTCAGGAGCGCAATACATCCCATTTGAGTCCATGCCACAAAGTCTAGGTGTATTTTGAATGTATTCGTAGTTATCAGTCCAATTCACAATAAACGCCCACAATGGATGTACGATAATGATAATACTTATGAACAGCTACACGTATGCATAACGAGCGAGCGGGTGTACAGCGTCCTGCACTAATATTCCCCGCACTATCACCCAGAAGAAAGAGAGAACTACAGGCTGCACAGTAGCGAGTAGGACGGCGCGAATCTAAAAGTGTCCATGAGGTATAAGTGCATTTGCGACAGATAAAGCCGAGGGTAACGACGGCTGATGATACAACATGGATTGCCACGTGGATAGGTGGGCGGCGGGTGTCGCAAGAGTTCCGTGCAAGGTGTCTGGCGTTCAGTCAGGTCTTGACGAGCAAGAATACGCGAAGGGTAGTCGGATATCATGTTACGAGTGCGCTTCTTTTCAGATTATCGCGAACGAGGACGTCTTGCACTGGTAATAAGAGTGAGTCAGCTTTACGCGAAGAAGCAGAGATGTGTACACACCGTTCTCGAGGATGTATGTCGTCGCTTTTGTGTCCTGCAAGATAAGGTTATCAAGAGCGCTAGTTGACATTGCCGAAGATCTTACAGTTACAGATGTAAGATGAAAGTAATACACTCGCTCAGGAGAATGCTCTCTTAACAGAGCAGCGAATTTCTTCTTGAGATCTGACAGGACAACACGTCAGAATCAACTTGACAGCATAGGACATGAACTTACATTGGCTAGCGCTTTCAAAGTCATTCGGTCGGCTCCCGTAGCTGACGATGTAATCCGCCAATCGAATACCTGACGCGAGCTTCGCACGAAGGATGTCGCATTTATTTAAGAAAAGGATCATTTCTGTCTTCTTCAACAGCGGGTTAGACACGATGGCCTTCCAGAGTAGGAAAGAATCGGCCTGCCACGACGTATGAGCGAAAAACAGGTGGAATAGATAAGGCGTACCAATCTATTTACGGAAGGGTCTTCTTGGAGAACTTGGTCAAAGCAGCTTATGGGTGCCAGGAAGATGATGGCATTCATATCATCAAAGTATGGAACCCATGCGGCTCGCTACGAAAAAGGCAGTTAAGCCGCGGCCTCGTGGACGTGACACTGTGCTGGTACTCACCAATGACCTCTGGCCGCCAACATCGAACACGCGCCAGTCATGACTCATGGGTGATCCCAATGGACCTATTCGATATTTGGTCAAGAATGCACTAGACGTGTGACATGATGAGGCAAACCTGTTTTCATAGTAAAACGATGCTCTGAGACCCCCAGTGTCTTTAGCCGCGCACGCAGAACATCATCTGCGTTTCAAGGTTAATTACGTGCTATTGAGAACGATTTGAGCTTACCATCCGTGGGTATGTACCGCGGTGAAGTCACGCGATCCAGCGCATCAAGGAAGCTGAAAAGGCATGAGGGGGAGATATGAAAGGATGATTGAAAGACGTACAAACCAGCCATCTCTTCGGGCCTCATTTTCTCGACCTCCATTAATTTCTTAACAATAGGATCTGCCCAAAGGCGTTTCATGTCGTCTGCACAAGCGTTTAGAACGACGCCAGGATCGTCGGGGTCGGACCAGTCGACTAGATTTTCACTGTCACAACTATCACGACCTATTAGACGATTGAAGGTGCTCTTCCAGCCTGTAGAAGAGTTGACGCTGATTTCCTGTTGAAGAGGGAGGGATTGGGTAGGATTAGCTAATCTGGAGAGCTGGACGTGGCCATGGGGAAGAAGCTTCTTCATTAAAGCGGCCTCGACTTGTAGTAATGGGGCTAGGCGCATCTTAAGCTTCAAGTGTTCTGGGTTAAGTGGGGGATATTCTTTGGTGGGTGTATTGGGTCTTGTCATGTGATTTGATGAAGTGGAAGGGCTGTGTGCTGATGAATGTGCCTTGGACATTAGGTCCAAAATGGCGTGGATCGACTGAACGACATTGAGTTGAATTACGGCTCTCCATGAAGCACGCTCTGAGCGAAAGGCCTAAAGAGAATAAGGTAGTCAGTATTGAGATAACCCGTTGGAGGATGGAGCGGAAGGCGAACTTTAGGAGAGTTCATGAGTTGAAAGTCTGCAATGTAGCCAAATGAAGGTAAATTGCTGTCTGACCATAAATAGAACTTGGGCTTACTTTTCAGTGTGGTCGATTTGCCTGCAAGCTACCAGGTGAGCTAAAAGCTAGTAGAGAGCAAACATGGTACTCACCAGATTCGCTCTGACCTGGCAGGGAATGTTTAGTTGTATGTCTTGAATACAAGTGATTCAAACGCACCTAAGAGTAGTATCTTGATCGCTTTAGGACCCTTCTTCTCTGAGATACGTTGCCTATTGAGTTCCTCATCAATGGCATCGGAAACACGCTTTGCTTCTTGCTCCGTTGCAAGTCGGTGCTCCCGTTCTGCAGGTGTTTCGTATAGAGGCGGTGCAATTGCGCGAGCGAGGGGGTCGTCATCCGATACTCTTTGGCGTTTGGAGCTTGGCATTGTGGTTGAGGAAGGAGATAGCAGAAAATTGATTGTCGAGTAAAGGCGGTAAATATAAGAAGACGAGAAGAAGAAGGAGTTAATGGTACAAATTGGCTAGGTAGCAGCGTGGCGGTTGAGATGGAAAGGAAAGTGTAAGACTGACGTGATATTTGACGAAAGTAGTCACACTAAAAGGTACGTAGGTGCTACGGTATTAGGATCGGCGGTTGTCCTGAGAGTAACCCTCGAGCCATGCTCCGGGGCCATGGACTTGTGACTTGTACCTGTCGCCGAAAACTTGCCATTTATTATCTTCAACTCAGACAAGCTTCTTACTTCCTTTCGACACTCTTTTGTGCCTCAAGACTACACGCACTTCCGTTTTCATCTTCAGCGTCTATACTTTACTACAACCAATCCCATGAACTACTTTTATTTATTACTCACCCATTGACGACCGTGTGTCTTCAGGTCTAGACGCTCTAGCTCTAGCATATGCGTCGCCACAGATCCTATCAAAGAAGATGATGTGATATGACTCTAGGTACCCAGCAGCACAGGATCCGCGCTCGACCGATCAGGCAAAATATTATTTCCCATTTGAGGAGCAGCGGCATCCTATTATTTTCCTGATTCCGATCCCGCGATCCTGTTTTTCGATCTGCCTCCGTTCAGTCAAGCTGTGCTACTGCCACATCTCGCTCCTCTCCGATGGGATCATATGTGGGGTCATCATCTTTTGCTGGCACTCATTTACCTTGGAAAGGCAGATAGAGTCAGATAACCTCCATCCACCGGAGTCGCTTCCGGTCAATCTCATATATCCTCTTCCGCTGTCAACGGTTACTTGTTTAGGTCCTCCATACAAGAATACAACTTGTAATGTCTCATCATGGATCCGTTACTCCGCCCTTCCAAGTAATCTTATGGTCACTTGACTCGACAATGGTAATATCAATCAACCCGAAGACAGACATGCATGACGACGGAGATCGCATGCCAATCACAGAATTCCGGAGAAAAGCCCACTCGTCCAACTCATTTGCCTAATCGATCAACCTTGCATCCCATTTAGAGTGACGGAATGTCCCAACCCTTGAACCACTACAGAAGCGGCCGTAGTGAGCCTCGTTGTCAAGTCTCGAGTCACTTGTTAAGCCTTGCTCTGTGTGCGAACAACGTCAACTGCCGTGGATGCCGGGCGCTTTTCAACTTCAACACCCGCAGACTTCCGCAAAGCCGTTCAATTTTCTTTCATTAGTACAGATCTGCGGCAACCATTCTCCTTCATTTGCAGAACCGGATAGCCTCGTGTTCGGGTCGAGTTACTTGCCGAGACTTGCTCCAGACGCCAACTCCCGTGTCCGCCGAGCGTCGTTAGGAAAACTTTTACCTTCAACGGCCGCAGACTCCCGCAGAGCCGTTCAATTTTCTTTCATTAATACAGATCTGCGGCACCCGTTCTCCTTCGTCTGCCGTACTACGACGCGTTTGATCGTCGACCCAGTACGATCATCGATGGAACCCTATGGAAGGAATCCTTCACCGAGGCGCCCATCTGCGGCCTTCGGAGAGTAACACTACTTTCACGACAGTCGGACAGCGAATATCGCCCATAAATTCGTTCTTGATCCCTCTGGATAGGGGGTGGAGGAATCGATGTTCTTCTTTTTCACCTCTTTCGTCGACAAATCGCGAGTGACAACTTGTGAAGCTTCAGGTTGGCAGCGGGGCAATCATCGGCATGCATCAGGAATCGCGTTTGCAAAGAATGGACGTATTTCGACGATTCTAAATCCTTCTGCCCCTCCGTCCAACGTCTGAAGGTCTGACGTACGCGTCCCGTGGCGAGCTATTCACGTCTTTGGTACCTATTAGTACGTCAGCAGGCCGCATCCCCTTTCAAGTAGCCGCGGTCCCTGCCGCCGGAGATAATATTTCCTCTCAGCAGACTACCGAATCGCATCGCTACCGAGGTCTCAAAATCCGTAGCCCAAACTAAGCTCCGACCGCTGCTATGCTGGCTCTTCCCTACATAAACCTGACACATTCCCGTTCGGTCGCCGTCATTTAACTTGTCACCCCACTATCCATCCTTCCCGGTTGGTCGCCTCTCCTTGAGCTTGCCTCACCACCTCCGATATCCCGGGTTATCCAGGCCTGCAAGCTCTCCGTGCTTCCCTCCATTGTCGTTGATTTCCGGCGGTACTGGAACTTTGCGAATTGTACCCGCGAAAGATAAGGCTAATATTTAAACTACAGGGATGGCAGTGGTCGATAAACTACCCCACTTGAAATCTGATCTAGACAAGAGTGCAATGCGGAGCTTCCTATTTGCCAGCCACCTCCACTGCCCTCATTTGATACCCTTGCCCTTGATAAGTATCGAACGAGGACATAGGCCAATGTCAGTCATGATTCCGCCGCAGGGCCGTGCTCGTTGATTAATCACCTGCAGGAGAATGTCAAGCTGGGTTTCAAGCCATGAAATGGGCGATACCCCGCAACTTAGATATCTGAATAGAAGAATGTCAATCTAGGCAAAAGCGATGTGCGGGCTCTCGCTCTTTGGCCTGTTTTCGGCCTAATTACGTTTCCGTTCCTGTTGATGCAGATCCATCATATGTATCCAATTTGCAAATTGGGATCGTCCAGGTCTGTTCCAGTCTTGTATTGGCGCCAATGGTGAGTCGAATATGGTGGGGGTCCTGCGTATGGCGATATCGATATAACGAGACAGCGCTGGTCCTTTGAAATGTGCTAGTAGTTGGAGCATGATATAGGACGTACGAAAGTAGATACTGGTGTGACGCGATAGGGTTCACCGGTGAACCCTTCATTGATCTACAGTCGTCCGTTTGGTGTACAACGTTTAGCACCCTGCACGCTTGCAGAAATGATAGCAAAGTTCAGTCAACGTTGCGAAGTAATCCCAAGACCCACTGGCTTAGTGCTCAAGTACTGGCCGGGTGAGGCTTTATCGCTATCCTCCAATCTGCACGGCTCTTTTACTGCTGAGGGTCCTGCGTATCATGATATCGATATAACGAGAGCCCCTAGTGCTCGGTAGAAATGCTAGGTGCGACGTACGATAGTGGACATATGTTGGTTTTACGATAGGTTCACCACCTTCGCGTGATTTCGAGGCCCTCCGATGACGCATGGCCATCCGCTTGTGTGCAAAGTTCGGAGCATCAGCACTGCCCACAAAAATAATAGCAAAGTCGATATTGCGAAGCAGTCCCAACACCCACTGGCTTATTACGCTCAAGTACTGGCCCAAGCTTGTGGACCCGACTTTATTGGTGTGCACGGATCTTGTGCTGCTTAACATACTGCCGCTTTTTACATCCAGAAAGTATCACTCGTTCATGCTGCTTCTATACTTTGAACCACGATCGATCCTGTGCCGTGATGTGGGGCGAGCTGCGTATCATGCATCAGGTCACATATGTACTCCTATGTTTTCCCGAATTTAATGATTTTTAAGTGACCGCAGTGTACGCAGCCGACCCACTTTGTAGGTTTCTTGCAGTTCGATTGGGGTCGATGGTGATACGCACTGCATAAGAAACGATGGTTGAATGTCCTTCAGGCTGCTGCAGACACCTTACACGGCACCATCATCATTCGCCGCAAGTAACGATATCGTAAATGTTGCAGAAGCAGTGAGCGAGCCATCGGCGGACAAATACTGTCGCCCCCTCTTGGGAAATCTATGCATGAAACTTGCATCCTATTTGCAGGTGTTGTCTTGTATTCGACATTCTAGAAGGCGTCGATCGTGATGTTTTTATCTTGTGGAAGTAAGACAAAACATGTTTCCCCAAATTTAATGATTTCTAAGTGACCGCAGTGCACGCAACTGACTCACTTTGTGGGTTTCTTGCAGTTCGATCGGCGTCGAGGGTAATACGCACTGCATTTGTCAAGATGGCTGAATGCCCTTCAGGCTGCTGCAGACACCCTACACGTCATTCACCGCAAGTAACGACATCGCAAATGTTGCAGAAGAAGTGAGTGAGCCATTTACCAATATCGGCGGACAAATACTTTGTTATCCCGTCTTGGGAAATCTATGCATGAAGCTTGCATCCTATTCGCAGGTGTTGTCTTGTATTCGACATTCTGGAAGGCGTCGGTCGTGATGTTTTTATCATGTGGAAGTAAGACAAAACATGTACTCCTATATTTCCCCAAATTTAATGATTTCCAAGTGACCGCAGTGCACGCAACTGATTCACTTCGTGATTTTCTTGCAGTTCGATCGACGTCGAGGGTGATACGCACTGCATGAGAAACGATGGCTGAATGCCCTCCAGGCTGCCGCAGACATGCTACACGTCACCATCATCATTCACCGCAAGTAATGACATCGCAAATGTTGCCGAAGCAGTGAGCGAGCCATTTACCAATATCGGCGGACAAATACTGTCACTCTATCTCGGGAAATCTATGCATGAAACTTGCATCCAACATTCTAGAAGGCGTTAGTCGTGATGTTTTTATCCTGTGGAAGCAAGACAAATCGTCACGACTGACGTCTCCCAGTAGGAGGTTCCGGAATGTCAAGTTCGAGACCAGCGCTGACGCGTCTGACCGGATGGCGATATGCAGCCAGCAGAACATGCTAGCTGTTTTTTGCATGCTGTACTTATCCAATAGTTCTTGATGAGTCTTGACACGTACCATGTGCTAGCACTTACGAAGCACACGTGATAAGTCTGATGATTCAATGGGAGTTGACTGGAAAATCATTCAACCCCGTGTCTATCTCGGGACTCACTAGGACGACTATGTGGCTAGAAAACTGTTAGGCTGCCCCCGTTGCGTCCTAGTCTGAGCCTAGTATCTCACAAGAGAATCAGATGCCAGCGATGGGCCAAAGTGAGACTCGCTGGGGAGCTGCCCGATGGGCTTGGTATCACAATTTTTGGGTGAGTCTGTGTGAAGGTACTCACTGCAATGTTCGGTGATAGGCTGTGAAATGAATGACGTGCCATCGAGCTGCGGAAATGCAAAAAGATGGGGCAACGGACGGAGTTCACGCCGTAGGGGCGTGAACGATAATGACGTTTTGATATTTATGTAAATGGAAACATTAATTTCACCTGATTTTGATCCAATTTAGGTGTAAAGCGAATACTAAATATTTGGGCAAGTCTACCCCCAACGAGTTGCCACGCGGTGCTTCGAATGATGGCATGAAGTTCTGCAAGTATTGAACATCACTTAGCCGACCTGGTTTTCGGTCAGTTCACGCGTCGTCGAATACTCTATATATATTGGTCTGTGCATCGAAGTTGTTACAGAAAATGAGAGAAAAAACGAGAAAAATGTCGTAAACTTTTAAGGTTGATTCACGGAAATATTTTAGCGTTTACGGAATCGAATCACCCCAAAGAATTTGCGCCGAAGGAAATAAATGTTCGCTGGCATCCTCACGTTGCTCGTCTTTTTCTCCTTGACCACTTTCCATCATGTCGTCCGTCCCTCCAGCTCGCTCGACGCCTCCGTCGACGGAGATGCTTACTCCACCCATAACACCAAAGCTCAATGGTGTCGCCAACCCAAAGAAGTTCATTGATGATCCCGAGCACGTACCTGCCGACGCCAACATTCCAGATAACTACGTGTCGTATACTCTCAAGCATCAAAAGGCTCTTCCTCCAATCACCTGGGACAACTGGTACACAGAGTTGAACTGGCTGCACTTTGCTATTCTCGCTGGTACGCCTGTCGTGGGTTTCGTCGGCGCGTACAAGACCCGCCTTCAATGGGAGACTGCCGTTTGGTCAGTGGTATACTACTATATGACCGGCCTCGGTGAGCTCTCTTATGTTTACTGTCATCCTTGCAACTCGCCTTCTTACCATACTTTCAAGGTATCACTGCTGGTTATCACCGCCTGTGGGCACACCGTTCATACAACGCGTCAAAGCCTCTCCAGTACATTCTTGCCTTGTTTGGTGCAGGCGCCGTTGAAGGCTCTATCAAATGGTGGTCACGAGGTCATCGTGCTCACCATCGTTACACCGACACCGACCTTGACCCGTACAACGCACACCGCGGTCTGCTATGGTCACACATTGGTTGGATGGTGGTCAAGCCCCGTCGCAAGCCTGGCGTTGCTGATATTAGCGACTTGACAAAGAACGAGATCGTAAGGTGGCAACACAAATACTACCTGATCCTTGTTGTTGTTATGGGCATCATCTTCCCCACTGTCGTGGCTGGCCTCGGCTGGGGCGACTGGATGGGTGGCTACATATATGCTGCTCTTCTGCGCCTGTGCTTCGTTCACCATGTGCGTTTGTTCCTTGTACTTTGATAAATTATTGACCTTGCGATTCTAGTCGACGTTCTGCGTTAACTCACTCGCTCACTGGTTGGGTGAAACACCATTCGATGACAAACACAGCCCTCGCGACCACCTCGTCACTGCTCTCGTCACTATCGGTGAAGGATACCATAACTTCCACCACCAGTTCCCCATGGATTACCGTAATGCCATCAAGTGGTACCAATACGACCCTACAAAGTGGTTCATCTGGTCGTGCCAGAAGGTTGGCTTGGCAAGCCACCTGAAGGTGTGTCTGTTGCCAAGGCGTCAGGATGCACGACTCATACCGACCATTTAGTCCTTCCCTGATAATGAAGTCCGCAAGGGTCAGCTTACCATGCAGCTTAAGCGCCTGCGCGAGACCCAAGAAACGCTCTCATGGCCTTCCGACAACAGCGACTTGCCCGTCATTTCCTGGGAGAGCTGTACGTTATATCTCTGCGTGCTCGATGTCGTCTCTAATACATCACGTGTAGACCTTGAACAAGCCAAGAGTCGCCCACTTATCTGCATTGCTGGCTTCATTCATGATGTTTCGGACTTCCTTGATGACCACCCAGGAGGCCGTCACTTGTTGACGAAGAACATTGGCCGAGATGCAACGACAGCTTTCTTCGGAGGCGTTTATGACCACAGTAACGCCGCGCACAACGTAAGTCATAATCTACTAGTCGCGTGACCATGTCCTGACTGATGCTTTCTGCAGCTCCTCGCGATGAAGCGCGTCGGCGTCCTTCACGGCGGTGCACCACACGGCTTGGAAGACAAGACCATCCCCCCAAGCCAACGTCTCCGCATTGCACGATACAACGAGATTGGCGGTAGTGGCTACAGCTCCGCAGCCCACTCGGACGGCGAAGGGTCTCCTCGGTTGATCACCTTCACAACTCTAGATGCGTGTTTATTGGCAAGATAGATTTTTCAGAAGTTTATATCCATCACTCCCGACCATGATTGACATTGCATATAGTCGCTTGCAAATACCGGTTGTGTCTTAAAAAGCATGTCGACCTTTTTTCGGTTTCTCCTCATACGATACGTACACCCGCTGTCACGTCACGCCCTGTTATGTTCGCGATGGTAATACGAAGGAAGAATGTATGATATACATACTTTGGTGCATTGATTTCTTCACGGTTTGAACTGGATTGTTATTACGCTTATTTGACTTTACCTACTGTGACGTCTCGTATGCGCATCGGTTCTGCACGGATTCGTTCATACCTCTCCTGCTTCTTTTCCTGGACAGCATATCATACATTGAACTGACGGTACAAATTATCCATAGTCAGTACGTCTTTGAGAGAAAGGTGCTTTGGCAGAGTTCAGCTTGTCCATGGAGGGTTGTTACGAACATACCTAGACTGGGAGTATGCAGCATACATAAGAAAATCCAAACATCGCACAGAACCATGTCCGTGTCTTTTAAAAACAATTGAATACGCGTTACAGCCCTTGGCATAAGTCCATGAAAACGGGATGTGTGGCGTGACTCAACCTGTCTCAGTAGTACCAGACCTCCCAACATAATGCAGCTTGAGCTTGAGCTTGAGCTCGAGGATGGCAGCATTCTCCTACCTCAAAACCAAGCCCAATGTGACCTATATCATCGAGGGTGACTGGTACCAGTACAATGGTGTCTCGTATTAAAAGTTATCAAAAAAATTCATTTACATGGACTTGTGCACGAGGACAACAGACTCGATTTGCATGAGTCGTTTTATAGCTGGTCCATCTTCGACAAAGTTGCGCATCTAAAACGGCCGGCGGGCACACTTCATGTACACTGGGGCATTTGCGAACTTAACTATATAGGACTAGATAAAATTGTCTGACATAGAATCACCGATTACCCTAATGGACATGAATTGGATCTCAAAAAAACAATTAAAGAGGAGGTTCTCGCACCATGACTGAGTGTATGCACACGGTATCGGCCCGGTTGGGCTAAACCCCGAGCTCCATAGATGGGTGTGGTAGCTCTCCACTGGACTGGACTCAACTCCTTGAGGAAAAATGACAGTGTATTTTCGAGCATCAGGCTATCCCAACGGCTGAAGAGTGATAAATTTGACTGAACCGCAAAAATGCGTGTACCGATGAGTCAAATTTAAACACATCTCTCCGCCGCCGGCCTAACAATTCAAACCGCTCGATGAGCGGAGTTTTTATGCAGCCGAATGCGTAGCGTCGTTTAAATTATACGTGGGTCCTCTCCTGTCCTCTCCGGCGGGAGCGCTCGCTTAGCGCTCAGGAAGCTTCAAATGCTTTTAAATGGTGAACGTAAATGGAGAAATGGAGGCCTCTCTCCGATCCGGGCCTGTCGTGCACAACACCAGAAAAGCGTACTATGAATGGAATAGCTCAGCATGCAGCAGGCACAATCAAACAACAAATTTATACACATTTTTGGTCTTCCGACGGCACTACTAGCTGTTTGCACTCGAGTCTGGATGTCGCCAGAACAATAATTTACGCCGCACCGCCGGGAGGTGACCTGGAGAAACGGTGAGCTAGGCTGCTTTCGTCGGAGTGGGCAGAAACCAACCAAACACTATCGACGGGCCCCATCCCACAAGTACTAGCGCCACATGCTGGGTCCCAAAAGGAGTTGGCTTTGGGCGATCCATTGCTACGTCAATGATGGTCGAGAGCGCAGCCAGAAATTGTGTAATAAAGAACGCCCTAACGGCTCACATTAGCACCTTTCCGAGTATACCGACCTAGTCTTTGAAGCAAGTACATTTGGAAGAGAATGAGCCTCCATATTGCAGGTGCAAGACTCTGTCTCGGTTGTGTATAACGGCCAGTGACTCGAGGAAGGTCAACACGTACTCGAGGGTACCATGTACTGTCGGAATGACTCACCCGATATTGGAAGACTAGTTGTACATTCTTCAATGGGAGCAGTGCTCACTCGTTCGTCATGTATCTGAGATTGATCCCATCGCGGTGTCTCGGAAGACCGCTTTGGCGAAGGCAGCGAGGATAGCGAGGAGGGAAGAATTTCAGACCGCGGAGAATAGGCATGGTACGAAGTTGCCGCGGCACCGCTCGTTTCGCCAACATGAGGTATATATTTCCTTGGCATCGCCACGACGTCTTGATTCTGGTCGTCTGCGAGATTGTCTCCGAATTCCGCGGACTTTGGACTCACGTCAAGCGTAAGTGACGAAGGGGGGTTTGTAGGTTGAATGGTGTTGGCCGCCTGTTCAGCAGACGGCGAACGCGGTTGTGAAACTGAGACCCTGAAAAGCTCTTGACGCATTATGTGTGCCTTGAATACATGGTGAGCTGCTGTTGCAGACAGGAAGAAACATGGAATGGTGAGGATCATGGATATGCCCGCGTAACCCAAGAATCGTCCCCTACGTATGTGTCGTGTGAGCCTCAGCGCGGTGTTTGCGATGCAAGTTACACACCATATGGGATGACTACAATCACAGTGTAGATCATCTGTGGGTTGAATTGCGTGAAGGGATAGTAGGACGGGGACGGCGACGGCAAGTGAACCGAACGGAAACACGATGATAGGCAAGAGATATTGGTTTCGCCATACCAATGTCCTGCTCACATGTAAGTAGTCAAAAAGAAAGTTGGTGCGGTACTTGTGCAAACCACGCACGATGAAGCGGTTGTTACCACAGAAGTTGGCCACACAACAGCGCTTGTCGTCGCCATCGTGAACGCTGCACATACTCCAGTCAGGGAGAGAGCTGCGTAGTATATGACGAAGGTCTGAGCTACGCAGGATATTAGGGCAATAGAACAACATATTCGTGCATTCTAGAAGCTTGCCTTTGCAAAATAGCGGTGGCATATCAAAGGGGTTCATGTTATATATCATTCCTGCAAGGAGTCAGGACTCAGCAAAGCCCTTCTCTCACCAGTTCACAAGAACACATACGCACCCAAGCAAAAAGTTCCTTGGAGCATCGTCGCAAAGACGCAGTACAGCATTGGACCCCAATAGCTCCCAATTGCGCGAGCGAACACTGTTAGGACTATCCAACATGCAGGGATGCCTGCACAACTGCGGCGTCAATCCAATAATTGCTCAAGTCGACGCCTGAATCTGCTTACCAGAGAATGACAGCGCAAACCATACGGCCTTCAGCGCGAATGGTAGCATAGGGGAAGAGTCAAACTTCAAGCTTCAATTTGCTATCGTACCAAGGGATTTACACAAAGTTTGTGTGGATCTGTGTCGAACAGATAGACTCAGTCGTTGTAGTACGCGCAAGGCAGATGTCTCGGATATATTTACCTATGCCGAACAGATGGAAGAGCGTAGCGTAAGTGTATATAAATATAAAGCGAGTACATCAATAGCTCACCTCAGTCGTTTTGCGCGCAAGGCAAATGTCTCAGGTAAAAGCTTGTATCTGCTAAACTTAAGTAAAGGAATGCGGGTGATCTTGTAGGAAAAGGCAAAAAAAGGTTCAGTACTCAGTACTCAGTAGTCACAATGACATAGCAGGAAAGTATCATAAGAGCGCACGATGTAAGGTAGAATATGACACAATGATAGAAAGTGCGCACCTTGTCCTGTCAACGGACTCGGTGCGTTGCTCCGGCTCCTACTACTAGTCCCAACATGTGCCGGGTTGAGATTCATGACCCTCAGGCGAGTCAGCCTAGTATTGTTATATCGTCCGGATATAATTCGCTTCTCCCGTCTTTTCTCACTGTCAAATCCGAAACCGCTTCAGCGTGTGCAGTGGGAGTGATTGTATCAAACACACTTTGACGAGAAACCACAAGGTTAGATCTAGTTAACATAAGAAGTTGAAACCACTGCGCATGTCACCATTCTTGCCGCGTGACTAGCCTCTACGCCAGCAACTCATTTCAGGGCAACCGACGTCACAACGAAGGAAAGTCCGATAAGGAACACATGAAAAACCGCATAATATTAGCATGCAGACACGGACTCCGACTGTCAAGTAGAGTCACTTGGCGAGGGGGAAGTGGCAATGAAAACTAGTCCAGGCCGTTCAGATCTACTAAGAGTGAGGCGGCCCCCACGATCTGACATATTATATGCTGTCGCACGATCAGCTTATCTTTCGGCAGCTTGGCCAACTTCAGCGCCACCAGCGAGGCTAGCTACAACAGTCTCCACCCCTGACGAAGGTTCGTCCATTTGGGCAGTTTCCACTTGTGTATCATCCGCTTCATCTCGGCACCATTCTATTTTCACCTCCACGTCTACTATATCATTTCCCAAGCCGATCGGGAAATCGAGCTCATCTCGAGCCAGTATGAACGATGAGAATGGCATCTCAGGAACGATATGGAAGGCTGGGATGAACCACGTCCAAGCCATAAGCACCTGCCAAGGCTGAGCATAAGGAATGACATGGAAACAATAGGCACACACCTGACTCATGTAGAATTTGATCCGCAATTCTCGGTCAGCATCAACTATTATTCCGTCGCGGCCGCCCTTTGGGTTTGCCGCTTCCTGGGATATGGAATCGATAGAAGTCGTGTTCGAATTAATCGAAGCCTCTGAGCTGTGAATTTTCTCCTGTTGAGGTGGTGCTTCGCGAATGTTGATCCAACGTTCCTCAGTCAGAGGACGGAGAACGTAGCTGTAGACCTTGACGCTCTGTCACTTTTCAAACATTCCGAATGGTCTGACCACAAAGTTGACGAACCTCGTCTATGTCGTTCATTTCAGGTCCTAGCTTTCCAGCATCTTCCATCCGAGCGAAAGTGTGCACCATTTTTTCTTTGTCCCATTTGTCGCTGGCAAAGATTTCATCGGCTGATTCAGGGGACTCAGAGTCAAATGACCGCTTTCGCCTTCCCAAGTTAGTGACGTCCCGAGTACGTTGCTCCCAACGCTCTAGAGCATCAACAAAGACGTCGTCGTAACGTGCTAGCGACGCCCACACACGGTTATCGCCATGATCCATTAGCAAGCTGGCTGCACGAACGAGACCCGTTTTAATTATAGATAGCTCACGCAGTCGAAGGGAAATTTCGGTGACGCGCACTTTCCTCCGGGGAATCGATGATGAGTTGGAGGTATGAACCATGCCCGATTCAACATCTGGCAGTCTCCAAATTCCGGGTGGACCCTGACCAGCAAGAAGTTGCGACCAGTATAAAAGCCAGCGCCTCTGACTAGGAATACTAACGCCTGCCTTCGCCTTCCTCGGCCGCGCACTTGATTGTTTCGTTGCAATGGATAAAGCTTTCATGCGGCGCGAGGTGTGGAAGTCTAATACCTGTTGCAATGTAGGCGCGGAGGGCTTGGAGGGCATACTTTGGCTTTCGTCTGGCGGAAACGCTTCGCCCACAATAGATGGTGTAGAGCACTTGGCTGCTTCGCCTGGTGCTTCGAGGGCCGCATCATTAGGGATTACTTGCATGCAGTCATCAACGCGGACGGTTATCCAGTCGTCTACGTTTTCCAGAGGAGATGTAGGAGAAAAGGTTTCGGTTGAGAGGAGGTAAGCACAGGCCAGCGTGCCCGACCTTCCCTTACCGGCTGCATGAGACTGGTGTTAATGAGTGTGCGGAGTGGATGGAGGGGAACACGCACCTTTACAGTGCAAGACAGCTACTTTGTCTTTTGAACTTGTTAACCAAGCATCTATCTCCCTGGAAACTAAAGGGAGAACCGCAAAGGGAGGCACACTGGATCCAGTAATTAGCGATTGCGAGCCGATAATGTACGGTTGTTCCTTACTGATGATCTGGAAAGGGATAGCGACTCACCCGTCCTCCAAAAACGCTCTTGTCATAAAAGTTCTCCCTCACTGGGCAGAAGTTAAATACCCAAAAGTCGCTACCATGTCGAGCAGTAAGAAAACGCTGAGCATCCTCGCGACGGTTTCGGTAGAGGCCCTCAAGGCCAGTAGCAGGATAGCCCATAACAATGACCTGATCGGTTACATATACAAGATCTAGAAGAATACGGCGAATGTGTCACGGCAAGCTCGATAATTCGTAAAGCATACAGCACACCTAGCTCAAGATCAAGATTCGGATCTCTAAACCGAGCTTTACCACCAGAAACAAGACGCCGCACAATTTCAGTCATAAGGTGATCAGATATTTAATGGAACTGAGCATAGAGCGCTGAACCACAGCAAGGCGAGGTGGTCATTGGAGCTTGAGCTTGAGCATCTCACGCACATGGTGGAGCGAGACCAGTAATGGTAGTGCTTGATAAGGGACCACATAACGCAGAGTACCGCTCAAAAAAAAGGGAGATCCCTAGTCTCTCGTTGTCAGACCATATAGGAGGACATTCTTCTTCATGATGGGAGATCCTGGAGCTCCAATGGAATCGTGGGGAGTTTGAAGGACTACGTATGTACGGGAAAAACATATGAAGAAAAGAAAAAAAAGTGCCAGCGTCGGTTTCCAGTGTCCACTTATCGGCAGCTTCTCCCTCTTCAGGTTAACGGCACGCAAGCATATGATTCTTCATTACATATACCACAACTCATTTCAATGAAGAATCGCAACATGAAAGCTACCGAGGAGGACCGGTAGTTCCCCAGACATTTTGCAGCCGCGTCAATTGATCAGACCCTGCCTGAGCAAGGGTAGGGTGCTGGCGAATACTGGTGCATTCCGAATGAAAGAACGTTATGTTCCACCCTTCAAATCCGCGGAGGCTTTAAGATGGAGGATAGCACCATATGTGGCAAGACGAAGATCCGATTCAGAGAGTTCTGTGTCATATGTCACCACCGGGTGCCGGACACGCACCAGATTTGCAATCGGTATGTCGTTGTTGCGCGCGTTCAGCAGATGCGAGCCTCGGGCCCTGTCCGGGTCACCGGCATCCCAGATTTTGCAAAGCAGGGGTAGAGGAACTGAGAAACCAGGATCTTTATGAGGGCGAGTGTTTGCAGAAAGTTCAGCCCAATTAAGTCTTCTATGTGTCCCTTAGCTATCTTTCAATCTCATCCTTGGCACAGGCTCCGACAGAAGGGGCGTGGTCTGCTCAAGTCCATCTCGGTCGCCTCCTGGATTGCAAAAAAATTCAGAGTGATATCCATAAACTCCCATGCCCAGTTATACAATACTTCCCTGTTTCAGGGTTATACGTTTGGTGGTCAATATAACATTCATTGCTCACATCCACGATAATATCGCCTTCGTGTCAGGCCCTCCAGAACGAGGTTAGGAAATTTCTCGTGAGAGAGCTGTGGAGGTAGAGGCGAGGCTGTGACTCTGATGAGGTCCTTACGTTTTTTGCAGGAGTTATACGCCTCTCTCGTTTTCAGGATCCGTTCCGGCCTGTTCTTGGGCAGGCCTGCCATTGCTAGCTAAAATGTCAACCAATATCATTTTCCCGCCCGCAATTGCCCGTCCTGCCAGCGCCGATGAATGCAATCCAATCCGCTCCAAGAAATGCGAATCTAGACAGCCGCCAACGTCACCATAGGAAACGACTTAAGATACAGCAAGGGCTAAATTGTGCCTTCTATGGTTGTTAAATACAGGTTGATCTGTAGTGCATGCTGGGTATATCAATAGGATGTAAGGTCAAGCCATGAGATCGACGAGAATGGTGATAATGCCAAGTACTAGGCCACAACATAAGCTCATGATTTCGAAAACAAATGACCACATTACCGATTTCAATTCCAATAAGAGCAATTACAATTTGCTCAAGACGCTCTGCATGCTTACTTGATACAGACTCCTTCAGTAGTTGGAGCATATCTTGAAGAACCTGACCATGAGGTCAGCAAATGACAGCATGTCATGTGAATCAAACCAGCCTCGACTCGAGTATTCAGTAGATTGATTCGCTGAGGGATCTCCAGGTAACTGCGCGCGGCATCATACAACGGTTGTAGATCAGGATAGCTCTGAAAAGGTGTCAAACGTTCTGATATTTCATGTGAATAGTCCAGCTTACCCAGAACACCTCCTACAATGAGGGTAGGGGTAAATTCAATGTAAATATACTCTAGCCAAAAAATTCTCACTGGAGAGTCCAAGACAGAGCCTACTGAGTTGATGTTGGTCCGTAATATGAATAACTCCCCAGTCTTGCGCATAATCTCTGGGAAGGTATATGTGAGATGGTTTATATGCGCAATCCTCATGACCGACCTTTATGGGGCATGCCGATCTTCCCTGTCTCTGACAATGTTTCGGGGATATCTTTCGTCTCTTCGATAGTATTCGAGATGAGCTCCTCAAACTGAGAAGACGTCAGGAACAAACCGCGTCACATAGTGAAGCTAGCGTACCAGGGATATCTTGACGGACTGCGAAAGTGCGTGCGATAGAGAGAGCTTCGTCCTTGATGTGTTTCAGCATACCCAGCACCCCTATTATATTCGACTCACATGTAACCGGATCCCTTGCGCAAGGTAATAACATCGTTATATATACTGTGCCGCGGGTCAAAATCAGCGAGGTCGGAAAAGGACAAAACGTACCGACTGTAATCTGCGTAGTAATAATTCAAATCTTCCATTTCAATGTCGTCTGACGCTGCCAGCGATTCAGAGTTCTGCAGGACAGTACAAAGACCTTCACCTACCCAATCTTTCGACTTCAAAACGTTTGCTACGAGGAGTTTGTCAAAGCCCATTTTAACAAAAGCAAAATACTTACATGGAGGACAAGAAACGTTTCTCCTGAGCTTCACTCATTCCCCAGATGACTACTGTCCCATAATCGAAAATGAAAATCTCAGCCTCGGTTGGAACAGTGTGAAATTTGCTAATCTTCTTGCGCTTGGCAGGAAGTCCATTATCTTCTGCTTCAGACATCGGGGGATTCAGCTCCGGGATTCCTAACAAATCCCCACTCTCCGGCAGAGATTTCGCATTGGCTTCTTGGTTGACTTGGGGTTCATATGCGTAAGGAGTATACAAAACTTCGTCAATAATCTTGGGGTCTGCACGATAGGACATCCTCCGGGCGTTGAAGAACTTCACAAGTTCATGCAGACGATAAGAACTAAATCGAGGATGTCCATCAGTTACATAGTTGATCAAGAGACGGACCAAGGGTTCACCTTGCCGTCGCATATGCCGTTACACGAGGTAGTGATTTCGCCTTCTTCTTTGTCAGTCTCAGCGCATCTCTTCGCGCCGTTCCCTGCGGAATCTGAGAGATTTGACGTAGGCGTACTTCGACGTCCTCGCCCTCGTCTTCGTCTTCTTCGTCTTCCTCCTCGTCATCTCCGTCATCCGTATCTCCTGTAGTACCCAGACTTTCCTCAGCATCCGGACGTGGTTCAAGTTTGGTTTGGGTAGTCGATGTCGGTTGGTCGGGGAGGACCTTGAGTTTGCCAGCGACCTTCGTGGACCTATTTGCACCGCGAGTCTTTGGTTCGGGTTCCCTAGAGATGCCTGCTATTGATTTGGGTAAGAGCGGTTTTGGAGGCATCATGGGACACAAGTGTATTTGAATGTTATGACACTTCGAGAGTCTTTTGATCGAGTACGTAGTTACCGGGGACCGGTTTCCTCGCTGGGTCACATGACTTTTGGTTACGGTTAGTCCGAGACCTTCTGAATCTGCGACGCGTCGACACAACTCACTTGAGTAGCTCTGGGCCTCTGGCCATGGATTTCAATTGCGTCGCAGTGCTGGACCAGGCCTGAAGCTTGCAGTTCTACAAATAAATTGTTTCTACTCACAGACCCCAACATCTTCTCGGTATCATCGTATCTCGCCTGCCAGGTCACGCAGCACGCTACGCCGTGTGCCTATGTGCTACCTCAGGTGCGAGCATATGTTTGTGATCAAATGTCATCCAAGGTTGGCATGACGTATTTTGCGGTTTGTGATACCTAAGTAGTGCACAGTAAGTTATCATCATATCATACTTAGGTGCTGTTCGAAAACTTTCCACATCGCTCACGTGCAGGCATCGCTGATAGATTAATATCGTGTACAGCAGTTGCTAAGCCTATCTGCAGATCCTACAGGCCTTAGGGATCTCCCCCGACTGCTGGTGTCATGCAACCTTACTCGGGCCCAATGGCATTTTTCCAAACTCGTTATACTCAGGATATAATTACTTAAAGTTTAAAGAGTTGCAAGGTTCGTGCCTTTACGTTCACTGCTAAGGAAAGCCTCACGTCACAATGAATGGAACAATAGGAGGAGCCTTAGTGATCGGCGATCACTCATCGGTGGAGAGGACTATCCACTCGACGCTATATACCTAGACGACATAGCATTTGAGGAAGTATTATTCAAGACATTTAGTTAGCTCCTTCTCATTGTGTTGCCATTCTTTGACTCCGGATCATGCGACAATCCCGAAGTAGTCGGATTGGAAACCTCCCTCTCTTCTTCCTGTACGCTGCCTCCGCGGAGCCGTCTTCGACCGCAGGGTCCATTGCCGTACAGCACACCTTCTTTTTCTTCTGGTATTGGAAGTAGGTACGTATTTTTTTTGCCAGCAACGCACCCTAAAGGGAGACACGGCATTCAATGTGTAGAGGAAGCTACAGATAACGAGTTACACTCAATATTATCCAATCCATGATGCGTGCGCGCCTGACCCGATGGATCGATCGTACTGTACGTACATACCGCTTTCCACCGTTCTTGCCAGGAACGATTGAACTCTGTGTGCAAGATCTTTTTCCAAGTTCGGTGACACATCAAAATTGGCCGTTGGCAATAATGATACCCCCCAAAAGACCTACATACAGTGTCCCCCAGTTTGAAGAAGGCTCTCGGTCAGTACCGATGTGCTATGTTTGACGCTGACCGCGGGTGGCGGGAATACATAAACGTCATCGCTTTGTCGAGTGTCCGCTCGCAGCCCTGAATATTACGCCAAGGACTCTCCAGTGGACTTACTACCCCACCATCCACTATCGCCAAGGATCTATCACGGGAATCCACTAGTTCTCCCTTCTGTACGAAGGCACAGACTGAGTCGCGTCGATTCGTCGGACGTAAGACTTACCCAAAGCACATGTTCTATCTCAGGACCAACTTCAATACGCCCATTTGCCGGACTCCGACTGCACATACCTGACCACGCAACAAATCGATGTCTCAGTACGGTCCGAGACGGCGATTAAGCATCAACAGGGCAGTCACCTATATATGGCATTTCCGCGGAATGACGCCCCTGAACAGACTGTACAAGTGGTAACCTTGCTCTAAATTGGAAATATCCGTCAAGGTAGTAGCGATAAAGGTCGCCTTACCCTTGCAGCACTCTGACTAGCATGCCATCTTGACGTACAGTCTCTGAGTCAGTGACGCCCCACAGAATTTCACTAGTGCCACCATATTAGATACGGAATACATATGATCATACTTCAGCCAAAGATACTGCTTTACGGAACCGCAAGCGGGTAAAATTATTACGAATGGGAGAACTGTCTATGAGCCAACAGTATCCACCAACTTGGGTCCATGGTATGTACCTGAACTTGGCATCGAGTTAAGGACTGAGTACGTCTTTGTGCACTTTGCGTGAGAGGGAACATGAGAATTTTCAGCAGGCGGGGAAATCTCGGGGACACTCCCCGCCAACAGCTGCCAACCCGAGATTGAGACGTCCTGTAAAACCCCTGTCAAAGCTCAAGGGACAATGCCCCTCAGGGTTGCAAAGCGTCCCACGACCTCGATTCCTCCGCTGATCGCATGATCGGCGTCTCGGATCAATACTGCGTACGAGAGCTTCGAATGCTCACACTGACAGTCAATAATACCAGACAAGCAGGAATATACTACATACAGGGAGAAAAATCACTGCAGAAAATATACTAGCGTGCGAGTGCACAAATTCCTGCGGTTACTGTGCGGTGTGTGTATGAATACGAGGCTTACCCGCGAACTAGTACGAGCTAGACAGACAATATTTAGGGCAGTACAAGGTCACCATGATCGGAATAACGACAAGGTGCCAGTGTGCGTTCGGCATCAAGTCTGTAAAACAAGTAACAATATGCAAGTCTAACAAGGTATGTGTGAGGATCGATGCGAAGTCCAGATACAATTGGGAAAGAAACGGGTTGTCCTAGGAGATGAGGTATATAAAAATAGAAGGAAGTTGCAGAAGGTCTTGGATTAGATCGCCTCAATGAATCTTCAGGCATATGAGCACCCTATCGAGCGTAAAGCAGGGTGTCCCACTGAAGGGGGGCGACTCCGGCCTCCTCCCTTCGAGACATAATCTGGCATGATCTGCGTTGAAAAACGCTGAAGGAATTGTTCATCGATCGGTTCGCGCCTCGGATATGCAAGACCTTGAAGGTATTCGAGGGGAACTAACTGCTCCGAGAGATGTGTAGGACTGATGCGTGGACTTGGGGTAGCAGGTCCTGAGGATGACGATGAGGGGGGCGAAGGACACTCCGAGCGACTCTGGAACGGTACGATGTCACGAAAATGTGATTGTATCTGAGTAGGGACCATATTGGGAGCCGAATACGTCGTCTGGCGGACGTTAGAAGGGTGATGTCCAGACGATCCTTCCGCGGAAGATGGAAATGAATAGGCGGTTTTACGCCCTCCTGTGGTTTCTACTTCCAGCAGATCAAGCTGAGAGGAATTTCTTGAAGTGGGAAAATGTGTATACCCTGGAAACGGTGAAGGATTGGAATTTGAAGCGTGAAATGACGATTGAAAACCGGATTGAACCGGATTAATGTTGGGAAGTACGCCCTCCATGGGAAATTGCGAGAGTTGCTTTGCGACCACATTTTTTGGTAGGTCATCATCTCGTCTTGTCTTGGCGTCTCTACGAGCACTTCGGAACCATCCGTCTGGAACCGGAACATCCCCGACGCCTTGTATATTATCGATTGTGTTAAGCCGATCAAGCTTCTGTTGACTGAAGTAGGCAGCTGATGAACGCAGGATTAGACTTCGGAGGCGGCGGAGATAACTGAGAGACGTACTTAAGTGCCATTTTCTGGTGATACCTCGGGTGCGATCATCAGGTAATGAGACACGCACACTGTAAGTTTGCTTGATCAAGCGTTCAGAATCACCCGTGGCACGTGCACGGGAAGAAGGGTACATGCTGTAAAAACAGGTAAATTGTAAATTGATCATTCCATGGCGTATGGACGTTGTATGCCCACATGATTGACGTGACCTACCTAATCATTTGTGCCCAGGGGGTGCCGGAGCTACCTGGATCATCATTTACATCACATTCTTTCTGCTGATAGAACAGAAATTCCTGTGGAAAACATAAGTCCATAGGGATTTTCGTGGCTGAGTCATCTACTTACATCGCGGACTCTACTTGGCCCCCAGCCCATGCCATCCGTCCTAGCAATATGAATAACATTGAATGGTCAAGATTGGACACCCCAGCGATAAGTGGACCAACCATCGTTCCATGCCGAGACCTGTAGCCTCAGAATTTGCACTGCGCTCTTCCCAGACATATACGTTTCCGGGGGCGATAGCCCGTCGTTCCTCAGCATCCAATCGGCGTGTTATAAGTGGGAGCGCATTCCTCGCGACAGCATGAAAGATGTGAAGTGCATCTCTCGTTGAACGTATGCGAACATTTTGGAGGGAAGGTTGCTGCATATCTTCAGAATGAGGGGATCAAGGGGGAACACCAAGAGGGTCTTAAGATCAACGAAACTTCACAGCACAAGTTATATATTCCTGGATTCGTAAGGAAACTGTGAACCGCGGGATGAAATTAAAATTATTCTAAGTTTGAATTGAGTTAACCCACATGGATTTTGGGAAAGCGCCTGTGATCGGACTCATCAGATTCGAGTTCAAGTTGGGAGTATTTCCGAGACGTGGGGACGCCGCTCACTACTCCACTAGCCATATACATAATGATAAAACAGCATAAAGTGCGAAGAACGTGGGTATAAGTTTTAACAAGTTGCGCAAATCCCGATATGGTTGTCCCGGCGGACGGACATGCTTCAACTTTCAATGATGCAACCACGCAAATCGCCGACCGGTGAACGTCAACAAGCACCAGCACCAGCCTCACTACAGGGTTGAATTAATTCATATATTCACCTTGTTAGTAACAATAACCGCCGCCGCACTTTGCTGAACCCTTACTACTGTTCAGTCACTAAAGTACAAGTCTACAGGATTTAAATCAAAACTGGTCCTTGTAAGTGCAACTTCACTTCATTTCAAAGATACTTCATTTCAAAGATCCTTGATTTCCTGCGCATACCTTATTGATGGTGAGATGTGGTGCACATTCGCCAGAGGGGCTTGGGATTGGACGATCAAGTTGAATTAGAACTAGTCTGGCTTTAACAAAATTCTAACAAGGTTTGATGTCAGGTACAAGACAGTTAGTAGATGCATCATGATGGCATGCAATGATCTTGCCCCATCTTTCTGATGAGACTCATCATCGCCAAGCGTTGCCAGTGCGTATCTGACAAGCCTAATTCGAAAAGCAGGCAAGTGACCTCCGCCCATGAATCCCAAATCATATCACCCTACTGATCGGCGACCATACACCGCATAACACATAACTGCTTAAACACAAATGCCTGTCTCTCCTAGTAACTCGGATAAAGCCTAATTCAACGCAGGCAAGTGATCACTGCGTCATTCTGAATGTTGGCCTGGTTGCATTTGTACTTGTCATTGTGAATCTCGGGTTGTATCTTCAGGGTCTGGCCGAGACGTCCGGCAGCCACTTGTCTTGAACATACGGTTTTAACGTGTACGCTCCATTGTGTTGAAGCCAAACTTCCTCTTTTGTCTGTCAGGCTTCAGCAGTCGGTCTGCGACATGCGTTATCCAGTGGACATTGTCAATGAAGCTGACGATGTTCCCACCATCCAAAGATATAATTGTTCGAATACTCACAGTGCGCGCTGAAAGTCTTCCAGAATGCATACTAGAGAGAAAAAGCTTACCAGCTGTGTCGTGGCAGGACTGATGTTGCATAGGGCATCAATGTGCGCGTGACGAATGACCATACGCCACAGAACCTTTCAGGCGTGCTGAATCCTTCCGCCGTTCCCGTCAAATTTTTATGAGCATGTTGGCAAACAAGGCAAGTACTACTAGTGGTTAATGAATTTAGCCTGAAAGGGTCACCAACTACAAGGCACCCTTCTTGAGCCTGAACCTAAGCCTGGGGCACCGGACTCGAGAGAAGATCACCCGATAATTGGGCGAGGTGCTTGATTGCTTGGGAAAGTCTATTCTAGCGCTACGGCTAATTCCGTCTGTGTGGACAAATCCCCGGGCCCGGATCCGTTTCCTTAGCACAAAGTCCTAACAGAATGGTTATATTGATTTGGAGAGCTTGCACCGCGAAGGTTTTGTCCGTTGTAGCTTAGACTCCGTGGCACGCTGGCACATAGGGGGATGAGTGGCGGAACCAATCCATCGTTTTGTTACACGTAGACTTAAGGTTTCCTTTGGGCTGCGTGGAGTTTGATTAGAGATAGATCGGCGCTTATAATATTGAATTCCGCGGCAGCCAGCAGGCTGCATCAGCTTGCTTGCAAGATGCCAGGTCACCTTCGTCGGGAACAAATAAGGACAATTATACAGTTTTCGGTAACTGCAAGGACTGCAAGCAGGTGTATATGTCGGCAACGGCCGACCACCAGTGTGCAAGCATGTACCCATCGTTTCACTCTGCGATTCCAGCCCAGCCGAACACTGTCACGGAAATGGGTGTGCAGTCAGGCACAGTCGAAGCTGAACTGGGGGGGCCAGGGTGCAGCATGTTCATCAACTCGCTCATGCACAACAGGTTTTCAAATTCCGTCGCATTTCAAAGTTGTCACAGCCTGCAGTCCAGGGACCCGGATCGTCACCGACGGTCATCGCGAGTGAACGATCATAGCGAGAACCGCGCTGAAGGGGCCTTTGCGGACCCGTACACTCGTTTTATGGAGGAACGGCGCACCATACCGTCGGATATGGTAATGTTTGATGTCCGCGCTTCGCTCTGGACATGAGCTATGACAATTTCGCGCTGGTCGGTTGCGGTGGAACAAGTCGATACGCACTTGACGGAGGTCGTATTTCATATCTTGAGCGCCAAGATGGGCAGGATCTAGTCTCCACAAGAGAACAAATGGAAGGAAGATAGTCGTTATGCCAAATTGACATTAGATCATACTGTGTAGAGGTGGCAATAAGTAGGATCGCAACAGACCGAGAGCCATAGGTATGTAACGGTTCAATTCACGAGATGATCTTGGCGAGAAGAACGTCATAAACCCATACACCCAAACAAGTATAATGGACGAACCTGGCAAAGGCAACACAACCGGAATATAGTCCGGGATCTCTGCGTAATGTGGTCGATCCCGGAAAAGATAACGGACGCGGAGAGATTTGGGCGATGCAGGGGCGGGATCGTAAAATCCTTGGATGCCGGCCTGCGTGGATGCCACGTGAACCAAACTTTGAGGAGAATATATGAGTGTGGCTTACCTTTGTCCGATGTCCGGGTACACAAACCTGACTGTTGTGCACCAAGGCTTGCACGGGTACTGTTACGTCTATCGTAAGATTCCTGGCGTCTGTTTCTGGGCCGTACATCGCACTAAGGATGACAAGGCCTTTGACGCAACGTGAGAACCACGTGGGTGGAAGTGCAGAGATGTCTTACCTCCTCTTGACCTTTCGGTTTGCATGTGGCGTTTGGCAGTTTCGCTCAACAATTCTGCCGTATTGCGAAGCTGCCTCTTTTGCTCTGAGTTTTCCTCTTTAAGGACGCGTTCGGCCTTGCGGAAATATCTTTTTAATTAACAAGTCGAGAATGTTAATCATAGAGTCGAAGGAAGTGCGGGATAGGAACTGACAAGGCTCTTTGTAGGCGCCGACGAGGCTTTAAAACAAAGTGATATCCGAGGACAAGAGCTGTTGAAGGCACAACAGCCGAAAAGAACTCCAATATTTGATTTCTTACGGGCGACAAAGTGATTGGTAATATCCATTTCTGATGTAGGTAATCCAACCTGATAGGAACGCGCGTGAGCCGGGAGAACATTGAGGAGGAAAAAAAAACATACTCTAAGCGTATGATTAACCCCCCCGTACTCACGCCAAAGCTAGTGGATATCGCAGTATTCGCGCTAGTCCATGTTGCGGTGACCAAATAGGCTAATCCCCGAAATCCAATTTCTATGCCTGCCTTGAGCCTTAATGACAGCTCAAAGAACCAGATCGACCATTCAGTCTTGATACACGAGTTGACGCCAGATAGCTGAAATCCATATGACCAGGTACGCAGCCCAACCCCAAAACCACTGGCGGAGCCGGGCTTATTTGTGAATTCGGCGTTCATACGCTCTGCATGGAGAACGGAATTCTCAGGGGACGAGAAATCAAAAGGCTGAGGCGAGTGTATGTCAAATTGAAAGCTTCCCATGGCCAATGGAGAGAATGTCCACGCCACAGTGCCCACCGTTGATGCATGACGGAAGAGACGACGACTGAAGGAAATCGTACTAGCCGGAGGGAGAAGGTTCCAGAGTGCAGGGATGAAATGCACGCGGCAATTGAGGGTGTTCTCGTTGTCTTCGTAGCTCGCCTTTGCGACAACGAGGTGAGGGTCTAACAGATGTGCTGTAGCCTTTTCAGACAACGATCATTCAGGACTGGCCCTGGAGCAATAAATCTGATCTAATAATAATACGTACCTCTACAGCAAGCCGAGGAGAGAATTGATGGCGTATCGTGCCCATGAGGTTATTTCTGCTCAGCACATCATTTCGAGGGCCTAGTCCCAGGTGACTCGTGAATTTAAGGTTAGTCTTTTCACTGAGCACTTTCTGCACACATTCAAGCGGTTATGAACTTCAAAGTCTTCGTGGGCGCAAACAGGTATGGAACTCACCGTAACAGAGTGACGAATAGCAAATTGAGAGATCCAGACTCCACCCAAGCGGGCGAAGATGCCTCTGGAATCATAATCCAAATCATCACCGCGTGCGAATAGTGTTGATGCGTCGATTCCACACGTCACTGTGCCTCTTGGCCGAATGAGGCGATCGAAAACTTCTTGACTTCGATCTACTTTCCATTGTCGAAGATGAGCGCGTATCTGAAAAGACGAGTCAGACAATGTTGCGCCAGGGTGAATGTGTCGCACTTGGTCAACACTTTGTGACCGCAGTTCTGGGGACCACTGTTTGTTTAACCCATCTTCACCTATTGAACGATGATGGAACAGATGTATGTGAGAATTATGCCCTGAGGATGCAGTGCGGATGTGCTTACCCAGGAAATCATACACTTCCCTAGTGGAGTGAGACCGCATGTAATGCAGGGTTTCTAGCAACGAGAACTCACCGGAGAAAGGGATCTGATAAGACTAGTTTATGCTGTTATCATATTTGTATTTGGCACTGAGAATAGCTTTTCACCTTGGTAAGCTTTTTGGATTGCAAGGAATTCTACAGCTGCAGTGTCCTTTGTACTTCCGTTGCGCTGCTTGTCGGGGTGAAATATTACAGACAAGGCTTTGTACCGCTCCCTTATGTCGTTCGCGGATGCGGTCGTTGGCACGTTTAACACTGAACTATTTATACGGTCAGTATTCTGGAGCCTAGGCGAGCTGAACGACGAACTAGAGGTATTCATTTCGCACCGGGTCGGCGCGTATTTCATTCATACTGGACGAGACTATCTTCGCGTAGACGACACGACGAACGACGATGTCCACCGTCTTTCGAACTTTCGGTAGATGTCACGTTCCCCTATGATGTAAAACTTGAAAAAGCTTAATCGGCATCCGGATGATAATATTCCCACGACTCTTGAAACGCCACGTCGGTGTTAAGTTCAGTAATTCAACCCGTACACCTCCTTGGTCATCATCGTCCATCATGAGCTCCCGCATCAACATCGGTCGTCCAGCTTCAACAAGCTACCACTCCCCAGACCCCCATGGATTCGCAAACCCGCAACAGTCAACGGGTTACAGAGCAGCTAACCCAGACGCCCCACTCGAGAAGATTCGCGCCGTCAGTAAACAAGTAGAAGACGCTATCGAGATATATTCTCAGCCTTTGAAACCTTATTTACCTTCTATCGGCCGGTTTTTGATTGTTGTGACGTTTTATGAGGATGCGTTGAGGATTATAACGCAGTTGCATGACCAGCTTTGGTATCTCCAGACGTCAGTTATTTATGGGCCATGACTTTTGGGAGACGTTTATTAAATTTTGTTGGTTGCAGACATAGGCATTTCTACCGGGGAATCTCTCACCTCTTCCTCCTGCTCAACGTCGTTGTAAGCCCTCTTTCCAACCCCCAGGAAGTTGTTGAACTCATGCCTCCTACATAGACAATGCTCAGCGCCTCCACCGCCGTCATCATGAAACGGCACACAGAATACGCAGTCATCGGTCTTCTCAGCGTAGTCGTCATCCAAGGCTTCGGCTACGGTCTCATCTTCGACCTCACTTTCTTCCTCCGAAACTTGAGCGTCATAGGCGGGCTCGTTATGGTGTTCAGCGAGACAATGGTCGACAAAAAGAAAAGCTTTGCTGGGATTCCTACTATGAGCGAAACGGACCGCAAGAAATAGTATGTGCCCTCTCACTCTTCTCTGACCCTTCACTCACCTGAAATATGTAGCTTCCTCCTCGCAGGCCGCGTACTCCTCATCTTCCTCTTCCTCGGTTTCATCATCCAAGGAAAATGGAGCATAGGCCGGATATTCATGTCCCTCTTCGGCCTAGCAGCATGCACGATGGTAGCCATCGGCTTCAAAGCCAAATGGTCCGCAACCTTCCTCGTCATCTTGCTCAGCGTCTTCAATGTATTTGCCAATAACTGGTGGAGCGTGGGTAGTGCGCATCCTCAGCGTGATTTCCTCAAGTACGTGATTCTTTTTTTTGGGATTGTTTGTGCTGATGTGATGTGCTGCAGGTATGATTTCTTCCAGACGCTTTGTGAGTTGTTCTTATTCTTGACGCGCGCTTGGCAGTGCGGGGTATTGACAGATTTATTTATAGCTATCGTCGGAGGCCTCATCCTTCTTGTGAACATTGGTCCCGGTGCGTCATCATAACCCCTGTCCATTACCCTCTGTAGCTTACATCCAAACAGGCGGTCTCTCGGTGGACGAGAAGAAAAAGACATATTAGAGGATGGACTCGTTGATTTCTGTAACTGGCGTCATGACAGCATCATCCCGCGGAAGAGAAGAGGAGCGTTTGATTCAAGGCCTGTTGAAGCCTCGGTACTCATTGACATAGTACATATATCCCATATCGCATTGCCAATGACCATGGCATCGTCGCTTTGTTACCACCCGCATCGATACTATAACCATTAGAGTCCACGTCGATTTTCTTGTTGCAAACTCTCGCGTGATCGTGATTAATGTGCGGCACAGGCAGGTAAACATGACAAAAGACGTTACACCAACTGCCTAAACACATTCCTACTCCCACTCCTCATCCCCTTGCGCCTCTGACTCCTCCCCGTCCTTTCACTTTCACTCAAGGCATTCGCATTTACTCTCTCTTCATCAACACGCTCCATACCAGCTCCGAACACCTCCACGCCTTTCCTCCCTCTGTTTCCCTTTTCTGAATCTTTCCTCGCATCCTTATTGGAAGAAGAAGGGACCCAGCTCATCTCAAACCCTTCTTTGCTTTTACCCCCCTTCCCTTTCCCTCCCCTCGCTGTTGATGTTGATGTTGTATGGAAGGGGGCTGAACCACGCCGCTGTCCAAACGTAGCACTCTTATCCCCCATCTTCCTAGCGCTCATGCTAGTGCCGGTTTCCGTACGCGGAACGAGAGGGACGAAATTAACGTTGGCGTTGGTGCGTCTGTTATTTTGTTTCGTACGTGCGTATGCTTGGAGTGCACGTTCGTTCTTTTGGCCTGGTCGTGCGCGGGGGTCGAATTTGTTGAGTTCTGGTGGTGGTGTTAGTTACATGAGTATATGACACGGCGGAAGGGGGAGGGAGGAAGGAAGGGAGTACTCACCACCTGCATCACTACTATCATCACTATCACCCTCACCCTCTCCGCTTCCTTTACCTTCGCTTTCACCCTCGCTCTCACTCTCAGTAAGCCCACCAGACGACCCCTTCTCACTCTCCTCTTCCTCCTCTTCCACAGCCGTCTTACCCCTGGCCCGCTGCTTCTGTATCTGCGAAGAGGAAGACGGGTGGAGAAGCGCATACTCTCTCGTGTTCTCGTCTACTGCGAATTCGGGGTTCTGGAATAGGTCTTTGAATCGGGGGTCGTTGAGGAGTGTTGGTTTTTGTGATTCTGGGTCCTCATCGGCGTTGGCGTCAACGTCCATAACATCAGCCTCAGCCTCCCCATCCTCTCCTCCCTTCGCACCCCTCTTCTTCTTCCTCTCCTCCCTCTTCCTCTCTTTCTCAACCCCCCTCTCAATCCTCTCCGCCAACGCCTTATTCACCTTGACACCCTCTGCCCCCTCCCCACCACCCGCACCACCCTTCTTCGCCCTAATCCTACTCTCCGCCATCTTCTCCATCCTCTCCCTGACAACCTTCTCACGATGCTCAGCATATGCAAAAGGATTAGCGATGACACGTGCTGTGTCGTAGAGGTGGAGGGAGAGGAAGTAGCCGTGCATGTAGGGTTTTAGGGTTGGTGTTCCTATTAGGTGGGAGAGGCCGAGTCTGTGGGTGGGGTGAGTTTGGGGTTGGGTTTGGGTGGGGGTAGGGATGAAATGTAAATTCGAAACGAATGAAAACGGGATAGAAGATGACGCACGTCTCAAGCTCACTCCTCTCAACAAACTTGTAATCCTCATAGGCGCTCCTCGTCGTAGAATCTTCCATCTCCTCTGTGATATTTTCCAGGAAACTAGCCCAGCGGGGTGCAGGACCAAGAGCGGGGACGTAGTAGGTGGCCATTTGGATACCTTCGTTGGCGGTTAGGAAGAGGCCGCTGCCAGGGACGTGGTGGATGTGGTTGAGGTCGGTTGCTGGGGTTATGCTTACGAAGTTGCTTGAGGGCTGCATCGCATCAGTGTCATCACGAGGGGGAGAGGATAGGATGGGACGCACGGAATTACGATCCCAGATTTTAACGACTTTTTTATCCGCGCTTAATACCATACCGTCCCCCGCGAGTCGACTGCCTTCTATCCAGGATAGGTTTTTTATTGGGAGGCCGTAGCCTTGGTCTTTTAGTGCAAAGGGTTTTGGGGATCGGAGGTCATATAAGAGTGTGTGTCCTGTGGATGTTCCTACTGCGTAGGAGAGGCCGTCCGAGCGAGAAGCGAGTGCTGTGACGCCTATGCTAGGTGTATCGGCGTCTATGCCTGGCATCGTACTCCGCGCGCTAGGCCGTAAGAGCCGGCTGGTTGGTAAACGAAGAACACCGACGGATGATCTGGAACGAGGATCCCAGAATTGAACGGAGCCGTTTCCGTCGACACCGAAAGCGAGGAGGTTATGGGCGGGGTTGATGTCTATGCAATTTACGCCTTGGATGTTTTCGTCTTGAAGGATGAGAGGGTTGAGGAAACGGCCTTGTTCAAGGTTGAGGCGGTATATCTCGTTTCCTGAAGCTGAGAAGAGTGCGTTACATGAAGGAAAGTGGTACGCGAGGGAACGACCGAAGCGGGGTATGCGAGTCCTGTAATGAAACCCGCCTTGTGTGTGTAGTTCGATAGTGCGATCATTTTGCAAGTGCATGATCTTTGTCCAATCATCTGATAAAATCTTTTGAGGGAGATATAAGCTAGGATGGTTAAAAAATGAAGGTGACTTACTATGAAATCGACGTTTTCTGCATCTGAATGTCTCTCGAATTTTAGATTGAGCTCGTCTAGATCCCATACCCTAGTCTGCGGTTTATAAGTGCCTGTTGCTATTGCATGATGACCGTCTCGAGTTGTTTTTATTTTATTGCTTGCTTCGGGGAATTCGAAACCTTGTATGAGTTCGATAGAGCCTTGTACATGTTCCCTTGAGACGCGTTTTCCTTTTCTCGCTGCTCGTTTTCTAATGAGCCAATCTGGAATAGAAGATGAAGAACCAGCTACTGCGCCGTTGACTGTATAAACTTTGACGTCCATAGCCGTCAAAGACTAAACTTGATTTGGATGTGTCATCAAGTTTTCTCCCTTATGTCTTTAGGTGAATCGCAATACTCAGCTGCTGCAAATGTTCCACTTATAAAATCACCGGGTCTTCGTGTTCCTCCTCCTGTATGTACAAATTTCACCTCATCGGCATCAACTATTGACAATTCAAAAGGTGCATCTACCACCAGACATTCATCCTCTTCCTGATAGTGTCACCCCTTACGTACGTTCCTCTCTCTCCCTCTCTTCTCCCTTCTAACAATCACACAGTTCGTCTATCCATTCACCATAGAACCTCACATCCTCACAGTCGAATCCTCTCGGCGCACAACACTTGCTGCACATACCGCAAGGAGGGAATCCTATCTCCGTGCCAGAGAAGACGAGCATGAGAGAAGGAGAAGGGAGGCTTTGAGGCGTGTCGCACCAGGTTTTGATCCTGCAGCCCCGCTCGTGCCAGTTCGTGCTGAGGTTAAGAAGGATGTGATGGATGACCTTGTAGATCAGCTGGCTAGGATGGATAATGGGTCTTAGAGTCGTCGTGCTTAGTGTATCATTGTATCTCACTCTCAATCTAATCTCTCTGACCGACTCTCGCCGTTGACACCCCTAGCATTCCTTATGCAATCCTATGATCACCCGGCTCTAATCCCTTCTCATACTCACTCTTCAGGTCATTCATCCAATCATTACCGCGCCTCCTAACATCCCTCCTCACATCGTCGAATCCCTTCAGCCCTTTGCTGTCGCCATCAAGATTCCAGATTCGCCTCATACTGAACGACAAGACAGATCCCTTATCGACTTGCGCTGAAACCAAGGAATACCGCCGATACCGCACTTGCTCACTGGACGCGTTCGCCGAATCACCATCCTCGATAACACCGTGGTCCGTGACCGTCTATCAACCTTTCTACGAGGCAGTCAATCAGAATGTCCTCTCAGTGCCTGCAGCTCACACCAGAACTCAATTATCCCGCCTATTCGCCTCAGTTTCTCTGCACCTTTCAACCCTTGACCGCTAGAACTGCGGCCCATGGACCTCGCCTTTCTTTATTGATGTCTATTATTTTCCCTAAACTCCTATCAACTCTCGACTTTAGCATCATGTACTGATCCTCGACCTGCAGAAGAAGGCGAAATGAATTTTCCTGTCACTGCCAGTCCATTAGGTCGTCTTCGAGAACTACTACGAATTCTCAGTCAAGACAGTCCTGGAATCCTAGCCTCAGGTAAGTATCATACGACCCAAACTCACCCACCAAAGCTGATGACATTTGATCCTAAAGGCAAAGTCCGTAAAATGCTCGAGTTCATTCTAGATACCAAGCCAGAGAGAGTTCGCGGTATGCAATCCCAAGTCCACAAGCAGAGGGCGAGCACTGATTCTTATTTTATCATCTCAGGCCTTCTCAGGTATTTGCTTTGGGGAATGCCAAGAAGTATTGAAGAGCGCCGTGATATTGTGCTAGTAAAAACTAGGTGAGGCCAGATCATCATCGCCATCGTGATTCGTGACCACGATTTCTCACGACCATCATGACTTCCTGCAGATTATCTTTCATCGCCCATCGTATTGCATAACACGCACGGGATTCGACAATACTCCGTCATCGGCGAATGCGCAAGCTGAAAGCAGAAGTGGTGGCGGCACCAGAGGTGGATATGGTCATGGTGGTGATGATCAAAGAACATCACGATTATCGATCGCTTGCAAGTTTTTCAGAGGCCTGGGAGCTCTTACACAGGGAGCGGATATCTCGGCAACATTTCGTCTCCGCAACTGCAGCGTCCCACACCCCCAATGAGGTTTCTGTTGCCAGCCACACCTGGTGTTTAATTGAATCAGTGCGCCTTAGAGTCTGCGTCCGTGGCGAGGGCCCCATACACATCGACACTGATAATTCTGAGTTAATACTGGACGGCCTTGCGCCAGCCATTCGAGCGGCGGCTTATGATCGTTATGCCGCATGGTACTCTAAACACCACCCTAAACACCACCAACCTCACACTGCGGCCGCGACAGGCCCCGCAACAGGCGTGCCCGCACATCGCACCACCGTTATTGACCCGCCAGCAGTTGCCTTGCAGACGCGTGGGCGCGTGCAGGCCAGCCAGGCCGCTGCGGCAGGTCCAGCATTCCGCACCTGGCACCACACGGGGGCCACCTAGTGCGGAGGTGGGGCTTCTGGGTTGCAATGTGGTGGCCGAGGGCCCTCAGCAGCAATTGATGTCTAGTCAAAGTCGAACTGCAGACCTGATTCTGTTTTACATCAGACTCCATATATTTTTTACAAATTCTTATACTTAGTAAAATTCACCTGCGTGCGTCTCGCGTGCCATCTACATACTTCACTCGCGCGCAGGCGAACATCCATTACTATAGCACAAAAAGCTGACTGGGAAGCCCGTGCACCCCAACGAAGTTGATCATGATGGCGAGGATGATGTGCATGCTAGGTGGAGTTAGATATCGTTGATGTTTTGACTCTTGAGAAGGAGAGGGAAAAATCTTACACCCAGGTTGAAGGTTTCGGCCCACTTCAACATTTAGCCTGACCCCACGTCACTTACACGAAGCTGCAGCTTATCAGTTCCGTGAATTTGAGAATCGGAGATATGCAAGTTAGACTTCGCCGATTGGCTGCACGCGTGGTAAACTTCCATTTTATCATCGTCATGATGAGTCTACTTACCATTCAAATTTCAAAGTACGCACACAGCGGCCATTCAACGACCTCAGGCTCCGTCACCACCATGAAAAATATCAGAATCTACCAAACGATGTTACAATAAGTACTCATACTCGAGCTGACATTTCATTCAAACGCATGCACGGTTGGCAGGAAATTCGAGACTCGAGAGGTTTACAGTGGAAATGTGAGTTACAACTTACCTTGAAAAGACAGAATGACTCGGACTGTCATTATCTTACTTCTTTCAAGGTCTGGCTTGGGGAGACTACGTGGCGCCAGCAGATTTGAAAAGTTTTGCGCGTCTCGTATATAATAAACATGGTTTGAATATGCGGCATTCTTTCGTCCAAGTCATCCACAGCGCGATTATTATTACTAAATCATCATGCCCGAACAACTGACTCTATACGGTCACAAGGCAAGGAATAATGTAAATGAAGAGGAAGACTTGTCTAACCCACGACTTCACAGCTCTCACCCTATAGCCAGAGGGTGAACTTACTGCTAGCATTTTTTCACGGGTCTCTGACGCAAATTGGCAGATCGAACTGGCGCTCATTGAAGCCAATGCACCCCACAAGGCCTACCAAGTCAAGCTCTTGGACAAACCAGAGTGGTTCGTCAATAAAGTGAACCCCGCTGGCAAGGTATGTGCAATGACATCCGAGTCCAGTGTCTATTGCAGATGAATGTGGTATTACACAGGTGCCCGCTGTGACATATGGGGGACCCGATGTCGACCCCGAGGATCCTTCTCCCCTGTCCGCTAAAATAGCAGAATCGATCGTCATCCTCGAGTTCCTGGCAGACCTCTATCCAGACTCTGGTCTCCTGCCAAAGGATCCTGTGCTGCGCGCCAACGTCCGTTTCTTCATCGATGCGACTACTAAACACTTCCATGATCCGTTCTATGCCTTCGTCCGAGGGTGCGAGCCGTACGAGTATTTCCTGAAGGGGATTGAATTTATTCAAGGACTTCTCGAAGAGGGTAAAGATTTCGCGGTTGGTGATCATTACACTATTGCAGATGCGTGCATCTCTCCGTACCTCACAAGGCTCAAGGTCATCATCGAAACTGACCTAGGTAGAGTGCTCGTCCCCTTTCCCCAGAGGTTGAGGCTGATTAATGGAATCAGGGCAATACCCTGTCGGTATGGGGTATAAGCTGGGCGATGAGTTAAAGGGACATAAGTTCGCTAAATTCATGAAGTACGTCGAGCGAATGCTGGAGCGTCCAAGCTTGAAGCAAACTCATGATCAGGTGTGTATATATATGTCTATGCAAATGATTGATGGCTTACCTCTACATTGCGTTTAGGAGTCTCTTATCATGTTTTTCAAGACGTATTTGGCTGAGCGCGTACAGTGAACTTTTACCTGATAACAAGATTATCAGCTCCATACGACAACACTTCCCAGGTATATCCAGGCGAATAATAGACAAACTATACCATTGGCCATTGGCAAGAAATGCTGACAGAAGGGATATATCGGAATCTTACATGAGCACACCAACTACTCCTCCATCTCATTTCTGCTCTCATCATCGCTATCACTGTCCTACACCCTCAGCAACACCAATAGGTTCTAAACTTAAATCATGATCTGCGCCAATGTACGAAACGCAGATACACGTGGAGTTTCAAACCGTGGTTGCCTTTCAGAAGCGTGAACTCCAGTTTCACTGAGGTGATGTGCTTGACTACGAGCTACCAGTTTACTATCTTTTTCAACCAGCATGCGACGGAAGGGAACTCTTGAATTTGACAAGATCGGGATGCGTTGCAGAATGGGAATGCGCAGAGCTGGACGCATGGCTGCTTGTATAAGGGTTTGGAAGTCGAGGTGCCACACCATTCTGTGCAAAAATTGGACCCTGTAGTTTCGCAACCAATATTGCAGTTCTTATCGAATTGTGGGTACAGGAATGATAATCGAATCCGGATTGCTTGGATTGCGTCAGGCTTCTAGTGCCAGACATCACATTACATGTGTTAAGCTCGGTCGTTGATTAAGTTCACGATGTTGATAAGTATAACGTGGACTAACTTACAGTCCAAGAACCTCCCCAACAGTCAACCACCGGTGCCCCTCCCACAGCAAATTGTCCTTTCTCGCCAATTCCGCGTCATCTGACCCTGTCTCAGGGTTCCAGCCACAACTTGCTCCTCCGATTTCAAAGCGCTGCTGGAGGAGCGTACGGACTTCCACGGCGACCACACCCTCCGTAGGAACCGCATCACAATGTACCACGGGTACACTGCCTTTATATAGGGCAATAATCTCTAAGAGCGTTGCGCGTTGTCCTTCGATGCGAACTTCGACATCAAGTAGACGAGATGGCGGTTGAGTGGTAAGAATATGAGCCAGATATCCCGCAACATCGGGTATTGCGGTGAAGGATCCTGGCATTTCTCCTTTGCCCACGAGATGAAGCTTGCCAGTCTCGGTGAGGGCGGTGAGCCAGGGCACGAATTCATTGAATAATCCATTCTAATGGATATATCGTTTTCAGTGCTTCATGCTTAGAGTAAAATCAACAAATATCATAAACTTACATAGACGTGGAGAGTGGGCAATCCAATCGACTTGGTATAAACTGCGAACGGAGGATGAGTCCAGCATAAGGTGCCATCATTGGTTAAAACCATTCACCTGCAAAGTCATACTTTTCATGAGACAAGCCAGATGCTGGCGGTGCTGTGCCGAACTCGCTGGGTACGAAGAGCTTCACGCCTGCCTCCTTTGCAGCATCGGCGAGAATGTTCTGGACAAGTACGCCTCCAAAAACAAGCGTAACGGTAGAAATGAGGACGTCTACTTTGTTCTCGCGAAGGATTGCCGAGACCTCAGATGCAGATGTATAGTCTGCGCGCACAACCTTCAGGTTGGGGTCATCGGCAGGGAGTGCAGAAGTATTCGTGGAGGTTGGTCGAGCGATAACGAGAATCGGGGCTGCCAATGGCGAGGAATGCCTGATAGAGATCATTGGTTAAGGACAACTCGAATATCAGGGTATTATAACAAATGCTCACCTTCACGATAGGAATCCCGATGTGAGGGCCTGCGCCGACGATAGCAAAGGACTTGAAAAGTGCTTCAGACATGTCGTGTTGGTCACTGAGTACTGAACTGTGGATTCTGCACTCTGGAACGCCATGGTTTTATACATTCCCTGCAGCTCGCTTCGAACCAGGTCGACCAGTAATCCCAAACTTATGCTGACTGTCCTTCAATTTTTAATCAGGAGTTGACAAAGCTATAATATGGTTATGTGAGCTGTGTTAGTGCATGAGTAAATGTGTGTACGTGACCGAGGATGGCTTACGAGTACTTACATACTTTGTTGAGTGTGGAACCGTGATCCTAAATATGAGCATTATCTTGTCTAAGTCACCCATCAGTCATCTACAGTGCGATTAAATCATAATGCCCGAACAGCTGACTTCGTACCTTTACAAGGCGAGGAACATCATCAATGGAGCTTGAAGAAGAAGACGTGTCTGACCCATGCCTTCGCAGCTCTCACCCTATAGCCAGAGGGTGAACTTACTGCTGACATCGTTTCACGGGTCTCTGACGCAAATTGGCAGATTGAACTGGCACTAGCCGAAGCCAATGCACCCTGCAAGACCTACCAAGTCGATCTCTCTAACAAACCAGAGTGGTTCACTAGTAGAGTGAACCCTGTCGG